ATCAATATACAGCCAAATCAAGCGTATACTTAGACGGATTACTGAGGCCTGAGGCGAACGGGGGAACGGAACATTACCGTCCCCAAACTAGTAAGACAACCTTTCACTCCTGTCTGCGATTCAATATCGCAAGGGAGGAGGATGTAAGGGATTAACCTTACTTCACTATAATTCCGATTATAGTGATATTTATATTATGTTGCATCACTATAATTCCCATTATAGTGATGTGTTTATTTCTTTATTTATTTGTGCCGAGATATGTAAATTACATATATATACCTCGGAGTAGTTGTAAAGGCCCGGTAGCCTTTTACCTCTACCCCGTTGAATATACAGCTCATTAAAGCTTATGTTTAGACGGACCTACTGAGGCCTGAGGCGAACGGGGGAACGGAACGTTACCGTCCCCAAAATAGTAAGCAACCTTTCAATGACGTGGCAACTCTCATGTGACCTGAGCACCATGTATATAAACATACCTGGGGTGGGAACCAGAGAAGCAGTCTTCTTCTCACCATTCCCACTTCAGGGACATCTGCCTGTGCCGGACCCGTTGCCGCACGCGCCCGCTTCATACCCCACCGGGCCCTCAGTGCCAGGCGATATACCCGGACGCTCTCGACCCCGGACCGGTCCCTGACACTGACTGAATAGAAAGGAAGCAGCAGCCCAAATAGGAATGAGGGAGAATAGCGGAATTGAATGGAGCAATGCAATAGTTGCAAGGTCCGACATAAGTCCGGAAAGTCCGAACTCGGAAGTTAAACTCCGGAATATTGGCAAACATAATTAAATGGAATGAGCTAACCAATACAATGGGTATAAGCGGAGGTGGGGTCAAAGTCCGAGGTCAGAGCTAAGACCGGAGGTTCTGGAGACAGAGACGCAACCGGGATTCCGGAGCGGAGGTCTGGAGTCAGGAGCATAGGTGTTGCATGCTCGTCTGGAAGGTGTCGAGGATGAGGTCGGACCCAGAATGTTCCGGAGTCGGACTGAAGGTGGTGTTGGAGCCGGAGGTGGGATAACCTCTTGGAAGTCGGCAAGGAGGAGGTGGCAGAAGGGAAGTAGGACTCTGGAAGTCAGGTTTGGAGTTCCGGGAGCCCGGAGCGGAGGTTGGGATTGTATGGATATGACACTTGGCCATCTCCATCCCGGAAGCTCGGTCCCAAATCGGAACATTTGGAACCCCCGGATTCGCTTGGACCTCCTGATGGACCTCCAACATTTTGTTACATACTTCTAAACCATTCCCCCTCCCATTTCATTTAGTGGAGTCACCCAACATCCTTCAGATATGTAACTCTGGCCTCGGAGCTACCTGCATCCTCTGGTGACCCTGCTCACATCATCTTAAATTAGTCACCTTCCATTTGTAGTACGACTGTTGTCTTCTTTCCATTCATTCCATTCAGTTGGCTAACTTCCCCTTGCCCATTTCTCGTTCCCATTTTATTCCCCGGCCTCCTACTCCACCCTCCTCGACCCAACACCTCAGTTCCCCGTTGTGGATATTGTTTGGAACCTCTCGGTACCTTTTGGTGTTTGTTGATATCACTCGGACTTTGACTAAAGTCCTTCTCCCCATCCCTCTATATATACATGTAGATTAGAACCCATTGTAAGCCAGTTCTAATCTCAACTATGAATACCCCAAGTCCCCCTATGAGTGATTCCTGACCCCCTTCTACAAGATACCCCAGACATATGAAATAAAAGGACTAACTGAGACGTAATGGAGGCACAGTGCTCCCTCCAAGTCACTGAGGCCACATCCTTCTTAGAGCCTCTTGTACAACCCAGCAGACTCAGGCTTCCTGGAGAAGCTTCGGTCCACTACCGGAGCTCTCGGAACCCCTCTAGTTGAGCCCCACCTGCATTCGGATTCATGTCCCCTTTCCTTTGTGGGGTTTCTGACAGTCGGCTCTGGTATGTGTTTCAGATGGGATCAGGTTGTGATGGTTCAAAGATGCTTCGCAACCTTGGCAGAAAGTTGGTTCTTCGGGTGATCTTTTCCCTAGTACGTCCATCCCTTTTACCATTCCACTGCACATCATATTAAGGATAGATTCCTTTGATATGTGGCCTAAGCATGTATGCCAGATGTCAAGTGACACACTGGCTGTTACAGATCGTGCCAGATCGGCTTTTTCTGGTGTGTTGATAGTGGATATGAAGACCTTTTCTGTAGCAACAACTGTTACTGGTAGTCAGAATAGGCCATTGTCAAGGGTGGCTATAGCGATTAGCTCATTGAATGAGTTGAGGATGTGGCAAGTCTTGCCAAGGAATTGTACTTGGGCACCAGAGGAAGAGAGTTGCAGGACAGAAAGGAGATTGTGGGTGATTTTTGGACAATGAAGGATGTTACGGATGGTGGTGAGTCGAGAAGAGTCTCCGATTCTGATCTTGACTTCGATCTGACCAATTCCAGGTGCAAGAATTGAGTTTTTGTTTCCAAGGATTATCTCTCAAGGAGGATGAAGGGGGCGATAAGTGGTAAACCATTCTCAATTCCCACACAAGTGCACCATAGCACTGGAATCAACTACCCACTCTGTGTGGCATTCTTGACCGGAATATGTCTTTTCCACAGAAGCTAACAACATTTCAACTTTTGTGTCAGACATGGCAACTTTAGCAGACTCTCTAGAGGGTCCTGCAGGTGGCATTTGCTTAGCCTTCACCCTTCTTGGTCCCTTTCCTTCTGATCCTCCACCCTCTGCCCAACATCGCTCAAAAGTATGACCAAGTTTTCTGCACTTGGGATTGGTACTGTCATATCCATCCATGGCCACCACCCTCGACCACCTCTGCTCCTCCAGATTACCTCCACTCCTCCACCACTAACCTCGGAGCCTCCAGTTTCCGCAATCACCTCTGACCCCCCGATGGTCACCACCTCTCCAATTCAATATATTACCTATGCCTCCCTAAGTATGGAGCCCCAAAGCTCTTTGGACAGCTCTGACGTCCGCTAGCGCATCCCCACCTCCGCTGGGCAATTCACTTGCTTGCCCTGCAAGTCTACCTTCAGGCCTATCCCTCCTTTCCGCTTGTGGGTCATAACCCGTCATTCCATTAAACCCACAACCTGACTTGTTGGTAATATTCAGTCGGCTAACATCTATCCCCATTAGCCCCACTCCACTCGGTCCCGCTATTCATGGACCCACCCTTGCTGTAACTATATATACTTAACTTGTACATAGGTTACACTCCAGTGATAAAATCGACTAGAGTTGATCCCCCTTTTTAGTCCTTGTTGCCAGTAAGTAAATTAGGGCATGGATGTGTAACTTGGCACAGCGCTCCTGGTCTGAGTCGCTGAGGCTGAAGCCCTCCACCATGGAGACAACTCCTTTGTCTTGCCCAGGTCTCTAACAGGTACACCGAACGTTAGACTTGGGAGTGTTGGGTTTTTGACCGCTTGGCTTCGGTGAGTTATTCTGATCAGGTTTTGGCATTTTAGCCACCATAGTGGCAATACCAGAAGAATGTTCTTTACATTTTTCTTCATGGTAGATTTGGCGAAGAAGTGTGGCAGTATTCAGCTGGGAGGAGTCATTGACAGTTGCAACAGTCAGGGTCTTAAAGACCTCATATGAAGTGGGAAGGGCCTCAGAGATAGCGATAGCAAAGCCAGAATCAGAGACAGGTTGACCGAGTACAGCCAGTTGGCTACGTATTTGTTGCATGGCATTGATCTGGGGTTCAAGCGGTTTAGAGTCATTGATTTGGAAGTGATGTAGCTTAGAGGTAAGGATGCCAGTGTCATGAGAACCGAGACCATTGTACTTATCAGACAAAGCTTGCCAGACTCCTCGAGCAGAAGTTTGCTCTTCAACAGACATCATTGGTTCATCGTCAATATAGAGTTTCAGTTGAGTCATGGCTAACTTATCCTTTTTTGTCCACTCAATGAGTGTCGGGTCATAACTAGTAACTGTACAGTGGCAGACGGGGTTTACAAGATGATAGGTCCGAGTTTAGAGTGTAGTCATAAGATGAATCTAGAGTCGGTTTAGACCAGTTGGAGCGTGTGAACCCCAACGGCTAAACTGGCAACCATTTTTGTCACGCAGTTTCAGTCTTGACATCAGTCTAGGATGAGTTTAGACTACTGTTTAGACCTGTTTAGCCAACCGTGAAACCCCCTAATGTATGCAGGGAAAACGCTTTATCTATACACACTCCTTGCCAGCTGCGTAAGAAAAGGTCGTCCAACAGCTTTCGAAGCCGACAGCATACTGTACTGTCTTTACAGGCTGCCATTATCTGACACGAATCGCGTCATCAGATAAGTACAGCGTAAATGAGTTCTGGTCGACGCGTTGCCTCAGTTCACCACTCCATGTGACGCCCTGATGTATAGAAGACCATCTCTATTCGTTGTCGTGGCCGCGTTGCCGCGTCGATTGCAGTGGGATCAATGGGAAGTAAAGCCATCCACCACTGTGATTCTTTCCATGGAGCCTTGGTCCTGGGTAGAGATTGTCCAAGCGTAAGACATTGCATACTATGGCCACTAAATGTGCAAACAGTAGCCGGAAAATGTCAGAAAGCTATGGTTGGGGACGGAATGGAAAGCGGCATGACCCTAGTCCGGCGGACGGTCAACTTGGGAACTGCGGAGCATGAAGGTTTTCAACAGCTTATTCTCAATCCATTCCTGAACAGTGGTATCGAGGGCTCCAGGTGAATAAATCATATGGTAATAGCTGTGAAGGTGTACGGTGAGTGAGATAGGGGCCAGCCCAAGCATAGACCTTGTACGCACATCATACGGGAGTTGAGATAATAGGATTAGAAGACAATGAGATGGTCCAAGAGATTGGAACCAACACCCTTAATGTCGAGTCTTGGTCTCAAGGTTATATTGCGCAAAATGTTCCTTAGGACCGACACCGCTGTGAAGCAAGATGAAGGGAGAGTTGTATGCACCAGCAGAAAGAATGATTCATTCCTCCTTGGCTTTAAGGATAATGGGCCTGATGGAATCATCGTGACTTCGGCTTGACGCCAACGGCTTCGAATTTCTCCTTAGCATCGGCGTCGGGATTCGTCTCAAGAACGATGCGAAGCACAGTAGTATTGAGTAAGACCTGAAGATTCGCTGGAGGATTGTTGTTCACGAAGTCAGCGCTGGAACGAAGACTTGAGTAAATCCCTCATAAGGGAAATGAACCCAGACTTACCCATGCCGTCATGAACGATCCTAGTCGCGTGTCCGGCACCGCCCGAGACAAACGTGTCAGGCTTATAGTCGTATCCTTGGTCGATGCGAGCATAGCCTCGCTAATTGGAGCGACGGGGTGAACGGTTATATGCAGCAAGCCATTGGTGCCTCCGCAGCTGGAAAACCTTTGGTACAGAAGAACTTCTTGGACTGATATGCCAAGTTACCGTAAGGGTCTTACATAAATAGGCTGAGTGAAGTTGCGCACCTTCTTGAAGAATGGAAGCAGATCATCCCAGGGGGAGGCCGTGAGCCGGAGAGTGCTGCCGTCGCCTAAGAGTTTTCCCTGGGCATGTGAATAATATGGTTGTTCGCGTACTTTTGGAGCTGCGTTGTAGGGAAACGAATAATTAGCTTTCCCGACAGAAGCACGACGTGAACCCACCTCAGTATCGTAGCCCCATGTTCCTATGAAAAAGTCTTAATGGGATGGAGAGATATACCGTGAAGTGAATGTTTTTCCATCCCATCGCCATGCTGGACATGATGATGTCCTGGTTTCTGAAGGAGGGAGTGAGTTCCGATGTTTGACAAGGGTTGAAGAGGGCATTTCCCTGGTCCCGCTTCGATGAGAAGCACCTGAGCATCAGGGGTGGCATCCGCGAGCCTACGAGCGACAACCTGATCAGGGATGAGGGGATTTCAAATCAACAGGAACAGAAAGACGCGACTTATAATTAAGAAACACCAAAAAGGAATGATGACATACCACCGAGAACTGGAGCGGCGCAGGGTAAATGACGCGGAAACTCGACTGAGGATTAGAAGACACGTACTAATGAATCGCGCAGGGTGTCCAACGATGGCATAGTTTTGGATGGAGTGGAGATAATCAAAAGGATTAATCAAGAAAGTGGTGGATGTCGTTAGGGGGGATGTTGGTTAAAGGAAGGAAAGGAGTGCGAGATCGAGAGAAGGGATTAAAAACACGGGAGTTGAACTAGAAGGTAAGAAGGCGTTGGCGTTGGAGTTCATCGCGGAAGCGCCAAACATATGCTGCACAATCAAGTCTCTAGCTTGACAATGATGGAATACGTAAAATGTTCTGTGGACTCATACTGTTAACCCGTACCCAGGCACAGCCGTTCCGTTCATTTACGCAACTGGCACCCTCATTAATATCAACAATTGATGATGATGATGTTTGAAGGGCTATTTGGCAATGCCGCGCTACCAAGAAAGAAAAGATGTTGTGTACATATGTATCGGAGGTTATGTAGAGGCAATGGATCACGCTCGGATGAAGATCACGATAACGGAGATCAATTCACTGATATATCGACATAACAAGGCATGACTCATAAGTCAGACACATTATGTAACTTCCGCTGGTCAAAAACTATTCAACAATATGTATTCAAAAAAAAAAAAAAAGGTACCACAGGAATGCCAGCAACTGGGAAGGGATGAATACCAGCCGATGGCACAGTCTCCCGGACTGCTGGATGGCCCTTGACGAAGATTGATGGTTGGTGGAAGGAAAATTGAGGATGAAACCACTCGAGAGATGAAAACCCAACACAGCAACAAAATAAATAACCGCCAACGCCAATCGGTCATTGGAGCACCTCCGGCCTGTATGATTGACAGGATCCAAAGGCAAAGCAATTGACGGCTTAAATGAGGCAATTGGAAAGCGTGTCGACACATTCTCGATAAACTTCACCTATGGACATCATAGAGATGGGCGAAGGGGCCCCCAGAATAGATGCTGGATGGTCATATGCCTTGCAGCAGTCGTCGGTTAAGGTTCGGCGCTGTGACGAGGGACCGATCATTGGTGATATGAACAAGATGATTCGGACAACTCCACTACAATACAAGAATAGACGGCCAAATCTCCATGATCGAGTCTCGTGACTTACTGTCAACTTTCAACGGAGTTGGCCGAATTTATTGTGTCTCAGGATATTTCAGACTCATTTGAAGTGCTTAAAGCGCTTTCCTGGCCATTGACCCAAAGGAAAGGAACGTCTTCGCCTCCCAGAACTACGGGTTGTGTTCCCCTTCTCAGAGCTGAACCCTCCTGCCATTCAACATACCCAAAAAAAAAGAACTATGCACATCATTTGCTTCAACTTTCAAACTGATGAGTGATATGCTTTCATCAATATTCTTATTATAAATGATTATTTCCCTCAGGAGAAACCCGCATCCAAGATTTTTATTTCGTAAGATTCGACACAGACCATTTCTCACCTACCTATTTGGATTGAGGGGGTTCTTCAAAGCCATCATGATTAAAACAAGACCTAGACTATAGCCCCAAAGCGTCTTAAAGCTCTGCTGGTGCGCTCAAGTGATCTGTCACTTAAGTTCCCCCTCCTCTCTTCTTTGGTCCCTGTCTCTCGCGAAATGGCTCCCATAGGCGTCCCAGCCAGTGTCATCAATGTCATTGTTGGTCCCCTCTTAATCGGATCGTGGCTCAACATCTGGCTTGTATGCAAACTCGAACGGTCACTGAATGTAGGAGATGAAGCTGACCTCTCTTTTCGACGTTATGCTGCTTCCCCCGATGGCGCTCAAGTATGGGGTAATGTTGATTCAGACACGTAAGCAAAAGTGGCTCACTTATCCCCATGATGTCCTTGGCCAACCTATTCATCACTTTCTAGAAATATATTATCGCCATGCGCAGAAGTACGTCTTCGCTTCCTCTTACCACCTAGGCTATACCTGTATCTCCGCTTCCAGTGACCCTGCCTGGATCAAATACCTGGTGGCTTTCATCTTCCTAGCGGACACCCTCAATTCCGTGTTTGACACATGGTTCACGTATCATTACGCGGTGCTGTAAGTCTCCACCCTCTCGTCCGTTCTCATCTTCAAAACTTATTCCATATTTGTTGACTGGCCAGGGAGTTCGGTATGTTATTGCCAGATCCCCAATTTTTTGTGGCCTTGAGGGGTCGGATATCGTTAACCTTCCTAACTAGGCAACCCAAAGACGATCCTGGTATCCAATTGGGGTACGTTCAATAAGCCGGAATATGTAAGATGCTAATCAGCGTTGTCACACTGTTTGGGATTGGCCGTCGCCACGCTGCTTTTTTGGTGCCCATGCAAGACAGTTTTCAATACAGGTAATTCAATTCTTTCGGCTGTCATCAAGAGATGAGTTGTTCAATTTCGTTCAATTGTACAAGAACCCGTCATGACCGTCGTCACATCCTCAACCGTCCAAGCGTTCTTCGGATGGTGACTTTGATCCACTGTCATCCTCTCGGTTCTCTAACATCCATTTGTTTAACTATGAAGGCGAGTCAAGCGGCTAACGGGTATCACCTGGATGGCTGCAATAATCGTCATCTTTGCCTTTATTCAATTCCGTAAGTACCCTTGAAACCTCAAGCTTACGGCGGAAGATGGGGCTTCGAGCCTGAGTGCTAATCCCGATTCAAAGTGGCTGGCCTTGGAACGGCCATCGGCTGTACCATCCTCAAAGAATTCGTCCGCTTCAGGTCGCTCAAATGTATGCTTCGATCGATGTCTGTTTGCCACAGACTTTCTGATCCGGAATCCTAATCCTTAGCGATTGTGATCGTCTGGCTCGTTCTCGCGCCTCTGACCGACTTCCTCATTGCCGCCACCCTTACCTGGTACCTGGTACGTATTCACCTCGAACTGTACAGGGAACTCAAAGCTAAGAATTCCTCTAAAGCGTTCGCATAAAACTGGCTTTGCGACAACGGACGATATCGTTAGTCGAATCACTCGATGTGAGCTCGTGGTTACTCACATTGTGATCGAGTACTTTGGTGATCTAACACCCGCCTCCACTTCGTCCACTCTACTACACAGTGACAATCCAAACTGGAGCCATTACTGTCGTCTTGTCGATTATCGACTTGGCCGTATACGTAAGTCGCACTACACCAAACAGATCTGGACCGTTGAATCATGTGGCCTCGACACGAAAATACTCTAGTTGGCCTGGGTAAGTTCATGAGGCCGTTGCTTTTTCTCTTTGAAACAAATTATCCTGACGACCAATCACCACGCCCTCCCACACAGCCTAACAATTTGCACTTGATCTTGAATATGCCGCTTCCCAAACGTGAGCAATCCCATCTTTCCCAGCGTGTAACTGATTCACCCAAATGCTAAACAGTCTATGCAAACTGTCTCATGAGCTCTTGTCAGTTTCCCTTCAGTTGACCATCATGATGATCAGCCCCATCACTGACGGTTTTCGTTTGGCTCCCAATGTTATCCCACCTGGTTGCTGATCCAGTGAACGCCCGCCGCGAGTGGAGTATTTCAGGAGTCAGTTCTGATGGCGTTTCCCGAGGACGGGTAAGTCCTATTCCTGGCTGTGCTCGCGCACACGCCACTGTTTTGTACCACTGAGCCACTAACGTTCCTTTCCAAATACCGTTTTGGTCCCTTCTAATCCCTCCATTCTATCTACAGCCCCATCATGGTGGGATCAGCATCACTACGAAGGCCGAAGTTGTTCACGATGAGATCGAACTCGACATAACCAGTAAACATCGCACACAAGATGGTACTCCTTGGAGTGTCCGTCCAAGTGCCGGCGGCACTAACGTAGTTGGTGTTGGAGATCCTACCAATAAACCGAAACGCGATGATGGGTTATCGCTACACTCGGATTCGATTGATGGGGATGATTCTTCAAGTCAGAGACCCAATGGGGATTGGAAGGCACAATAGCTCTATAACGATCATTTCCATTTCTTGCTTCCATCCTTTTACCTCTCAGAACTTGGAATCCACCTGAAACGCTCCCAAGTACTTATCCATACAAAACAAACTGATGCGTCCCATGTGTTCTACGCCGTCGACTGATTAATGCACGAACCTGACCTCCCGCATCCGCAAGAGTGACACGTCCAACTGAGTTTGATTAACCTTCCCCGTGTTACTTAATCTCTCGCACGAAGGTTGCAACACTAGTACTCCAAATTGTGTCCATCATTCCTGATGACCCATTCCCCGGAAATCAACGTCTTTACCGTAGCTATCCACTCCCATCAACGTTCTCATTAGGGAGGAGGCATCAATCAGCTGAGCTTGTGGGAACACCCGTTCATAGTACAAAGAGTGCCCGTGAGCACTGTGGAGCTTGAGAAATGCGTGCTTCATGTGGAAACGATGCACCGGTGTTTGCTGGCGAGAACCACACCATCTATTAGTGTGCCCAACAAGGAAGAAACCCGTAAAGACATCTGCGTGATGATGTGCCATCGTGCCCCCTGCCACTCGCCAGCCATGTAGGTGCTGTTGCGCATGTGGGCACAATATCCAAACAGTCCGATATCGTGCCTTAGACGAGTTTCCTCTCTTCATCAAGTACTACGTGTACATCGGACTTATATGTCCATGTGCCTTAAATCAACTGACTGCTTCGCGTAAGGCCGCACCCCAATAAAAATTTGTGTCGCCATCGCATCCGGTGTGGAACAGTCGCACAATGCCGTGTTATGCGCACAGTCTCATTAATGTTTGATTTCCCGGTCAGCTGGTGGAGTTATTCGCTTGAAGAGAGAACGGAACGGCACACTGCAATTCAAAGGATATAGCTCATGGTTATTGGTGGAAAATAGAATACAACACGAGTTATCACATTAGTAAATATTAAGTAATTACGGTGTCTATTCGGAATATAATTCGCCTGTTGAGGCCTATATATGTGAAATTCTAGGTGGACGCGGTGTATGAGCTGGCTTCACTGTCCACCACCACCATTCGCGTCTGAAGCCTGGCCGCAGCAATAGTTCCTCTCTTAATTTCGATCACTATCTAAGTAGTTGAGCGATCACGACGTTTCTCATGCCTTTGCACCTCAGGCGCGCGCTTGTCGACGCTGTTATCAACGAAGCACCCACTGAATCATGAGTGGACGAAGTGAAAAGTTCCAAATAAACAGTGATTATGTATGTCGGCACAAACCCGACAGAATAATTGGGTCTTAGGACGAGTAGCCTATTAATTGATTAGGATTTAGGGATGGTAGGTTTGCTGACGCGTTCAAAATCCCTCCGAAGTCTAGTGTCGGGGCAGTCTGCATGGTTGCACCGCTTCACTGTTCACTAAGACCTTTTGTGGCATGCGAAGCAAAAAAGCTGACGTGTGTCAGTGCAATGTTGGTGTTTCTATGAACACAAGACTGACACCACTGAGCGGAGCCACAGTCATATTGCAAACTTCCTAACAAGACAGAGCCCAATCAATTGGAAAAAGCGAGAGGGGTTAGTGCGTAGATGCACAGGCGGTAATGACAGGACCACGAGATACCAAAATAAAAATTATCAAGTGCCATGCATCAATGCAGAAGAAAAAGGACACAAGGAATGTGAAGATGCCTGATCTGAAGGGGTGGTAAAGGAAAGAAGGTATGTGATCAACCGCCACGCCCGTTGGATAATATGAACAGGGAAAGAAACGAATGCCTAGAATCTGGACAATAAAGTACTATACGCCGACATCAATAATGGCGGCAGCAGATAAAAGCAGAAGGTTTACTTGCCAAGAAGAATACTTAAAAGTTCAACCTCATAATACATCAATTTGGCTGTCCCAACCACTGGAATAGTTGGATCCTCCTGTTTTGGGACGTGGACGATCTAATACACTTTGCGGCGGTTGGGGATCGGTGGGCCTACAAGGCACACAAGGCACAGCACCACATTCAGAGCAAGGGCGAGCACGAAGGCGCTCTATTTCAGCATTGAGTTCGCGGATTTGTGCCTCGTACTCAAATGCTTGGATTCTCCAAGCCTTACGAGCCTCGACAAGCGCGGGATGACCGATATTATCCGAATTCATAGAGCTTGCTGAACCTGAAAGCGTCATGCCACTTTTCCCGGAGAAGCTAGATTGGTGGGAGGTGGCGGTTCGAGGTTCGAAAGAGTCTACCACAGCACCCTCTGGTATGCCGAGTCCCAATTGCGGTCGCCCATGTTGGGTGACAGGAGTATGAGACTCGGCCACTTCCGGGAGCAACATGTCATGCGGAAGACCAGACGCGAGAAAGCTTGAGATCGGGCGAAGATGAAGAGATTGGAAGCCAGCACCGTCCCCACCTGCCGGTTCAAGAGTCGACCGAGACTTTTTGTCCGGCTGGGGGCTCTTCCTGAACTTCGATGTAAAGGCAGGTAAATCCAGACCTCTCGTAATTCTCTCTAACGACGAGGTCGAAGACGCAGCAGGGGTGTCATTCTGGGACCCAGACCTCACGGTCATTGGACGGGGTGCAAGCCCAGCGCTTCCTTCTATGGTTCGAGGGAGCGGAGGAACATCGTCTTCAAGAGGCTTCCTGTCATCCGCGGAGGGCTCCAAACTTCGGGATCTGCTCTTCAGACCTTGTGGGAGAGGTGGTACCTCTGGAATGTGCCCTTCTTGATGGACCTTCTCCTTTCCCTCCTTGAAGAACCGCCTGAACGCACTCCGCTTCGGCCTCAATGTTCGAGGCTGATCAGATGACAGGGGCGAATCCTCATCGAGCCCTGACTCAGCGTCATTCGGAAGTTTGTCAATAGACGAGGTCGATTTGTTTGTTCCAAACGAAAACTTCTTTGCTCCAACAACGGCATCTCCGCTCCGGGCACGATTTCGCACTTTTTCACGTGCCTGATCAAGTGATATGAGTGTGAATCCTGGACTGTCCGCCAGCGGGTGGCCAGACGGGAAAGGCACGGCACTACTGGGTGTTGATGCGTGAATAGGGGGAATCGAAGGCAATGGAGGCATGGAAGATGAAGGCTGCGCTGGTGTGAGCATATACGATTCTCCAGAAACGGTGGAAACGGTGGATAATGAAGGATTGGCGACCGATTGGCTGAAAGACGTAGCATCTAGCGGACGAGATTGATTCTGTGAAGTGAATGAGGGTTGCGGAGTTGCATGGGAGTTATCCTCGGAGGCATAAAGCTCGGGATTTGCATAAGGGTGAAAGGGTGACAAGATTGCAGCCTCATACATGCTCGTGGGACTGGGAGAGGTATCATGCCTTTTGTTGACACTTTTGCTGTGCTTCGAGCTCTTGGCGGAGGGTGATGGAGGTTGGGATCCGGAGAAACGATCGGAAACAGGGCTTTGAACAGGAGGGGGATTGGAGGACGAGGAAGAGGCAAATGATGAGATAGCTGAATCCGTATGGGAGACGGATGCGGACGATGACGTGGTCCGAGCCCGTGGCAGAGGCGACCATGTAGGACGTCTTGGACGAGGAGCAAAGGGGTCAGGATCAGACGAAAGGATGGACACTCTGTCCTCAGTCGTATTCGGGGGAGGGCTAAAGTTACGTGAACCTAACGAATATGTGGTAGTCCCTCGTGATTTGCTGCCTCCGAGTCCAAACCCTTTCGAACTCTCTGTAGCTCTGGTCAAAGTCCTACTTCTAGACCGTCGCCCAAAGATAGAGCCACCATCAACAGAGTAGTCGATACTAGGGGCTTGTTCACGCTCGATGAGGGGGTCACTAACTTCCCAAGGTGCCCTGGAAAGCATTTTCATCTTCGGACCCATCATACTCAGTCGGTTTGTTGTTTCATTCTCGGGAGAGTCCTGGCCTGTAGAAGATATCCGAGAGTCGCGAGCAGCATCACGGGCTTCAAAACTGGTGAGGTTTTCAAGGAGATGTGAAGGAAATGGTGGAAGCGGCTCTTCTTCGATATCCGGGTAAGGTTGGTAGTTATATTCCGAGTGATTGTCAGCTCGAGAGTAAACAGAAGGAGAGTATGGCCCAGCACTATGCGCGTGAGAGTTAGATGAAGGAGATGCTTCGTTATGAGTTTGCAGGGGCTGGAGATGAGCGACTTTTGTGAGATGCCGTCGCTTCATCGTCTCGTCAAGAGATGATGTATAAATAACGTCGATGTAGGGAATGATTGCAACGGACTGCATGACAAGTGTTAGAGAAGCTGCCGAACAGGCATCCAACTCTCTTTCTTACCTTAGGCCTTCATAAACAGTCGAAAAAGCACGACCTTCGTGGGAGAAAGGAAATGAATTTTATATAATTTCAAAAAGGGAACAAACGATCACGTGTCCTAAGAGTCGGACTTGAAAAAACTTCCGAGGCACGGGAAGGATATTAATAAATTTAGCAGCGTGGGCGTATGTAATCACCTGATTGGGTCCATTGCCCGTTTTGTAGCGGAGTTGTCCGAATTGATTGTTATATTGTTATATTGTTACTTAACGTGGGTTATGTCACTATTACCTGTTTAGTTTAACCTTGAGCAGTGCAGCGGGGTCGATCATCACTGTAATGGTGGGGACCATGGAGTGTCTACTAACAACCCTCTGAATCCCATGCTTTTAGCAACCATTGGAAACGGGGTCTACTGACAGCCGCTTCTCTTCTAACGGTGATGAGTGCTGAGCTCCAACCCCCAAAAAGAATAACGGCGACGTTCCCCTGTTCCTTCTCATTGGCCCGCGACTCCTCTGCTGAAGTTGTGCACTGCAGGCGCTGACAAACACACTTTTCGCCATACTGCTGGTTCGTCCGCAGGACATACATACGTCCATTACGAGTGCTGTTAACTGCCATCATCTTTCAGTTATGCGGTGAATCCCTTATTCTACCTTCAAACTCTGGGATAATCTAGCAAGTTTCGCATTCGCTGTTCTGAATGTCACCCCTGCTCTTCCTCAAGGTTTGAACACGATTCCGGAATTGAAAAATGGTCGTCTATACAGCGAGCTTCTGATAGGTATCATTCCTGATTTCTCGCTTCTATAGGGTCGGATACGGCTGATGTACTGGTCGAACTATACATTGGGAACGCAGTGATTGGGAGATCTACTCTTCGTTATCTGACCTCTCGCATTGTCAACGACGAGTTGGTCGCATCTTCGACTCTGTCTACATGTGCCGTACTCGTTACGGGACATCCGGGGGGACAATATGCATCCTGTTTCCGAAACCAATGTCATCTTTCACATCACAGGTATCTATCGGCAGTCGGAGACCACGCGTTCACCTTGACCACTGGTTCCCCTCTCGATCGAAGATATCCAAGTCCAAGCGAATGGTGTTGTTGTTCACGTCTCGATAGCTTGAACTGGAGAACCAACCAAAGGAATGCGAACGTCCTGCCAACGGGGAGTGGACAGAACATTGAGAAACCTGGGGAGACCGAGAGACTCTTCCGCAAATGAGTGTGGAGTGCGAATGGAACTGACCGAGGAATCGAAAGAACCAGTGGTGATCTTAAAGGATCTGCAATCGCGGTCGTCGTACCAGTGATATCGAAAATGGTATTTGTCTCTTTGCATTTCATCGGCCGGGTGTCCAGTTATCAATACGGTACATGCAGATAAAGTCGAGGATGTGACGAGCTCGTCATTGATCACCCGAGCTATAAGATTGCCTTGCATAAAGAGCAGGTCGTCCTGATGTATACTGGGTACCGGAAATGAGTTCCACGAGAAATGGAAACAGAAGTCACCACTCATGTCGTCCATTCTTGCCTCAGGAAAAGTATTAGCAAAGCATAGCCTGTAAAATTGGCCCCGGGGCGTCAAAGCCTGGAATAGAGGAGAGGGCCAACAAAAGTAGGATATACGACGTTTTAAACACGGGTTGTCGTGTACCTGTCAGCTGGTGTCAAGAATGGTATTGATATTCAGCTGAAACAGTTACCAGCGGCCTTAAGAATACGTCCTTATTAAAGTGCGAACCAATGGGAGATCGATAACTTGGCGGCATCTGAATGGGTCCCTTAATATTGGATTATCATGTAAATAATAAAATAATAGAAGCGAGGGCTTGGCGTGTGTACCCAGTATCATATGATACATAGCAGCCAAAATGGTATACGCCTACAACGTACGCATCTTCCAGCTCGTTGAGGAGGAATGCCGCAAAGCTGAACTCCTATCGTCGAGGAGATTGTCGCATCGATCCTCCACACTCTCCGCTGAAGAGATGCAAAAAGTGAAAGATCAATCACCGGTGGCAGTCGGCAGTGTCGGTGAAATGAAATATGACATGTGTATTACGCACAGTTGCTGTCTTTTTTTGCCGGATTACCATGACGTAGTAGTAGAGTGACGGAAAGACACATTGCACTGTATGTACAGACGGCCGTTCACACCATCTCCGGACTTGAATTCACAAACGCGCAACCAGTAAAATACGAACGAAGAGTCAAATTTTGAGCCATGAAGAGTAGAGTCAGAGGAGGGAGAAAAAGGGTAGATCGGCGTCACTTTAAACGTTATCATTCTGCTTACACAACCGGGAAACTCTGACGCTCTTGGACCGTGGGACACGTAAAGGAACGGAGTCAAGAGGAAAATCGCAAAGTACGAACCAATGGGAGAGGAAAAGGGAGAGAACGTAAGAAAGCAACTACTTCATCAACGAAACTAGGACAATTAACGCATGGGATCGTGGAAATGGGAAGAAAATGAGAGTAAGTGGTGATAAACTAATAGATATCCAGGCGAGACAGAAAACAGATACAATTATCCAGAAATCGACAGATCACAAGAGCATAGACCAGAAATGATGTGCCAGATCGTAATAAAGATCAATCAGATGATATAGGGACTTTTGGAGGTATTGGTGGGCGTTCAGCAGAGAAAGAAACATCAAACGGCGAGAGAGGCTGAACGTCCAGGGAGTAATCGGAGGGCTCAGATGTCGGAGAAACCCAGGCAGTACTCTGGTCCCTATCCAGGTGTACGCGTTCTGCTGGGGGCTGTGGTAAAAGTGGAGAGGGCGATTGAAAATTGAGGGTGCGCTTTCCAATGCTGATAGAGGGATCACGGCTCAATGAAACAGGATGTGCGGCCGTGCCACCGTTGTCATATCGGCTGGTGGCGAATGAACGACTGGTATTGACGCCTGAACCTGATGAGAGGCTTGATGACACAGTTGGACGCTGATGAGTAGGAGAATGAATGGGCGTACCTTCTGGTGGTGGAGGCGGTGGAATTGATTGAGTTTGAACTCCGGAGTCATTGGCATACCCATTGGCATAGGAGGATTGTAGTGGATATTGCCCAAGCGTTGTAGGAGAAAAATATTGAGGCATCCCGTCAGGGGCCTGAACCAGAGGCGAAGGAGGGGCTTTCCATTGTTGGGAGTCGAACGGGGGTGGAGGACCCGTTTCAAGAGAGGAAGGAATGGACGATGCGGCCGCTCTGTCTGCAGCCTCATACTGTGCTTTCACACGTGCCTTCTCTTCCGCAGCGTTGAGGGGACGATTCAGTGTATCAGAGGGGGGTGGCGGCGGGCTAGCGGGAGGAGGTGGCGCATCAGCCCAGTTTGAAGAGGAAGGCCCTGCTGCTACAGCCGCGTCTTCTTGTGCATACTTCCTACTCAGCAGTGCCTTCTCCTCTAAAGCATTTAGAGGCCGAGCAAGCTGGTCGTAGGGCGGCACCCCGTTCACGCCATTCTCTCTGATTGAGCTCATTGTGGGGGGAGGCGAGGACGTCGACGTAGAAGTGTTACGTCTGGGCGGTGGAGTCGGCGGGGGACCATTGCTCATGTTGTTCTGGCGGACGCTTGAGGAAGACGATCCAGAGCCACCCCCAACGTAAGAAGGTGCAATCTGGTGGGGAACCTGACCAGGGCTTCCTGGAGCTAGAATATTGGAAACTGCGGCATTGCGATGACCACTGCTATTGGCTCTGTTGGTATCCTTGGAAGCGTTACCATTGCTGGTACTGTTCGTCGGATACAGGGCATCGTATGGGACAGGATCCGTCGAGGTCACGCGCTGATGGCGTTCGACCGCACGTTTAGCCTCTAGGTATTTCATCTGTTCCTTCTCCTGTAAGGCGGTGGGCCACTGTTTCGGCGCAGCAGGCGGTCGAGTGGAGGATGACTGCTCTGCCTTGAATTTCGGTGCTGCGCTATGTCGATCGTCTGGGTTCGTCACTGGCACAGGCTGGGCGGCGGGGATGGACGACATTGCCTGCTGATACAATGACGCCCCCGTAGATATTGCAGTACGCTGATGTGGGGGGGTAGTGCTAGGAGGAAGGACAACTCTCATAGGTTCTTGTTGTACAACGGGCTTGGGTGAGGGATTGGTAACGTTAGCTTTGGTGCCCGCAGCCCCGTACTGTGGGCTTGAAGCACGCGAGGGATCGTAAACGTATGCATTAGTATTTTTCGCTGCCAAAGCTTGAGTGCGACGAGCTGTAGCCTGCGCCTCTTCAAACATTCGTTGTTTCTCGTCCCCTGCGGTAAGCCATTGCGCTGTTTGGCCAGCGCCCGGGACTTGAGACGAGAAGCCCTGGAAATAAGTTTGTGAATGAATAAACAACCATGAAGACATCCACAATTTACGCACGTCTGGATTACCGACGCTCGCCTGAGTAGCCTCCGCGACCTGCTTAGCCTCATTGAATAACTTGCTTTGCAACTGTTGTTTCCTTTTCTCTTCTTCCGCGCTTAGCCATTGGCGGTCGGACTGCTGTTGCGGAAGTTGCTGATAAGCCTGGCCAGGCCCCTGTGCCTGTCCCGCAGAATCACTTGGCCCACTCTGCATGCGAGCCTCGTCTGCCATTTGCTGATGACGTGCTAACATAGCTTTCTCATCGGCCGCATTCACATAATGCTGTTGTCCAGCAGTAGAGCTATCTGTATCCGCGTTGACAACCGATTTTGTACCTATGCGAGAACCTCCACCAGCGCCACTACTCGACGGCGGACGATTCCCTGGCACCAAATTTTGCGAAGGTGACTGGGCGCTCTGCGTTGATGTATCGTGCAGTCGGCCATTCGTCGTTTGAGAGTACTCGTTCGGAGCTGGTCTAGCTGTCTCGCCAAACTCATTCACAGTCGGCATCGAGGTCCCCATGGTAGAGGGGTGAGGCGTTGAGCTGCCAACACGCTCCGAAATGCTGTAAGGTCGTGGTCGCGGCTGCGACTGGGTTCGAGAATTATTAGCCCCGTTAACTATTTGATTTTGGGAGCGAGCTGGTGACGACGAAATTGGAGGAGCGTCCAAGGACAAATGAGGTGCATGTCCTATTCGTCTACGATTCGGTACAATGAATAAATGGTGGCACTCGGTTATGAAACTTACGCACCTGACAGTTTCCTCAGAGACATTCCTTCATCATACATTCAATAACGCTATCTAACAAACAATCAGGACGGCGTACCTCGGCCAATTCGACATCATGACAGGAATGTTGTCAATCACTAGATCTCTGCCGTCTTCGAACATGGCACGGACAGCTATGCTGTATATGACCTCTATGTACTTGGCTGTGACCACGGTTGTTGATGTATGGCCAGTAGGGATGGGACATCCCAAGTCACAGTTCAGCGAACCGCCCGCTGGGATGCTCGCGTTCACGGTCACTTTCTCCGATCCAACGAAATTGGAGCTAATTTGCGGCCCATTTGACGCCTTGTTGCCTGCAGATACTATCTGCCGGAATACAGCAGTTTCTCGGAGAGCCATCTCGAAAGAGCGTACAAAGACCGAAGTCTTGCCGCATTGAACGGATGAATGCAATACGACCCGATCGCCCGGACCATAACAGGTGTTTCCTCTTTCAACGGTGAGTGTCAACCCATCCTTATTGACCTGTCGCACATCTTTCTGGCAATATGCTGGCCAGGCTGAGTGGAGCTCGTGCTTATCAATGATAATTTGGGAAGAGGTAGAAATCAACGTGGGAGTATCACGCCGAAACAGACCCCTTCATGTATTAGTCATATGGATCCCGATCGTGTATGAGGAAACTCACTTCTTGGTTTTGTAGCATATAGTTGCGACCAGCTCGTATTTAATGCCATTGCCGTTCTGCAACGCAGTGCTGGGTGGGACATTTTCCGGTATCCTAATCGAGAATTGTATGTCCCTCTGTCATATATGTTGTTAGTGCACATCGAGGACATGGGGCCCATGTTATGCACCGTAGTAAGGACCTCCCAGTCATCCCTGGCACTCCATATGTTAAAAGAGCCGTTGCCAACTGTTTCCACAAAATGATTTCCCTGTCCCGGAAGCATCTCAATCTTCCGTAGCTCAATACGTATCCATTTGGCCTTTATCGGGTGGGAATCTGCCACCCGAACTTCTACGGACTAGAACAGGTGAGATGTGGATACGGCGCACAAAATGAACCCCCTTACGCCTCCAACTGATGCGTGTGGCCGGGTTGGACCTGCTGGAACACCAGGAAACCCTTCACGAAGCAAAGCCTCAATGATGTAAGACAAGCGCCCAAGCAACCTACACTGACCTTGCAAGAAATCCACATTTGGTGGAGGTCGAAGGATACTAAAGAAATCAGTGGTGTTAACCCTAGGGGCTTCTGGAATATACACTGTGGCTCACAGTTTGATTGCGCCAGACATCACTCGTGCTTTGGCTCACTGCGGAGGAGGCACTGGCAGAAGTGGGGCAGTGTCGGCGTTAGCCGACCTTTCCTCCCTAAATTCGTCAGTCTACACATTGCAGCTATAGAATTGAGATCTTGATCTCTTAGACACTGCCTTCAGAACTGCAGTAGACATCAGACAAGCGATCCAATGGGACAGGACGCCACTGAAAGCACCCAACTCGATGCTGAAGCTGAAGCTGACGGTAGACCGTTCCGTTTCCTCTCAATTTGAACATTCCAAGAGCTTTGACACCGCTAGATCACGTTTCTGACGAGCAAGAGTCTGAGCTGAGTTTCCTTCAGGTGCGTGTCATGAAGCTAGAGTTTGGTGTTTTTTGTCGACCAGCTGAGGGCCCGGCCAACCGACCTGATCGACCGAAACTGGAATTTTCGGCGGAGTTTGACATGGATATGAAGAACACTGTTCGTCCATTCTGTCTCCACATGACACCGACTTCATTAAACAGCCTTTTACGCGTCTAGGACTGCTATCTTCGCTTCGATGATTATGAACGATACATTCGGGTGAGGATCGGTGGCCATGATACAAGGATCGCTCAGAGCGTGACCATTGCCATGGCATCGATCGATCGGGTGTCCATGGACGGGCCTTGGGTACTCTTTGAGCTCGCACATAACGTCTCGTATGAGACTGAAGAGAACTTCCCACCTGAGAAAGATATGGGAGTTGAAGTCAAGGATGCGATGTACCGCACCCGAAGAAAAGCATTACTCGACCATAAATACGACTACATGGATTACATTGTTGCGCATGAGCGAGTGGCTCCATATGCGTCCAAAGTATTGCGTCTCCTTATCCTTCATGAGGACTTGGATAAGTTCTGCCGAGTAGCCAGAGAAGCACAACTTCCTTCCATAATTCCTCTCAAGATAGGGGATGTGCAATCCGCTTCAACATTCAAATTGTACTCTCAAGACTATCTCGAGAAAACTAGGCGTTGGATACAGTCTCTTTCTTCTTGGGGGATAGAATATCAATTGGAAGCGATTCTATCGAACGGACTGTTGACTGCTGCGGAGATCCATGACCAACTCAGAAAGATTCTTCAGCCTTTGATTAAAAAGAATCCTGGGGAAGCAGTCGATGTCCTTCACCATTTTATTTCAGTTCTCAAGCGCTATATTGATCAAAGGGACTACTCGCATTCATGCAAAAAGATTTTCGGCGAAGCGGTGGATGAGTTCTATAGTGCCAATGCCCGGACCTTGTTAAATAAGGAGGGTCCGCAAGACTTCATGTGCACACAGGTGAGTGGTCCCAAGTCCGGGTAAATAAGACTAATTGGAACTCCAGGTTGCTTTCACCCCTACGACTCGGTTTCTCACTGGCCCATTTCCCGACATGAGTAATCGCGTTGTTCGCACCTTTTGGAATCACCAGGACCACATTGTGCGCGTTAATTTCGCAGACGAGGATCTGATGCCGTACCGATACAATCGAGATATCAGCAATGCTCAGTACATCTTTCCCGGTGTGAGGGATATTCTTCGAGGTACCCTATGAACCAAGTAGGAAGATATCTCACTCACGGACTAGTTTAGGGGGATTCTGGATTTCCGGCCGTCATTTCCAATTTTTGGGTTATTCCAGTTCATCGCTGCGCGATCACACATTCTGGTTTGTGAACCCCTTCCGAGTTGGGGACATTCTGTGGAATGCAGAAGCTATCAGAAGCAGCCTGGGGGATTTTTCGATCATCAGAGACCCCAACGGCAACGAGACAAGCAACGAGAAAACGATTAAGTGCCCCGCCCGCTATGGGGCCCGCATTGCTCAAGCCTTCAGGTGCGCCGGACTCAACAGACTCGAAGCAAGTACACTGAATCGACGGGACGTTAGCGCAACGGAACCCTCAATAGAGATCAAACCATCCGAAGTGCGACATCTACCCGATGTCGAGAGAAATGGTTCTATTTTTACAGATGGGGTTGGGACGATTTCCAAGGAATTGGCGAATGAAGTTTGGAATCGTTTATGTCAACGCCGACGCCGACGCACCCTAATACAACCAAGCGTTTACCAAATACGCTTCCAAGGATATAAAGGCGTGGTTGCTGTGGACCCAACTCTTGAGGGGAGGAAACTTTGTCTTCGTCCCTCAATGAACAAGTTTTACTCGGAAAGTAGCTGGAACCTCGAGATATGCAAGCCTTTTGACCGTCCCTCAATCGCACACCTCAACAGGTTGGTTCGGGTGACTTGATGTCCCATCTAGACACTGAAATTTCTCATATCCAAGGCCCCTTGTCATGTTATTGGAAACGAATGGTATTGGAAAAGACGTTTTCCTCAAATTCCAGCGTGAAGCGGTGAAGGAGGCCAATTTAGTGGTAGACACTCCATCCGACTTCGCACGATTAGCTGCGTTCTATGCTTTAGGGGGATCATTCTCATTAGTTTTCCTCTTGAATCAGTTGCAGGAACGACAAATATTCGACTTCTCGCGGTTCAATGAGCAGGAAGATGGCATGCTTGGCTTTTTGCAGCGTATAGCACAAATATCACAAGGGCATATTCTGCGCGAGTTAAAGCATCATGCCCGTATCCCTATTCGCGGTTCATGGACCCTTGTTGGCGTCGCCGATGAATGGAATGAACTAGAAGAAAGGGAGGTGTACGTTAATGTCACCGATCCCAACTCGGAGGCTGGGTCAGTCTGGTTGGAAGGAGAAGTGCTGGTATCGCGCAGTCCTACAGTGCATCGTGGCGATGCGCAGTTCCACACGGCTATAACGCCTCCCGAAGACAGCCCTTGCCGGGAACTAAAAAATCTGATCATATTTTCAGTGGAAGGTACGCTCCACCGTTTCTAACATTATAATCACTCAGGCTCGTTCATTCCAAGGTGAACGCTCTCCGGCTTCATGTTTAGGAGGGGGTGAGTTCGCATAGGCGCGGAGTGATTCGACGCACTCATATTAAAAATAGGGGATCTCGACGGAGGTACATGTCTCCCGTTGCGAATAAATTCAGGTCCCTTAAGCCTTTCCAGATATCTTTGTCGTCATCACTCAAGAAAAGCTTCATCCGATCGCCGATGTGGACCCAGCCGAGTACGCTGAAGTTAAGCGGAGAGAGCTCGACCATGACTCTACCATTGATGATGTGTGCGATTTCATCATGGAGTACTTTAACTCGGTGAGCAGATGGTTTGTTCCGTCAAGCGATAATTCTGATAGCAATGGAATTCTCCAGGATTACATAGGTTTAGTGAGTTGAGCGTCATCGTTCCCATTTTGCTGCGTGAACGTGCGTCTAGGTTGCTACCAACACCCTCATCATAGCCGACCAGAATGAAGAAGGTCTTGGCCATCCTGCTTGCGTGGAGCTTGCAAATCTTCATTCCCATGCCGTGGATTACCCAAAGGTGAGCGCTTATCCTACAATGCTGCTCTAAAATCTAAGGCCCCAAAGAATGGGATTCCAGTCGATAGAGACCGTATCCCTAAGCCTAAAGGATCACGGAAGCCGGACTGGAATGCCGGGGAGTTGAGGGATACACGTTCGCCGAGATATTACGAAAGCAAGAAGGCCATTGGACATTTGTTCCGTGATATAGAAGTCCCAGACTCCCCAAGACCCAGACGTGGCCTCCCTATTCCACCATTCAGGAGCAAGTCGCAAAAGACTGAAGAACCCCCACCTCCACCTCCCCAGTGGCCGGGGAAGGAGATTTCTGAGCGGCGATTGGCGAGCGAAAGTTTCCCAGCCTTGAGCTCCTCATCTGCCCCCAAAAGGAAGCCTTTGTCTACACCATGGGGCAAGTCTCAAGGAGCAATTGCAGGTACTCGTGCCAAGATAGCGGCACCGGTCTGGAAAACTCCAAGTCCGCATAACCTTGGCTTGGGCTCAGCTCGAGGAGTCACTGTCTCACCACGACCACCCCCACCTCCTGGACTGTCGTCGTCTTCGGGCATTTCGCCACCACCGGGGATCCGAAGGCCACTGGCACCAGGGCTTACTTCGTCTTCAGCGCCTAGGGGACCAATGTCCCCCGCGGAATCACCATCACCACTTCCACCGTGCGACCCTGAGACAGTGTTGAGCCGTCTGAGTGAACTCGCCTCTCCCTACCTAGGGGCTGATGCTGGCGAAAAATTGGTAACACCTAAAGACATAATAGAACTTCAAGAGATCTATGGCCGCTTCGTCGTGGATCTTCAGAATATCAGCGTGGCGCAGTCTCTGGGCGAGTCATTAATGGAAGAAGAGGTAATTACATATTATCTGCAGCGAACGTACAGAAATGCCAACCCTCTTCACGACGTCAGCTCGTCGCAGGCACTATCATTGCAAGATGTTCACAAAACCGGAGACGCCGCGAACTTGCCATTCGTATGCGCAGCCTTACATCACGATTGGTTACTGAAGTTCGCAATATTATATCCAAGAGGGATACTATCCCTTTGGAGTACCGGTTGAGGCGTGCGTTGGCCGCTTACCGGGTTGCAGCCAAAGACGCACATGACCATGCTTGGGGTTCATCGGCCATGTGCACTGTTGCACTTACTGCGTTCTGCGATACGCTTAAATTGTTGGATGGCAATAGCGACCCAACTGCCGATGCCCAGCTCGTCGGAGGGGAACATCTGTTGGACTTGGAGACTCCATGAGTAAGGAATTGTGTCTCGATTATTACCATGTTTACAAACACAAAATCATCGGTGCAATAGTGTATACACAGTGAAATCATGAATGAAAGAATGAAGCCGTTAATGCGATGCGAACCTAGAACTTGAATTCCTTCTCTTTTCCACGGGAACTCCTCTCTTTCTCCATCTTCTGCTTCTTCTTTGCCATTTCTTTCGCAATCATGTCCGAATAGTCTTCCCGATTCCCAGCCCCAGGAACACCTGCACTTCCACGCGATGCAGCCTCATACTTCGCCCGTAGCTGCGCCTCTGTCAGCCCCTCTAATTCTTCGGCAGAATCAATCGATACATCCACTCCGTTGGCCTTCCGCTGAGGAAGGAATGAGTCAAGACACTGCTCATACAATAGAACAAGCTCACCTTGGATCCACGGTCATCAGCCCCGAGAACAGGCGCGTTCACTGAGTTGGCAAGACCAGACACATCATATGCACGTTCACTGCCCATGAGCCCGCGAATGTTTGCCTGTCGTTCCGGAACGACTTGATACAGTGTGCGGTTGGATGAAGATGTATCCGAAACTTCAGATTGGGCACGACCCTTGCGAAGTTCAAGGAAGTCCGGTGTTTCGAGGCCACCTGGGACGGTAGACACGACACTGTGCATCCCGCTAGGTGTTTCGAGCCCAGACGGAGTTTGCATTCCATCAGTGGCAACAATTTCAGTTGTTTCCTCTTCATCAGACTCTTCCTCACTTTCCTCCGGCTCTTCTGTAAAACAGAAAGATATGAAAATACATGGAAAGTGCAATTTCAGTCAGACTCACCATCTTCTTCCGGATCAGGCTCGCCCCATAGGGTACGATCAATTGGCTCACCGGACTAAAATCATGACGATGACAACATGTCTAAAACTTGGAGTATTCACTCACGCTCTGATCTACAGGTTTAGGGAGGACACCAAACACATCACCGTACAACGGCCGGTTGTACTCATCGAGTGGCGGCTTGCCCCAACCACCTGGGTGAAAACCCCATTGAGCCCTAAACAACAAGATTCACACTGATTGCGCAACGACAGAGGTCTGAACACTCACCCTTCTGGGATCGGCGCATTCAACCCAGGTATCCGAAGTGTAGGATAACTTGGCGGGGGGCCAAATCGTTGCATGGCAATAAGCCACGGAGGGGGTGCAAGGGGAGGGATGGAGAGTGCTTCAACAAGTTCGGGGGAAAGTTCACCGGGTCGCTTCTCCTTGAGAGATGTCTCAAATTCTTTCCCTTCATAATACCTGGCGAGTATAGAAGAACAGTTAGTTGAACGTCAATTTTAACTGCGGGTGCTCATACACTTCACCGAACAACGTCAAGGGGGGCTTTGTCTGGTACTTGAAGAATGCGTCATGTAGTTTTTGGTAGTCAATGTCCATTTTACCCATTTTTGGCTGCACTCTCTCACGGGTCTTTGCCTTTAACGACATATTGGCCTCCTTTTCCTTGATCGCATCCCGCATGGTTCCAATGCCAGTGTCGGCAATGAACGCGGGGAGTTGAAAGGGTGCTTTCTCTATACCGCGTTTCCCCTGAAGGTAGTCCCGTTTGGCACTCCAATGCTGCGGGATAGGAATAGAATTTCTTGTGCTTTTGAGATGTAGCAATAGTCGAGGGTCCAAGGCAGACACATCTGTCCATTCAACAACTTCTGGTTTCTTCACAAGTTGCTTCAGTTCAGCAACGGATAGCCGATTTGCCTTCCGCTGTTTTTTCTTGGATAGGGGTTTTGGTGCCTCGGCGTCAGATCCTTCATCCGATTCCTGCTCCTCGTCTGAGTAGATAATTTCGCCTTTGGATGGCTCCTCAACCACATCCTAAAGTATTCCAATTCTAACGAAAAGTATGCAAAGAAAGTGGAGCCACGTACGGAATATTCTTGAGATGCTGCCTGAAAGCGCGCAAAGACATTGGAGAATGCTTCGATGCCAGCAGCAGTGACATCCAACTGCTCAGGGACGTACTCTACATTTGTATCATCTCCCCTCCTCCTTTTGACAAGGGTATTTGAGATTTATCCTCCTAGGAGCTCATCTCAGCCAGCCTCAGGATCGCTTAATGTGATTATTCTGACCTCCATAATTTGGGTAGCCGCCTTCTTCTCCTTGGCTTTAGCACGCCGTAAAGCAGCCTTATTCTTTATCTTTTTATTCCCGTTCATGATTGAATGGCCATTCGTAAGGGAGACAGGAGCACGAGCAGAAGCAACTTCAGCCATCACGGGCGATTGAGCACTTGGAGTTTATGCACCGACTTTCGACGGCAACTCGCGGCCACCAAAATAGGGGACTGGCTCGTGACCAGTATTGAATTTATTGTGTTCGACACCCTCATGACTAGAGTGCTTGCGACGCTTCGCTAGGCAGGACTCCAGCCTCTATGACGCCACTCTGCACACACTGTGTTACCTGCTCGATTTGAATCAAGTCATGCCCATTCGTATCTTCAGTCCCATATCGCCAGCCAATAATTTTTTGGGTGCGTCGCGCATTTTGTTACAAGAGCAAGAAAACAAAAAGGAAACAAAAAACAAAGAAAACAAGATATGGCGAATGCCAGGGCTCCTTGCGGACAGTTTTCATATTATTGGCAGTTTCGCATCCAGGAGACGAAGCAGAGCGGGGGAACAGGCTCTTGGTGCAGTGGATCCCAGATCCGTTTTGACTGTTGGTCCTTGACACGGAGTGATGCTGCTATGCAAAGTAATTAGTGGCTACGTTCGAGCGCTTGAATTCGACACTCCAACGCTCGCAACTTCCTGTGGAAACTCTTCAATCTCTGCTGTGAACCGCCAGCTCGTCAATCCCGTCGAACATCTGGAGACTCTGGATGCGAACCGTGCTGAGCCCACAAAGAATGTGAAGGACACTCGAACCAAAGTTCAATATCTGAATTCTTACTGAACTTCCCCGAAGAATACTATACTCCTCTATTTGCCCATATAAGCGCTCCCTCAACATGTGGGCTGTCCCCATCAGTCGTCTCAGCTATTAGACCTCACTATAACTTTTGAAGCCTGCCGGTATGGCCCACTGAAATTGACTGGTATACACCTAAGCGAAGGAAACGAGCGATACTATTCCGAGTCCCGGATAGCCTGGCGACTTTTATAGGCAAAACATTGTCTTCCCCTCCGAGAAAGGCTGCTGATGTTCCGTAGCTTTCTGGCCACTGCGAATCCGACATGTGTTTCGACTGAGCCTGTCCTCCTAACTCTGCACGCTGCAATCCCGCGGCCCATCGCTTCCCCTACACCAAAAATTGCAAATCCAAGCTGCCGTCTTCCTAGCCTTCACCAGATCACTCTCATATTAGACAATTGCTAAATACTAAGCCGCCTCGTGCACCGTTCCTACTTCTAAAACGCCTCGCATACACATCAACATAGTTCTTCACCAAGCCATGACCGCAACGCAAAATGAATTACCAAAAACCTTGCTTGGTCCATGCCAAACCAATCGGTCTCAGACATAACATTTATTTGTGTTGATTGTGATTAATCAAGTATACGATGTGTAAACCATAGAGAATTTGGTATGGATGGTTATGTCTTGCGAACACTGACCCTGGGCGGCTTTCGAAAGGATGCCTGTGAAGTCTTTGCGGCCAGATTTCTCACCCTCTCTCGCAGCTTGTCCGCCTCAATAGATCTCTCCCAAATCTGGTAATGCGGACTCTTCTTCTGGGGCAGCCACGAACCAGGGCTTTGGTTGACAGCTGATAGATCAACGACACGAGGTGAAGAATTGAAGCTAAGGACTTCACGATATAGAAGCTTCGTTGCCGTGTTGAGCGTCCTGAGCGAGGGAGGATCATCCGACTCGATAACGTCGATACTATCGATACGCTCAGGCTCCGATTCCTCATCACTGGAGCTCTCATAGGATGACTCCAAATCAGGCAACGGTGGTAACGCATAGATCTCCTTGAGTAGATCTTGACCTTTAAGGTACGAGTTCTCCGACCGGAGGAACTTAACGGCACCCCGAAGAGATTCAATCTAAAGGGGAGTTTGAGGCAAGAAAAACCCTGTAATTCGGAACCTTCTCACCTGCTCGAGGAGGTATGACGTCTCCAAATTGCCTTCGACTACAGGTTGCTCTATGAGCTCATTGACAGGTACCGCGTTGGCTAGATTGGTAATGAGAAGATCTCTTGACACAATGTCGGTTCAACGTACCGGGACGCTCGACAGCGTTTGCGGGACTATTCTTGAGTTTGGCGTAATCTTGTTCGAGACTATCGAGATCCGCTTGCATTTGCTCCATCGCCTCTTCATACGCCCGCTCCTGCTTCCGAGCCTTGGCCAGTTCTGTCTCGAGCTCGGAAATTGCATCGACCTGAAGAGAATCATTTACGGCGGTTACTTTTAGAAATGGCTATACTAACATGTTTCTTAACGGTTTCATTGCGACGTTCCATCAATTCAATCTTAACAGTGGCTTCCTGGAGAGCTTGGTCCTAGAATACGGTAAAGCTGAGTTCGCTGAGGGATTCAAGAGGCTCAGACCCACTCTAGCTCGAATTGCACGGACGAGGCTCTGAAGTTCCTCATTGAGCTGTGTAACCCTGTGTTGTGCCTCGAGGTCGACAGCAGCAGCAGCTTTGACCTCCGTGACTCGCAGTGTCCACGGTGCTTCCCCAGTTACTGATAATTGGTTATGAGTGCTATAGAAAGGGCGCACGATTCCAAACGCACTTTTCACAACTTGGCCGCCCTCCATCGCGACAGGGAGAAAATTAGTAGCGTCTCCAGTCAAATTGGCAATAAGATCTTTAACAGAAGTCCACGACGAGGAATCCTTGGCACCGATGGCCGTCGAAGAGATTTCTCTGACAGCAGCAAGGATTGAAGAAAGTTGGAAAGTCGTTTTGTTGGCTCGGACGTCTGTAATATAGCCATTGACCCGTTGAGCGAGCTGACATCGAGCGAATGGTTAGTTCATGGCAACTGTGGAGATCAGACTTGTGAACCTGGATGCCGAAGTCAATCGCTTTAGACGTAGCATTGGCGAAAGATGCTAGCTGCATAAGCGAGCTTTCTGCCAAAGCTGCTGACTCTCCGATGAGATCGTCGATCCGTTTCGAAATTTTCCTAAGAAATCATGAGTTTTGTATGTCATCCCATGAATGTGTTTGTACCTTGTAGCCATCTTGGCGCCCTTGCAAGAATCGAGAACACTGTTCATTGGCATAAGCATTGACGCAGTAGGGTCCAGATCTCCAGTCTCGATCATAATTTCTGTGCGCTGATCAGAACACCACCGATTTGCGTCCGGAAAATACTCGCCTTCATCATTCAGTACTCCTTCAAGGTAACTCTTCGTTAACGCCATGGCAGCCAAGAACGAATCGAGGTCATGTTCTACAGAAACTATACGGGATAATTCGCGCTCTCCCAAATCAAACAAGTAGCCGGAGAAGTACGACTCAGCAAGATGGTCGAAGTGTCCAACCATCCTGAAAGTAATTAGAGAGTGTCATCATCTCATCACGGTACTCACTTTTGCAAATCACTGCCGCATTCCAGAAACCTGAACTCATCCCGGCGTAGAGTATCGATATGGATATCAAGTCGTCTTTCCATTGGTGCAACCTCAGGATAAAGTTTTCCAATGTTGAGATAAAACTCGGGATTGCATCTTTTCAACACCGCAGCGAATCTCTTGCACAAAGACGAAACATGTGCTGCTATACTCCGCATCTAGGCCGCCTCACTGCATCAGTTACAATCTCAAAAAGCTGAGAAGGATCCACACCTCGCAGACACCAACTAAACTGCTATCTGTGATATCGCCAAACAGGCTTTCGGGGAAGTTGTATGATTGCCCAACTAGGGTATTGATGAGGTCAATCTTGTACGAAAGTCGCTGGAAAAGCATATAACACTGAGCAGCATCTCTGTCAGAGTCAAGATATGCTTGTGGAAGGTATGGCTGCGATGCAAATGCATTGGGTTATACGGTATCCGGATAATGCACGAGACAACACACCTGAACGATACTGAGCATCTCACGGGCCTGGGCAGTATCTAAATGTTTAATTTCTAAATCAATAGTCTTCGCCTGGTTCTTGATAGCGGTAGATTGCAATTTCTTCGACAGTGTGAGAGCTGCAGCAGCTTGATTCGCCTGGGTCTGAGATTCCATCCGATGTGTCTGGCTGAGCTCACGAGCCACATCCAACTCTCTGCGTGCAAACCCATCAGTCCCTCAGATTAGGAAACATGACGGCAGAAGTGTCACGAACCCCTGCAAGCCTGTAACAACTTCACGGAATTGCATGATGGTATTCTCGTAGTCTGCGAGGGATTCCTGAAAAGTCTCGATTGCTCGAAGTTGATTGTGAATTTGTAGGTCTTTCTCGTCTGCAAAATGAGATAGGTACTGTTAGCAGGACACCGGTTCAAGTGGTGGTGAAACCGACCAATCTCCTCTTGCATTGCCTTCCCTGCTGCAACGTGGTTCTCTTCAATCTCATCGCTCAGTTCCTTAAGGGCTTCGAGTTCTTCCACTGTGACACGCAATTCCTCCATTCTCTAAACAGATTCTTTAAGTTGGATCACACTAGCGACTTTACCCACCACTGACCTCACGCATGATTAAATTGCGCTCCGTAAGCTGGACTACCATCTCCTCAGAACCAAGAGCGTCATCTAATTGACCCTTCAAGTCGTCGATCTGGTTTTCTGCTGCCTCTAACTGGGTAAGAGCTTGTTCGTAACTCGCTTTTAAGAATGCATTAGAATCTTTGGATAGTAACAGACGAACGATTCCGACTTACATTGGATCTCATCCGCAACACCCAATTCGCGGGTAAGATCAGTGATTTCACGATGATATTCTTCTTCTTTTTCGTGGAGAACATCCCGAAGCCTAATTCCAAGCGGGAGAAATAAGCGGGGCCCAATAGGATTTTCAACGAGTCGGCTTACTTGACAAGGGCCTCCTTCAATCTCGCATTCTGCTTCTCCAACTGAATATAATCTAGTGTTGTACGACCTCCAACTTCATCTTCGGCGCCAGAAAGTGGCTTAGCAGCCAATTCCCGCTCCTGCTTCAACGCCTCTAATTCGATCTCTAATTCCGCCCTCTTTTCCACTTCCGCCTCCTTAGCTGCCGCCGCGTTCTCAGCCTTTTCTTCGGCCATTTCCCTGTCCAATGTGGCCATCTCCAAGAGATCCGTTTGCTCAGTAAGCTTGGCGTTCAAGCTATCCACTTCAGCCTTGAGCTCGGAGATCTCAAGTTTGTACGCATTAACTTCGGATGTGAGGGATTGAAGCTTGGCCTGGAGTCTAGGTCGGACAGCGAAGAATGCGTCTGCTTCCGTTAAACGATTCTCGAGGGACTGCATCGTTTGGGCATCCGCAGCGCGTTTGGACTCAAGTACGCGAATCTTGGCACGGAGTTCTTGAGAGTCATCGGTGTGAGTTGTGGAGTGAGTAACTGCAGGGGAAACAGGGGGAGGCTGGAGAGTATCCGGCTCCTTGAAAATCGGAGACCCCGTAAGTCCCTGAGATACTGACGGGGGGGCGAGTAATTCGGTGGGAGACTGCTGTGAAACGGGTCGGAGAGGTGGTAAGTGTTGTAAGACATTACGAGGCGATGGTGGTCGTTGCGACAAGGGTTTTGGTGATGATGTTTGTTGAGAAATGGGCATGGGTGACGGGGAGTGTTCAGAAATAGCTCGTGAAATTGGTGATGAAGGTGCTCGGATAGGAGAGGATTTGATCGGCGTCCCGTTGGGGATACTGACCAATCTGTCGGAAGAAAGTGCGGCCGATATGGAGCCACCAGCCGCTGAAAGATCTATGGAGTTACGAGGTGTTGTTCTACCGCGAGGTGCAAGTATCCGGGAGGTCGATGATCTCAGATTGTTTGGCGGTTTGATGGCATTCCCACTACGTGGAGGGCTCAGCGTTGGTGCTGTTGTAGACTGAGTGAGACGGGTAGGCACAGATGGAGCATGACTTGCGGTTGGTTTATTTGGACTTGTGGCTCGCTCGGAAGTAGCAGGACTAAGGCGCTTCCCAGTATTCCGGACTGTAGGAGTGGGGAAACCATCCGGCATCCGGGAAGGACTGGCGCGTGAGGAAGGGGCAGGGCTCTTTATATATCGGTTAGACACCATATAATTCTCGCTCATTGCAGAATGACAGGCGTACCGGAGGAGTTTTGAGGAGTTTTGCCTGCCTGCTCTTACGAATACACCGTACAATGGAGCACATTCAAAATATCTTACTCCCTGAACTGAGCCATCGTTCTTTCCGCGCGGCTCAGAGAGTTCAACACCAACCCATTTACCTGGCGCGAAATTCGTGGCCCCACTATAACGCACATAACCAGTTCCTGTGCTGGTTTCAACAAAAGCACCCACAGGTATGTCCTCCGCAGCCGGAGGCATTGGCGAATTTCAACCCAGCGCGTGTTAATAGCAATACTCGGGCTTGTGACGCGATGGATTCATCGAGGTGGTTGACGAGTGTATACGCCGGAGCCGTGCAAGGAAATTGCCGACCACCGACTTCGTTCTCACCACTTTGCTGTGGAACAAGGCATGTTAGTTTGGTAATTTGGAGTCCTAGACCGCGGCTTTACTTATAGTCGGATGGTCATTTCATCCCAGAATGTTTGGACTCCGACCCTGGCCAACACCGGTGAGCCAGCGCGCAGTCGCTTCGACAGTGGATCTTGCTCCGAACTACCAACTTACACGACTCATAGATACTTAGGCCTATGTGGCCCTTCTTCGCAGCCACCATCATCACCACCTATGGCATTGTTAAGATGCAGAACTCGCTTGTTGGTGGTATGTCATAAATCAAACCCTACTTGGACGGGAATTGACGGATATTTTCACTAGTGGAACCTCACGCCTCAAATCCCAAAAACCCCTACGCTGCGAAAGTTGCCGCTGAGAAGGCTCATCACTAGAGGTATCAGCTTTTGTCAGATGTAATGTGTCGGCGCAATAGAAAGCAAATTAGTCGAGATCCCGCTCAATGTTAATAGTTGTTATAACTTTCATTCCGCTCTCCCACCAAATCACTAGGGTGAACGTTGATCAACAGAGCCCAACTGCCTAATCATGGTGGTCAAACTTAATGCGTGCACCTGTCAACAAAGTCCACAAAGTCACAGGGTTTTCATTTGTTCCTAAGGTGCAAGAACTGGGCGAGTCAACCTTGCACTGCCATCTATGTCATTGTAGCGAGATGCAACACATGCGATACGCAACATCCTTGCCCAACCCCACAATGGGATATGGACAGTGAAACTGGTTGTTGCGCGTAGCAGAATGCCCACGACACGGCATCCTCCCCGATCGTGCCGTCATAGTTTTTTTTTTTTTCCAATCCCGTTTGCCCCACAATGTCGCCTACGCTGAAAACTAAAGGAAAGGAATCCGGGACTGCGCGTGTATTAGGCTCTGGTGCTTCCGGTCTGTGAGATTTAACCCAGTGTATGCGGGACGAGGGATTCACGAAAATGACTGGAATTTTGCCATGTAGGCGTTGCCGAGCTGCTCGTGTTCCACCCCGTGGATACGATTGCGAAGCGACTGATGAGTAACAAGGCAAAGGCGCGTCCAGTTCCGTTTGATTCGCAAACCCTCCGATGATACTTGACGCATAAGTCACATTCAGGTTTCATTAAGTGCCCTTGGCCCAATAATCTTCCGCGAACATGCGAACGCGCCCATCTTTAAACGTGCTTTGTCTCTGTTCCCGGGGCTAGGATATGCAGCAGGCTACAAGGTGTCCCAACGGATATACAAGTTCGGCGGGCAACCGTGGTTCAACGACTTACTCGTCACGAACTACAAAACTCAGTTCACAAACGCCTTTGGCGAAAAGAAGGGAAAACTGATGATGCAGGCCACAGCAGGAAGGTATTTTTTTTTTTCAATCTTCGCCTCTCCTCGTACGATACCAGACTTATGGTCGATTTCGACTCCAAGCCTGACTGGAATCGGTGAAGTCGTAAGTTTTATATGCAATCCATTGAGCACTCCCTCCCTCACGGATGTCTCCCAACATCTGCCAGCTTCTTCTGCCTCTGGACGTGCTCAAGATCAAGCGCCAAGTGAACCCAGAAGCCTTTAGAGGAAGAGGACTCCTCAGGATTGTTACCGAGGAGGGGACATCGCTGTACCGAGGGTGGGGCTGGACGATGGCCCGAAACGCCCCCGGGAGTTTTGCGGTATGATTTATTCCTACTCCGTTGGGCACTCCCCGACGCGTGCCTGCGTGGCTAATATAATCTCCACACAGCTATTCGGGGCGTCGGCATTTACGAAAGAAGTTGTCCTTGGCATAGAGGATTACTCGAAGGCAACATGGGTCCAAAATTTCGTTGCATCCGTGGCAGGTGCTGTTGCATCCATCACCATCGCTGCTCCACTCGACGTTATCAAGACCCGTATTCAAAACGCTAACTTTGAGAGTAAAGTTAGCGGCGTAACGGTTCTTAAGGAATTGTTGAAGAACGAGGGGCCCTCGGCATTATTCAAAGGATTAACACCCAAGGCAAGTCGTTTCGACGTGAAATCAGATGAAGCGTTTATAGTCCATTTCTGGATAGATATTGGTTGTTGGGCCAAAACTCGTTTTTAGTTATACACTGGCACAGACCCTCATACCAATGTTTGGGAAATATGTCTAGACTTTTGACAAGCTGTTGCCTGCTCATTGGGGTAGTACTCCATCTTCCCATTTGGCAACACCTACAGTCCATGTTTCGGCAGGAGGGATACCCATAGATTTAGATGCTTGTGCTTCGCCCTTCCCCAGCTCAACATGAAAAGTACCTCACCGTTGTAATGTTAGTCAAATTCTACCTCCCTGAATAACTGTTCCCAAGACTTCAAGTCCCTCCGGTCAATTTCGTCTGAATGGGTCGTAAGCACTGGCTATTTTGATCCATCCAAAGCTCAACCCTGCATGTCGCGAATATGCCGCAAGCCACTGGTCATGAGCTCGACTGATTCTAGATTTAATCGGCCACCGCTGGACTGTGTGGTCCAGGCACAGCACTTCTGCCTTGCTTCGACAACTCGCTAGGTTTGGCCACATGATAAACAGAGGGATTTACACAATTAAACGCAATAATAGAGGACCTCTTTGCACGGCAATTCAATCTAAACCCACAGGACCCGCTGCGCAGCAGCGGGAATTACCATCGAAGCACCTAATGTTTCTGTGCTGCAGCTTCTATTCTCGAGCAGGAACCAATCTCCCCGGGACAACATTATACCGCCGTCTCTCCTGTTGTGAAGGACACTGCTGGCCCTTCGACCGCAGAAGTAGTGCTTGACCCTTCTGGGCCCTTATTTGGTCCATTACTTCCATGGGGAATCCCGATCACTTCCCTTCCACGTACAACGATTCCAGAAGCCAATGCTATGGGTTCTCTCTCGGACAGGGGGAGAATAGGTCCATGAGCGTCATCCTCACAGTTGCCAAGAGTCCAATACTTCGAATACTGCAGGTAGCTGTAGAATGATGCCGCTGCAAGAGAGCCAATGATGGGGCCAATCCAAAACTAGTAATTTTGACGAAGTTAATATAATGGCTGACCCCGCAAAGATAACTGTAATCGACTCACAACCCAATGATCGTGTCTGAATCCCTCTACGACAGCGGGGCCAAAAGAGCGAGCAGCTGAGGTGAAAGCACGTCAAAGGTCAGGGTACGGTACACGGAAAGGCTCTGCAGGAGGTAACGTACGATTTAATCCAGTGCCGGTATAGTTTATGCTCACAATGTGGGCAATGTACAACGTTGCGGCAATGCCAATCTTTGGAATGGAGGCTGATGAGTATGCATGTTTTTCTAGAAATCTTATTAGCCACTTACCGGTGCTATGGTCTTCCCTGACAGAGCTCTCTTGTCCGTAGCCAAGACCAGAACGGCCAGAACTAGGCAAGCCGTCAAAACGATCTCTAGGAATAGACCCCGCGCATATCCGTAGCCAGGCGCGAGTGCCGTCTGGACATTGGTTGATCCAGGAAAGAATGCTTTTAACAGAGCAGCCGCAACTATGGCCCCTACCAGCTAATATCGGATGTCAGCACCTAGATCAGACGAGAAATAGCAATGTGGGAGTCGCACCTGAGCAATGCAGTAAAGCAAGAAGCGCCAGAATTTCATCGTGCCCAACACCCACAGAGCGAGTGAAATCGCTGGATTAAAGACCCCCCCAGTTACGCTGGAAATTCGGCGTCAACTCTAGCTCAAAGAGCGAATGTTTTGGGTCGGCTTACCGAAAGAAAATGGACACAAGTACAAAAACACTCAGACCAAAACTCCTAGAGCAATATTCTAATTGATCGAGCGAACCCGGGTCTCCCATCCGAGTAGCGATGCTGCTGGCTGTCTGACAGCCAAGAAAACTGAGGAACAAGAATCCCGTCGTTCCTAGGAATTCGAACAAGGATGCTCGTACATCCGATGAACTCGGTGACCCGAAATCAAAGCGTGGGGGAGAAAAGCACTTGAGGAAACGGTGCATGCTGATTGTATCGAACGGGTGGCGAAGAGAGGAAGTCGAAGATAAAATTTGAGAAGGGAAAGGACTCTAAGGCTGTCCGGTATGACCCTAGTCCGCCGATTTATACCACTTTGGTTTACCTTCATGATACATCTCAACCCCTCGGTCTCAGTGCAGAGACATTGTTTTGGGTCAAAGTGAGTCAAGACTGAGTAAGACTCACGTTGAGTCCGACGTCCGTATGAGGAATGTTCAAAAGTCGAGATTCGAGATTGAGTGACTAAACAGCTTCACTAAACGAATTGCTGCAGCAAAGTGAATCGTGTGAATGATTCATATTCAGAAACAATGGCATGAATGGAACGTGAAACTGTGTATTTTCTCAGTGGCTCAACGCAGACGGGAGACGCCAGGCCACAAAGTTTCCGGAGGTGATAGGGGTCGATGTCGCTGTGGATCTCGTACCAAAACAGCAGGAAGCGGCCCCCTTGAGAGGGACCGGAGGCGAAAAGCCCCGCCCAAGATATAAGCGAGAGTGATTAAAATCCTGACAGCGCTGACCACGGACACTAGCATGCGGATATCCTACAAGGATACAACGATCCATTTCTCACACGTACAAATGAGCGTGTAGTAGTCATGCACATAAACATCAACTACTCCCGGCAAGGGGGACAGGGGGTTCCCGACACTTTGTCGAGAATTAGGAGAACAGCTTGTTGCAATTAAGCTGAGCATCTCCCTCTTCGGGGTGAACGTGTGCAGGTCACACGCACAGGCCTCAGTTGACAAGTACTGAGCGTGGAAGTCGATCCGCCGATGGTCAATCACATCAAAGCCCTGGTCACGTCACAGCTGTCGCTGTGATTTTTCTAGAACTGTGTCCTGGCGTCCAGCACGCGTCAGCTTTTCGCATCTACCATTGAATACTTAGGAGTGCTACCCTTCCTTTCAGGGGTCGTCTACAGCCCCCTTAACCACACGTTTACTTGTTGGGGTTATCTTGCTGACCTGTGTCTTTGTCGACTAGCACATCGAGGCCGGCCGTCCTTAAGGCAACCCTTCTACATTCATGCACGAATAAGCCCGACTCGATATCTTTCTTCCTTTGTTCAAGCATTCTGTTGATGCAAGAGAGTCTGCTTCTGGAGCGTTCCAGCCAAGTTCCAGTCCCCCCATCATTGTGGCGAAGAGTCAGCTGAGATCATTTGTAATGATCACTCGGTTTTCCTACTTCGCCCGTGTAACTTAGAAACGTGCGTCCCATCTGATGGATGCCTGCTGTCAGCGTGTGAGAATGTCTAATGAAGTTTGGAGCCGTCGGCATCTTATATCGAACCGTGTAGCTGATCCGCACTCGCGTGCGCACAGTATTTCAGCCTCAGTTGCCCACTCCTTTGGGGGTTGAACTTGTGGGGCAGCAGTGGCGTAATCCGCAGTCATTGCACTCCGTAAATCATTGCAAATCTTATTGTATCACTATTGTCATCATTACGATCTTGTCCAGATCGGTATTCTGTCCTGGCTTAGATAGGTCCAATGATTCAAGCGAGCATCTCACTTCTAGAGATTAATCTTGTTCTTTCTACGACTCACTTCCAGCATACGCTGTACCATGTCCCACCATTACAGGAGCCAACCAATCAGCCCCAGGGCGTATTATCGTAATGCACCGCCTCAGGATCACCCCACAAAGGCTTCAGCATCATGGGGAGGCACAAGTACTTTTTCGCAGGACCAAGCTTACGGTCAAGAATTCGCCGTTGATAAGGACATTCAACATTACCCCTCCCCTAAACCCCCGGGTGACGCCATCATGACGCAGAAACGCAAAGTGTCCGGGGCGCTCCAATATGACGAAGTACCCGAGTCAAGAGACCCTCAATCCCGATCGAAGGAGAATAGCGAGACTCGATGGGTTCTCTTACAGCGCGAGGAAGCCCCAAGAGGCAGATCACCGACTGTGCGAGACAAGTGTGAGCTAGCTCAACTGTCTGATGGAAAGGTGATCTTCGAATGTTGATAAAACCATGGACAGGCGTGCACAAGCCAGACAACCACCAGAAAACCCATTCATGACAGATACACCTACCCATGTACGTCTACTTGCCCCATGATTTCCTACCCGCTTTCTCCTGGCTGATTTCCACCAGTACCGTCAACTGGGAAAGAACTCAGCCATTCATCCGCCAGGAGTACTGCTCATTCCGGGTTTTCGACGGCGTTCGTCGGTTGTGTAAACTTGAGCTAGACCCACATATTATTTTCTGATCACAACCCTCATGCGATAGTGCTCATAGAGGCGTACTGGGAACCCCTCGTTTGCTTCGACACATCGTAATAAGATTAAGTGAACTATCACAAATGCGGTCTCGGCCTACACTGCGAGTCCCTTGCAAAGCCAACGAGACCTGCACTAGTCCTGGCACACGAAAAACGGCGACCACCCAAGCAAGAGCCTAACATGCCGGAGGATCCAGCGCGGGTGAGAGCAAAAGGGGCAATGGACCAAGAACGTTTCATCGTTCTGTGGTTCCAGTAAAGATTCGACGTCAGAGCCTTGCTTCATGATGCCGCGTCATCTTGCTTCCGTGTTTATGAAGCTCACGGTTTCCACGCGTCGTATACTCGGCGGCCAGAACTAGAGAAATAATTTCACACAAAAGGCAATGTACCGTCTTGAAATGACGTACAGAAATGATCCTGCGAACTTGGCCTGTAAATAGTCCATATGGGACTGGCCCATATGAGTTGGAGTCGAGAGTGGCAGATTTGTTGTCTCCCTGTGTCCAGAAATGACCCTGTGGAACAACAGTGTGCATTGCTCTACGTTCTTCCAATCCAAATTCGTCCTCAGTTGCGACTTCAACTTCGACAATATCTCCCGGAAGTCCAATCAAGCGCTTGCAGACATGACGGCTGCGGTCCACAGGAGATATATAAGTGACTAGCGTGCCCCTCTCGATTCCAGATAATGGATCGGTGCAAAGTCGATGAGACACACGGTCGACGAGTATCCAGTCACCTGAGGAACGTAATGTGGGGAGCATCGAGGGACCTTGAGTCTAGGAGGATGGCGGAAACGATTGAGGTTTTCTTGACGCTCTTATTTATAATGCAATATCGTAGACGCGACGTACAGCTTTCAACGATCCGACGTGCGTGGTAAATAGATGCCATATAATAAACGTCTAAAAGGAGCAGAACGTGAGCAAAGTAGTATTGCAAAGCAAGAGTCATCCATACGTTTAGCAGTGCACCGTGGGGGCCCCGCAGGCGTGCTAGAAGAGTGCGGAAACGACCTGAAACGGATGCTTCTCAAATAATGATCTGGACGAGCGGGACCTGGACGAATACCTTGAGAAGGCATCGCTCCGGCAAGCGCCGAAGGTGGCGGGAAACGAAGTCGGCGGACACCTGCCATTGATTTATTATTGCACGCAGCATAGTGCTCGGCTTATGCAGAGAATTGAATCAACGTTGTGTCTATGTCTAATCTCTAACACTGAGCTTTACTGGTCGGGTGAAATGGTACTTGTTGATCCATGGAATTCTCTAGGCAAGGACTCCAGCCTCTATGACTTCGTAATATTAGATAGAGGGATTCTCTCGTCAGCCAAAAAATCCAGTTCATAGACATCCTAAAGAACTGTGGGGACAGATTATTGCACATGGAAAGGCCAATTATGTCAAGTGATGAACTTGGGCAGTCGTACCGGCGCGCTTTGAAATACTGTAATATAGGGAAAGCACGAAGAGTTGCTGGTTGGGCTGGGCTCAAAGCTTCCGCCGTTTCGGGTATCCTTCTCGGGGACCGCTGGCAGTAGCAGAGCTCTTCCGTTTCACGCTCTCTACCAGTGACTGGACGTCATTTCCATAATCATGGTGGGGATATGAAGGTTTTCTGGACTTTCGTTCTTCACCTGGAGCAACATCACGATTCTTTTGTTTTTGCTTTTGACGCTCCGCTCGTTCCTGAAGTAGGGCTTTCATTGCTCCAGTAGGTTTGAACCTGGTGATTCGCGACTCAGCACTGCATCGAAGTGAACTACTGGGGACTTACTGAGGATTTGTTGGGTCAATTGCAAACTCAGTCTCGTCATGCAGAGCCTTGAAACGATCATCCTTGACATCTATCACAAACTCTTCCCCAACCTCGAGTTCGCGCTCCGTTTTGTGTCCGCGCTTCTTGAATTTCTTCTTCCGCTTCGCGTTCTTCTCGGCCTCAAGGACGTCCTTCATACTGAAATGCTTGTGATCGTCGTCATCCACCAACTGTTCAGCATCCTGGAGAGATTCTGGAACTGCGTCGTCGCTATCCTTAGATGTCGCAAAAGAGCGCTCGTTGCCCTTAATGTTCGAGGTCTCGTATTTCGCGTCGTCACTGTTCGCTTCGTCCCCAAAGAAGTCATCACCTTCCACAGCCTTTGACCCGGGGGCTCCTTCGATGTCAGCAGCCCGCATGGCACCTCTCATCGCCCTTCTTTCGGCCTTCTTTTCGCGTTGACGACGCATATAGCGTTCTAGTGTAGTCTGGCTGGCTTCATCACTGTTGACATTGGCACTTGCCGAAAGCCCCGGGGCAAAAGTAACACTTATTTCGTCTTTGTTGGAATACGCATTGTCACCCCATCCTTCAGGAAGTTCGTCAACGTTTGATGGATCAAGAAGGAGCGCCCGCAGAGCCGAAGCTGAGTGTTTTGCTTTCTTCGACTTCGGCTTGTTTCCCAATTCGTCTGGAGAAGTGTCTGGATTCCCTGCATTGGTGACGACATTCCCATCCGGTTCAGCCTCTGAGTCTTCACTCGATGAACTTGAAGCGATGAAGGCACGGAAGTCTTGCTCTTCAATTTCTTGTTTAGTCAATCTTCGGCGCGTGAGCATAACCCGATCGGGGTCATCGCCATCCCATGTAAGCCTGACCTTGGAATGCCGTAAAGCCTGGTATATCACGGGAATCAGTGTTTAATGGAGCGAAACGGACAGACTTAGAATGAATGACATACATCGGTAGAAAAATCCAATTTTCTCAGCACTGAAGGTTCTTCTGTGCACTCATCCCTACAGAGCGAACTGAGTGCCGATATCACCATGTACTGAAATCTCGCTCACCGAAAATCGTTGTCAAACACCAGATCATCCGGAACATAGCTCATATCGAAGATGTTGGCCGATCTTTCCAGCTCTGTGCCGTCAAGCTGCTCATAAACATGCTGAGCAGTGGAAGGGGAATCAAACTCTCCGATAGCATAATAATACCTTGGGGATGAGCAAATGTCAATAGAGATGGACAGATCAAGGAATCCGCACATACCGTAACCGTTGTAACTGATATCTTCGCACCGCCTCGTTATCATATTCGCCTTCGCCTTTATCTGCATCCCCAATTTCATAGATGTTTTCAGCGTTCACATCTTCTGGTTCCTGAAGTTCATCTGCACGCTTCTTGAACAACTCTGGCGGTGGCCCTTCTTGCTCCTCTTTCATAATTCGTTCCTTCCCAAATTCGGAGGGATATACTCGAACTCGTTCCACGCGGGCTGCGTGCCGAGAAGAGGAGGCGGCATACTGTGAGACGACTGAATTGAATATTCTGAACAAGTCGCTAGAACGGACATGATCCCAATCGATATTGACAAGAGCGAGGCGGGAAGTCTTTTGGACAGTTTGGGAATTGGGTTCTTCGTCAGCAGCTCTCGATTTTGAGTAGGCCAACGCTTGTGCATCCAAGTCTGCATATTCGGTTTCATCCAGGTCAACTTCCGGTAACTCATCGTCACTGCCTTCCCCGCTGCCTTTAGGAGAGATGGGGTGCTTTGATCGGGATGACGCTGGGCCAAGCCTAACCTCATCAGGTAGCTCCTCTTCTGAGTCTGGTTCATCAGGTCCCGGTGTAGGCTGGACTCGGAAGTCGTCTTCGTCGGAGCTCTCCATGAGGGCTATACCGCGAGCGTAGTCCGCTGGTTCACTCGTCGTGGCACCTTCGTCCTCCTCTTTGCTTCCCTTAACTTTTCGCAGCTTGTAAAACTGCCTCATGTCATCTCTCTTCTTGTTTCTTGATACCGGTCTTCCATACTTGTCCACAATTGCTGAAGCGAATACAAATTTGACTATTGCAGCATAAGTGTGGGGACTGGCTAACCTTTTCCTTTCTTCTTTTGTTTGTGATCTTCATCATTAAAGATACCTTTGAACCGTTCATCGATGACAACTTTAAACTTCGCCTTATTGGGCCTTTTGAACCGTGGGTCGGTTTTCAGGCGAGCAAAGCGGGGATCCGATGACATTTTGGAAAGCGAGGGCCACAACTCTTCAGCATTACTTTCCCACGATCACGCTGTCAAGTGTCCAAATCATCCAGTTGCACTGATGAGTGGCTTCTATGTCAGTTACCGCAACGTTGACAAGCCAACATAGCTGTGAGTTGTGAGCGCAGCAATGATGAGTTAAGCTTTAGGGTGATGGTTGCTCGCTGGAGATCGGAATGAATAGCTATTGGTCTCCTTCGCTACCTCACTGGAGGCGTATAAAGGCGCAGACAACGATCCCATCTCGCCCAAACCCTTTCCTCCCCCTGGTGGTGGTGGTTTTTTCTCTTATCGATACTTCTAAGGACCGCGGCGCGGTCTTCTACGGCTTGACGCTCTTCATTTAACGACATTCATCCCCGTTCAGAAGCGCTCTAGCCTCCTTCCTGTTGAACAATGGTCTCGCTCAAGATATTTAGTCTAGTCGCTCTGCTGGTCGGAAGTTCGTTTGCTGCTCCCAACCTTCCTCTTCCGCTTCAAGTAGGCACATGAGGTCCTTATTCTTCAGATATCAATTGTTCAGTTCTTTATAGGAGCGCAAAGATGAAGCGTCCGGATCCATTCTGGTCAGGACTCTCGATGTGCCCGCAGTAGAGCGTGGCGTGAAATTCATCCAGAGACGGATTCCCGAGACGTCCATCACCGACATCGAGTCACCGTTAGTGAACTTTCTTCTCGTATAGGTCTTGTCGATATTAACCACTATTATCGCAAATAGTGGCGGCGTGATGCTCAGGGATAGTGGTGCAAGAAAGTGGCTGGCAATGGAGACTGATCTTACCATGTAAGGGTCCCGCCGGGATTTCTGCGCCATAGGCCAACATTGACTATGACATCTAGTGATGAGTCAGCCGTTCCTGGAGGTCAGAACAAGCGGCAACTCCCAGACACCAACCCCACAATGGCGAAGTAAGAGATTTTCCTCTTGCATGCAGACATATTTCTAATCTGGCTTGTAGCGGTGGTGATCCTGTGCCCTTTGCGAACGGGGGCGCTATGAAGGCAAAACGTGACGTTAAAGCTCCGCCCCGCATTCGGTAGGTCCTACCATCCCAATCAATCGGGGCTTTCGCCGGTTCTCACCCTCGCGTGGTCAGTTACATCAAGGCCACCTACCCGTTCGGAGGTCCCAAGCGAAGGTCGCCGCCAAGAATTGGGAAATCCCGTCTGGGGGAAAGACGCGGCTAGTCTGGATTATTTTCACTTTGAACTGGGATCTCCCGGTCCTGGCATGTACATACCAATCCGCCTTGTACTTTCTCGTATGTAGTCACCAGATTCGTCCCCCCGTGACCTGTAATGTCACACCATGGAATCTAACCGAGTCATGATGCGAAAATTTTCAAAGCCTAGTCCGATCTAAAAGTCCCGCATTAACTTTTCATCGTATCCCCCTTCACCTGTCTAGCTTATCTTAATATTATTCGAGAAGATTGCGTTAGCCCCCTGAGTTCACAATGGTGAGTCGATGCGCATAGAGGCACCGATCCAAATGATCGATCATTCTTCCCTCGTTTCTTCTAATCGCCGTCGAACCGTCCGCAACATGGATAGACTTTATCCCTTGATGAACAGGCTATCCGCGAGGGCTCGGCTGCATCGATTGTCCCCACACTTGCTTCTATCAAGGCCCAACGGAATGGATCCGCTCCGCACGAGACAGTGAATGGGCCGAGCAACAACACGAATGGGACCTTCAATGTAGGTACTACATATTTCTCCCTTAGCCTTCGATGGCTGATAGATTTTATTACATTAGGTTAAAGCTGGGCTTGCTCAGATGCTCAAGGTCTGCCTATATAGCATTGTCTCGTATTGGCAGCTAATCGTCTTCGGGAAAATAAGGGGGGTGTCATTATGGACGTCGTCAATGCCCAGCAAGTGAGTACTTTTGCTTCCCTCAACAATGAACTACAACCAATTGAACGGCCATGTACCCAGGCTCGTATTGCGGAAGAAGCAGGCGCTTGTGCCGTGATGGCATTGGAGCGTGTCCCAGCGGATATTCGGGCTACTGGTGGTGTTGCGCGTATGGTACGTTTGGAAACATTGTCCCAACATGATTCCGCTCAACGCAGTATTCTGTCATCCACCAGAGCGACCCTAAGCTCATAAAGGAAATCATCGAAGCTGTCACGATTCCTGTGATGGCCAAAGTCCGGATCGGTCACTTCGTGGAAGCCCAAATTATCCAGGCTATTGGAGCCGACTATATCGACGAGTCCGAAGTGCTCACCCCTGCTGACGAAGAGGTCTGTCCCTTTGTCCATAATCCAACGCAACTTGACCGGGGCGTTGCTTCTGAACACTTGTGGTCATCAGCATCATATCAATAAGCACGATTTTCGCATTCCTTTCGTCTGTGGCGCTACTAGTTTGGGTGAGGCTTTAAGACGCATTTCCGAGGGAGCAGCAATGATTCGCACCAAGGGAGAAGCGGGGACGGGGAATGTTCTGGAGGCAAGCGCCACTTTATTACTTTATCTCACTCCGTACAGAGAGCTTTCCATAGGCGGTCCGCCACGCGCGTTCCGTGAGCAAGGCTATTCGTCGTGCAGCCTCGCTGTCCCCTGAAGAGCTCTACTCTTATGCGAAAGAAATTGGTGCGCCGTACGAGCTACTAAAGGAGACTGCCAGGCTAGGAAGACTACCTGTGGTGAGCTTTGCGGCAGGGGGAGTCGCCACCCCTGCAGACGCCGCCATGATGATGCAATTGGGATGTGACGGAGGTGAGCAAGAAGCTATGAAGTGTTCAAGCTGACAGCGTCGATAAAAATTTTTGAATGTTTGGCAGTGTTCGTTGGATCTGGTATCTTTTTGGTGAGGCGGATGAGGATCTAGTCAACTGATGTCATCTCACTTTGTGTGTTTCTTTCCAGTCAGGCGACCCAGCTAAGCGCGCTCGCGCCATAGTTCAGGCAGTATGTGTGGTATTTAGGAGAAAAGTTATGGGTAGACTCAACCACATTCTCACTTGCATAGGTCACCCATTATAACGATCCCAAGGTACTAGCTGAAGTCTCGGAAGACCTTGGAGAGGCTATGGTAGGGCTTACCATGTGAGTGGTGATGCGCGCACCAATGGTGGGGTATGCTGACTTTTCAACGTGTGTAGTGACGACAATTTGAGAGGTGGACGGTTTGCGGGGCGGTAATATTACGGTTGTAGCAGGTGATTTGTCTGGGTGACTTGAGGTAGGATCACTTCGTGCCACAAGGCCTACCGGCATCCAGGATTTGATTAGACTGTGGTGAACCAATTTCCAGACACTTTGGTTAACATTAAGTACGGATTAACATAAAGCACGAGTACAAAAACGAATGAACTAAATGTAATGGCGGGAATCTAGAATTTGGGCCCTCGCTTCCGTCCAGTAAATTTGGAGTTTGTTGGTACACCCTCCTTCCCTCGTCGTCGATAGAGCTATAGGACACACTGATAAACAATAAAGAGCCTCGGAAAACAAGGACAACGTACCTCTTTTTTCCGAAGAATCCATTCCTTCGCTGTCTCCTTGGGTCCCTTCCTTTTCCCGCGCTCCTTCGTCCTAGCACGCTGCTTCTCAAAGATAACCTCTTTGTGGGTAGCATCTTCATACCCCGGCCCTTCCTCGCCGGTCAGCCCCTTGGGTAATTCCACATGGGCATTTGAATTTGTGCCACCCGTGAATAAACACAGGAAGAACTTCTTGGCTTTTTTCGAATTTGGATAATCGACAACAAGACCGCCGCGGAAACCGCACTTCATGGCGATGCTCATAATAAGCTCAACTTGGTCGTCAGATTGTGGATAGAATTGGAAAACAGCGCGAGAGCCTCCACAGAGTGACGCATGTAAAGAAGTAAAGAAACGTCTAAGCCGGAAGGGAGGAGACATGGTGGGAGAAGATGTTTCGGCATTGCATAGCCATTGGAGCACCGAGATACTGCGCAGCACTGTGAACATTTTCATCGTGAAACTGTCCAAGACGATGCTGACCTGATGGCTCCATCGAAGCTTCCCGGGCGAAAGCCAAGACCTTGACCTATATCTTGGAGAAACAGATCGCCTTCGACTTCACGCTCCAGCGCAACCTGAAGCATGCTGGGGGAGATATCCATGCCAACCCAAATGTGGCCTTCCTCTTCTAGTATTTCCCCACTGAGTCCAGAGCCACATCCAATATCAAGAAGCAATGCAGGCTTCCCGCGGGAAAGATTTAAAAGTTCCAGAGCCCTATCTGTCATCTGCGCCTGGATCTGTTGATTGCGAGTGCTGCATGGATATAAATCCAATTAAACGCATGGAAGTAGATGCCAAAAACTTACTTCGTCGTGTATTTTTTGGCGATGGCATCGTCGTAGTACTGTTGGATATAGTTAGCCCTAGAACATGAAAGCCCTTTGGGGGCCAGGATGATCTCACAATCTCTGGAGGTGCTTTGAGCTCAGGTCGGGTGGACATTTTGTCAAAATTCCTAACACGTGATTGTGCGCGCTCCCCGACTAAACAACCGCCAACAAGCCACAACCTGAGCTTGTCAAATATCGCGTGTTCTGGACGTCGATAAGAGAATGGCTCAAAAACAAGCGACGAGAAACTCCATCACGCTAAAAGGGTCAACACAAATTGTCACCGAGTTCTTCAACTTCGCAATCAACAGGTTCGTATCCCCTGTCATTGTTGCATTTATAAGTAACTCGTGTGGCTGAAATTCATCAGGTGTGAATTTTGGTCGTTCCACGCGCCACGCGTTTTCCTCACAGGAGCCATGCAGTATTCTCTACCATCGAGGGATTTATCCTGCTGATGACTTCCATACCGTCAAGAAGTATGGCCAGCCAGTATTACTCACAGAGGACCCAAATTTAGAAGCTTATTTATCCAATATTTTGAAGCAGGTAGAGAGTTCGTGTCATTGTTTGGGGGAATGACTCCAGCCTATAGCTGATTATTCTGCGCACCTATTCAGAGTGGCTCATGAACAAGAAAATCAATAAGCTCGTGCTTGTTGTCCTCAATGCAGCATCGAGAGTTGTCCTAGAGAGATGGGAGTTCGACATACACATAACGAAGCCTGAAATAGGAGAAGATGGTTCTGTGTGAGTTACCCGGGCTTCGTTGACGATCCAGTCTTTGAACGATCTTATTGAGTCCGACATGCTTCCTATTAGACCCGCAAAACCCGAGAAGGAGATCAGGGCAGAGATCCGTGCCATCCTAAAGCAAATCGTCGGGTCAAATGCGTACATGCCCACCTTATCCGACCCATGTATTTTCGACATCCTGGCCTATACCGAAGAAAATGCTGAAGTTCCCGTCGAAGAATGGCGTGACACTCATGGCCACCTGATTGAGGCTGGAAAGACGCAGACAGTTAAGCTCAAGAGCTTCGATACGAGCTTGCATAGGATAGATGCCATGGTGGCGTACCGTTATGAAGGCTGAAACGTGATCGGGCCATGTTACGTTTTGTGTTCTCCACTTGCATCGTATGGCAACTCAACCAGGAAATACACTCAGGCATTGTAAAAGATCGATACCTCAATGATAAAATGGCTGATTCACAATCAATATTTACGCTTTCTGAATACCTTCTTGGCGTTCGGCAATCCCGCTTCGTGTTGATCATCATCGCGGTCCATTGCATCCCGCTTACTCTCCCGTTTCCTCTTCCGACCTCCTTTTCCCCCTCCCTTCCCCTCCTCCTTTTCCTCCTTCATCTGCTTTGTCACTGCCCGCTGAGCCTCGCCCACTCGTTCCCTCAAGGCGGCTACCTCATCCTTATCTACAACCCATTCAGTCATTTTCTTCCCAGTGACACTTTCGATTCGCTGTAACAGCTCTACATCGTATTGGCTCACGAAGGTGATACTCTTTCCAGCACGTCCTGCTCTCGCTGTCCGCCCCACTCGGTGCACGTAGTCCTTAGAATGCTGTGGAATGTCATAGTTGAAAACAAAGTCGACTGACGGAATGTCAATACCACGAGACGCCACGTCCGTGGCAAAGAGGACGTTCCTTCCCCCAGAACGGAATTTTGTTAGAGCGGCGAGACGCGCGGCTTGATCGAGTTGACCATGAATGGGTATCGCAGACAACCCAAGACTTCGAACTAGCAGAGATAACCGCTGAGTGTCGTGAACAGTTCTTGTGAAGACAATAATAGGACTTTTCGCAAGCGTAGTAAGTAGATAAACGAGATGCACATCTTTTTGTGCGAAGGGGATGAATAAGTAGTGTTGAATAAGGTTTGATGCTGTCTGATACCTGGGCGTCATTCAGTTGACGGGAATAAAATAAGGGAGACTTGATTACGAACTTTGTAGAGGCCTCGATGCGCATGGGATTTCTCAGGCATGCATGCTGCAGCTTTGCAACTTTGGTCGTCATCGTTGCCGAAAAAAGGAAAGTGTGCCGCTCCATCGGAAGTGACACGACTAGCTTCTCGATAATGGGTCCAAAATCCAGATCCAAGAGTCTGTCTGCTTCATCGAGGACGAGATACTGGAGTGATCGCAACGAAAACCCCTTTGTTCGGCCTTCCAAATGATCCTGAAGGCGTCCTGGTGTGGCAATTATGATATGCGGCCGTTTTGTCAGGGAAATACTCTGTTCCATTATGTCCATACCGCCAATAATGACAGCACAGCGAACACCTATGGCGGAACCAAGGGCCTCAAACTGATTCGAGATCTGGTACGCAAGTTCGCTACGACAACGGTAAGAGAAGAGTAGGGGTGTGTCTGACGTGCACTCACCGCGTGGGGGCGAGGACACATGCGAAGTATGGTTTGGGATTATCCCAAAGCTTCTGCAAGATAGGAAGCGCAAAGGCTGCGGTTTTTCCAGAACCCTAGAGGGGAACAGTCGGTGAGGTGCCCATTGAAGCTCAAAATCCACACACACAGTCTCTGCTACACCAATGATATCCTTCCCACTCAATGCCGAAGGTATTGCTTTAGCCTGAATTTCCGTAGGTTGTGTGAACTTCAGTCCTTTCAAAGCCTCAAGCAATGGTGGAATGACTCCAAGGTCTTCAAAAGTTGTGGCAGAGTGTGCGGAAGTCTCTGTTTCCTCGGGTTCCTGTGTAGCACCATCCTCATGGTCACTCGCAGATTTAGGCGATGGGCTAGCAGACGTGGAGGCCTCTAAAGGTGAAGGCATCCTCAAAGTTATCGCAAAATTTGGAACTAAGCCGGGTATTCCCGAAGCCATGCGAAGTTCCGGGCAAACTCCGTAATTCAAAAAATCGCGTCCCAGAGTTTGTGCCATTGCTCACCCAATTCTTAACCAATCTCCATGATCCAACCTGCGTTGGACAGCGCCGAAGTAGGGAAATGCAGCCGCCACATAGGGTATAAATTAATTTAACAAGCGTCCCAAACCGAACAATTCCGAAAATACAGTCCAGTGAAGTAGCCAGCATCATGCATCCACCAAGCCTTTGACATTGGTTACAAGGTGGAACGAACCTCCGGTTTGGCAGAATTCTGCCTAACTGGAGGCTCGTGTCAAAGGCTTATATGAGTGTGAATAATATCTGAAGCAAAAAAGAGCCCTCCGCCTATTATAAGTATTTCCGAAATTATTCTGTTTGGGACACCTTTCAAATATTGATCTGTACCCTGTGCATGTAACATACATAGCTAGCTACATTTCTCTGTTCTCCTTGCGCGCTGCGGCTCACTGCTGGGTGGCCATCTAAAATTATCAGTGAAAGGACGAAATCGTTGGGATCCTTCAAGTAGGGATGGCCGGCAGTCTGAGTGATGGGCGGTCCCAGGCGCAGTGGAACGGGGAGACGAAAGGCTGTAGGCGGCAATGCTTGAGTTCTAAGCTCTATATTTGGCTGTAACCCGCACACGCGCTGGTCTGCTGGACTTTTCGCCATTCTGAGTGGCGTCGCAGTGATTCGAGCGCAAATCCTTCACAAATGGAAGTCAGGCCTCTGGAATTGGATGTAACCTGTGGAGTTAGATCGAAGGCAATGATCCAAAAAAAAATCATTGGCTTCACGGGCAGACCAGACCAAGAATTCGCTGAGCCACAAGCGCAAAAACCAGGTCCCTACCATTCAGGTTACGCAACTCGTCATATATTTGAATCCAAGGGGGTCGGCACACCGTTAGCTAGATGTTTACATGGGTATGATACGCAAATCGCGGACATTCAAAACCAGAGAAAGGGAGGGAAGTACATGCGCCAAGCATGGGGGTATCAAAAGACCTAGTGATCAGTTCACGATGCCCACAGGCAATGAGTGAGCTGCACGTATCGGAGACAGGCTCTGGGATCAAGAAAAGTGATTGCAAGTCATCACAACTCCATTGTGTCCAAACAATTGAGCAGGTAGATCGAGTAGCGAATATGTAGATTGTTGTTCAGGCTGCCAAGCGGAATCGCTCTAGCTTATATTTATACCCGCCGTCCCAGCTCATTTCGACGGGGCGTGAATGAAGATATTTGAAGGCCCGGAGACTGCAAACGTGCGATGTCGAAACGAGAACGTGAAAGCGCGTCTGCAACAACATTCTCTTTCCCAGGGATGTGAACCACCCGTACATCCACTTCGAAATCCATCATAACCTCCATCGCTCGCAGAAAAAGTAACACATATTTCGGCTTCGGCGAAAGAGAGTGGAAGTTGTCGACGGTGTTCATCGAGTCGGTGCGGATCAGCACGCGGCGAGGACGTTTTTTAGGAACGCTGGTAGCTGCCCATTCAATTGCTGACACAACGGCCAACGCCTCATTAAATAAAATCTCTCCGCATCGTATATCCGTCGCGTGGATTGGTGCCATGAAGGCTACATTGAGATCGGGGGTCCAGAAGGCTAAGCCGGACTCAGAGGCATCGGTCAACAAAGTGAGTTCGGCATCTGATTCATCCCAGGATCGGATTTGGAGGAAGTGAACTCCTTTTGATTGGGACACCCGTGTCGCAAACCATGAAAGATCCTCCACGGTATCGTCGTTAAGGGCAATGGTCGCCCCTGGCGGCAAGTCCGTTCCACTGATCGCTGCATATGATGATTGAAGGGCTGGTCGCAACAACGGATATGCACTAAGCGCCCAATTACAGTGCCCCAAAAGTTTCTGCCAGTGTCGCAGAGCATGACCCGAGGCTTCTCCAACAAAATCGCAAATGCCCTCGACCAGTGTGTTCCTTTCTTCATCAGGCATTGTAATTGTCATTGTGTCTAGGCTAACGTGCAAGCCAAGAATTGTCAAGTTCCGGCCATAGAGCTGCTTCTCTTTGTCGTGCGGAATCCCAACCTCGTCGAAAAGGCGCAAGAGCGCTGCTTGCTTGCAAGGGTACCAATGAGAATGTCGTTCGTAATAGACAAGTCGTTCGTCGGGGTCGAACGAAAATACGTCATCAACATAATGAAGTAACCCGGGTATCCCTTTAACGTGGACTCCAGCCCACAACACTAACGCGTAGAAGGCGCACCAGATCGCACCCGAAGCGCGGTTACCGAAGACACAGCAACGGTCAACGTGGTAAGATCCGTCTATCTGCGTAGCTTGGCGCACCTGCCAACGGGGATGACAAGGCAGTTGTCGATAAGCCGAACTCGCATCCGACTTGAAAAGCCATGCCGGCGCACGACCATGTTTGCGGTAGAATGCGATCAGCCATGTTACGAGATCGCTGAGGACATCGGGTTTAATCGAACACGCATCTGAGGGGATTGCCGCGTTTAGGGAATCTTGGCCTGCCGAATGATCGTTGATCAGGCGAAATTTGGAACCGCTGGCTTTGGGGACTGCAAAACATGGTTGTGCAATCATCCCCGGCAGAAGGTCTGAGCCAAATGGCTCTGAATATCGACCCAAAGCCACCTCGATATCCCTTTGAGTCCGTAAAAATTCCATGACTGGATGGCCAAATTTCTGACCTCTACGTTGGTTATCCAGTCCTCGCGGAACCGATACAAGCAGTTCCGCCATAGCAGAGGGCCAGAAACCCTCGCGGAAGCCCTTGATGACAGATGTCACAAACGGGCGGTTCGGATGCGACTCAAGAAGGGATTCCAGTTTGTCGGGGTCGACCGGAGTGACGACTTTGAAAAGACGGGGATACGACCTAATTGTCCGCGTAACATCCTCGTGCTCCAGGTCTCTTCTTGGAACATCAGGTAAAGGTGGCAGTATAAGGGTCGAGTCAACAGATGGTGTCGTCGGTTCTGACGATTCGTCCCAAATAAAATCTCGCCTGTACCGCGGATTCCGCACGAAAGACCTCCAATCTTTGAAGTGTTGGAGGCCCTCTGTGTTCTCCACGGGGCTTTCCACTGGACCGATATCACCGATGGAACGACTGATCGCCTTGACGCTGGTGGCCCTTCCTTTTCCTTTCTATGATCGTGTCGTCAGGACATATTCTGCGGACGGCTCCGCGGGTAATCTTACTGGAGAGGTCTTCCAAAAATCCGTACCCAGTAAGGAAGCGCCCGTGGCACTACTGGCGAGGGGATTACTATCATCATACAATGCCTGAAGACGCCTTGCGAAGGCTGCATCCGCCATGAACATTGCCTTACCGATGTTGAAGTGAGTCACAAAAAACAATGAAGGAATCATAGCCACATACGTCGGACGCAACGAGGGCGTCAATCAGGCGGCTAGTACTAGTATTTCCATCAGCTACCATGGGTGATGCATGGCTGAGATCCTCTTGTAAAAGCTTTGCGACTAGCACCGCACTACTCGCATCGATGGTCATGGTAAGTCGGTATGTGTAAGTCGACCACGTAGATAGCAGGTGCCTGGGGTTGGCTTGACACGGCTCCGGGTTTATCGACCAGGGGACCGAAGCACAAGAGAGCGTTTTCGCTGAAATTTAAACACCTCTTCGCTGCAACAAACACGCAAAGAGAACCAGCGATCGTGGAAGAGTCGACTAAGATATGATTGTCAGTGTGGGCGCCTTGATGCTCCCATTCAGTCGAACTGAATCCCGGGGAAGTTCATGAAATTAGGAATCCCTCTCTGAGAAAAGCTGCCTAACATCGCCCTACATCGCCTAAGGTAGACACTCCAACAAGTTAGCCCCTATCCAACCAAAGGGCACATCGCAATTATTCCATAGCGGCAATGATTTGCCTAGAGATTCTTTTCCATCAATGAGAAGCTACCCAAGAGACTTCTTGAGCCGCGAATTCACACATGTGCAAGCTGCAGTGCAGTGGTACCAATGGAAGCTCAGCAGTTTTCGTGTTGAACTTTGCTCCCACAAGGCGTGATAACAACGTCCCACCGATGACTGGTCTGGCGATCGACGGATGGCACCAAGAATCGTGGCATCCAGACTAAGCAGCCGGCTATGGAATCACCGGTCTCTCGACACCACGATAAGCAATCTATCTTGAGCCTATCAGACAGGCCCTTGACGGACAAGAGTATTAAATAACGTGGTTGACACCTCAAGTGTCTATCTCCCTTGATCTGACGGATAGTAATCCGGCTTACAATAACTAATCCGCATTCCGCAAAGTCTGCATCCCCTTCCAGTGCTCATTGAATCTAGAGACATCGGGAAGCAGAGCCCCATAGGACATCGATCATCCATGGGCCTTGCGTGTTTCGTGCAGGAGATCTTATTGGAGAGTTGGGCAGTGACGCCAAACTGGTATTTTCGTTTTCACCTCAGCCATCCCGGCTGAGGTGAGACACTCCAAAGTGAAGGCGGCACCTTGAGCCACGCGGCTTGTGACACTACCTTGCGCATGCCATACGAGATCGGTGGGGACAAGTCATTGACAAGGAGCAGCAAGAGTCACAAATCGATCCGAGAGTCTATTTTACATATTTTAGCACATCGCAGACCTTGGGAAATGGAAAAGCCTCCATAGGACGAAATTACCTTTATGCAACTGATGTATCAGTCACAGTGCAATGAATGTAGCCGTCCGTGTTCTGCGGTTACAATAGTGTTGGGAAACACTGGTGACACTTTCGGAAGCCCGCTGGTCTGAGAAGTTCTTCAACCTTCATACTGGTCGGAGGGATTTTCGACTACTATAAAACAAAAAGCCCTTGGACTGCAGGGCTTCACACTTAAAGAGCACATCAGGGGTGCAGCATAATTGTGAAGACACGGTTAGATGGTGCATTCACTGGGGTAGATCGAGGTCTTGAATTTCCCAAGGACCATTGTTCTTTCGGAGGCAGGACTACCATGTCGATATCCAATGCAGCATATCATAGCGGTCGGTCGTGATCCCAAAACGTTATGTCCGACTTGAGCCATTACCGTCTTGATGGTGAAAACGGTTCACATGGTGTCACGTGTGTGGCTCAGGCTGACCTTCACGTTTCAGGACAATATTGCGCTTTCGCTCTCTAGTCTGTCCCTGCAGCTCTCCTGGTGCCTGTTAGTGCATCATAGAAGGCTGAACATGAAAGCACAGAAGCCAACTTGAAAGGGGCCCTGGGTTTCTGAGAAGCTGGAGCAGGCGATCAGCAGGGAAAGGGGCCCGCAATCAACCCCGACAAATCTATCGGTCATCAAGCGGGAATTATTTAGCTTGATCGCTGACTTAGGTGAATAATATATGTCTTGATGTGTAGGTATTGTCTCTCCTTCACACTTGGCCTGGCTGCCGGGTCGACAGGAGATGTTCAGCGGCGTTGGCAATGGAGGTCGGCGGGCAGCCGTATCCGAGTAGTCGTCCAGTTTGATCCCACAGGGAGGCCGGCCAATCCTAAGACTTCTCAGACATTGAAATGGTGTCACCTCCAGTCATCTCACCATTACAATGTGATACGTCGGGAAAGGCGACTTATACATATGCCTTAATCGGAGCCGATGATCGTTCGTCTCGATTACGGCAAAAAATCAGGGAAACTAAGCTATGTGGATATGTATTTTGAAAGTATGTTCCGCGAGACTCGAGAGATCTGGGATTGCTCGGCTCGGGTATCTGATAGCTGAAGGAAAATAGTGCGCTGCGAATCATGATGGCCGGGGTGTGGATCCCTGGGATGCTAGAATGTACTTGATGTGGCTCGATGGCGACGTAGGCTGCGAGAACTTGGGCTCCTTGATGTGCCCAAACGACGATTTTTGGGAGGAATGTTTTGCTGGTGATTCGCATGGGACTTAGTTGAAGAATGAACATCCGTGTGCATAGCTACAGCACCGGCAATTTAGTTTATGGAACTACCCTCAGTTGCCCCTGTTACGTTCCTGATTGGGTCCTTGTCTGCAGCTCACGGATCCTCTTCACCTTTCGTATATTCTGCACTAGCTGCAGACGCACTTGCGTTGTAAATGCTTCGCGAAGTCCGTCAGATGCCCCTGCTTGTTAGGGCACTTGTACGTCTCTCATGATTCCAATTCTGCCGTCCAAGCCAGCATCTCAACTCACCTCCCTAACTATTCTTGATATTACATCACCATCATCGGAGTGCTGTTTCACGTCGCATTCCCTGCACGTACCTGTACAAATTGGAAATCAGCAACGCTCTTGGGAGTTCTTCCGCCGATCTTTAATCGACCATACGCGGCCAGCAACCAGACTTCCCAATATTCTGGGGCAAGAGCTGCCACAAATATTATATGGAATATTGACAATGACACCGCGCCATAACGTACTCGCATATTACGTGTATACTCAACTGCCTATACACACAAACCTCCCTTCACTCATGTTCATATATTCGCGGGGGCCAGCCGAAAATATCCCACCCTCCAAAGCCGAATGTGAGGTAGGACTCGTCTTATGATACTGTCCTGCTTTTTCATTTCTAAATGATATTGCAATCCACCACTTGATTTCACGACGTAATGTATCGGCATCGTGTTGTGAGAGCTTCGTCTCCGTTCGTCATTTTCCATCCCTCGCCCAAGTTGTTTCCTTTGACGTGTATACCGTCAAGGCACTGTAGTATAGTCCGACGCAGAGTGTTATACGTAATACTACTGTCTGGTGGGAATGTGCAGTGGATTATAGCAACATATGAAACAAGCATGAAGGAAATATAGCAATGCGAAAGAAAAAGGAGTGCGTGCAGGCAAACGGGAGGAACACGACGAGAGAGAAACGAAAAAGTAGCAAGGGGAGAAGTATAAGAGACGCGAGGCGTGGAAACAAAACCTGCAAGCTGGATACTAGTCGAGGGTGACGATTGAGGGATGATCGCAATATTTGCGTGCATGCAGAAGGGTATCTCCAAACCTAACCCAATGGATCGATATTATATGCTACACAATGAGAAGGAAAAAAAAGGAGTCATTAAAATCACGGCTGAAACTCGCAACAAACTATACGCAAGGTGAGAAGATACGGGAATGCAAGGTTGTTCGTTAGTTTTGTTTTTGTTTTTGTTTCTCGAACGATGGATGTATGGCGTTGCGATCGTGGGACCAAGGACCGACCAAAATTGAAAGATTAAACAAAGAAAATAGTGTTTTGACCTGAAAATGGAAAATGGGAGAACCACCAAACGAGATGTAAAGCAAGAGAGAATCGCATGAGGAAAGCGGGGGAGATGGTGCTCCATAGATGTTGAGAATGTTGTAAAGGATTGCATATGCCCAGCCAGAACCATAGTATGCATAACAAGGCGGAAGGTAGGAAAGAGGGAGATAAAAGGAACATGGAGGGAGAGTAAATCAAGTTTTCCTTTCGTTTATGGGAAAATTTTCATGCTGAGTGGAGGGAAAGCATCTCGTAAGCAATGCTGCAAAGTGGAAAGGGGAAAATCTAAGTCATGTCACATACCTTGAACAAGCCTACTTGCCAAGCTAACCAAAGAAAGAACAACGGCATTAAGCCTGATGCGACATAGACCTTGTCCTCCGACTAACACCAGCACCAGCACCAACGCCAGCGCCCCTCCTCCTCATAGCACCACCTCTCCTACCACCACCTCCGCCACCCCTGCCACCTCTCTTCCGCGACGAAGTTCGTCTCGTAAACACAACCCGATCTTCCGCACCCTCAACATAATCATCATCACTCTCTTCTTCCTCTTCTTCCTCCTCATCTTCATACTCCTCTTCTTCCTCTTTTTTCGAGCTCAGATCTTGTCCGGCTCCAGAGTCTTCCTCATCCCCCTTTTTCTTAGCACCTGGTTCCAGCCTGTCGGAAGCTTTCAAACGGGCACTCCTCCTCTCCTCTACGTTCATAACTTTCAACGGCTGCTGATGTTGCATTTGCAACTGCGATTGCGGGTGGTAAGGTTGGGAGTGCAATTGTCCGCCACTTGCCTCAAAGTTCACAACACCAAGACCAAAATTAGAACCACCACTTCCCGAAGGAGGCCTGGCCTCACCCAATGCAGGTGTCTGGGTTTGAGAGACCGTCTGAGAAGGTATCGATGCTGGGGACTGAACAACTTTATCGCCCAACATCACACTACCGCCAAGACCACCGCCACTCGGACCAGCAGGCAACCGCACGATCTGCGCCCCACGATACCCATACATACCACCACTCCCAGTCCCTACGACACCTCCAGTAACACCGGCCGAAGCAGCGGCCGCCTGTTGTTGCCACGAAAGTAACCTCGCCCTAGCCTCAGCATGCGGATCGGGAACGTTCCCTCCGCCCGAAACCGGTACCCCAAATCCATAGACACCCTGAGGGGCCACAGCAGGTGTCGCCGTCAGCATCATGCTCGTCGCAGGCGGATACCTCCTCCTCTTGCCCGCACTTCCAATGCCGACGCCATCATACGTAGATGAAGACGTAGTCGTCATGGAGCTGAGTTCATCTCCAAATGGAGATGCCGCTCGTTTCAAACTCGTTGAACTAGCAGTGTTACTCGAACTATGCGTATAAAGTGGAGGCGCATGAGGACGATGGACTTGAGATTGTGGAGCTGGATGATGTGCTGGCGGGGGCGCTGCACCACCAGCCGGTGAACCATACCCATACAAGGGCTGTGGTTGACTATACCGCCGATCGTATGCGAATCCATGAGACGACGACGACGAAGATCCCGTCATAGGCATCGGAGGTAGATGTGCCGTCTGAGGATACGGTTGGTATTGCTGAGGATTATACAACATCGACGTTGGTGCAGGGATGCTATCCTGAGAATCATACGGGGTTCCTTGATGGGGCGAGTGAGAGTGTTGCTGCTGGTGAAAGTATCCTTGATGGGACGACTGTGCTTGTTGTGGATAGCCCTGCGCATGCTGAAGTGGAAGAAGAGAGTGAGAAACCGACACAGGAAGAACAGGAACAGAAATAGAATCGAGTGTAAAAGAAAGAACAGATTGAGATTGAGACGGCGGCAACAATGATTGTGGTAATAAAACTAGCTGCTGCTGCTGCTGTTGTTGTTGTTCCAATGGCGGTGGTAATTGTGGAATTTGAACAATGGGATGCCTCTCCCTCACACCGGTAGGACTCTGCGATGGATAAAAAGTCGTAACAGGTGTACTCACGTGCGATTGGCCATACGTCCCTGATGCATGCGACGGATAACTACCAACACCTGAACCACCTATGACACTCATCGAAGAATGAGGTATCTGAGCCGGAGGCTGATGATTCGGCGGGTAAAACTTCGTAGCGGAATAAGGCGCTTCGGTCTGAGCGATCCGCTGTTGGGCAACCACTCCATAGTGATGATACTGGCCTTGCTGCTGTGCCTGGGGCTGTAGTCCACTTTGTTGCAATGACGATGATGACGACGACGATTGACGTGGTGGAAGAGAATAATACGGTTGCTGCTGCTGCGTGTGTTGAGGAGGTCTTCCAATTGTAGGTAACGTCGCGTGAACGGGAAGTTGTGCATCCGGGGGCAAGGACGAAGACGAGGGGAATGCTTGACTTTGCTGCCACGACGCAACGTGTGGATGACTTGGATGATTCAAATTGCCGCTACTAGCATGACCGTAATTTCCCAGTTGATGTCGATAAGGAGCGTTCGGATTCGAATAACTGCCAACAGTAGCAGAAGCCGCGTGATGCGTCGGTACACCCTGCACATGTCCATGGCCGGATCCATGATGGTACGCGGATGACGGCGAAAGATTGCCTACTAAAGCACTGCTACCACCACCACCACCACCACCACTTCCACCACTTCCACTCGCGCTACTATGGGTGGCAGCAGTAGCAGTACCCAAGTTCAAAGCAATATTCACATTCGCACTTAGCGTTACGTTCGAAGGGTGTGGGTAATGAGTAGCTTGCCGTTCAGTTATAGCAGTAGTAGCACTCGTCGGCACAACACCAACACCTTCCTGATGCGATTGGTGTTGAGGTGGTACCCATCCTGAAGGATTATGATATTGCTGGGAAGGTGACGACAAAACAAGAGGCGAAGGAGGGACCTGCTGCCGACCCCGACCGTGCGTCGCATGCTGCCCGTACGATTGTGGTGGCTGTTGAGACTGTGAATGATTGTGATGCGCTGGCTGAACCGGCGACTCGGGGGATGTCAACGTTTGCGAGGTCGAGAACTGCGTTCCAGACTCCCAATCATTCTGTTGCTGTTGCTGCTGGTGTGAAATTTGCTGAGGTGGATGTTGTGGTTGAGGTTGATAGAGCGTCGTTTCTGTCGAAGTAGTCGAAGGAGTCTGCATTACACGCTGATGCTGTCCCCCATCGTTGGACGACACACCAGGATCCGCGCCTGCCCCGACGTTCATCCCAGATACAGTATCAACTTGATGAAGCGAAGTGCGGACACCCCCACCGGACGAAGACGAAACGGCAGAAAGGGGAGGCTGATGCGATAACGGAGTCATGGCGCGAGGATCAGCATGTCCGGTATCATCTTTCGAATGCTGTCGTTGATGTGAACGTGACCCACCCATCTTCATGGTCAACACTTGAGGAACAGTACTACCTCCACCCCCACCACCAACAGAAGGAGACCAATGATGAGTTGATGACCCTGAAGCAGATTGGGGACGTGAAGAACCAGACGCAGAATTAGGCAGAAGCGGCGGTAATTGTATCTGTGGTTGTGTTGTTTGCGGCGACGCGAAGGAAACGGGCTGTTCAATCAATAAACGGGGTCGTTCAGGTTTAACCAAGGGGGTGATTCCTGGGCCCCCCCCTCCCCCTCCCCCACCTCCTCCCACCACCACTCCCCTTGTTGCCGTCGTAGCTTTATTGAATGAATCTCCAATCAGCGGAGGAGGTGGCAGGGACCCTGGAACACCCATCATCACCCCTTGCCCTTGTCCTTGATATTGCTGCTGCTGTTGATGTTGTTGAGAAGCAGAAGCCGTTTTTAATGCATGATCCTGTTCAAGGACTACAGCGCGAGCTGTTTGGTAATACGGAGAGTATTGAGCAGCCGAAGTGTAAGGAGCAGAGGCGGTAGTAATGGCAGCAGTAGTGGCAGTAGAAGGCGTTGTTGAGTTGTGAGGGGCGGAGTAATGATGTGGAAGTGGATGATGAGGCGCCGTCGTTGTCGCTGACGTCGGAGTTGGTATGGATGTCATTAAGGTCCGATGCGCTCTGCCTTGTTGGGGCTGCTGTAGTGGAGGGTATGATTGCAACTGGGATTGCGAATGAGAATCATGACGCGATACATCACCAGTCGAAGGGGGATCATTTGAAGGCATCGTTGGACCAACAACAGGTGTAGGCAAACCAAAGTAAGAGGACGACAAAGCTGGAGTTGAAGTCGATGCTGATTGACTTTGTCTCACCGAAGTCGGAGACGAAGACGAAGACGAAGACGAAGATAATGTGTTCGCAGTCGTGGTTATTGATCGTTGATTCACTCCTCGAGTCGTCGTCGGCGTTGTGCCCGTAGGGGATTTACCTATTCATTCCAAGTCAAAACGGAGTAAAACAGCGAAATGACGACACGTAGCACCGGGATGAGGGCGAAATGAGAGTAGAGAGACAGTCAGTGGGGGTGCGCTTTCTTTTTTTTTCAGCAGGCGTTGACAAAAAAAGAAAACGGAAAAGTAATATAAAAATCTGCAGATCACATACCTCGTTTCGAACTTCGCGTCGCACTAGATGATCTCCGAGACGCCGTACTGCTACCACCATTCACTATCTCCTCCTCCACGAAAACAATATTAGTCGTAGTGGCTGCCGTCGCCGTCGATGCAGCACTAATCGTACTCGATGTCTTCTTTGCTTGAGCCAAAGCCTCTTGTTGAGCTTTGTGCTCCGGCCAGGTTTCAGGAGTGACGATCTTGCCTGTATACATGTCTTGTAGTGGGGGTGGGGGCATCATGGGTAAATCAAGAAGTACACGAACTGCTGCACACGACGGATTGTCACTCGTGTTATCGGGTGATAACTCTGGATTTCGGAACGATGATGATAGTGATGATAGTGATGAGGAAGAGGCGGTGGAGGATGGAGTAATATACGAGGAGGAAGAAGAGAGAATCGAGGATGATGAGGTCGTTGAGACGTTCGGCAATGCGTCAGTCGTAGGAGCCGTGTTTATGCTTGTGATGACGGAGGGATACATTTCTTGCACCGCTGTTGTTCCCGCCTCAACTCCAGTTAGTAATATGGGTCCTCCTCCTCCTCCCACTAATGTACCAGAGGCGGGTACTGTATCGCCTCTCTGGTTATTGTTACCACGGTCCCACGGACGCGTCTCGGTCCCAAAGAGAGGATGATATAGATGATCTTCTAAGGGACCCTGCGAAACGTGGGATGGTTGCTGATCTTGCTCGAAGCGAGACGGGTACAGGGAAGGGGTAGCAGTACCCGCTATGAACGTTGTACTACTGGGAGCCACCGAGGTGGAGAAAGAGGAAGGTGTTGCTGTTGATAGTTGAACAGTGTAGTCCTCAGGAGCGGCCCGAAGGTGATTCTGGAGCTGATCGTGATGATTGCTGGATGTGAAAGCACTGAGGGTCGCGACTTGAACCGGATACTGCGGGACTGGTGCAGCAGTTTGCATCGAGGCTTAACGAGATAGTAAGTGAGTTCGCTGATGAAAAAAATGGTATGATTGCAAAGGGCTAATATAATGGATGAAGGAGAGAAAAAGGACGTTTATAGGTAAGGAGAAAAGTTGCAGAAGAAATGGCGAGTTCAACGAGATCGCGGTCTCTTTCTCCCTTGGCCCTCGAGTTATTTGGTCGGAGGTAAGGATTGACGAACTGAGCAAAGATAATGATTAGTCACTCTGAGGTCTCGTTCCAGGCACTTGGCGCGCGCTCACTTGATTAATTCGTTGATGAGGATGACGGGCGGGAACGATGGAGCGTTGGAGGTAGTAGAGGAAGTGGTACTGGGAGGGGTCGATCAGGAGGGAAGGGAAGCTGGAAGTACAAGACGGACGCTCAGCTCAACGGTTGCGGTGGTCGATGACGCGCTAGCAGTGGTGACAAGGCATTCCGGGATAAGGTGCACTTGGTGATGATGGTGTTGAAAAAGGGAACACGAAAGCAAGGGCTAGATTAGGCGGTGGCTAGGGGGTAAAGCATTGTAGAACCCAACAAAGGGCCCTATGAGTTCCACTACTGTTAGCTGCTGCTTGTAACCTATACCACTTAGAGTTTTACAACAACATGGGAACCAATGGGAACGGTGTATTTCGAATAACCTCATCATTATGGTAAGTATGTCCCAACCAATGAGATTACACGTACCCACTTACACATACTCACACGCACACACACGAGCTCGGAAAAGGGCAAGGAGGGGGGCGCGTGGGTAATTTTTCTTTTTTCTGCGATGAATAATAGGGAATTCTACTGGGAGCAAGGGATTATTGGGTCAAGAATCTATACCCCCCATACCATGACCACTTCCGTGTAAGTTCCCGCGCTGCGATTGGAGAAGCAGCCAGAAGGAGAAGGAAGAAGAGAGCCCGCAGAACACCATGCATCAATTGCGTTTAATTTTCCAGGGAGCAAAAAAGAAACCCCTATCAAATCAATTATTCCTGCCATTTTTATTTTTTACATATTCCTTTCCCATGCTCCCACACAGTATGTTCCCCACCTCTCCTCGTCCTTACGTGAGTTCGCCACATATACGCATATGACCAACATACAATTAGAGCGAAACTAGGACCAAATCGTCGAGTAGAGATGAACAAAGCTGTACATGGTATTAGTTTATTAAAAAGCAAATATCCGCGGAACTTCAGACCTGTCAGAATTGGGAAGCTCATAAACGACACGCGAGGGCCCAGCTAAACCTTCATTTCATCAACGGGCGTACCATATCTCGACATGGCGAAAGTAGCTTGTGGCACCGCCATCTGGCATTGAGGGTTGAAACTGAGCCGACCTTTCTATAGGCTCGACTTGGGAAACTTTAATTCCACGGACTCGACATGGACAGGACAGGGCCCTTTCCAGCAAGATGGATCTCACAGACATCACAAATAAAGTCAATATGATATGACACAATGTACTTGCGCACGGCTCCAGTAACATCCCATGTCAACCATACGTGTGAAGCCGGCCGGGCAGTACTCGATCGAGAAGTCATTTTTCTCTAGATCTTTCCCCTGGAGTGCTTGCAAGCGGCCGCCGAACAGCCGAAGGCGGTACGAGCGCTTACTGGCCGGGGTGATCAAATGCATGCAGGAGAGTGGGGTGGGGTTTTTGATTTCAGCTTTGGCGGTTAGGGAATGGTTAGCCGCTTGTGAAATTCAGTTTTCAATGCAACGTGAAGCTAGGCATGAGAAAGCCTGAGAGTCGCACCATCGCGCAGAGAGGCATACATGGGCGCCCGTTTGATCTCCCTTGGCTGCACTTTCTGTACAGCTCCTCACTTTCCTTTTAAGCTTCGTTCCCCTTTCCTTCCTCTCTTCAACAGGACAACAAAAAACCAGCCACCCTTCGTTTCGCTTTAGACATAATTCAACGGGCATATATATGTAGCGGTCGCGTACCGTCTTTAGGTTGATACACTGCCGCGACAGTGCCTGCCGCCCACCTCCTACTATAACTCGCTCCCTGCGCCCGTGCGCCGCTGCCGATACTGCTGCTGCTGTGGCATCCCGAAGCAGAGCAAAACAGAAGTCACGAGGGAATATAATGGAAGGGAGTCTAGCATTTGATTCCTTATCATCATTGCTCTCGTACGTTTGAGTAGCTTGATTATTGAGCTGTCAGAGGAGCCACGGAACAACACGTTGCCGACAGGATTCGAACTTATCGTTGGTTCCTTCAGCGACCTCTTGCTGATACAGGCTTGCATCCTGCCTAGCCTCTTGCAACATACATGTATTAAGCACCAGACCCCAAGGGGGGCCCGTGGGCAGGACTCCAGCCTCTATGACTTCGTAACATTAGGTAGAGTGGGTCCACTGCGTTCAATTGTCTTTCTCTCGGATGTCTAGCTCCGGTGTCAGCCTTGTACTATTGAGGCTGCTTCAGCTTACCAGCTTGCTGGCCAGGGCTTGTCGGTTTGTCATGCATCATCGGGCTTGCTAAGTGCTTCCCCATCCTTACTGGACACAGTCGGAATTCTGCGAATTCTGCGTCTCGTTTCTCGTGAATCCTCCTCACGTGTGCAACTCACTCGCAATCACAGTACTTGGGGCCTAATACGGCTCCGCATACTCCAGGTGGAGTTGGCCATTCCCCAGAATCTTACCGGGGTGGTTCCGTAGTTCTTCCGACTGTTAGTAATAGGCCAAAGTTTAATCAGTGTCGTAACACCGAAGCACGAAGTTAACGGATCCACTTTCGCCCCATGACCTTCTCAAGCGAATCCGAGGTCAATGCCAATGATTTCGTCCCCGACTCGGACAGTATGCTATATGGGGTAGAGCTTCAATAATCCCGTCCATCGGCGATTCTTTTCTTTAGTCCTCCAGACTCCGCTGCCTTGTTGGTGCTGGCGGTACTTTACTCACTGCTACACTCGTACTACAGTTGCAAGATGGTACTCACCTTGCTCGGAAAACCAATTGGTTACCTACTACTGCTGCATTGAGAGACAGAGAAAAAGTAGTAGCATGACGTCGATGTGCACGGGGACATGCGTATTCTTATGCGCCGCTTCTCGATCTGTAATCATGACCAGCTGGCTATTCTCTTCGGTTCGCGCCCAACAGAAAGGAAGGTTAATCAAGCAAGAACCAGGAAAAAGGTTCATATGGGGACGGACCAGAACTTTTTGTCATCGCGGCCTGCATATGGATGCCATTTCATGCCGCTTGCGATAGCATCGTAATCTCCATATCAGGCGCTCGCCCGTGGTCTAAGCGTTTCACGATAAGCGTCTTATCTAATTATCTGTTATCTGTTATCTTATATCAATAATAATAAACCACACGCGCAAGCACCGCAGCGACCCAGTGCACTATTCTGGCTAATGCCCGGTCCGCGGGTTTTGAACATCGGTCGTCTGCATACACGAACTACGGACGTCTACGTATCGTACACCCGGACAATACCGTAACGGGTCCGGGCTCGTAATGTGTAGCATTCTCGAATCTCATGCATCAATTACTGCCATACGTTAGATCCGCAACTATACCGGCCGTTCGACGAACGTTGCGGCATGAGCACACAGTGCAGCACATGCTTAGCCCTTGGCTCCGGCTGCTGCTGCAGATGCACGACTCTATCTATCGTTTTCATGTGAGGTAAGTTCAACTGCCAGCATATACGGCACACAGAGGTATGCATGATTTTCATACTACAATTGCTCGGTCGGCCGTGCAAATGGACACAAACATTCGAGTAAGTGGAGCACAGCACAGCATTCCGGCGGCCAAGAAGCACCGCTTGGACTGTCTAGCGCTCGTGATCGCCACAGATATATATATTGGAGTCTAAGAGCAAATAACAAGATTGACTTCTAAGTGAGACGGTCTTCAGGTGGTGCTCAGCTTTTCAACTTTACGCACGGAATTCCGGCGGGGGGCATCTCGCCGCGCCCGCCGATCACGAGAATGATCCAATCGAAGCCCGAAACCATGGGTCGGATCGCCTCACGTTATAGAGGCACGTCGTCCAACCTGTCCTTTCTTAGATCTTTTTCATGTGTCCAAATTCACATCCACTACCAGAAAGAGCAAAAAACATTTGTATTTGAGGAGGCGCACTCCTCATGTTCGCCTCATGCTCAGTACTGTTATTCGTAAATATATACCCCATACAGTGCTGCGCACAGAGCACCATTGCGCGCGATTATAGTTAGGATTATCACATGTACGTGCTTTTTTATTGGATGGCGTCTGATCACCCCCATGTCTGCAAGGCTAGGCCATCAAGAAATACTTTCTTCCCGTTTCCATTTCTGCCCCATATCCGCTTCCGCAAAGCACTAGTTCGGCTACATAGGTGTGGCTAGATACCCATTGGCACAACTTAAGAATAGGGGCCGAAGCCGTGATATAGCTTGCCGCACATGAACTGGGCACAACACGCTGATACGTCTGGCGATTGTCCAGGAATGGGCTCCTGCCTCTATTTGTATATGAAAAGGGGTACGGGGGGATAGCTTACAAGATCAGAGGCACCTACTTGGATTTTCCACGTGCTGACATCATCAGGTGCAGCCTGCTTTGATCCCGCCGGTGCAACACATGTAAAAGGTGTGCCTGGGCTGAGATATGTAGCTCTAGGGGCTCTGGGGCTTTGATCCGCGTCCTTTTGCTAATCCAATATTGATATTGCCACGGACGGCTAGAAGTTTTATTCGCGTGGGCGACGCTGTGTGTGGCGCCACCACAGGTTCTGGAACCAAAGACATGAGATGGCTAGCGGCCTATTGGTACGCGATAGCGATTGGCTGCAGATTGGACGTGGGTAGCTATTCTCAATTACCCGACTGTGGACAGGTTGACCAAGCTGCGGGTGATGGGAGATCCTTCCATCGAGAAGCCTCGTCGCGGGAATCCCGATAAGCAAGCTCGAGAAGGAACTTCCACTGATTTGTGGCCTTCACGATTATTGAGGGATGAGAGGGATAATGTCATCAAGGTGCACCGTGATGGGAGTGTTCCGGCGTGCGACTGGGCCGTTAGATCGGATAGGTGCACATGTACACCTGTACATCTTGATCGAGTCAACATATACATACGTTCGGTGATGTTTCTATGTATATGCCGTGAAGCAACTAGTCGTGGCTGTAACGGTAACGGGGGCTGAGTCTATAAGGACGTTCTCACATGTCACTGTTGCCATGCTGGCTAATCCCCCCCATTGTTGACAAGTGCATGCAGGTACGGCATCGCCAGTACGATCAAATTGCAACTATCAACAGCATCCACTCCTCCATTTTCCCTTCTTCCATTCACTACCCCCATGTGTCAAAATCTGAATGATGTGCCTCTGGAGCTCGAATATGCTTCCAAGATTTAGGAGGTGGAGTAGATCCTACTCACTCGCAAATCTGCATCCGTGTATGGAGGAAGGTGATTCCCGTTTATCATCATCATCATCTCCTAGGTTCCAGTACCGATGACTGCGGACCCGCGCGCGATATTTGTCAAGAAAACTATGATGCGTTATGCATATGCATTGAGTAGCTGGTAATTTCGAGGGAAGATTCGAACCGTCAGCTATTCTCGTAAGGTGCCCCGTTTCCTCGTGATGAACCACATCAGGGTTCCATTTTCCGACGGTGGTTAGCTATGGAGGCGTATCTCCACGGATTGTATAACCGAGCCTAAATGAGCAAAAGAGCGTGGCATGAGTGCAACATACGGCAAGTTCGTATTGCTGCTCTCACGTTAAGAAGCCACGTCGGAAATCAATCTAATGATCTTCAGGTACGGCCTGTGGTAAAATTGTAGCTAGAGATCCAAGTCACCATAAGCCGGGTAGACCTTTTAGCGGCTCGTACGGGAGCGGCGTTGGTTGCCCGTACGTGCAGTTAACCTGTATTGAACGTGTGACGTCTCCGTTCTGATCGAGTTGTTGGGTGAGAGCTGCCGTGTCTATGATCCACCTGGAAACTCTTCAATGATGTGACTCGACAAGGCACAGCTGCTCATCTCGGGATTTTGCACAGCACGGATAGATTGAATATGCACAACCACAGCACATCCAGATAAAGAGTAGCTCAGAAAGTATTTCGCAGCGCACTTCCGGGCAATCGGAACCTTAGGCGCGTCGCAATCCTCATACGAAATGTAATTACTCGAGTCGAACGGTGATTGATGCGGAGAAGTTGGGATAGGGGCACTTCAAAAGAGCAGTCAACAAAGAGCCGACGTTATCTTCTTGCTCCCGTTGTTGTCAAGTGTTATCCCCTGCCGCTGCAGTTTCCGCCATGGCGATCGATCGAGTCCAGAAATTCTGAACGTGAATAGCCTTGTCGGATCTGTAGCTGGAGAGGTTTACCGTGTCTATTGCCGAGCCAGCTACTCCATCCCCAGGCATACCTCTAAGAGCCAGTATCAGGGCCGGTGGCTCAATATAAGGGCTCTTGGTGAATGGCCCTGCGAATACTCCTACTCGAGGGGTATGGTCGATACCCAAGGAAGGCTCGTGGATTCATGTTTCAGACACAACATCAGAATATGCTTCGAGATTGCATATCGGTTCAAGCAGAAGTACACGGAGCTTCGGAATCGCTGCGGAGGCCCCGAAGCCGTGCTACTACCATTTTCTGGTGATCGACAGCACCTGCAAAGGCAGGAACGCCGGAGCACTTCCGCACACCATCGACATGTCCGACGTTCATTCGGTCCAGAGGTACCGAAAATGAATCCTGATGTGATGGAGATGCTAGCTATAAGCTCCTGGCCGTGAGACCACGGTCATCAAAGGTGGAGAAAGAGGAAAGATCCCTTTGTGATGCAGCACAACGAATTCGGAAAGTGAACAGCGGAGTTAGGAGATCGAGCACGCGTTTTGGCCGAGGAACAAAGTCACGGCATCAGTCAGCGTACTAAGAGAGGAGATAACACAACGGTAGTCGAGTGCCACCCTAGTGTGCTTTGTGTTGCCTAGGAACAACCCGTTCAGGTACTTGGGGATAAGGAAACCAATCGACGGCGTGAGGACGCACAAGCAGCCCCTTCACGCATGATCTGTCCCGCGATACATGGAACACGCGGATGATCGATCGAATACATTCAGATGGTCCCCACACAGACTCCCCATCTCGATTTTTCTTTCTTGAGGTCGAGTGATCGCTTTCACATGTACTTTTCCGTTCTATTTGTCAGAACAAGAAGCAAAAAATGAGAGATCTGTTACCTGCTCCTGCACTAGTGGAGCGTTGGCGTTTCCAGAAGCGTTTCGGTGATAATAATGGCAGTTCAAGGCCTGAATAAGTCCCACAATCACCGCACCCTTAATATGATGAGATTAGTACTGCTGCGGCACGTTCATCGAGGATCATTCATTTGATTGGGTGAAGAGGATGCTTTTTTCGGTGAACGAGCGAGTCCGTTTCTGGAAGCTTTTCTGTTCCCTGCTCTCACAAGAAGATCCGGTCAAAACCCAAACGCTTGGTTGGCTCGTGCGATACCAGAATCAGTTTATACGGTGCTTGAAGGGATGAAGTTGTGGAAGAAATGTGGCACCCACTGCGGCCATTCACGGATGTAGGGGAAGCACATAGGATAGCGTGTTGGACACGTCATCCAGAAACCTCGGGGTTTCAGTGAGAAGCTGGGTGTCCTTGACAAGGCTTGGAACAAACCCCTGGAAGAAAATGTCATAATCACGTCCTTTTCGAGGTCGAACCAGAAGCAAGCTAAACATGCGCAGTAGGCAGAATTACATCCCCCGAAAAGCCAGTATTGCTGGGTAATGAGGCTGGGTGGAGCAAATAGCCACTCGATGCACGTAATAATAGTGCTAACGCACAACATCCAGCACCATTTTTTCTCTTTTCAGCCAACCCAAATAGTGCAATGTTGCGACTCATGCCCGTCGACTGCGGCGTCAAATTCACCAGCCGTTTCTGGTATAATGTCCCCGTTCAGGTCGTCATGATTGGATGGAAAGGAATGGCAGGGGACTTTTGCTTCCGAAGCAGTTGTTGTTCCGTCCCCACGCTCAATATCATCCCAAGCATAGACCGGTCATTAGAATAGACCTGCAGCACTGTCTCTTACTGCATGTCTGTCTATGGAGGCAGAAAATATCTCGTTACGTCGATGTGTGCACGGATTAACTGACCTGTTTGGCTCTAAGGATACGTGCCCAATGGCTTCACCGCAGCTTGCTGCTCCCTCCTTCATGGGGGATATATACACTGCATTTTACGGACGCAGTATTACCACAAGCAACTAAGCTGATATAATGTTACATCGCCTGGTAGCCCCCTGGGTTTTATGGCCTGCTCCCAGGACACTTAGTCTGTATCATTGTTCTCCCAAGGCCTTGACTATCCAACTGCCCGAGTTCGAGGCGTTTGTCATCGGGTTCACATATTTGGGCTCTTCGCCTTCGTATTCTCACCGATTGGTCTTCTGGTCCTTCCTTTGCATGCGCGCTGCCTTTTGGATGGCGCAGACATATGATTTGTGCCTATCATACCTGTTTCTTCGAATAAGCCTTGAGACAAAATCCTCCACTGTGTTTGCCTATCTGCTCGCGCGTTCCGAGTCTCTAACTCGCTCTCTGACTTGCTTCTGCGGACTCAAAATTCTTGATAGATATTCTAGCAAACACCAATTGATTTACTCACTGCTCGAATGCATCGCGTCCTTCTCATGAGCCAACTCCCGCGATTCAAACAACCCGCGCCTGGGGGACCCCCTTTGCCTTACCGGTGTTGCTTCGGCCACACCCTGGTTATCAGTCGACCAAGGGTTGACATGAGCCAGTATTGTCATTTTGAATTCGTGATAGTGCCCTTGAAGCCCTTATTTACGTTCGAGTGTTTTTATTGTCCAACTATTTTTGCTTATGGGACCGCGTCGTTGCTAGGTCCAATTCAATGAGTTAGATTCAGGGGTTCTCCCTGTTTTATGCCAGCTAATTTTAGGCAAGTTTTCTACCAAAGTTTGGCCCTCGATGTCTCCTGAGTTAGACCAAAAACCTTCTGTGCTTTCCCTTTATGAGCCAGATTTGACGGATGCATCCTATTGACGACAAGCTCATATGATACAGCGTAGTGCTCCCGAATTGTAGTTGAGTCTGGCTCACAGCACTTGGCAACAACACGGTGTTTACCGAAATGAGGTCTGCTCTCTAAGGACTACGTGACCTCCGAGTGACCATGCTGTCCGGGAGCGAGTTCGGGTTCATTCCGATTGAATAGAGCCTTGGATCGCTGTTTCGCTCTTCGCTTGCACTGGCGCTAGAACGTTGAAACTCAGATTGTGGAATTGTTGTTCTCGCCAGTTACCGTCAAGTTTGTTTCCGCTAGGTTAATCTCCGCGCTCTAAGCCGCCTCGCGAATTACCTCGCCACCACCCAACACATATTCAACGTCGCGATCATGGATGCGGACAGTGCCCTATTGATAGCAAGGCTCTTGCAAGAGGATCTTTATGGCTCGACTCTTTGGACAGCTGATGAAAACGATCCGTCTGGATCCGAAGACACACCTCGACTGGTTGGTGACCTGGCAGAGTTCGAAGTATGCGCTTTGTTTCTTCCGCTCGAATCACTAATGCAACCAACTCACCCCATTAAGATGATGTCCAGTGCGGATGCAGCATTTGCGAGAAGGTTGCAAGCTTTGTACGATAATAGGGATACCCCTGACGGCGACATCACAGGGGCTTCCTTACTTGGCGTGGATTTTTGGCAGAAACGCCCTGTAAGATATCTATTGGATGGTGTACTGAGCGCACTGATGCCCTAATGACGCAATAGAGGGACAAAGGAAGCGGCGCTCATTCGGGTGCTGCTCGCCCCCATGTCGGGAAGGCCAAATCGCAGGCCGAACCCAACATGGAGGGCAAAGTTGATCCCCCGCACCTAGGAATCCTCGACAGCAGTGATGCGCCACTCGCTCCTCTTTTGCTTACACGCTCACCGAAGCTCTCGCCACCTTCTTGTCTAATTTGCTTGGAGGATTTTAATATTGCTGCTTCTTTATCGGGTACTCTACTCGTGGCTTCCTCTAAAGCGCTATATGGGCGCTTGCTATCGTGTCCTCAGAAACATCCATTCTGTTATCCATGTCTCCAGCACTTGATTCGATCCAAACTTGAAAGAGCGCGGAAAGGGGAGGGGGTGTTTCCCATCCGCTGTCCAAGTTGTCCCAATGAAGATTGGAGCATTCGTGAAGACGATGCGGAGTTGCTCTTGGATGCTCATGATCTCCGAGAATGGGTACGTTTATGCCGCATATTGAAGCCTGCTTTTTCTGATGCCCTCTTTAGCGTCGAATTGCTGAGCTCGAGTCTCGTCCCAAGGCTTGTTGCTGAGGTCTCAGTTGTCAGGCATCTTATCAACGATTTTTCGCTACAGTTCTATTGTCCTGAGAGACACTGTTCTGAGCTGATTTTCAAGATCGATGGACAGACCCAGATGGATTGTCCCCGATGCGGACTTCAATTGTGCTCTACCTGCGAATCCAGATGGCATGCAGGTATGTTCAAGTAGACACTCAGAAACGGAGTCTTGATGATGCAACTCAGGCCTCAATTGCGAGCAATATCAGGTGAACTTGTTTTCTTGCATAATCTAAGCTTACATAATTTGCTAACTTACTTTCAGAGTCTTTCACTTCATGAGCGCTCCCCAGATGACCTGCTTTTCTTCACTGTGATGGTCAAAAACAAGTGGAGACGGTGTCCGAAATGTGGTGTGGGTTCAAGCCTTCCTTCTACATATCACCATTCACATCAATAGCAGGTCGTTATTCAGCGGGGTGAGGGCTGTCGCCATATTGTTTGCAGATGCGGGACCCAGTTTTGCTACAGGTGCAGCAATCTGTGGGATCTGAATGCAGGGAAGTGTGGCGGCAAGCGTCCTTGTGATCTGTGGTCGGAAGAGGAGCTTCTGCGTCATGACATGGAAGTCCATGGGCCAGTTGTGGGGGAGATTGAGGGCTAGCTCTATCCACTGCTCCTGTAGAGTTGGGAATCGTGGTGTTAACGAGCCGGGGCTGGTGACAGCATCAGCCGAGTTCAGAGAGGTGGCTGAGTTTAAATATTTAAGTATAAGGTGACCTATGTGGTACTGGAACTCGGATCACAGACATCGTTGAACGAGACTGGAAAGGAAGGGTGCCTAGTCTGGGCGCACAATTTTCAGCTAGTATCGCAGGTTGCGCAGAACGTTATCAGGGATCTGTTTCGGGTTATTGAACTGCACACCGTCGCATCAGGGGTACGGTGTAGAAGTCTTCCTTCTAATGTTCTGTTGGTCTCCGTATGTGAAATCATAGTCGCTCCGCTTCAAACTTGGGGTTTGCTTAGATACGAATATGCGGTATACGAGATCGGTGCTTTGGTGGAGATGCAAAGAATAAGAATGCTATCAAACGCTAGGGAGGTAAGTAAAGAGGGGTTTGCTGTTACAGGTACCGCCGTTTCCTTGCAGTCCTTGTGTAATACGCCAAGACCCATTCTTTGTCGGCCTCATTCTGTTCTATTGTACCCAACCGAATTTCGTACGCTGGACCGTAACTGCTTGAGTAGGTGGCAGATCATGCGGGAAAAAGATCTTACGTTTCATCTCGAATCGTGGTCCAACTTCTGCCAACTGAATCTCTTTATGAGAAGTTTTCACAAAAACGTGGTGACTGGAAGTCCAGCATGAGCACAAATTTGAAGCGACGGGATGGGTATTTACTGACCGGAAGGAAATGAAATCCGACTCATTTGCAAAAGTCATAACACGCTTCGCGTCTTCCTTTGGCACAGGGAAGAGATACCTAAGACCATCCATGACCCGTTTACCTAAACGACTGGTAAAGTTCTCGAAAATGAGGTGAGGATACTGTTCGGACACCGTGGAATCTTTGTATGAAGCGATGTCATGTCGTAGAGAGACGTTAGATAGTGTGTAAAAGAAGGTAGGGCCATGAGGGAAATGTGAAACAATCATTGAATCTGGGGCGAGGAGTCAGCTGGTCGAGAGTTGTAAAGGATAGAACGACGGTCACCTGGTGTTCCTCGATGCTCATGAAAAATAATCAGATCGGTTATTTGGTTTGCGCGACAAGCTTCAGCGAGCTCTTTTATAACATATGTCCCTCGATTCACGCGTGTCGAGTTGGGGAATACCAGCCGCATTTCCTGACGTGACGTTGAAGTGAGCGGAGATTGACCAATGAACGATGTATATGCGCCACCTTCGCGAACTGTAAGAGCCTTGAACTTGGATCTCGCGAGGTTGTGATGACAATCTTTGGGTCTAGAATCCCTGCCATCGAGTACTCGCTATCAATGTGCGTAGAAGGTTCTGAAGGAAGATTCATCCCGTTAACATAGGATTCATTATGAGACAGGATACACACCAGCCTGGGCCTCATCGAACTGGTAGTCTTTCGCGAGTTTTCTTGCTTCATCCCTCCATTCTGTTGGAAGAGGCTTTCCTGAGGCCAGGGCTTCCTTCAGTTTTTGTTTGCGTTCATAAGTCTGACGTTCTTGGGTGTCGAGTGCCTTTTTGTAAATATATTCCCTTCTTTCTCTAGCTTGTCTACGAAGCTTGGGGAACCTTGGTTCGACGCTGGCAATGGAGAGGAATCTCAACGCGTACCATGGTCGTTCTTTGGATGAATTGAAGGAACCCGGCAAACGCCATTTGCTGCAGGGCTGATACTTGTTCCTCAGCTATAAGGTCCCGACAGCCTCAGACGCACGCCAAACTTTGTAGGAGGTCATGTCGCATGATCCTCGTGAGTCAGACGAGGAGCACGATGAAGCAGGCGCTGTGGTTGATGGGGACACTGATGACAACGAGGAATACGGAAGCGCCGGGGAGCATCCTGAGCACCTTCATGAGGTACCTTCTGAACACCTACCGGGTTCTTCGACTTCGCAGCTTGACCATTACGTAACCGTGTCCGAGCGACCCTCTGCAGTGAGCCCACCGTCCCCCACAAGGTCTGCTACACCACCACCGCGTGGCGCATCCAATTTCCTTCCTTCCGAAATCGTTGCGCCTGAAAATATAGGTACCAGTGGCCCTCCAAGAACTCGTTCCTCGAGAGTTGAGTCCTTGCGAGTTAACAATGTGAGTCACGGAGAGGGTGCTCCGGTGGATTATTAACACCATGTTCTTGCGTTGCAGACACGAAGCAATCGCTTGTCCGGGTTTTTCACGAGTTTTAGACCCAGAAGCACGCAGGCCGTTGCGGAGCGTCCTGTGGAATCGCGACCGAATTCTTCGAAGCTGATAACGAGACCCCCGGAACCACCTCCCCCGTCCTTGTCACCCCCTTCCCTAGATGAATTGGGGTTATCACTGCAAGCGATAACTCCAAATCTCTCTCCCTCTCATTTTGGGACCCCTCCGACTAGTGGAACATTCATGCGGCCTCACTTTCTTTTGTTGTGCCACTCTCAAGGCCTGGATGTTCTTCCTTTGGTTGCGCCCCCGGCTCCTCGAGCTTATGCTCTTGTAAGACGAGTCCCATTTAAGATGGTTGTAGTGATGGAGGAAAGAGGCGTTTTGGTCGCGATTGCTGGACGACGCGATGGCGTCCGTGTTTACGCACTTGAGGAGATCCGGAAGGTCATTGAATGGCGAATGGAATTTGAAGTCCAGAGGGAACGGGAGCGGGCTCGGCGGGAAGAGGCGAAATTCCGGCTGTCCTTTGGTGCTTCAGAAACAAAGAGTAAAGGAGCTCTTGTAAGGCCAGGTGTTTACTCAGTGACTCTGCCGAATGCTGCCGTTCGACCTCCAACCGCGAAGCAGCGATCGGTTCCGGTCCCAACGTCTCCTCCGCCACGATATGCGAGTATCGTCACCAATCTTCCATCAGTGCCTATCCTCAACGTTCCACCACCACCTGATTTCCAAGGTCCGAACTCGTCCAGACGATCTGGAGACCGAGCATTATCTATTTCCTCTGTTGTAGGGCGGAAAATTTTATCAGGAAGTGCCAAGCATCAAGGTGGTGCTGACGAGAAAACCGATTGGATGGACGTTGCAGGAAGTGATGAAGAAGTGCTAATTGCTCCGGGGCCATCTGGTAGCGCAGCATTGGACGAGAGGACCTCTAACATGGCAAATACCCTGAGCCGAGTCCAAGTCCAATCTCCCGAACTGGGTGACGATGGTGAGGAGGTTGAGGTCGGCGAACCTGCAGATCCTCATCCGCCGTCGTCAAGCCCTATGCCTATTGGCCGCCAACACCGGCCTGCAAGCCTCCGCCTCGAGCCCCAATCCATGCCAGATTCAATTCCCGATCAAAATTCCCCCGCCGTCACGCCATCTTCACCTACTCCAACTGTCTTCTCGCTTCAGCGTGCAATGATGCGCAATAATGCCCCTCCCCCCTTACCACCGCCTATCAACCCTTCAGTGCGATCGAACGATGTCGTATCACTGGCCGAGGTTCTTCAAGAGAGCAGATTACCTGGTCGACCTGTCCCCCTGGCAAGCCTTCGAATTGGCTCTCACACTGCGTATGATCCTCAAGGCAATGAACCAGATATAGATGCGCCTGAGGATCCTATCCCTTCCCCATCGAACACCGTGGCACCCCCGTCGACGGATCGTCGGAGAAGACGATGGTCTGTCATGGATACACTACGCCCTGAGCTTCGTCCTCCATCTGCCTCCATGGATGTACCCCGTACACCTAGACTTCAGGTTCCCCGTTCCCCGTCTTTGCTTAATGGAATTGTCCCCAGAACCGCCCCTCCTACTCATTTTCCCAGGTCCCAACGTTCTCCATCCACACCCGGCACGCCCCGTTCTGCCCATATTCTGCCGCGAAATATGTCTAATCCAGGTCCGATTGCCCCATCGTCGGTGCCTCCGCAAACACCTCGGCGTTTTTTTTCGAGATTTATTCCTGCAGTGCTGAGGAAAGGCCATGACAAGAGGGCTGCAGCTTCTGATAGGGAATCAACTGAGAATATCCCCCCGGTACCCTCACATTCATTCCCTTCGCAGGCACCGGCCCCGAAGATGGAATATGTCAAATTACCTGGCACCAAAGGTGCTTTGATGATAAAAGCCGTTGAAACCGCCAGGAAGAGGTACATTTTACACATAGGCTTCGCGTGTCAACTGCTGACATCTGATTCTCACAGCTTCCTCGCGATTCTTTGTGGCGATCAGGGCGAGAAAGTAGAATTATTTGCAGGGACATACCGATCTGCGCTTGGACTGTCCAGAACCTTCATCCTGCCAGATTCTCCCCGCTCCTTGGAGCTTCAGCTTCAAGGCGACGACTTGGTCGAGTTGTTCCTTGTATTTTCTCAAAATGTTTTCGGCCTTGAGCCTGCGACAGTTCGCGTAAGAGAAGTTCGTATTGGCAGAGCGGAGCGACGAGCTGCAAGGCGGAGAGCAGCTCTTGAGAACCAATCCGCGGAACGATTTCTCAGTGGAGAGGGGTCAGGCGAGGGTCGCGATGGCCTGGCAACTATAGGGGATGAAGGAGCTACAAACATCATTACATCCGTGGTGACCGTTGGGAATACCCCATCCGGGCCTTCGAGTGGGGACCGGAGGCGTACATTCTCCGATACCGCCCACTGGCGGCCTGATGGCAGTGCCGCAAGACCCGCTAGCTCATCGGACATAGGGTCACCATTGATTTCGAGAACAGCGATTGCTCCTGAAGAACTGTCGGCTAAGGCTGCTGCCCAGCTGGGCCCATATTCCACATTCCAACAATTGTCATTCGCACCTCGATTTCCAACAGCTAGCATTGCTGATGAATGTGTCATTCCACCCACGTATACATCATACCTTGATTATCGTGAAGAGTGGGAAAAGAGTTATCCTCAACAGCTTCCCGAGACGGTCGCCGGAAACCCTTCGCAAGCACCTGCTCTCCTAGTATCTCCTCGCTGGTATTACAAGGATCCCAAGGGTATACTTCGAGGTCAGTATCGCACATATTTCATCTCATTCCGTCAATAGATCCTCAACTCGACTTTTGAAAGGGCCCTGGGACGTAGACACTATGTATAACTGGTTGCGTGATGGGTTTTTACCCCCCAATCTGCCTTTACGACAAGACAACGAAGCTACCTTCATTACTTTACGAGCCCTTCAAGATTCTCGACCCGGCGTCGAAAACCCTTTCGCGCCCTCCGAATCAAACTTAGAGCCCTTTCCGTCAAAGACTACAAGTGCCAATATTACCTCACACCGAATCCCTCTGCCTGAGTATTTACTCTCCCCTATTTCCCTTTTGGCGCAGCCTCGACACTTCGGGCCTCCTGCTCTGTTCTTTTCTTCTCGCGGTGGACACATCACATCTATCGTTGATGGAAGAGGCAGATCGGTTTTGAAAGGGAAATTCATTTGGAACTCAGATCGCTCAAGGGACCCTCAATCTCCGCTGCCTCTTGGTGACGTGAGACGCCTTGAGGCGTTCGACTCGAAAGATAATCATGCTGTCTTGGTTGCCATCCGACATGGCGGTATTGAAGCTGTGAACATGTCAGATGCCCTTCTACAACCTGCGGATCAGTCTCGCACATCTTTACCTTTCTTTAATTCCCCAAACATTGCCACTAGCCGTCGCCGGAATTTTGTTTGGAGGATGGGCAGTCCCGTAGAGGACGTGTCTTCCTCCAACCTTTCCAACCACGGTATCTCCTCCAAGAGGGAAACTGCTCTGCCTAGGAAGTCTGTGACATTGAGCAAGAAGATAGGTTCAATGAAGCGCACAGACGGAACCAAAGAAAACGAGGAGAGCCCATTACCCCTGTCGGACAACGAGATACTATTCCTCGGACGCTGGGGAGATCATGTGTACTTATGCGAGCGTACCGCAGACTCTTTCCGAATTCTCCGATTGTCGCTGGCTGAATCTTAGAACCTACGTATTCTATTGTGCACACTGTGCGGAACGAAACCTCATGTCTCAAGAACTGTCTTACATTACCTTCAACATTTCTGACCGTTCATTCAACTAATTGTGGTCTTGGACTCTTGGTCATAATACCCTATATCATCTGCAAATTGTTCAATCGCACATATGTATTTTTCCAACAGATTGGACTACTTTTTGATGCTGTAGCTCCAACAATCATGATTTAATCGTCGTCATCGTCCAGCGACCGTTCCATCAAGGTGGGCGTTGCTCCAACAGCGAGGTCATCGCTGAATGGATCGCGAACCGCTTCTGCTGCACGGATTTCTGCTGCCTTTCTCTCTCTTTTTTCTCTCCCCTTTACCTCCTCTTCTGCCTGCTTTTTGAGATATCTAGACAAAAGTAGATATTTGATCCTGCGGATCGACAATTGCAGTGAGTTCAATGACGTACGCTTTACTGCCAACAACTTTCTCGGGGTTCTTGCATATCTTCAATCGTTTGTCAATCTCCCGCACAGTCTCTAAATCAGGTACTACACCCTCATCTTGTATAATGGCGTTGATTCCGGGTAGAACGGAGATAACATCTTGCTCCCCTTTTGCTGTCGCCCATTGCTCAGCAATTTCAGGAGCAACAGCGTGCAAGCAGGCGAGCGCGATTTGGGATGGGGAGTAAATGAGTTCCACATCAGTGAGGCGGGAGATGCGAACGCCACCAACGGCAGCAATGTAGGCTTCGTGCAAAGTTTTGAAAGGTATATTCTGAAGTGTCTCCTTTCATTGAGAAATGTCAGAATCTTGGGGACGCCGCCACATGTTTTGCTGAATCATACTTGGGCGTCGAGGTAGATGCCCCAAAGAGCTCTGTGAGCGTGCCACACCACGAACTCGAATCCTAGACTCTGAGCCACTAGAAACTCGAGATCTAGAACATCGGATGGGGTTGTCTTCGGGATGTGTGAGACATAAGTCTCCAACGGAATAGGGTTGTTGGTAGTCTTTGTCGCCAGAAAGATTGTAGTTAGCCTGTTCTTCGGCCGTTCATCTCGAGCTGTTCACGTTGGTGATAGTAACACGTCTTACATAACATTTTTAGGGTGCCAGTCCATAACTGTGTTTCGTAAATAGAACCTTCGGAGATAGGTGCACGCAGTAGCCTCGACAACTTCAGGCATTCGAAAATGGGCGCATAACTGTCCAATCTTTGTCATGTAAAGTTTCACCAAGATAAGTTCATCTTCGGGGGTAAGAAATTGAATATTTGCTGAGGAACCTGGCTTTCCGGTTCGTCAGCCAGAAATCCTCTCTCACGACGGACATGCCAGTGGAGACGACGTTACATCGTCAGCTTCAAATGTGGATCGAATGGTTTGAACGGAACCACCATTCAGTTGCGCACGCTTCTCTTGAAGCTCTTCATGAGACAAATTCCAGTGCTGATGTTGAGTGGAGTGTTCATAAAGCGACCGAGACGACGATTGCGACTCTGGCGACATCGAAGCTTGATCGAAGCAAGAGAGCAAGAGGTCAGGTGACCGAAGCCCTGCGTCTTCGGGAATCGTGACTCGTATGTCTCGCTCCGCACATACGCTCGCTAATTGGGATCAGGGTGAAAGGATCATGTTTATAAAGCGCATACACTACACTCCAATTATAACTCAGGCCCACTCATAGCACTAGCACGAGACAATGGCACATTCGAAGTTGCCATTTTGTGTGGCTCTTTTTGATTGGGGATTCCCTTCTGTTTTGCTTCTATTCCTCCGTCTCTTCCCTTCTCGCGAGCACCACATCGCTTGCCTATTCAACCAAGCGCGTCTTCGTCGCAGACTGTGCGATTGGATCACTCACTCAGTTGATGGATAGGACTCATAGGAGGTGTCTGTGCTCGTTGCATGAGATAAATAGTTTGCAATCAAAGATGTCCACTCTATCCATAGTACAAGGCTCAGCGATTGTGGGAATGCCCCCAGCTAAAGCTGCTTCCAAACTTAGTCATCTCGTATAAAGACAGCGGGTCCTTAACGCTGCCTGTCCACTCTTGCACTAGCCGATCTTCCTTTGGAACATAAGTCTTTATGACCGCCAGTCATTCTTGACTGGGCCCGCACCACTCCCAGGGGCTCACTATTTGAGGCCCACTCCCTAGCAACTGGAACGCAAATAAGGAATTACACGATTTTTGGCTTTTGTCTTCCATGCTTTCACCTGTCTATGTAGGCAGGATCCCCTGTCTATGGTTCATAAGGCAGGCCCTACAGACCTGGCTGCTATTTTGTTATCTATTTGACGGTGCCAGCAACAGTTTCCTTCGAGCCCATATGCAACTGACCGAACTGCCAGACATAGAAGATTCGGCCACAGAGTTAGAGCAGCTAAAGTCGGATGATTAAGGCCTGAGAATGGCATCAAAGCTGGCGAGTGCAGGTAAGATTGCGGCCGCAAGCGCGAGCTGTCGTGATGCGGTGACGCGGTAAAGCTCAGGTTCGCCCTGCTTCAGCACTCATAAACCTAACACTGGGGGACCTGAAATTTGGCTACACACTTCCCATCATCTACTAGACGCCTCCCGGAAGCGTGTCTCTGTTATCAATGCGGTTATCAATGCCAACGTCTGCGCTACGGGTCGGGATCATATATCTTCAACCCCAGTCAAAAAGCAATTGCTATTATTCTGGTGGAAGGTTTGTAGGAAAGGGCGATGCCTTCCAACGGTTGATGATGATGATGGGTGCCTCTATATGGCCACTACGGGGAAATGCGTTATCGCACTCATCAAAACCAAGTTGCACTTCAGCCAATTCTTGGCGAGGCACAATTCATTTTCCAATATGCCACTCCAGGTGTGTAAAACGAACCATTCAAGGAGGGCATCATTATTGTATTTTGGTATCCGCCTTCAACTTCAACGATGATGCTGCCTAAGATGGCCAAGGAGAATATAAACCAGCGGCTTCAACGGATCATGCAGAAGAGGCCGTCATGCCAAGTGGTTATCTGTATTCCGGCAATGACGTTGTTTAGGAAAGACCTAACCCTCAATGCATTCAGGACGCTCAAACAAATGGCCAGGAACCCAAATTTGAGACGGTGTTGTTGTGGCTTGGGTCCGATGCTTCATTCAGCTGCAGCAGTTGCTAATGCCAGTTACCTTACATTGCAGCGCAGTGTATCAGAATTGCCGCTTGAGGGTGCAAGCAAGCAATGAGAACAAGTTGGTATAGAGTAGAGGGCGGAAGGGACTATGCCAAATGTATGTAAATCTATACACAATCCTTGGAATCGATACCATACCAACTGTTGAAGCCCCATAAACAGTCCTCATCCTGTGGAGTTGCTGTAAACCATGCAAAGCCGATAAGACGACCATAGATTGCTCGCTTCACAACCAACGTGGTCAAGTTGGTAGGTCTAGGACAAAACAGAGCGTTTCCGGGTGAAAAAATCACGAAAAACAATCCTAGACAAGGCAACCATTGCGAGATGCTTTTTATATCATAAAAATGCATGCCATAACGACATAATATGATGATGGAACGATGAAATGAATAGTAGCCATAGAATCGCCCAAGGGAAGCATCTATCGGTAACTGCAGAACGCGGGGGGTCAGAATCAGGTCCAAACGGTAGAACAAGCACTGCAGCGAACCTCTTTTGTCTCCGAGCACGAGCACCACGACCACCGAATTTCTTCGGCTCCATACGCCGAGGGTCAGAAACCAACAACGATCTGTCATAAGCAATTATGGCCTTCTTTAGGCTCAAAGCCTCCGCAGCATCTTCGTATTTGGAATAGTAGGCAATGAGAGACTTCGCTATCGCTTGCCGAACGGCATAGATCTGAGAGACATGACCACCACCACTGACACGGACGCGAATATTGATACGAGTATAGGCGTCTGCCCCGACCGCAAGTATGGCCTCATAGACCTTGGTTCGGAGAGTGAAAGGTTGAATGAGTTTGATGGGAGAACCGTTGACATGGATTATACCACGGCCCTCGGTGGTGCGGGCCACAGCAACGGCAGTCTACAGATGCCCCCACAGCCATGCATATATTGAACAATGAGGATTGAAGATTACTGGATGGAACACACCTTCTTTTTCCCGAAGGTTTGCACGGCGTTCGGCATGCTTATGGACGGGTATTAGAGTCGAGATCCTAGTGGAGTTAGTCAGGAATGCGTCAAGGGAGCACCCAGGCAGAGGAAAGCTTATTCTATCAGAGAGGCAAGAGAGAGCTGAGATTGATCGCCACTTGACATTACATCCAATGAACCAAAATTGCATCCAGAGTCTACTGGCCGAAATCCGCATTCATGGCAGCACTCGATCATTCCCAGCATACTCCCATCACCATCACTGACGAAAAGTCTCAATGCTGTATTGGCAAAACGACGTACAGAGTCTCTGAAAGTTGGAAGTCGAGGTTCACGGATGCAAATGAACTCAGCGTCGAGTCAATATTGAATCTGGCGCTTGGGTGTCTCAAAATGAAATCCACCGACAACACACATTTTGACAGGACAGAGGCTCGAATATAAATGTAATAGAAACATTGGGTCTGGCCCATACATCGAAAAAAAAAATTAGCTCCAGAACGATGTAATATAGGAGTACGCTTGGCGTATTCGCTTGGTAACAGGTTCACTCCATGATCGGGTTTCCGCATCCTGTCCCTTGCCTGAGTCGCCACTCAAATCATCATCAACGCCACGCTTGCGCTTCTTAGGAGTCCTTTCCTCTACACTGGTAGCCTGTAGCTGTGGGGATGGTGTGGCACTCTGGCTGGGGCGAGGTCCTTCGTCTTTGCCTTCCGAACTACTACCCTCATCAATAATGAATGGACTTGATAATCTCGAGCGTTGATTGGGGGTGGGTCCATGACGACCTCTAGCGGGTGCCCGACGATTTAGAATACCACCGACACGCCTCGTGAGGGCACGCTTGCGTTCCTCCTCGCTTAAAGGCTCAGGAGTTCCAACAGAAGGCTGTCTTGAAGCTGATGGGGATCTGCTGGGGGATGATGCAAGGGGGATAAATGAAGATAGCTGTGGATTGAATGTGGATATCTCTGGGATACATTTGGCTGCAGAACTGTTACAAGATGTCGACAACGCTGTCTCCTTGTTTGTGGCGGATTTTGACTCGCGGCCGCGGTTGGGGGTTTCAACGCTAGCTTGGGTCCCGCTGTCAGCAAGAGCAGCGGACCCACGCACACTCTCACCGGGAGTTGAAGAGCTCTCAATCGAGAGACTCCCAGTCGCCCCAATCCCTACTTCTGGAATAGTAGAAGACACGCCAGCAACCCTCTTCTTCTTGATTGACTCTTCAAACCGATCACGTTCAGCAAGAACAACTTCTTCCAGCCTCGTGTAGAATTCTTGCGTTGCCTTAGCAATCTCCACCTCACGAGTTTGAACCTCTATCGCGGCATTAATGGCTTCCAAACGAGCTCTCTTCTGTTCCGTGCTTTCCCCTTCTGATGGTGGCTCAAGTAGGCGAGGGTCAAGAGATGAATGACCAGGAGCTTTATCGAACCGTGACTGGTGCTGACGAGCTGCCTTCTCGACCTTTTCTAAATAGGGAGTGGGAAAGTCACCACCGAGCTGGATCGGGGTCAGGAAAGGGGAACTCAAAGGAGGAGCGGCGTATAGATGGGCAGCCGGCTGTTCTCGGCGTTCAGCACGTTGGGATGAGAGCGAAGAGCGCGACGAGCGCGAACCAGATCGCGCCCGTAAGGAATAGTTTTGGTCCAACAATGCTGCATTGACGCTGGCGTGAACGTCCAACGTGCTGTGAGAATCTTGCACATCGGTGAAAAAGCAATCATCGACAAACGAAGAAGGAACCACATGTTTTCTTGGGGGTTTTGGTTTGGCTTCAGTATCAAACCAAACATTTCGATTGTCGAATACTCGCCACTCCTCCTTCTCAACGTCCCATAGTTCGTGGCTCTGGCGTGGCACGATATTGGTAGGGGAACGTTGTAAGCGAGCTTTGTCAGCTGCGAGCCACTGTTTCTGACTTCCAGCGGAATCCCCCATCCACATTTCCTTCTCTTTCCTTTTGGCGCCGTTCCAGTCCAAGATGAAGCGGACATACCGCATCTCAAAATCTAATTCCTCTTGCGTGCACGAATATAGTCCAACGGCGCGACAGGACACAAGGGCTCGGGACTTGCGAAAGTCGAGAATGTGGACGCGACTGTCATCGCTGATGGCAATATTATGAAGACTGACACTTCCGTGCAGTACGCCTTGCTTGTGTATGCGATGGTAAGCCTCAAGAATGCGTTTCTGGTCTCGGTTTCAATAGGTGGAAGATATGTAAGAGTCGGACGATCGCTCACTTTCTTCTCTTGGGAGATGAATTTGCCATCCGGGTGGGCATCTGACCAGCCGTTCACGCTGAGCAACTCGCAATTCACGGTCAAATAGCCGCCAGGGATGGTTTGAACGGAGATAATGTGAGGGACGCATTTCCCTTGAAGTGGTCTAAGGTGCTCCGAGGATGAATATAGATACATCTGGTAAAAACCGTTAAAATTGGAATAAAGGATATTACGGAACTTCTCCCACCTCAGTATGAAACCCTGGCCATTCTCGCCAAACATCGTATCTGCAGGGCCGAAATGAGCGAGAGACGGCGAAAACGGCAGGCTATAGGGCACCTTTTACAAAGCAATGGCACTAATTTCCCGTTTGCATAACCTTTAGCAATGTAAGTGACTGGGTCACCTGGATCCATGCCTGTTGAAAAGTGTGAAACAACAGAAATGGGACTCAATCAGATCCCAGGAGAACGCACTGTAGCCGAGTGTTGTCCCAAATTTGATCTTCTCTACAGGTTTGTCGACCATATGTGTCCACCTACCACTCGGATGATAATAGCTTGGAGCACCATCCGTAAAACCTTCAATTTCGGTCAGTGGGTCATATAAGGGCGATTCTGGGGAGTTATTGGTTATCCCTGGTGAACTGACGAGCCAGTTGCATCCGCATGACATACCAAGTGGGTTCATGAGGCGTTCTTAGGCGGGGGTTGGAGATTGTACAGAGATGTGATTGGGGAAAATGGAGAATATACGTCGGGCCGAATGCGATTGTCGAGGTGGTGGGTTATGTGTACGGTTAAGAGTTTGATGACCTGAAGTCGAGAGAAAGGCCAATGCGGGGTTGCTCTTGCCTTTGTTCTCCCACCGACAGTGGCGACAAACAGCAGGTAAACACTCCCACGAAACAGGGTCAAGGGCTTATGTAGTAGCGGTATGCATGTCGTCTTCAATGATGATGGTGCTGTGCGAGAATCACCAAAGGCGCCGTCTGCGTGCTCGCTGTGTCTGTTCCAAAACTGGAAAGAGCATTACACACAGCCACATCTGCATCAACTTAGTGTTCCAATTTGTGAAGCACGAGATTATCTATGTGTTCAACCCAATAAAAAATAACTGGTCCCAGGAGTGCCCGGTGAGTGGAACGAACTCGAGTTTTAAGTATAACATGACTGAATGGCTGAAAACTGAGGGACGTGCCTGTTGTGGCAGGACTCGCTACTCTGCAGGCTGTTAATATTCAGGTAGGACTCCAGCCTTTATGACTTCGTCATATTAGATAATTAGTATTGGCCGGACCCCGGCGCCAGCCACATCCTCTGACTCCCCACCCATTACTGCAGGACTAGGACAATTCCGTCGTAAGACACGAATGCGTGTAAAGGGCGCGGCGGGACAAGTGACCAGTCTCTGGCCCTCTGTAGTATATGGACAGAGCGCAACACACCACGACATACTAATGGGCGCACGCGAATCGTAGAGCTCCAGGCAGCCTAAACAATTATGTGTGCTGGCAATTGCTTGTTCCCAAAATATGTGAAACGATGGAATTTGACGATGTTTGATGTTGGAATTCGAAAGGATACATAATGCTAGGTTGAACGAATGAACAACCTTCTTTTCTAAGCTTGGGAGAGAAGACTTATGACGATGATTCTAAGGAAATGGAGTTGGATATATAATTGAGGAACAGATGGGGGAGCTGTTCTCACACATCTTACTCAGGTTTGTGGCCATTCTCTTTCGTGACAGTCTCAGTCTGGTGCATGCCTTCATAGTTTATACTTCCTTTCTTTAGCGATCGATACACGATTATATCCGTCACTTTGAACATGGCCCGCTTCCCCGGTGGTGTCCAACAGAGTGGCCAGCTTCTGTCTGCATGTTCATGAATACGTCCATCCCCTATTTTTTCCTTCCCTCTACCTCCTGCTCTCTTAAACGCCAAAAATTGGTTGTACCCGCACTGAGTCTGGTCACGGTGTCAGTGAGAGCATGAGAAAAAGACCATGAGTGCGAGTGCGAGTGCGAGTGTGAGAAGCGAAACACAACCAATCAACGCCCGGTGAGTCCAGCGTGCCCGAACTGGATGTATAAGGTGGAGATGCATAAGCAGCCAGCGAGTTTTTACTTGACAGGGATCGCTCAACCTCTTCTCAGCGCAACTGACAGCCTTATGTATTCGTGGAGTATTGAGTTTACCGAATTTATTTCTTGATCATGTTGTCAGACAGTGGTTCTGTCTCTCTCCACGCGGTAATCATGCAGCGGAGTCTTTGTTTCGCTACTTGCGTTATCCATAGGGAGGATATAGGCAGGACTCCAGCGTCTATGACTTCATAAGGGAGGATATCACTGGTGCAAGTGGATCGCTCCGTTTGCAATACACCTTCCCTTTTCGTCGCGAGTGAATTGCGAGCGCTCTCTAGGACCCATTGCCACGTGTTGACTGGAGGTCAACCAGTGAAGGGCCTGTTTGTCCTGCGAGCCCCACGATGGACGCATCGTCGGCTGCCCTGATAGAAGGGCTGCGGGAAGCTGCCAAGGCTAAGGTGGAAGATCTCAGCGGACAGTTCGATCCCTCTCCCCGGCGCCTTGTTGGCTCAGGTGGCTACTCTACTGTGTATGTTGCGGCTTGGAAGCCTCCTCAGCGTGAAAATCTAGTAAAGGTTGGTATCTTCTCTCTGGTGTACCCCCGGATTTATCATTTTCGTACCAGGTCTGTTATAAAGAGCTTCGCCCGCCCGTAAGCAACCTGCATGAAACCGTGGATATGATTAAAAAAACGGTCAAGGCGAGTCCCCAATATCCCTGCAAACAGGGAATCCTCCTTATGACAGGCATCCAGTACCTCACCCGTGAGATGGAGATTTGGGGCGAATTGGATCATCCCCACATTCTCAAGTTCCTTGGTTTTGCCATTGAAGGGGTTGGATGCGATGTAAAGGGTGTATTGGTTTCCCCTTGGTGCTCAAATGGAAGTGTACTTGAGTATCTACAGAAGAACCCAAACGCAGAAAAGATTGACTTGGTGAGGACTATTCGACCATACATTCGCTTCGGAATACGATGGTTATACTGCGAGACTCTAGGTGAGCGGTATCGCAAAAGGATTGGACTATCTGCATCACCGGACGCCAGCTGTTATCCATGGGGATCTTAAGCCTGTTAGCCAAACACCCTCTATCAGTCGCGTTCATTTCACTCATCTCATCTCAAAGGCAAACGTTCTCGTCAGCGACGACCACAAAGCAATTCTATGCGATTTTGGCTTATCTCGCTTCAGCAGTGAACTCTCCACTGGTCAAACGTCCTCAGCCACCAATTTCACAATCAGGTTCGCTCCTCTGGAGATATTGGACGAGAAGAAGAAGAGCACTGAAAGTGACGTCTACTCGTTTGCGTGCACATGTGTTCCGGTAAGTTGGATACCTGTCCTGCTGATGCAGTTATAGACAAGTTCGTGACCCACCCTGACTAGATACTGTTCGGCAAACAACCATATTCCGATTTGAGTGACATGCAAATATTGCGCAGTCCCCCGCAGCTTCAGAAAAAGTCTCCTTGGAACTGGGACTTTGAGGACCCGCTTCAACGCACTCTGTCCGACTGCTGTTCTGCAGTGTCCGAGAATCGCCCTTCTATTCGGAAGGTACTGCAAACTATCAGTTCTGTTGGGTCTAAGTCGTCCCCATCACCTGGAGACACCGGGAATGTCCCGAAGAGTGTCATAACGGGATTTTTATATCCTTCACCTCACAACGCTTCCATGTTAGACACTTCCGAGCCTTCCAGTGAGTCATCGAACTTCCGGCTGATGTATTTGTCTGCCGAGGAGCCAAATGGCGGTGAAGATATTGTTCCCGGTCCTGTAGTATGTCATCGTGATCGTTCCTGGCAGACCCAACTCACGATTACTCACATGGAACTGGTCAGATAAAGCTTCGGAAGCCATGGTGGAGACGCTGGGGCACAAAGGACAGTCAAGGACCAGTGCAACCTGCGGACCAAGCATCTAGCTCCAGTTCGAGTGTGTCTCCAACATCCTTTCCCAATTTAGGCGGAAAAGACTCGCCGGTGCGCCGGCCCCGTCGGACGTCTATCGAGGCTGCTCGCGTTTACCACCGCCCGTTACCACCTGTCACCGCCTTCGTCGACCAGGAAATCGATGTCTTGAGATCGGAAATAAAAAAGAGAAGAGAAGAATCAGATCGACTTACAGTTAAAATAGAAGATTTGAGAATGGCAAATGCGGATCTTCGAGTAAACCTTCAGCATCACGAATCTTTGGAGCCTTCCCAACTCCTTGAAGAATTTCGTACCTTAAATAGGTCTATCGAACACCTATGCCGTGATATTAGCGAACGTCACATTGAACGGCTGGGGATAATATTCAAAGACCTCACTACGACACTTGTTCGGAATCCTCATGAGTTCTGCCGTCTTCTGCCTGGAGTAGAGAAGGGTCCTTCCCTTTACTGGTCTGCGGAACGGAAATTTCGTCCACTCAAAGATGCGGCGGATTATGCCTTCCGGGATATCATCAACAGGGAATTAGTCGGAAGAATATTCGATCCATTTCATCCATCCTTGCGTGAATTCACCGCGACAGATCGCGAGTTCAAGCGGACGTATGAGAGCATGCGAAAAGCGTGTACGTTGAATGCAAAGACCTAATATCGCTAAGTACATGGATGCTGAACGCGCGTTTACAGCAACACAAATTTCCTGTGGACGATGGAGGGCGTTATGTTTCCAGTACATTGACGTCCAAAGCCGTAACCGTGCAGTGGATACAGATAATGTGGCATTGGATATAGATACTGTGGCATTGGATATGGAGAGAGTGCTTCTGGGGCCGCTTCTGTCCTCACTTCAGAATAGAAACCCTACTCCCATATCACTGTCCCAGTTTCAGATTTCAGCGCTGAAGACTATTCTCGCAGCCGCCTACGAATGGAACCGTAAAGTTAAGTCGCAACTCACATCCATTGACTACCATGTAAATTTGCCCCGCGACACGCAGTTCGATGAAAGGAGTATGCAATACTTGGGGAACAAAAAAGTTGTTGATTCGTCAAGGCAGATTATCTCTGTGGCTTCACTCGGCTTGGAGTCATCGGATGCCGGAAAGGCTGGAGCACAACCAAATAGAGTTTGGCCAGAAAAGATCCGCGTTATAACGGAGGATTGTTTCGAGCAGACCTAATCAATAACCCTGATTGTTGACCGTGTATTCGTGGAGCATTACAGTAGAAATGCGAGAACCCCAATATATATGACGACGACAAGGACGGATCAAGAAGTATGCTAGAAATCGGATGGTGACAAGCAAAACATGCCACCAAACCAAAATCAGTGCGGGTACATTGGTGTCAGATTATGCCAATGCCTATAGGTGGCAAGATCTGTTGATACGCGATTCTCATGAAAATCCATACCGTCGCACGAAGGTTTGCCAAAAATCGCAGAATCGCTTACTCGGAGCAATTGGTACCATTGTGTTGTAGTGATGGGATCGTTGCACACGTCACAGAGTATGGTGTGAATGGTGGTAGGCAAAATGGATTTCACAGAAGATCTCGGGGCGGCTTCAGGATGATCGTCAAGATCACTCATTTCCAAGACCGACGTCGTAGGAAGTGGCTGCAACATCACGGTCGGTTCTTGCGAGGATTAGCCAGTAACTAGGTCCAACTATGAGATACAATACGTAGATGACCCCTTCCGATACTCCCGACGTGACAGAGGCGCATAGAAGTTTGGCAATCCACAGGTGAGGAATACTGGGGAAGCTTATCTGGAGATATTTGACGTGGAAGACGCTAGGGATATACGAGGCAATGATCCTGGATTTCGACTATATCTGTCATAAGGGCATAGTTGGTACGGCGAACCACCGGATGTGCAGCCCTGAAGCTGGAGATACGTCATGATGAGGCCATTCGGGACTGTTGAAAAGGAGTGAGCTAACGTGGAGCCTTTTAGGCGGTACCGGACTCCATTGGAATGATTCGTTACTGATAGACAGAAGAGGGAGTCCTAGTTGGCCGAGCTTGCCTAGGCTTTGATTTCCAGATACGCAGGTTACCAGCCTCTGTTGGAATGTTTCCAGAGGGTCTGAGCTTTTGCCGTAGGAATCCGCAATCCCACCCTGAGGGGTGGGAAAAGTAGCCTAGTTCGAATGCGCGTTGTAGTCGATCCGCTGCCCGGAGGGCCATTCCGCCGGCCGTTTGAAATGGCCCCAGCTGGTGTGGGATCGGTACCTGGATGGGCAATCGTATAATGCGCCTTTCCATGGGGGAAAAGTCCTCACCGTCAGAGCGCCTTTACCACTCGAAAGCATACTCGCTCGGTTATACTTTATTTTCATTCATCCGTGTATCGCGTCTGCTGCACACATCTGCCCTCATGCTCCGTGTATGTCAGTTATGCCTGGTCTAGCGTTCCGCTCGAGCCGCTTCATCTAGACCGTTACCCTCTTCAAGCGGTATTTGAGTGTTTCGGTCTTGGGAGGCGCTTGATTGTTTTCTTTCTTTGCGAAATCTCCCCGAACAGCAATCGTGCTCATAAGTTTGCGCCAGTGACTCCCCGGAAAGGACCGCCCGGACGATCTATGGAACCTATGACCCAAACGTCTCTGAGTGTCCCTTAAACGCAGTTGCTTGACTTATTGGCTGCAGGTCACCCGTTAGATTTCATGCTACCTCAACTGCCCGTGACTATCCATCGTTACCCCCCTGGATCAGGGAATTGATTTTCTGAGATTACTCAATTAGAAAAGAGCTGCGAAGAATCGGATGGCTTAAGATGGTCTAAATCAGGTGTGTGCGAATCTTTTGGTACACCTCTGGCACCACCCATTCTCGGCGCAAACGGTCGCTGACTACAGGTGGATTCGCGATCTTGAATCGAAAATTGAATCGGAATATGAAGCGCCCCTGGGCGTCGATTGTTTCCTTGAAAAATCTTCTATGTAATCGTCACGGCGAACCTATACAACCCTTTGATTGCGTAGCGTTGATATCGGCATTGGTAACTTCCCTTCTTCAAACTGATGAAAGCCAACGCAGGTCGAAATGTGAATAGGGAGCAGACTGAAAAACAAACCTTCGAGAGGATTTAAAAGAGATCCTTCTCCTTCACGCCAGTGAATGCTGCAGCTCTACCAATCTATGCCCCCGTGGCTAATCGGGATATCACCAATTGGGGGACAGTCAACCACACGGCTTGCCCGGTGCGAAGCGTGGACAAAAAGTCCCACGATTAACATAGCCGGCGCGGGGTTTCGACGTTTCATCGAGTAAGTTGTATGTCAAGATACAAAACATCAGTCCGATCCAGTGTAACGGTTCTCTGATCATGAAGGCTCAGGTCAGCATATAATGACGTCGGCTAACCCCGGAAATTGAATATATATAAATTCCCGCGAGGTCCCTCTTTTTTTCTTCTTCATTGACTTGCACTGAACAGCGTTGCCCAGCTCAGTCTTGATATCCATGCTGGGTTTTGGGCGTCAAACGGTGCATAGAGCAAAACCTGATGCCTCGCTAGTTTTCCATACCGTCCCGAACGAGTTAACGACGAAGATGGGTCAAGGCACCGGAACAATGTCCATGTTGGAGTCTTCGTCGTCGCGGTTTCGCATATGTAGATGCTCTATGAAGTGAACATGAATGTAACAGATGAGATGGTGTATGATTACATGCATGGATGGTCAAACCCGAATACGCAGGCCAGTAAGCTGTTGGGGGGTCAAGACGCATATCCTGGGTTATCAGTCCTCACTTGTAGGTATCGGCCGGGTTCATACAAGCTCCTGCTATAATAGGACCAAGTAACCGTCCGACTCTTTCTCTCCCTCCAGGCACACATCTCATCGTGTGGTGGGTGGTCTAGCAGCAAAGGGCTGAGTTGTCCTTGAGGCCTACGTTCATCATAGAGGTTCATTCTTAGTAAAAGTCTTCTACATCCAATAGGATATATTCATTAGTTGACAGAAGATGTTCCTGGACACATGCTCCCAACAAAATCCATGTTTCTGGCTGCTCTCTATCCGAACTCCCGTCGCTCATCGGTGCCACAGGTGAAAATCACATCCCCCAACTCATACTCATGCTCTGATGAGATCAAGTCATGGACGATGAACAGGAATAGCTAAACTTTTTCCGACACTGGCATCAACGACTAAGGAGCGACATGTGTGGACTATCTGTATGACTGGCTTATTGGCGTGCCACTTTTCGAGTGGGACTGCCTTCCACACGCTACACACAAGCCAAATCGGTTATATTGTTGGAATCTGACAGCTCCGAGCTCAACTGATGTGCTCTAGCCTAATGATGGGAAGGGATTCTTCTGTAACCACCCTTGCGTCGTTTTGGAAGATACTAGACCAAGGATTGGCTCTCTTCTCCCACTCTCCCTGGCCCTTAGACTCGGCAAGAGGGATCTGCCAATGAAAGAGGACCTTACCCCCTCATCAAGCGCCATCTTTCCCCCGCAGCAGGTGCCGAAGGGCAACCGAGATTCAAGCTCGATACCTCGGCCACAGCGCGCGTCCTTGCAGTGTTGCACCTGACACGATCAGACCATTTGTGGTCTGATTGCGCTTCCGACTGAGGTCTATGGTCTCAAAAGTCCGAAATATGGAAGCAGCCGGCACCAACAGTGATCACTTCGCAGCTATTTCCGCGAAACTGGTTGCGACAGTACCGGCATTAAGGTCTCGCGACAGAGAAACGGATGGGACAATTTAGACCATGAGAAAAAATATTGTCCAGAGCTTTGGATTTCGGACCATACGGCTAATTGGGACTGCATCTGCTCAACACTGCGTCCTTGCAGGCTCAGTGTTATCTTTTTGTGTTGCTAACTAGTGAGATAGTGGCACTTCGAAATGGGCGCAGAGGACAATCTGGGATGGGTGCAGTCTGCGGACTAGAGTTCTCCCTTGAACATCTATTGAGGCTGCTCGTGTTAGCTATTGCCTGTTACCACCTCTCACACCCCCGTCAATTAGAGGATCGATATCTGGGGACCGAAATAACGGGATGGGCTTATGGCTCAAGTCGAGCAAACCTCCAGCATCATGTTGAATGAGTCAATCGTGTAGATGAATAGACGAATAAATTCGGCCAACTCCGCTACACCGCAGTTAAGGTAAGATATTCGTCGGTGTGCCATGATATCGGCGTAAATGATATCAAGAATCAGGGATCCCACTACGGAACATATCGAGGAGCTCTGCCATCTTGGGGTGATCAAAGGACCTTCTTTTGACTGGTTGCGGGACGGAAATTTCGTCCATTCAATGGTGGAGTGGATTATGCCTTCCGAAACATCTTCGATGGGGAATTAGTTAGAAGTGTACACAACCCTTTCCATTCATCTTTGCACGAATTCACTGCGGCGTATCGTAAGTTTAAGCAGGCACATGAGAGCGTGCGATGTACGTTGAATGCGAAGGTCTAGTCCTGCTACATACAAGAGCACTGGATGTTCGTTTATACCTAGCGTTACAGGTTCTCTGTGGATGGAGGCCGTTGTCTTTCCTGCATATTGACGCCCAGTACGTGCCACAGCCCTGCAGAGTTTATAGACACTGAAGCTTCAGACATGGAAAAAAAGGCTTTTTGGGTCACTTGCGTCCCGTTTTCGTGATAGGGACCCTGCTCCCAGATTCTCATCCTTCTCTAGCCCAGTTTTTGGCCCGAACGTCGTTCTCGCAGTCGCCTATGAATGGACGCCGCAATTCACGACGGACAAGGTATGCAGTAAGATCAATTAATTAGAGTCGTCAGATGCCGGAGGACAGACAAATGATTTTGGCAAGAAAAGATCTGCATATTAGTGGAGGGTTATCTCGAGCAGACCTGATCACTAACCCCGAGTGTGGGCTGTATATTCATCGAGAATTAACAGCAGCAACGGCAATAAGTGTGCAGGAAGCAACATCCATGTCTACGACGACAAGGATGGGGTGAACGGATTGAGGAGTGCTCAACTTAGCCGGCAGTATTGGGCCAAGGAAGTGTCCCACACAGAGATTGGCAGGGCTGGTGCGCAGTTCTTATGAAAATCCATACCGCCGCACGAAGCGTTGGCTCTGATCTGCCAAGGAAATCAATTTCGGCCTACTGTGGAGCTTACTCGGAGGATCGACACCACTGCGTTATGGGATAGTACGATTGATGCGCACGTCACAGAATGCGGTGAGTGACGATAGGTAAAACGGAATTCACGGATGATTTTGATACAGCTACGGCAAGAGCGAGATCCCTCGTTCCTAACGTCGCAGGAAGGGGGTCTTGGTGATACCTCGAACCAAGTACTAAATGCGGGGCCAGTGCGGTCCTGTGCATTGAAGCTAGTGATACGTCATGAGGAGGTCATACAGGATTTTCATAAGGAGAAAAGTAGCGAATTATCGTCCCGGGTAGATGGTTGCTCAGCTGGAGATTTTGAGGCTGCGGTATTTTAGTCTTCTATGCGAAGAGTGCAATAGTGGTGCCTTCTCGGGCGTCTACCGGAACGATTGGGGACGGGAAAGGGTCATCCGCATACAGCACTACCTGCATCATCGCCTTTGGCAGACAATCTTTCCATCCGCGTTCGGTCCATGGTAGTACAGCGCATGTTAAGCGGACATGTACTTTTAGAAAAAACAAACAAACAAGACCCCCATCTAAGTGCTCGCATTTATCCTCCAGTATTACTTGTTTGAATTTAAATTTTCATTAATTCCCTAACCCAATGTTATCCGATCGATTGCCTGTGACCCAAGAGACAAGCTGTGACAGCAAACCATTTCTGGAATGTTGGGACCGCCGAGCAACATCAACATATTTTCCATACAAGCCAAACGCTTCTTGTTTAAAGTGGACGACGTCGGTGCCAGCCTAAAGTGGCGCTGTGACCATTCAACATTCCGAAATTGGGAGGAGCATTGCCATCCACACAGCCACACACCACCAACTGCTGCGTTTCCAACCCCAAGAACTAGCCAGAACACCTCCCCCCCCAATTCCACGGTCTCTGTGCATCTTGGGATACGTCAAGGGTGGATCCGCCACCCAAGAGGCCTATTTCGCCTGTTTCTCGAGAGCCTATTAATTCCCCTCAGCAAGCGCCGAAGGGACACAGGAATTCAAGTTCGATACCCGGAAACATAGTACATTCCTAGTGCGTCTCTTCGGGCGCAGTGCTAGCTATTTGCGCTGCTAACTAGTCAGATAGTGCCTCTCCGAAAGCTATCGTTGAGGCGCCGGGGCACAAAGGACAATCAAGGACCAGTGCAACCTGCAGACCAAGCATCTAGCTCCAGTTCGAGTGTGCCTCCAACATCCTTTCCCAATTTGGGTGGAAACGACTCGTCGGTGCACCAGCCCCCCCGTCGAACGTCTATCGAGGCTGCTCGCGCTTACCATCGCCCGTTACCACCTGTCACCACCCCCGTCGATCAGGAAATCGATTTTTTGAGATCGGAAATAAAGAAGAGGAGCGAAGAATCGGATAGACTTATAGCTGAAATAGGGGGTTTGAATAGGGAATATGCGGATCTTCGAGTAAACCTTCAGCATCACGAATCTCTGGAGCCTTCCCAACTTCTCGGAGAATTTCGCACCTTAAATAGGTCTATCGAAGACCTGTGTCGTGACATCAGCGAATACCACACGAAACATTGGCAGAGATTGAGGATCAATGACCCCACCACGGAGCATGTTCAGAATCCTCAGGGATTCTGTCATCTTTTGCTCGGAGCAGACAAAGGTCCTTCCCTTTACTGGTCTGCTGAGCGGAAATTCCGTCCACTAGAAGATGCAGTGGATTACGCCTTCCGGGACATCATCAATAGGGAGCTAGTCAGAAGAATATTTGATCCTTTTCATCCATCCTTGCGTGAATTCACCGCGACAGATCGCGAGTTCAAGCAGACGTACGAGGGCATGAGACGAGCATGTACGTTTAATGCAAAGGCTTAATCTTATCAAATACAAGGACACTGAACGCACATTTATATTTAGCAACACAAGTCCCTTGTGGACGATGGAGGGCGTTATCTTTCCGGTATATTGACGTCCAAAGCAGCAGCCGCGTGGAGTCTGTAGATGCCGTAGCCGATTATTTGGAGAAAAAGCTTTTTGGGCCGCTTCTGTCCTCACTTCGAGACAGGAACCCAACTCCCAGATTTCTGTCCCGCTCTCAACTTTCTGCGCTGAAGACTATTCTCGCAGCTGCCTATGAATGGAACCATAAAGTTAAGTCACAATTCATGTCTCTTGACTACCATGTAAGTCTTCCCCGTGACAAGCAGTTCGATGAATGGAGTATGCAATACTTGGGGAACAAAAAAGTTGTCGATCCGTCGAGGCAGATTATCTCTGTAATTTCACTTGGCTTGGAGTCATCAGATGCTGGAGGGCCTGGAACACAGCCAAATAGAGTTTGGCAAGAAAAGATCACCGTTTTAACGGAAGATTATTTCGAGCAGGCCTAATTGATAACCTTGACTGTTGACCGTGTATTCCTGGAGTATTACAGAAGAAATGACAATGAATGTATAAGAGGGACAGTAAAACATCATCATATGCTTAATGACGGCAACGACAGGGTGTCACTGGTTCAAGAAGTGTGCAGGTATCGAGCAAAGAAAGCATCCCGCGACACCAGAATCAGTAGTCGGTCGAGTACATTGGTATCAAATTATGCCAACGCCTGTGGGCGCCGGTATCTGTTGATGCGCAATTCTTATGGAAATCCATATCGTCGCACGAACGTCTGCCGAGAGGAATCAATTGCGACCCGCGAAGAATAATTGTAGAACCTACTCGGAGCATCGGTACCATTGTGTTGTAGTGACTGGATTGTGGCACACGTCACAAAATATTGTGTGAGTGGTAATAGGTGAAATTGAATTCGCAGAAGATTTTGGTGTGGCTTTAGGGCGATCGTCAAGATCAAGATTGCTCATTCCCAAGACTGACGTCGTAGGGAGTGGGCTCCAATCACGGTCAGTTCTTGCAAAAATTAATGAGTAACTAGGTCTCATTGTGAGGTACCATACCTGGACGAGCCCTTCCGATAGGTCTGAGTCTCCCGACGGGACATCACAGGACTGAGGCGTACAGAAGATCCGTAATCCACAGGCGAGGAATACTGAGGAAGATCATCTGGATAGTCGTTATGTCTTCGGGATGTGGTCGGACTACGTTGGTTGATGCTCTGAGTGGGGGACAAGGAAGCAGAGGTATTTGACGGGGATGACGCTAGGGGAACACGAGGTGATGATCCTGGACTTCGACTGTATGTGTCAGAAGGACTCTGTTGGTATGCCAGGTCATCAGATGTACGGCCAGTGCGGCCCCTGTGCATTGAAGCCGGTGATGCGTCATGACGAGGCCATTCGGGACTGTTCAAAAGCGGTGGAGTCTCAGTAGGTACCACCACGAATGTTATTCATCGCATTTGCCTCACCCAGGTGACACTTGGAGCTCAGGCATCCGGAGCACGCCATAATCAAACGAAGGTGCTTTCTGGTGAGGCATCGGTGGCGGTGGGGGGGCTCGTGGGGGCTCGCTTCGGGGCGAACAAATGTCTAAGGAAATGGTTCATGCATTCGGACATGTACACTCACTCGAAAGGCAGTCCATCAGATGGTCTCTCGAAACCTGGGAGGCCGCTGCTCACCCTTCTGTGCGAACTCCTATCGTCTTGGAAAAAGTGATGTGAGGGTTTTGAGCTGCGATGTCGGAATGGAAAGATATCAGAAGCCGGAGAGGATTTGTCGAAACAAACTATCTCACTTAGAGAGGTTGCGTCGATTTGTCTGCGCTGCATGAAGTGACGGGCTAGGACCACGGCTAGGACCACGGCTAGGACCACGACCAGGATCATGTCTAGGGTCACGGGTCGGATCAAGACGACCATCACGGCTAGGATCGCGACTCGGGACACGGCTAGGATTGGGGGACACGAATGGCGTTCTGTTTCTTGCTGATCTATCGACGGAACTAGGAAGGGAGATGATTCAGCCTCAATATACTACAAGATCAAAGTTATCTGCAATCACTTTGGGTTTCGATACTCAGTCTGAGCCCTGGGGTGAAGAGTGGGACGAATATTTCCGTCGTCTGTGCGAGGAGGTGGCTCACTGCCTCGATGGTGTCTGTGCCTATGGCGCAGGATCAAATCAACGTTTCTAGATACTTTGATGCGAGAGAAGTAGCAACTTACCCTGGCATCCGCTCTGAGCTGGGAGAGGCCTTGCGATTCGGTCCATCACCAGGCTTAAGATGCGACACGGTTGGCCCCCGAGCCGCCCGCTGATGGGCGGGGCTGTGATTTATTCGCTCAGACGCAGTTGAACAGAACAAACGAGAAACGGGATTTACGCGGAGTTATCGAGATTCTTTGACGCTTTAACAGGGACAAAATCATGGGTCCTGTGTACAGCTCTCTTTGATGGCTGGACCGTTCGGATTTCAGATGTATGAATCATGAAATTAGCAGTTCCCAACACACATCAGTGAGGCATTTTCGGCACAGATCGAAGTCCGGGCATTGTTTGCCTGACGGGTTGGTGACTTTAGCCACAACTGAAAGTTCCACGAATGTAAACCTACAAGAGTAATAAATTCCATTCTCAGGTTTTTCACGGCATCCATCGCAAAACGTATATGCCCCTCGCGGTTCAGCGATGGTAAGAGCTCCCTGCTGAATGGAGTTGAGCAGACGGCGCAGTTCGTCGATCTCGTTGGAAACTTCAGCTTGCATTGCCTCCGAAAGTTCGTGACTATGAGAATAGTCATTCCTTGTGAAGCAATCGGTGCACTGAAAGGATGAATGTGAGCTTGGATAGACCGGACTGATGGTCGTCATTCGACACACTCACAATGTCATAGTCATCGCAAACTGGGCAGCTAAACCATCTATTCTCGAGTTTTCTGTTACATCTATCGCAGTGGAACTTCCAGAATGAAATATTTAGCTTGTAGTTGCTGAAGCGTGAATGACAACCACTCACTATGAACTTGTTAGATCGTAGGATACCACCTGTCGAAATCTATGAAGAGATAATTGAGAGACGCGCTGTTATTGGTGCTCACACCCACTCACCCCATCCAATAGAGCTTGTACTAGATCGCTGAAACCTTCAGGTGGCTCCTCTTCTGGATCAGATGGTTCCTTCTGATAATGCTGTTAGGATGCGCTGGACGTGAAAGCTGCAACAATCCTCATTTACCATCAACGCCTCCTCAAGTAAGTAGAGTGCCCCATCTGCTACTAAATATTGACCGGCCTATAGACCAAACGCGTGAACCTCCGGAGCTAGTGAGAGCACGCAATATATACCAAGCCCGCCAGACTGATGTCGTTCCCTCCGCAAAGCGCAGATGTAGTGGCATCGTACAGATGGGCACTCAGATCTTGGAATCCGTCGACCGGCCCGGAACCCTCTAATACGTTAGGCATGTTAGGCACATCAACGGACAGTATATCATGTGGCTGGCATCCCAAATCAAGAACGAGCTCGTTGAGACCAATGGCCCCGAGATGCTCCAATCCCGGGGCCACTAAGGCGAGCATAGTAGGGATGGCCACATATTTCAGTTTGATCTTCCTGAGGGTTAGATTGCGTTCCAGTGCAGCGGCTCTCAACTTCTTCCTGCGTTTCATGTTTCTCAGAAGACGGTAAACGATCCATAGGATGACAGGAAGGTGCAATGGAAGTGTTACACCGCCCGTGACGCAGTGGAAACCCAAAGTCCCGAGATGGATTGCAAGATTTGCGATTCCTGCATAGATCGCTTCGCGTTTTCTGGCCTCTTCGAGGAGAACTTGATGGTTGGAGAGCTTAGAAACTTTGGATTCACGGGGGATAAGATCAGACGTTTTCATGGGAGTGTTGGTTGAGGTTGGAACTTGAAGGGGACAAGATGATGAGCACGCTTGTCTGAAGGGTCTGTGCCTGGCAATTCAGTCATTGGTAAGGCGGTGCCATGTTTGTGAAATGGGGAGTGATCTGAGGCTTCGATCAGATCTAGGCACACGGGTAATTCAATAATGAGTTGATTGGGCGCTAAAGCTGGTTCCCAGATTGGAATCTATTATTTAGTCCTCCACAAAATTGACTAAGTCTGCGGATGGTTTACATCACTAGGTGTGGCTGACTCCATATACTGTTCCTCTATCACCCTCCACCTACGCCGGCCGCATGGTCTAGAGGTAAGATTCTCCGTTCGGGGATTCTGATCGGAGAGATCGTGGGTTCGATTCCCACTGCAGCCCCTTTTGCTGTGTCACTTGAGTGATCACCTACTCCTGCATACAACTGCTCTTGAAACGCCGATGACAAAATTTCAAGGTTGGACTGGCGTTGCCTCTGCCACTGTCGCGATTGATCCTAAGTTGTTGCAGTGGCAAAACAGCTGTGCCTCGCGTGCGTGTGAGGGCCAAGCCGAAACACTCCCGTACTTGTACTATTTGATCTACAGGCACATGTTCCACTTTGCAACTCACCAGCTGACAAACGCCACGGGGACCCCAACATTTGGATGGTGGCGGTGCCAAGGAAGTTTCCGATTGAATTCTAACGCGTACTTTGCTTCATGCCGCGCGAGCTTGTGACAGTTCAGTTAGGCCAATGTGGCAACCAGAGTGCGTCACAATCATCCTAACGCGACCTAGACTTGCTTACACACTTGTACGTAGTTGGCTCCGTGTTCTGGCAGCGACTATGCGCTGAACACGGCATAAGTCCAGATGGGATTCTCGAGGACTGGGCAACTGAAGGAGGCGATCGCAAGGATGTTTTTTTCTACCAAGCTGATGATGAGCATTACATACCCCGAGCTATTATGGTCGACTTGGAACCTCGTGCAAGTATATATCCCATCCCAGTTTGAATTGCATATGCCTAACCTGTTGTTTGGCAGGTAATTCAAAGTATTCTTACGGGTTCTCATGCGAATCTTTACAACCAAGAGAACATATATGTGTCGAAGGGGGGAGGCGGTGCGGGGAATAATTGGGCCCAAGGGTACTCTGCGGGTCAGAATACGTTCGAGGACTTGCTGGAGATGATAGAGCGAGAAGCAGAAGGAAGCGACTCGCTCGAGGTGCGTGAGATACACCTGGAAGGCTCAAATGCGTTCTCAGAAGCTGTTCTCAGGGTTTTATGATCATGCATTCTATCGCGGGAGGCACAGGCTCCGGGCTCGGTTCCTTCCTTCTTGAGCGTCTGAACGACCGTTTCCCCAAGAAACTGATCCAAACGTATTCCGTGTTCCCAAACTCACAAGAATCTGAAGTTGTTGTTCAACCATATAACTCAATTTTGACACTGAAACGACTCGTGAATCATGTTGATTCGGTAGTTGTTATCGACAATAGTGCCCTGATGCGAATAACGGCAGATCGAATGCAACTCGTGGAGCAGACTCCGAGGGCGCAGCAGACAAGTTCACCCAAGGAAACCGAAAAGTTTCACCAGGCGAACCAGCTTGTGAGTGGAAACGCTGCGCGGGACATCATGAGATGTTGATTGTTCACAGATGGCTACTGTCATGGCGGCCAGTACTCAAACCCTAAGATACCCCGGATACATGAACAATGATCTCGTTGGAGTCATCGCCTCTCTCATTCCCACTCCTCGATGTCACTTCCTAATGACCAGTTACACCCCCTTCACTAGTGATACTGTGGACAAGGTAGGCGACGAGTGATTTGCGGCGTATATGTATCACTGTTAACTCTGTCCAAGTCGAAATCGGTACGAAAGACAACAGTCCTGGACGTGATGAGGCGGCTTCTTCAACCAAAAAATCGAATGGTTTCGACAATGGGTAGCAAGTCATCTTGCTATGTATCCATCTTGAACGTCATTCAAGGGGATGTGGATCCTACTGATGTGCGTGCTGACCATCGAGCTGGACCTCCCTTAGACTAATATCATATTATTAGGTGCACCAATCGTTGCTTCGAATACGTGAACGTCAACTCGCGACATTTATCCCATGGGGGCCCGCATCCATCCAGGTAGCGCTCACACGGAGATCGCCATACGTCGCTACAACACATCGTGTGAGCGGTCTTATGCTTGCGAATCATACGTGTATGGGTTCTGTAGGTTCACACATCGTCTACCAACGGACACTTGTATCCTTACAACTTAATCGTTTTGCGCACGGCGCACGCCAGATGTTTCGAAGGGCGCTTGATCAGTTCGATAAGCTAAAGAGGAAGAATGCCTTCATGGATCAATACAAGAAAGAGGAGATGTTTTCCAACGGTCTTGGTGAATTCGACGACTCGCGGTGTGTCCTTTTTTTATACTCCTCCAATTGTGTCTGAAATGTAACGTTTCCCAGTGACGTTGTGCAAGAAGTTATGGACGAATACAAAGCTTGCGAGAGTCCTGATTACATCTCATATGTGAGCAGCGATTACCCTGCACTTTTGCCATTTGACTGACGCTAATTTGCAGGGACCGGCAGAAACTGAGGCAGCAGCTTGAACGGAACGGGTATTATCGTGTATTATATATATGTATTCCACTGTACGATACGCACCCCCACGAGCATGCCAATTCCTCTTTTGATCTATCTGTGGTCACAATGGTGTAGGACAAACCAGGTCAGAAGTCCCCCGATAGTGACCCCGGAAGCGAGATGAACGCCATGATCAAATGTCGCCCAGTCTGCTACCTTCGATTTCCAATCCTTGCTCACTGCTCGAATTCCTCCAATAGCGAGGAACGATGGCACTCGTCCATCTTTCTCCCAACCTTCATCAAGCAACGTGTCCATTATACGGTCGTCCAGAAGGCCCAGCTCCTCCAAGGTCCACGTGTTGCACAAGTCGACCATCCATTTCATGCGTTTCTTGCTGACCTCGCCTCCGACTCCGGGTGCGCGCTCCCTTAAGCGCTCACGCAACATTCCCACTTTCTCGACAATCTCGCCGATACCTCCAGAACCACTGATAGTAACGACGTGTCCCTGAATGCTGTCCCGAACCATGCTAGCGATTTTTGGGCCCTTGCCATTCGTGCTGACCATCACTTGTAAAGGTCCTGATCTTAATTGAGCACCGAAATAGAAGTCGCAGGAAGGGGGAATATCGGCGACGTTCGTAGGGATCTTACGAGCATGAGCGTGTTCGTAGATGGAGCGCGATATTTCCACGTCATCAATAGCGGTGAGGACCATATCTACACCTTCGAGATCACCACCGCCACCACCACCACTAGCAATACTGAACTCCGAAGCAGTCGAGGATGAAAGAGAAGGTTCATCCGGGAACTTAAAATTTCGGTCGTGATAAGTTATCTTTTTACTTGTGAACGGGTCGGAGAAAATACGGTAGCGAATTTCGGGATGAAGACTCTCAGAGGGCGCAACGAGCGTCACATTGGCATCGGCCTCAAGAACTTTGGCAAGACGGGTTGATGCAACTTCTCCCCCTCCTACGATAAGTACCCGCTCTCCCCTCAGCTGCCATGCAAGTAGCAGAGACCCACCGAATTCGATGGGAGGGAAGGTGGCGAGTTGAGGTGGTGGAGGTGGCGTTGATGCCATGATTTTTTTTGGCAAACCATCTTCCCACGGTCAGATGAGGCGCAAAGCCTTTGTCACTTGTGCAAGCCTTCAAATCGATCTATGATAACTACGGCGCTATGAAGGATAGTCCTGAGTGAATTGACAAAAGAACAGAGGGTTTTACATAACTGGAGTACCCGCGAGCAAGATGACTTCAGGACGCACTTTACAGCACTTGTTAGCAGTCTAGACATTGATCTCGAGCTCCTCCGGTGACAGTTACTGCTCTAAAAAATACAGACATGCCCTGTAGCAATGCTGGCCACACGTCGGCACACAAATTAACTTATTCTTAACTCGCATTTTTTTGACGAGTCATCAACAATTCCAAGATCAGCTGGAAATTTGTATCCGACGTGTGTCCCAACTTTCTACAGATTTCCATTCACATCGTTTTACAAAAGAGCACTTCCTTCAACGTTCAAACAATGAGCGACTTCGATACCAAAGTCCTTTACATTGGCCAGAAGCCAAAGGTGACGAGAACGGCTAAGACCAATGCTGAAATTAATGGTATGTAAGCGTTTTTGTGTTGTTGTTCGTGTCCGTTGGTTTTGGGCAAGACTGACAGTTCTTTTGCAAGCTGTGGGTTTCATATTTTGTCACACTTTTTTGAAGGACGCACACAACTGCTACCCCTAGGCTCGTCGCGTAGGCGCGATCGTTGCTACCAACAAGAAGGTCACCGCTGGCCTCAACAAAGCCCACCAGGGTGAGTCATCAATTGTGTTCTTTCCCCCCTGTTGTCCAGAGCTTTACTCACCCACTTTTCAAGGCCCGGACCACCGGCGAATCGCTAATTTAGACAGGGAGAACGAAGTCGCTCCTCCTGCTAAGATTGCGCCCTCTGTTGGCAAGGTCAGCGTCAAGTGACAACCGCCTCATGTCCAAAGCACCGAGTTGACTTTCCTTCCTGGCCTTTTTTTTTTCGATGACTTCTTAGGCCATCTCCGCTGCTCGTCTTGAATGCGGGCTCACTCAGAAGGAAGTGGCTCAGAAAATCAGTGAGAAGCCGAGCGTCTTGCAGGATTATGAATCTGGCAGGGCCGTCCCCAGCGACCAGATTCTCAGCAAACTCGAACGTATTTTAGCTGTCAAGCTTCGGGGTGCGTTGTTTTTCCCGTTTCTTGTGCTGTAGGATTCTACCTTTATATTCACATCGACTGGTATACAGGTTCAGAGATAGGCAAGAAACTGACACCCCCGGGGAAGAAGAATTAAGTGGGCTTTTCCTTCCTTCCGGGGCATAGTCCACTGCAAAGTGTCCTTGCGTCCGCGACACAACCGCACTGTTTCATTCTGTTCTCTCTCTCTATTTTTTTTTTTCAAGCTCGACTTTCATTCTAAGATTGCAATAGAGAGGACAGTCGTTTCGTTGTAACCCTTAAGCGCATTCTCCATTGTACTGCAGCTGTTTTCGGCTCTCATCTAATCCATATCCTTACCATGGACGTTCATCAGTTTGTGGTCTCTTGGCCTCTTCGGTCAGTTTGAGCGCCCGCGCATCTGTATCTCTCACTGGCAATCAAAGCCTCAGAGGCAATGGTCATGATCCGAGGTTGTCAGTTGAGGAGCTGAGATCAGGTCTTTGTGGTGCAAAGGCTCGGAACCACCAAAGCAAGGTCGGGTAGTGAGAAATATTTAGTCCAGAGGCCCTCTCAAGCTGTGTTGACTATGCCGCGAGATTGCAGCCCGGAATGGTACTTCGGCATTTGCCCTGCGGCTCCGCCCTTGACCAAGTTCCCTGTGATTTGATGGACATTGAATAAGACCCTTTCCGATGTCGCGTCCGTCCTTCTGCTCGTCTTTTTGCCGATATCAAAGCCATGTCACAAGAACCCCACTTGTTAGGTTTTCCTAGCTTTCATGCACGAGCCGCTTCTCCTAGCCCTTCCCCCCTTAAGCGCTGTGTCATGAATCGGAGGATGGAGGCATCGGATCGGATGCTTCGGCAAAGGATCCCGTCCATTTGAGATACGATGACATCGCTGTCGTTGTTCCCCAACCCTTTTGGTTTTCTTCCGGCTGTCCCTCGTTCTTACCCGGTCTGCTCTATTCGGTTTTGAAAGCATTCACTGTCTTCTCACTAGTCCGAAACGCCACTTGGAGAACGTGACCAGTGATTTCGCGCCACGGGGCCTTTCTAACATTGTCTCGTGCTAAAGTACATTGCTAAGGTATAAGATGGTCCAGCCCCTATATTCGCCCTTACAACCTCTCCCCCTTGCAATATTGCGATGTCGTCTGCGGCCATCTTGGAACCGACTGCCCTAGCAGGGCTGAAAACGTTATTTGATCCCAGTACCTGTACCAAGAAAGGTAAGAAGACCTTGATGTCATGCGTGGCGCATCTAAAGCTGTAACCTCACGCCCGACATTCACGATTTGGCGGTTTTAGGGTTGTGCCCTGTTAGCGATATCCGTAAGGGGCCTTCGGTGATCAGTCATTCACTTTATTATGGTGAGTCGCTACCTCATGTCATATTAAGAGACGTCTTAACCTCGGCGGTTAGAGATACATGGAACTGGGCCTGAAAAGCTGGTATTTATCATGGGGTATGAATATCTCGTCGAGGTGATGGCTTACTACGGTGAATGCTAATATTCACGCAGGCTGAATAACACCACGTTTGCATGGAGAGGTCAAGTGCGACACTTTGGGAAGCACGAAAAATATTCGGTCCTCGCCTTCGACAATCGTGGAGTTGGGAACAGTGACACCCCGAGTGGTCCATACTCGTGCGTGTGCCACTTTTTTGGCCTATGCAATGCGAGCGTTATATGCTGACCTATGTTTACTGAACGAAAGCACGAGTACTATGGCGGAAGATGTAATTACGTTGCTGGATTATGTCGGATGGAAGGGTAGGCGTCAACTGCATGTCATTGGTATCTCCATGGGCGGGATGATTGCAATGGGTACGATCCCTGTCTGTGCACCTCTATAAGTCGATGGATAGCCGACATTTCCTTTGCAATAGAACTTGCGACTAGGATTCCCGACCGTATCGCTACGTTGGGGTTAATATCGACAAAGTCCGGCCCAAGGGGTCTTGGCTCATTTCCCTCTGTGAGACTCGTCTACTTGCATCATTCGTGGTCATTTTCTCTGACGGTCTCCCATTGTGGTTTAGTACAAAGGCTTGTCTAACCTCTTGAGGTACCCCTTTCAATCATTAGGCGCTCATACATCATCACTCAGTCATTTCTTAGATCTTTGGGGACGAGGGACCCGAAGAAAAAGATCCCTTATGCTATCGAAATGCTCTACCCTCCGGAATACCTCGAGTCCCCCGTCCCTGGTGACCCGGACGGAAAGACGGGTTGGGAAGTCCAGAAAACAGTGCGTTACCAGTTCTGCGACCTCACCCCTGCTTGTCGAAGGACTGTTTCTGATCGATCCCCGGCACAGAATTTCCTCACTCGTATGGAAGTCTCCCGTCCTCAACAGCTCATCGGAGCCCTGTCTCAACTAGCCGCCACAGTAACGCATAACGTATCTCCAGAACGTCTTGCCTCTATCGCAAAATCTATTCCAAAGATTTTGATCCTAACAGGAGACTCGGACAAGGTTGTCGATCCGCGCAATTCATACTTGATAAATGAGGATATGAGGGAAGGTAGTGTAGAGTTCGTGGTGTGGGAGAAGACTGGCCATGCGCCGAATGGGCAATGGCCTCAGAGGTTTAATGAACTCATCGAGAGAGTGTGTGCGGACGGGAGGGAAAAGTCCAGCCCAGTTTCTTCGTAAGCGTCGATAAAAACGCCGGAAGTCGTCCCCCTCTGAGCAATGTGCTCGATATGACCAAATCTATTGTATACCCGTCGAGCATTGGCAGAGCTTTTACTGTGGGGCTGTGGATCGACGAGATCCATAACTCGTTAATATCGCAACTGTCACGATAAGAGCTGGCGTAACTTGCGCAGTCGTGCAGCGCAGCCGGATTTCATTCAGGATCAACAATTAACCGGGAGTCAATTCACATGTCAATTATATGTTACTATGGAGTGTGGCACTACGCCAATATTGGTGGATGATGACGATGAATTGGGTGTAAGTATTGCTATCACACAATCATGACTTGACCATATTAATGTTGATTTGGGTAGAACGGATCTCACAACAGAATGCCATGTCCAATGTTAGGCACCATTCCAAGTTTCGGATTTTACTTAAATCGCCAATTCGCCCCGGGTCCCACAATTGGCCAAATCGGACTTTAATTGGCCGCACCCGTCTCGAGAAGTGTTTTGCCCCCCCGGGGGGAGGGATATTGAGTTGGTGGAGTTCCATTAAGTAATATTGGTGATGAAGCTTGGGGAACCCCGTTTCTGACCAGGGCACGACCCATGCAGCTTCGGCGTAACCGTACACACCGCCGTTTTGGTCCCGGGACTCGGGCATCAAACAAGGCCCTAAGACCAAATCCTACCTTTAACCAAAAGGGAATTCCGAATCTACTTGGCTCCTGACGAAATCGCCACAGTGTCTACACCTTAGTTCGCCAGAAGAGTGGTGTTCGGGTCTGCTGACGCTCACCTACCCCTATCTTTTATCCCCAGCATTCTTCATTAGGTGCGAAGAAATCACTAGTCCGCCACTATCATCTGAGTTTTCAGATAGGGATCATGTGTTGGTCGTTCTCCCAGGCGGACTGAAGGGACCGAAAACGTACAACAACAAAAGCTGTCCCCCCCATCCGCATGATCGCCTCTAGGCCTGAGTTAGCCAGATCAGAACACTCTTTACGCTTTTATTGTCGAGAAAAGCCATCACTTTTCACATGTCCTGGAAAACTCGCTTACATAATCTTCGTGGTGACCGTGACGTCAATTGAAAAGCTCGAGGGGTTCTGCCGATCCCATATGGTGGCGATAAAGGATCACGCGATACCGCGCTTGCAGAGATCCCGCGACTCTTCTGTGTTAGGAACGTGTCATGAGGTCTTCTGCGGCAACTCAGAAACCTCACCGTGTTTGTTTCAGGTAGGCTGAAAGATGATGGGAATGGAACAGTGGCCAATCGGAACAGCACGACATGTCATTAAGACTTGCCTAAAATGACATACAGCTCTGATGCGGGACCGAATACTGAAATTTCTGATAATTCCAGCCCATCAATTAGCTGTAACGCGGCATACTCTTCGGAAAACTGTGGCCCAAGTTATGTATAGTATTCGATCAGCCAGTGACTATCTTGGGAAAATGGATCAGGTTCGAGAAGTGCTGACCTAGGCACATGATTGTGCGTTGGGCCCCTGTCCTGGTGCCCCTTGGTGCCCCCTACCAGCATCAACGTGATGTTACCAGCTGGAGTTTCTGCGCCTCGTGAAGTTCAGCGTTAGCCCCGCAACTTGCTTCAATTTGGAGTATTTGGATGGCACTTTCTGGGCGGCTACGGCCCGTGATGTTACATTTTCCGTCTCACGATGCATATCTCCAAGATATTATTAGGGGCTTCCATCCTAGGAGCCTTGGACTTCGAAAATTCTCACGTGGAAACACCAAGTCACCATAAGTAACCCCAAGTTATGATCTTTCTCCGCTTCCAAGTCCTCGATCCCCTAGGGGTGCAATGTCCATGGCTATCTTGGAGGAAGAGGGAAAGAGCAGCGGGCCGAGAACATTCCTTGACCCTGCTACTTGCGTCAAGAAAGGTAAGACGATTTCGGTCAGAGTCGTCTGGTATCCAAGGCCGACAATCTGAAAAAAAAAAAAAACAACCTTCCTCCGACGTTGTATCAGGGTTTTGCCCTGCTCGTGATATCCCTAGGTCGCCTTTTGTAATTAGCCATTCAATATATTATGGTGAGTTTTCTAGCCTTTCGTGCCTGTCACATCAACTTCGGCCCCTCAGACTGAGGCTCTCCCTCCATGCTCAGAGATACATGGTTCTGGACCTGAGAGGCTGGTATTCGTCATGGGGTACGTAATATGCATACTTTTAATTGAAAGACGAGCGTGCGTGTTTGTGCAGAGAACTCACACTGAAATCGACAATAGACTAAGTTTCTCCTCACTTGCATGGATGGACCAAGTACGCCACTTTGGGAAGCACGAGAAATATTCGGTCCTCGTTTTCGATAACCGTGGTGCGGGGCACAGCGACGCGCCGAAAGGCCCATACACGTATGTGTCATTCTTCAGGCTAATGTAAATACTTAACTGTCTCTATTGAACTGAAGTACGAGTGCTATGGCCGAGGATGTAGTCACTCTATTAAATTATGTCAGATGGAATGACAGGCGTCAATTACACGTCGTGGGTATGTCCATGGGGGGCATGATTGCGATGGGTATGTTCGCTGCCATGCTGCAGAGGCTCCATAGTTAAAAGGGAACATTCACGTGGGCAAACAGAGCTCGCGACTAGGATTCCGGGGCGCATTGCTTCACTATCTTTAATCTCCACAACACCTGGCTGGAGAGATCTCTGGAAATTCCCGTCTGTAGGTATCGACTACATTCATTCATCCCTACCGTTTCTGATCCCCCCGCATTTCGATCTAGTTGAGAATCTCTTACCTTCTCTTGAGGTAAGTTTATCGTATCAACATGTTGTTGATAGTTTGATTAATGATCACTTAGAGCTTTGGCAGCGAAGAAATCGAAGGAGAAAGGTCTTACTCTTTTGGAAGCACTCTTTCCTTCGGAGTACTTGTTATCACCTGTCCCTGGTAGCTCGGATGGGAGAACGGGATTGGAAGTCCAGGAAACAGTATGTTCTTGCTTTCCCTCCTCACTTCTCCGCGTACGCTGAAGGACCTCCCCCCTAAAACAAAAACAACAACTGTCGTCCCCCCCAGGGTTTTATCTCCCGCTGTGCAGTCGCGCCTCCTCAGCGACCCATTGGAACTTTCTCTCAGTTGGCTGCCGTTATGACACACTACATCTCTCCACGGCGACTCGCCTCCATCGCTTCTTCTATCCCGAAAGTTTTAATCCTAACAGGTGATGTGGATCCGCTGGTGGACCCGAGTAACTCGTATTATATGAAGGAGCAGATGAAAGGGAGTGGCGATGTCGAGTTAGTTGTGTGGGGCCAGACTAGCCATTTGATTTCTGGACAGTGGCCTGAGAGGTTCAATAAGATTATCGAGAGAGTCTGTGAAGAAGGGAGGGAGAAGGCTGCTTTTCTCTGAACATTGAGGGTGACGCTGTGTTATAAGCCTCCTTTTTTTTTTGGTGTACAGTACAATTCTCCCTATAGCGTGTTGCAGTACCATATTCGTAACCAGTAATATAATATTTGTGGTAATTTTTTTTTTATCGTCAACGTTTCATCGGAAATGATCAATTCTTGGGCCGTGCTTTTTCACACTAGAAGTTGGTATGCCTATGAGTGGTTATGAAAATGGAAGCAACGCTTACCCCATGGCTGAGGTTCGCCCACGGTCTCCTGCATGCTCTGCACCATGTCTATCAAAAACATAGTTACAATTTTAGAAAAAAATCCATCATGACGGCTCGCTGGTGCAGCAGCGTCGCATCGAACGGACAGACTAGATTCATTGGAATGGGTCGCAAGTCGTGGGTACTTATCCCCCCCCTCTTCCCCTGCCCAAGTTCTTGAACGAGCTAGTGAGAAATTAAATTGGCGTTCAATCCAGTTGTAAGTTGATTAGGGAAAAATTAAAATTAATTCTAGCGTGTTACATTTACAGGCCGGCACGCGAGTCCAAAAGCGAATCCCCGATGGCTCAAAGATGACGACAATCAAAATGAAAGAGAAATTCTAAAAGGACAAGAATTAATTGATGCGTGTATAAGACGAAATGTCGGACTAGCGATGTTGTCGCTCAGTCCCGTTCACAGTGGAAAATATATACCATTTTTCGTCTGGTAAAATACGAGCTCAAACACCACCGGAGCAGTGGTAATATACCAATTTGTAAATAGTAATTGATCAGAAATGGATACCAGACCAGACGTGGTGAATGACATCGATTTTTCTGGTGATGTACGATGTTTTTCGTGGTAAACGGCCATTTTTACCAGATTGGTAATTGGTCATTTATTGATTCATCGTTGGTACTTTACAATCTTTGGCATGGTACAATATGTTAGAATTCTTGGTTTTATGGTGTTCGCTATGATCAACTCACGTTTGGTGATGTTGAGTCGTGTGGCGTTTAGATTTACACCTATTGCCTTTCTTGGTGGCGTCCATGCCAAAGTCAGTGCGCATTCATAGCGCCTGACTATAAAACCCCAATTTTTTGGACAACCCAACTTTCCCTCAGTTCACGTACAACGGGACTGAGGTATGTTGGTTATATCATGTTTTAAATCATGTATTAAACATTAGTCCACCAGCGATAAACTCGCTAGGTGATTACTTTCTAATCTATTCTAGTTCACGTACAACGGGACTGAGCGATAAACTCGCTAGTCCAACATTTCGTCTAATACAATATGGGTTAGAGAATATTCATTTACGATGTTTTGAATGATAGTTAATACATGCGTATACATGAAGCGTGGTCATCAGAAGTGTGATGCTACAAGTGAATATGTGTCAATGGTGAGGCACAAGCAGGATGGTATCGAGAGAGATCGAATGGGAGCAGCAAAGTCAAGGCACTCTATGCGAAAGAGCATGTAGCAAGTCGGGTAAAGTTAAACGAGTTGGCGATAGCAGTGTAAGAGTGAAATGAGAGCGGATGCAGCAACCAGAGAGAAGTTCTAAAAGGCAACAGTAGTTAGTGTGTGGGTTATGACTTTGGGAGTGGTAAGTGACAGACGACATAGCTACTAGCAGGTTAAATCTTTGAACCCCTGGGTGTCGGCATTGCTCTGCCTTTCCCCTTGCTTCTTGCCATACCAGATGCTCCCTCCTCGATCGCATCACATGATGAGTTGTCGATACGGCTCTTCTTGGACTTTGGGTTGGGGCCTATCATCACCACTTTAACAGCAGTCCTCTTCCTTGTCACTTGAACTGGGTTGGGAGGCTCTTCTTCACTGTCAGTAAGTTGAAACTGGATACGATTGTTTCCTCGGGCATTTGAGGGGATAGTTTCTATTCAAAGAAGACCGGGCATGGGGGCATTGTGATGATGCAAGCGCGATGCAAGAGTTTAATAGGGAAGACATCAGTGATGCAATTAAGAACGGGGACACTGAGAAGGAATACACTTAACATAGCATCAAAGCACTTACTTTTAGGAGCTACAGCTGTTTTCGGTGCAGCAGCACTGGTGCATGTATTTCTGAGCGCAGCTGGCTTGTTTGGGCGACCATTTGCCAGAGTCGGAATTGACGAACGATCACTATCCTCTTGTTCATGGCTTGCATTGCCTTCATGTTCAGAATCCCTGGTGTTTTCGCCATCATTGTGATCTATGACCTCGGGATTATCACTTCCGCCACCGACATGAGTCTCATCACTTGTAGGATTCGTTTTGGCACCTAGGTGATGGTTAGGGTAGAGCACCTCTGCACAGAACAAGATAGGACAAACGGCCCACACGGCGTTTGCCACGATTGCCTCTTGCATTCACGATCACATTCATAATTAGGACTTCAGCGATCCACGAGTTTTCGTAGTCAGTCTCAAGCTCAGGGTGTTTTGAAATAAGCTTTGAGAGCCCAAGTCAGTCAAAAATGCCAATGCGCAAGAGTGAAAGGGGCTAACTCTTCTAAGCATAACATTCCTTTGAGTTGTTGGCACCTCACCCCATGTAACCTCTCCAAGGGTATCGAGTGTGCGTGAGACTGCATGTTGGGCATCGCGCTACAGAAGATCATGTGAAAGTGAGATCTAGGCTCGGGGTTGGTTAACATACCAAAAGTTGAATATACTCGTTTCGTTCCATGCCAAGGGTCTCTTCTATGGAGTACTTTTTACGGTTTCCTCGGCCTCGTGGATCAGGAATCTTGATTTTCTGTGCAACAGAGCGATCCGCGGATTGGGTGAGTCCCATGAGTGTATGCTACACTTACCATAGCAACTGGAGGCATAATAAAAAGGGGAGTGTATCAATAGTCTGATGAGGGACAAAAGACGCGTGGAAAGATGGAAAGACGTGTGGAAAGACACGCAAAAGATGTATGATAGGGTATGTGTCAGATGAGGCTAATGACATTGGAATTCTGATGTTCATAGTTCATTTGCCATGAAAAGTGTGTTGTCTCACCAGTAGAGCAATATAACAGGCTAAGAGACCTTAATGAAGCGTGTTTTTGTGCAAAGTACACAACAGTGTTTAAAGTGCGGAGGATAGACGGCGGGAGGTAAGATGCTCGGGAGTTGCCAAATGTAACTTAGGCGCCACAACTATCAACGCGTCAGACCAGTGCTGCACTGTCCTAGAACATCAAAAGCTCTGAAGTATTCTATCTATTACTCATGGACTCCAAACAATCTACGTGTCCTTGCTGTGGTAAACAAGGTCTCTCCAAGCGAACTATCCGACGGCACCTCCAGCGACTAGAGCAAGATATATCAGACAATGAAATGATACTCTCTGGCAATGATGACTTAGTATCCAAGAGCGATTCTTCATCATACCTCTCAGATGATGTGATGAACATGTCCGATATGGACAATTCCACCCCAAACACGCCACTCTCCAGTCATCATGATGAACCACCTTTGCCATCTTGCTGGAATGCATTAGACACCAATGAAATGTCAAACGAACCTGTCAACACACTGGCAGAAAAGTTTTCTGGGCTATCTCTTATACTGGAGTCACACTTTGAGCCCGAGGTGGCTCCGGACTTGGAAGACGATGTGGATCCCCTGACCCCACAAGGTGTAGCTGAACCTCGTGAGACAGGCTATGAATCTGGTGGTGATTCAGATGGGGACTCTTTGATGGGCTCATTCTATGACCTGGGGCTGGATGAAGAACTCCGTGATATATATCGATTCAGTAAGTATCATGATTAACCTGCCACACACCTTTCTTCGCATTCATGTGTAACGTCTTCTATTAGACATCCAAAGTTTGTCAGAAGAAGACATCGATTCAATCAAGATGTTCAACTTTATCAGAAACACAAACCTTTCACGGAAGGCTTATGCTCAACTTGCTAAATTCTGGGGCAGTCGCATCCACATTGAGTCCCTATACAAGTTATTTCGCCGGATTTCGGAGTTATCAAATATTGAGACCACAGTCTATGACTGCTGCATTAATAGCTGTTGTGCATTTACAGGGACCGATTACAAAACTGCCGAATTGTGCCCATATTGCCATGAACCTAGATTTGACAAGCACCGCCGGAGTCGAAACACATTTGAATACATTCCTCTTACATCTCGCATCAAATCCATGTTCCTCAACTGCAGTCTGACCGAGAGAATGACATACCGTTCGAACTTTGAATTCAACGCTGGCTGTTATGACGACGTCTTCAGTGGTTCTCACTACCAACATCTCACCTCCGAATATGTTGTTGTCGATGGAGTGAGACATCCCCATCTTTTCTTCAGTGATTCTTGTGACATTGCTCTGGGTATCTTGACTGATGGCTTCCAGATATTCAAACGCAAGTCAAACGCAACATGCTGGCCAATCATTGCTCTGAATTTCAACCTGCCACCCACTGAACGAACGCACACCCAGAATATCATCCCTATTGCCCTTATCCCTGGTCCTCGGTCCCCTCGCCACATGTCATCATTTCTCCGACCCCTAATTGATGAGTGCAAACAACTTGCTATTGGATTGCGCACATACGATGCTAAACTTGATGAGTGTTTTGATCTCCATGTTTATCCGATATCAGCACATGCAGACATGCCGGCAGCCAAACATCTCATGGAGCTCAAGGGGTCAAATGCATTTCGTCCATGTCGAGCGTGTGAGATCTATGGTGTACGAGGTAATAGGTCCTCAGTGTACTATGTGCCACTCAGTCAGCCGAGAGCAGCAGGCACTGAGGAAGGTGAATGGGACCCTCACCACCTGCCGATGCGCTCGCAAGAACGGTACGAGGTTATGCTTGAAGACATTGCATCCCAAACTACCAAAACTGCTCGGGATGATCTACGTCAGCATTATGGAATCTCGCATATCAGTGAGATATGTGAACTTCCTTCGATGAAACTATTCAAGTCATTTCCGCATGAGTGGATGCATTTGGTACTCGAAAACCATGGAAAGAACTTGATTCATCTCTGGAAAGGAACCTATAAAGGACTCGACGAAGGGAAAGAACGCTATGTCATTGCGGAAGGGGCATGGGTGCAGATCGGACTAGAGACTGCTGCGTCATCTGCAACAATACCATCTTCATTTGGTCGACGAACACCAAATATCTGGACGGAGCAGCACTTGTTCACCGCTGAAGACTACGCTCACTGGTTTCTCTACGTTGCACCATTTGTCCTGAAGGATCGATTCCCCTCTCGTAAAATCTACAAACACTTCATGCTTTTCCATTCAATTGTTCGGACAACGATTCAGTTTTCCATCACCAAAGAAGAAGTCAACTTGCTGCGAGAGACCGCAATTACATATGTCCAGCAGTATGAAAAGTAAGTGAACAGCATCTGATCTGAATCACATAGCTAACTGTTGGCCAGGTTGTACTACCAGGGCGCTGCTGAGCATCTCTCAACATGCCCACTAACCCTGCATGCGCTCCTTCACTTGCCTGACGATATCGAGAAGAATGGCCCACCATGCATGAACTGGTCATTCGTAATGGAACGCTGGTGTGGCCGACTCCTTCCCGCGATCAAGTCGCGAGTGTATCCGTACAAGTCATTGACTCGCCAACAACTCGCAATTGCACAGGAGAACTCGATTCTTGCGCAGTATGACCTTTTTGATGTCATACATGGTCCAACGGTTGATCCAGATGACTCACGATGCAGGGAAGAAATCCTCAGTGAAGGTATGTGTTCGTGTCGACTCTATGCATTAAAACTAATTTCCACAGCACCCGCATCTATCCTCCGGAGCCCGTGCAATAAGGACTATGTCCCTGATGCCTCACTTCGACGTAAAATCGCAATTTACTTCACTAATGTGTATCTCAAACCATTTCATGAGATTATCAGATGGCTGCCGGAAGTCATGCCACGATGGGGGAAGTCACGTATTGCGGGTGGAGGTGATAAAGTGTGCACCTCTTGGGCACAAAGTCGACGGAAGAACTATCGTGATGCATCTTTTGTTAGGGTGAGTTGTCTGATTGCTCTCTAATCAAACATTTTGCTGAGTGCAACTCAGTATGAGGTTGCTGTAGATTCAAATCCCCGTGTCCGTCGAAAGACGCCCCTTATCAAGCAAATTTGCTACGGCATACTGTATGAGATACTAGTATGCACTCTCCCGACTTCGAATTTCCTGGGCACCGATGCGCCAACGACTCATGTACTCGCTCTTGTTTCTGATTGTGGAGCTCATGACAATGCTGCGCTCACTCCAGTCTCCTTCACTTCTCTCTCAGAGACGACACAGATTATCGCGTTAGCATCGGTATCATCAGTATGTGGTCGGTTTTGTTATGGAACAGCATCGCCGCGATGGGCAATTGTAGACCGTAGTATTGAGCTTGCACGGCCCATTTTTGACGTCGATGATGATTAATTACATTGCGCTTTACTGTAATACAGGTGTACGTAACATGAAATCCTACTTATGTATCACGTCGCTGAATACCATAAAATATCTGGTAAAATATGAGCGCAAAACTTGGTAACTCGACTCACCAACCCTCGTCAGGCATGTTGGTACATTACCATTCCTCAATTACCACCCGAAACTTAGTAAATGGTCCTTTCGAAAACTTGGTAATTTACCAAGGTTTACTTCCCACAGTGCGTTGTACGTGAACTAAATGTATTAGAATAATCACCTAGCGATGTTGTCGCTGGTGTACGAGTGTTCAATACATGAGATACAAAGGACAAACAAGATATAACCAACTCACCTCAGTCCCGTTGTACGTGAACTGAGGAAAGGTTGGGTTGCCCAAAATTTAAGATTTTATAGTCAGGCGCTATGAATGCGCACTGACTTTGGCACGGGTGTCACCAAGAAAGGTAATTGGCGAAAATCTAATACGCCACACGACTCAACATCACCAAACGTGAGTTGGTCATAGCGTACGCCATTATACCAAGAATTCTAACAGGATCAGAGTATTCTGCTTCAAAAAATCGTAAAAGGCACCGCCAGCCGTGGGAATACTGTAGAGTTGACCGTTGTACAGCCTCACGAGCGACAACCCGACCGATGAAGGCAAAGCACTTCCACCGTTGGATATCTGTTACTGTTATATTCATAAACTTCACTTTAGATCGCTGTAGAAGGCTGCTGTCATGGAGAGCTCGACGCTACGTACAAGCAAATCACTTATCTCCAAATGAAAGACAACTACAACATCGATCTTCTTCTCATCAATGGTGACTTCCAGGCCATCAGGAATAATGCAGATTTGGCATGCATGGCTGTGCCAGATAAGTATCGCCGTCTTGGCGGGTTTTACAAGTGAGTGGATTGAATGTACAAGCTGGTTGTAGGGGACCGAGTTCTTGCAACCAGTCGGCTCGCTGTTTTCATCGTTGACGTTTCTATTCTTTTTTTAGGTATTACACTGGAGAGAAAGTGGCACCTGTGCTTACCATTATCATTGGGGGGAATCATGAAGCAAGTAATTACCTTTGGGAGCTGTGGGTCAACCTAGGTGTGACGTGGGTGCCACTGATATTAACCCCCCGGATTTTTCGAATTAGATACCACGGAGGTTGGCTTGCACCGAACATCTACTATTTAGGATGTGCGGGAGTTGTGAATCTGAATGGGATTCGCATCGCGGGCATTTCGGGAATTTACAATTACCATTCATACTCGTTGGGTGAGGGACAACCAATTTTTTTTTTCTCCACGCGCGTGGTTATAGGAATCGCTAATTGATATACATGCGTAGGGCATTTCGAAAAGCTACCTTATGACAAGTCGACCCTCCGAAGCATATATCATGTTCGGCATTACGACGTTTTCCGAATTCTTCAGGTACTGTCACCACATTCGACTTACTTTGTTTTAAAGCCCTGAATGTTATACGTCATCTCACGGACATTCTGTAGCTGTCCCCGCCAGATATCTTTTTATCCCACGATTGGCCTAAATCAATTGAACACCATGGTGATCTTGCCTCGCTTTTATCGCAAAAACCGTTCTTCAGGCCAGATGTGGAGAGTGGCAAGCTTGGATCCCCTCCTCTTGCGACGATACTGGAAAAGCTTAGACCTAAATGGTGGTTTTCTGCCCATTTACATGTCAAGTACGAGGCGACGTATCGACACGGTGGTAACACGACTTCTGCTGAATCACCATTGTTACCGCGTGGAGCGACCAAGAACCCTGATGAAATTACCATCGATGATGACGAGTTTGATGACGAGCAGCCTTCCGCCCTCGTTGACACCTCTGAGAATGTCACTGCACCCGAATTGTCGAGCGAGTTACCTTCATCGTCCGAGGAACCTGCAGGCAGCGCGGAAACAAAATTTCTAGCATTGGATAAATGCTTGCCCAAACGACAATACCTCGAAGTAATTGACATTCCTTCGCCATTTGATGATACCCCCGTCGCATCGGGACCAGCGACTTCCGCTGATATTAATGACCCTTCAACTTCATCACTCGAATCTCTCCTCCCAACATCCTTTACTGGTCGTCAAGCGAAAACATCCTCACCCCCTCCACCATCATCAGCCCTAGATCCAAAATTACATCTCACATACGACACAGAATGGCTAGCCATAACCAGAGCCCTCCATCCCTATCTCTCTCTATCACGCCTACAGGATCCACTTCCATCCATGGAAGAAGCGCGAAAGATGGTTCAGAAGGAGCTGGAGTGGATCAAAGAGAACGTCGGCGAAGGGAAGAAGATTGAAAATGTGCAGAAATTCTGTATGACCGCTCCTGGACCCAAAAAGGTGGATGGAAAACAACGTGCGTGTCTCCGTTCTTTTCCTCTCACTTCTATCGATCCCCCTTATGGTGCTTTTCTGTTTGATACGATGATCAGGACTGAAATTGACCTTTTATTTGACCTGGTTTGGTGGCTGGCACTCTTCCTGCTTTCTTTAGCGATACGATATATAAATCCTCAAACAATCGCGTTCTGTTCGGCACTAGATATTGAAAATAAGTTGTAGTATCTCCTGTACGGGGTTTTGCTGTAGTTCTTGCATGTCAAGGTCGTGAGGAATACCTGGCCATAAACTCGGTACAGAGTGTCATTGTGTTGCCGCGTCCATGGTTTTCATATCCTAAGTATATTGTTCCATGTTGTCCCGTCTGATCGTTTGGGTTTTAGGATCGGGTTATATGCAGAGCATGTAGCTAGCGCTATTGATGAAATGGATCTTCCCCTTCCCACTTTTGCTGGACCAACAGCGCCGAGTTCTCATCCATTCAGTCATGCCAATCTAGCAGACCCACTGTCAGGCAGTTCTTGTTACTGTCTTCTCACGTCGATCCACCGCATGCAATCGGTAACTTTTCTCGGTTATCTTATCTATTGGTTCTGTTCTACAGTCGGTACGGCCCCCTCGTCCCCGGCTTGGAGCAGCGCTGTTGCGTGTAAGTGTTTCGGTCTTGCTGCGAATGTGACCTTAATTCGGCGAGCAGGACCCGGAACGGCTCAGCCGCTGCCTCCTTTCGGTTGTCTGCTCTTTCCACGGGGTAATCATGCAGCGAAATCTGTCTCACTACTTGTGTACGTTCAAAGGGGGGATATCAGTGCAGGACATCAGCTTGCTCCATTTGTAATGCACCTTCCCTTTTCGTCGCGAATGAATTGAGAGCGCTGTCCGTACCCGTTTAGGTTGTCAGCTTACCCACGTGTTGACTGGGATTCTCGGAGGTCAACCAGTGAAGGCCTGTTTGCTCTGCGAGCCCCATGATGGACGCATCATCGGCTGCCCTGATAGAAGGCCTGCGGGAAGCTGCCAAGGCCAAGGCGAAAGATCTCAGTGGACAGTTCGATCCCTCTCCCCGGCGCCTTGTTGGCTCAGGTGGCTACTCTACTGTCTATGTCGCGGCTTGGAGGCCTCTTCAGCGTGAAAACCCAGTAAACGTTAGTACCTTCTCTCCGGAGCACCCCCGGATTGATCATTTTCGCGCCAGGTCTGCTATAAGGAGCTTCGCCCGCCCGTAAGCAACCTGCATGAAACCGTGTATATGATTAAAAAAACGGTCAAGGCGAGTCCCCAATATTCCTGTAAACAGGGAATCCTCCTTATGACAGGCATCCAGTACCTCACCCGTGAGATGGAAATTTGGAGCGAATTGGATCATCCCCACATTCTCAAGTTCCTTGGTTTTGCCATTGAAGGGGTCGGGTGCGATGTAAAGGGTGTATTGATTTCTCCTTGGTGCTCAAATGGGAGCATACTTGAGTATCTACAGAAGAACCCAGACTCAGAAAAGATTAATTTGGTAAGGACTACTTGACCATCCATTCGCTTTCGGAATACAATGGATATACTGTGACACTTTAGGTGAGCGGTATCGCAAAAGGACTGGACTATTTACATCACCGGATGCCAGCCATTATTCATGGTGATCTTAAGCCTGTTAGCCCAACTTCCTCCTGTCATTCGCGTTCATTTCGCTCATCTCATCTCAAAGGCAAACGTTCTCGTTAGCGATGACCACAACGCAATACTATGCGATTTTGGCTTATCTCGCTTCAGCAGTGAACTCTCCACCGGTCAAACGTCCTCAGCCACCAATTTCACAATCAGGTTCGCCCCTCTGGAGATATTGGATGAGAAGAGGAAGAGCACTGAAAGCGACGTCTACTCATTTGCATGTACATGTATTCCGGTGAGTCGGATACCTTTCTTGCTGATGTAGTAGTGGAGAAGTTCATGACCCCCAACCTGACTAGATACTGTTCGGCAAACAACCATATTCCGATTTGAGTGACATGCAAATATTGGGCAGGCACCCGCAGCTCCAGAAAAAAGCTCCTTGGGACTGGGACTTCGAGGACCCACTTCAGCGCACTCTGTCCCACTGCTGTTCTGTAGTGCCCGAGAATCGCCCTTCTATTCGGAAGGTACTGCAAACTGTCATTTCTGCTGAATCTAAGTCGTACCCGTTTTGTGGAGACACCGAGAATGTCCCGAAGAGTATCATAACGGGTTTTTCATATCCTTCACCTCACGACGCTTCCATGCTAAATACGTCCGAGCCTTCCAGTGAGTCATCGGACTTCCGACTGATGTAATCCATGTTCACATGGTGGCAGATACTTTGTCTGCCGAGGAACCAAATGGCGGTGAAGATATTGTTCCCCGTCCTGTATGTCATCGTGATCGTTCCTCGCAGAGATTACTTACATGAAACTGGTCAGACAAAGCTTCTCCGGAAGCTGTGGTTGAGACGCCAGGGCACAAATGACAATCAAGGACCAGTGCCCCCTGCGGACCAAGCATCTGGGTCCAGTTCGAGTGTGCCTCCAACATTCTTTGGCGGAGACGACTCGTCCCTGCATCAGTCCCGGAAACCTTTGCCCGACCGTGATTACGATCTATCTGCCATGCATATTTCTAAGAGAGTTCTCTCAAAATCATCGCGGGGTCAGCCGGTTCCAAGCGCGTCTTCTGCCATGTCTGGATTGTCGTTTTCAGGCGCCACGAGTGCCAATATTATTTGGAACGGCGTTCTGAACGCGCTGTGTATTGCGAATGATACTTTAGATAGTGTCCCAGTTCCTGGCCTTAGGGGTGCAATACATGGCTTTCTCGAAGTAGTTAAACAGTTGAAGGTGCGTTCATTCAAAGGCTTTGTCCGAATAACATCCCACATAGCCCCTTGGGCTTTTACAGACGGTCGGAGGAATCAACGATGCGATCAGCGAACTCCAGAACAGCATCAAACTCTTTAATCGGTCAGTTTTGAAAGCGCTCAAACGATACCAACGACAAGATGCTGTGTCTCCTGAACTTGTCCAGCCCATCGAGACTTTATCAAGGTGTGTTATGCCCCCTCAGTGCTTCTCGGAGGTGGAATCCAACCGTTCCTTTCAGTGAACTTATTGCGATCACTATGCCACTCCAATCATACTGCAAGAAGAGCACTGTTTACCTGTGGGTGAATCGCGACAAATTTCAAGGTGCTATCCGCTTAGCCGGGCAAAGAGTGCACAATTCTGTAATAGCCTTTCAGGTATGTGGTTCTCCACTGCCTGTGTATCATTCACTTAGTCCTGATTTTAAGGCTACGCACGTGGCCAGGGTTCGCTTAGGAGTGGCTCCGATTGAGGTGTGGTACAATTCATACAGTCTCTTAAACTCCGAGTTAACCAGTGCCCCGAAAACTTCAGGACGAGATGAAGAAGGTAGTTGTCCGACCCTGGCGCAAAAATCATAGGTTCTGATTTTTTCCAGGTACAAAGTCGCGAGGGAGCCCTAAAAGAAAAAGCAAAGCAGTTGGAGTCCTATCTCAACACGCTCCCTTCTACTGGTGACGCTAGTCATGACACCAACCGACTTGGCGCACCATCCATCTGTTTTCCGGGAACGAGAAGTGAAATTCTGTGGACCATTAAGCAGTGGTTTCGCCGACCCATCAGTGATACGACTAAACCAGTGTTCTGGGTTAATGGCCTAGCCGGGATCGGAAAATCGACTATCGCATGTACCATTGCGCAGGATGCTAACGAGTCTGGACACCTTGGATCTAGTTTCTTCTTTTCCCGTCAACATGCCGAGTTGTCTAGTGCCAAGTTCTTCCTCGGGACAATCGTGCGGAACATCGCTATGAAACTTCCCGAATTCGGTGCGGCTGTTGCGGAGGCATTGAAGGAAGATAGTAACCTTCCCCGTGCTTCCCCTCTCACCCAATACTCCTCACTACTTTTCACACCCCTTCGAGGCCTCGAGGTTTCCAAGCCTCTACTCCTGGTAATTGATGCTCTAGATCAGTGTAAGAGGACGATGCGAATGGAGCAAAAGAAATTCTCCGCCACCTTATCTCCGGCTACGCTGGCATCCCGGCCTCCGTATACTCATAACAAGCCGACCAGAGTCTCATATAGTCACGGAGCTCATGAATGTGGACAAAATTGTGATTCATGAAATTGATAAGCACGTCGCTTCGCGAGATATCGAGTTATATCTTCGGGGTCAGCTCCACGTCGTTTCCGAACGATTCAGTGACAGGGTCTCCAAAGGGTGGCTCACATCCGCCATGGTCTCGGCTCTTGCGAAGAAAGCTGATCGGCTCTTCATCTGGGCTGCTACTGTTGTCAAGTACATAGATAGCGATGACGTTCTGGATCCCATGGATCAACTGGAATCCATCCTAGAGGACAGTCAGACGACTGAAGTGGGTCCTTACGCGGAGCTCGATAAGCTTTACGAAAGAGTTTATTGGCTTGCGTTACCAAAACCCCTCGAGAAGCACGTCGACCTCTACCGACTTCTCCACACTATCGTCCTGCTCAAGAGCTCGTTGCCCCTGAAAGCGCTTGGCGCTTTTGTCATGATCTCCAATCCTACACTCATGCTCACACACACCCAATCCATCATACCGCTACCCCCGCTGCCAGAAGGAAGAGTTGAAGTCTACCATCCATCTTTTCCGGATTTTTTACTTCAGCGGTGTAAGGATCCCGAGTTCAGGGTGGATGTGGAGAAGCACGAGCGGTGGATGGCGCTCCGCTGCCTGGATCTTCTCGTCGCTGAGCTTGTTCCGGCTGTAGATGAGATTGTGCCATGGTATTCACTTAATGCGGATGTGGAGGATTTAGGTGACAAGCTCGGTTCCCTAGTGGGGAAGAAGTGCAGTACGCGTGTCGCTTTGGGCATCGCATCTGAGAAACCTTCGATCGGTTGATGAAGAGGTTAGAGATGCACTGGAGAAATTCACTGGTTCGGGGGTGATGTTGTACAAGGCCTCTTACTGCGATGGATGAAAGTAATGAGTATGATGGGGCTTGTGGGTGATGCGGCCAGAAGTCTAGGAGACATTCTTCCTGGGTAGTTAGTACTTGCGCTGTTTCGCTCGAGAACATGTCACTCACCATCAAATTAGAGAAGTACTAATATCCTGGTCCACGTTGCCCCCGTTTTACACGATGCTTTCCGGATGATTTTAACTTATGCGCCAACCATCGAAGCCAGCGCAGCCCACATCACCCAGTCCATCTTCCCACCAACAGCCAGCTGACGGGGACTTCCCAAGAAGCACCCGATCCAACCGTAACTGTACGCGCGGGATGCGATTCAGAATGGCCTCTCGATATTGCCACTTTAACTGGCCACTCTGATACGGTGACCGCTGTGGTCTTCTCCCCAGATGGATCACTCCTGGCCTCATCATCGGATGACAGTACCATCAAGCTATGGGACCCTCACACTAGAAGCTGTCTCAGAACACTTGGGGCCACTCTAAATCTGAATGGACGAGATCCACAGCCTTCTCTGGAGATGGTCTGCTTCTAGCATCAGCATGCGATGATTACACCATCAGGCTGTGGGACCCTGATAGTGGGAGCAATGTGAGGACCCTTGAGGACCCTTCCCATATGCCGATATATGTGACCTTCTCCTCGGATGGATCGCGTCTGGCATCTGCGTCATCTGATCATACCGTCAGACTGTGGGACCCTCGCACTGGGAACCACCTCAACACACTTAAAGGTCATACCAGTTGGGTGAGATCTGTGACCTTCTCCCCAGATGGAATGATTGTGGCATCAGCATCAGATGATCACACTGCCAGGTTGTGGAACGTTCGCAATGGAAAACATATTAGGACACTTGCAGGCCATTCTTATTGGGTAAGATCCGTGGCCTTCTCTCCGGATGGGTTGCTTCTGGCAACTGGATCAGAAGATTGTACCATCAAGCTGTGGGACCCTCACACAGGAGCCGACCTCAAGACACTTGAGGGCCATTCTGATGCCGTGAGGTGTGTGTCATTCTCCCCAGATGGATCACTCTTGGCATCTGCATCGGAAGATTACACAATCAGCCTATGGGACCATCACAGTGGGAACCACCTCAGGACGCTGAAGGGCCATTCTCATTGCTTGAAATTTGTGCCTTCTCCCCGGATGGATTGGTCATGGCATCAGCATCAGATGATCATACCGTCAAGATGTGGGATCCTCACACTGGGAACCACCCTAAGGCACTCGGAGGTCATTCTGTTTGGTGACATCTGTAGCCTTCTCTCCAAATACATCGCTCCTAGCATCAGCATCAGGTGACTGCACCATTAAGCTTTGGGACCCTCACACTGGGAACCATCTCCAGATACTTGAGGGCCATTCTCATTGGGTGAGATCCGTAGCCTTCTCCCCTGATGGATTACTCCTGGCATCAGCATCATCCGATTGTACCATCAGGCTTTGGGACATTCAGACTAGGACTGCAAAGATACTTGAGGGCCATTCTCATTCAGTGACATCTGTGGCCTTCTCCCTGGATGGACTCCTCGCATCGGCATCATCCGATTGTACCATCAGGCTGTGGGACTCCCGCACAGGAGACCACCTCAGGACCCTCAAGGGCCATTCTGACTGGGTGACATCTGTAGCCTTCTCCCCAGATGGATCGACCCTGGCATCAGAATCAAATGATCATACCATTAGGTTGTGGAACCCTCACACCGGCAGTCCCCTCAAGATACTTGAGGACCATTCTGATTCAATGAAATACGGAGCTTCTAGTATGCATTATGTAGCTTTCCAACAAGGGGTTTCAAAGAGTGCACTACACATAAGGGATGGACAGTGGCTTTGCGTTGACACCGCTTATCTTTTTTCTCTACCGCTTAATCTTTCCACCTGGGTTTCTCAAGGATCTTTAGCAGCTTTTGGATTTACAAACGGTTGCGTTCTCATTCTTGATGTCTCGTCTGCCCTTGCTCAGCTTGGCTGCACATAAGTTATTGTTTTTCCGTCACGATTTGGAAGTTTGGCTTGAAGCGATATTATTACTGCATGTGTGTACCATTGGCATTGGTGCCAATGTGCAACCGAATAAAAGTTCTTCTACGTGGGAATGGGAGATAGCTCCGCACGGAATGCAATAGGACCAGTTGTGCATTTTGTGGATACTGGAGGGGATTGGGTGGGTCGTAAACACCATTTTGGCGGTTAAGAACCCGTTTTAGGCGGTAAAACCGGGTGAATTGGCAAGACTTTAGCGTGGAGCCGTAAGGTTGGGACAAAAATATACAGAGTATACAACTCGATAACGCGTAATATCCCAAAGGAAACAAACAGCCTATAGAGCTTCCTTGATCCTGAATTGCTGGATGAGCATCTGGATCGCAAATGTCACCCTCGTGGATAGCGAACAGTGCCTCGCTTCCGGGGACATTAGTACACACGCGGGTATGGGTGTTGCTTTGTCTCTTCAAGTTCCTGGGTTACAGACTATTGCAAGCCGCCATTGCACAAGGGATAGACGTACCTGCGCGCAGGTTGTGGTGTGAGCAAGGATATTCCCCCAATTTCTTATCGCTGATCTCGCCATACATTGCTACTGCCGCATCTGGAGGGAGACAAGACTTGGTTGTTTATTGCGACAGCGACCCGTACTATAACCACGCATTGTGAAACTAGCTCGCCGAAGTGTAAGGTTGCACTTGTCTCATCTCCAAAGGAACTTCCCTAGATCCTAGGCCCTGCCGACTCGCCACAAGCTCCCCTCGCCCGTTATAACCAACTCGATTTGGAGCAGCGATAGAATCTATAGGGAGGACTGCAAATCTTTCAGGAACCGGAGCGCGCATCAACGGCGAATGGCATGAATTAGTAGTTATGTATCGACCGAGTAAAAGTAGTACACACATCCCATTCAACAGGTGTCCATCATACAAATGTGCTAACGTAGCTCAATTATGCAGTGACATCCCAAATTCTAATGAGGAAATAATCACAAACAACAGGAAAAGACTGCGTACCACAAGCCCTTCAATCAAAACAAAAATCCAGAAGCAATCATCATTCCCACGACAAAGCTCATAGCCGCATAACCAGCGCTCAACTTCCTCATCTCACGCCCTCCACGACTCCTCACAGCAGCCCCCGACTTCGCACCCTCACTCCCCGCCTTAACCCAATCCCCATATGCCGCATTCAACAGCAAAACAAAACTCTCCCCTTCAGGACTCCTACTTCCCAACTGCCTAAAAGTGTCGGATCTACGACGGGGTACAACCACCCTTCCACATCAATATGACCACCTGGTGAGTTCTTCCCGCCTCTGTAGAAAAGACACTCGATCGGAGATGCTCAGCATTCTGCACGTGTCCGTAAGATTTGGAAAGGATGGCGAGGCGGTAGACTGCGGAAGCCATCAGGACTGAGCCAGAGGCTTCTAGAAAGGATGTGTTGTCATCGACGTAGTTTCGGCTGAGGGAAGTCGAGGAATCCTAGATGGGACATAGTGAGTGGCCGAGTAATGTGAAAGGGGAAATAGAACAGGAGGTCAATGAACGGGGCCGTCCGTAACTGACCTGATATGGATAGAATGCATCGAAGATCTCCTCTGCCCAACTGGTCAAATCCTCCCTTTGGCTCTGCATCTCCCCGGAAAACTGCGAGTTTTGAATCGTCGCCAACACACGTACGATACCTGCTGCTGCCCATGCATTACCTATCATCATCACATTCACCAAGATCAGCAGTCAGCGATCGCACTGCATCCCCCCCAAGAAGAAAAAAAAAACATAAGAAAAAACGCATCCCCCACTCACCGGTTGACCAATTCCCCGTATCTATCTCCTCTCCCAACGCAATGTGCTGCCAGAGTCCGCTCGGTCGCTTCAGCACGTCCCTATAGAGCAATATCTGCCTGTACGCCTCCTGAACCAGTGACCTATTATTCGTTACGACGCCGTAGTAGGCAAAGAAGGGTGGGCACATGTATACGAAGTCCCTGTAGAAAACGAGGAAGCGATACGTAAGCGGCATGAAGGAAGGTCATTCGTATCGAAGGTCTTTAAGTCAAAAATCGTTGAATAGTGTCGGATCAGTGTACGGTGTTTGGGATGTGAACGATAATCGGGAGAATGAGACGTCGGCTGGCGCCAACCAGCGCAACAGCAAACCAGGATCTAAACGAAACATGCTAGGAAAACATGGTACTTACGACCAAAGCTGTACCTAATACGCATATCAAGGACAAGGCATTTTCCAAGAGCGACCAGTCGCCGAGTCATTACGTAATATATGTAATAAATGAATTGACGTCATCAAAGTGCTTTCGCCACCAACCACGCACCAACACTACACATCCACGGGCGGAAGGATACCGGCAGGATGTGCAGCGCCGTGGCCGTGGGCGGCATAAGTGAAAGAGGAACACACTACATACCTCGTTCACACGATGTGATATCGCTCCATTTGGTGCCCGAGGCACTTCTGTAAGTAGATATTGAACTTGTTCCCATGCAGCTGAGGCGAAAGTGACGTTCGGAATGCCTGTATCAGCGCCTGTGAGATTTCCCAGTATGACGGCCACCCCCAGACTTGTTACGTTGCATAAGTCGCGAAGTTGGAGTGGGGAAGCGACCAAGGAAACGGGAACCACCATCGAGAAGCAAGAAAGAAACCAAGAGCCACAAAGTTTCCATCAGAGAAGAAATCGCCGTTATCAAACCGATTTCGATAAGAATTCTCAAAGGGGGGGAATTGAAGATCTACGAACCTCGCGGGATCGCCGGCGGAAGTATCTTCAATAATCGCAAGTGATTGATTCCGCTGTCGGAGTGCATTTCGAGCGAAATAAAGAATGGAATTTATCTTGGATTCTGTGAGACCTGAGGATGGTTTGAAGGGCGGCGAGGTTGGAAAACTGAAAGGCGGAGATCGTTTTCGAGGATTGCTTCCTGTGGATGATCGGGTAAAAAATGTGGCGTTTGCATCAAAGTGGAGCGGGTCGGAGCAGGGGAACGCGGTTTCGCGAGTGTGGAGCGGTATTAAGAGTGTGACGCATAAACGTAGCGGGCGCACAGCGCACAGCGCACAGCGCGCAGCGGCAGCAGCGGTGCATCGTCAAGTTGGGCGAGGAAGATATTAGTGTAGGGAGGGTGTCATCCAAGGTGGACAGTATGATGATCAGGCTACGTACCGTTGCAGTACCCATCTCCCAACTAGAACATATACCCAAAATGCCATCAGCAGCCATATGTGCAACATCAGACGCAAAAAATCCAGGGTCCAAACCAAAAATCAGGTAAGCGACGTGGACGTACCTCGTTGTCGAAGACGAGTTCACGTTAGCACGGACCATATCAAGAACGGAACTGTTCAAGCCCTGCGCCATTGCTTCGGAGGACAGCACTAGCGCCGTTACCAGTACCCGCCATGTCGTCATGAAGCTGAAGACCATTTCGTTCTTTGGGCATCAAAAGCACTGGGCAATCCGGCTGATGTGCCTAAGCAACTTGAATTTTGACGACAAAGCTAGACCCAGAAATAACCCAGACGACGTTCTCTTTCAAGTGTTTATGGACCGTCGCCTGATAACGATTGAGGCGCCCTATCTGAGTGACACAGGGATGAACTAGAATGAACAATCAAGACAAAGACAAGACAGAGACAAGACAGAACGCCTGTGGTAGCAGCAGGGACCAAATGTTTGTTAGATAACTAAATCCAAGAAGGAAATCACGCATGGTCGCAAGCGAACGCATGCGATGGATGAACGTTAGTGACATTTATATAGGGCCACTCAATTAATATTGAGTTCTCGCTGAGTTGGGGAATGTCATCCTGTAGATCCGGATACGCAGGGCGGCCTAAAAAAATGAAAATTGCGGAAATGCTCTCAGGCAGGTGACCCTGCATATTGATCGGGTATACAATACACAACCTTTCCGCAATTAAATGCCGACAGTGGGACTCACAATTTCTTCGTGCAATATGTTGTGGTTAGAAAGTTGTCGGAGAGTGCGCATTCCAGACGTGGATTTGACAGGCAATATGATAGAAGACCTAAATCCCCTCGGTAAAGTAACCGCCAATTAATCTAGTGCCAGCAGACAAAATGATTATCCGATGCAGGAAGGTCGTGGAAATCGGATTATCTCCATCCCCTTAGCCTACATTGGAGTTATTGCTATTTTTAAAATTCCAAGCAAACTTCGTAATTCAAAAAATTGAGTTTACACTATTGCTCACCCAATTCTCAACCAATCTCCGCGATTAAACATGCATTGGAAAGCGCCGAAGTAGGGAAATGTAGCCATTAATATCGAGTCTCAACGAGTTAGTGTATTACCCTGTAGACCCGGATACCCAGAGCGGCCGCGCGAGTAAAGCTACCGCGGAAATTTGACATTCCGTCAGGCAGGTGACCCTGCAGCCTCTGTATTTCTGTACTATTTCGCCTTCAGTGAAGGATTACTGCTTATCACGTTCGGTCTCAAGGATGGGTTTCAAGCCGTTGCCGAGGCGAAAGACGTCTATGCTAGGGATACGGTTGCTGTATCCCACACCATTATTCTGTACCTATCTTCTCGTCACTTCTCGTCAATGCATCGACATAGCACATGCACATGCTTCAGAAGATATACACAGCATTCGTTTGAGGCTAGACTTTCCCATGGACCTTTTCCAAGTGGGGATAAATGGTATCGGCATCAAAAAGACCCATACAGACCCAGCAGACGTCCGCTTTGCAGATCGAACAAGTCATATGGTTACAGCCCCCCTTTTTCTGGATAGGGACCCGGCATCGTGAGCACGGTCGCACATCATTCTCCGCTTTCCATCGGGTGAAGACTCGTTCGATTGGGTCGCACAGTTCCTGACGCTCCGCGCAAGTGAGGCCTGCGTGAGCCTCGACGTGGCATGACGTACAAATCTCCGTAAGGCAGCCTTTGCACTGATGCACGGAATTTCCGGGTCCCGGGACGTAAATATGCGCACAATCCGAGGTAGGGCAGAACCTGTATTCTTCCGGGTGTTCTTTGATGTAAGTTTCCATGGCGAGGTCTAAGAGATTCTCCATCACCGAAGAACCGAGGCGAGCTTTGATAATCGAGAGCCGGATTGGCACGCCGCATTCTTCGGCCAAGCACGTAAATGGGAAGGACGCGCTTTGAAACATGTGGTCCAGGCATCGGCCACAGTATTCATGACCACATGAGAGGGTCAAACCACCAGTCACACTACCCAAGCAGATGGGACATTTAACACCCCCGACAACCCACGACCGCACTGATTCCGCGAGGCCTCGAACAAAGTCCTCCACCCATTTAAAATCGGTGTCTGATTTCAAAGACACAGACAGCGTGAACTTTTTGATATTGACCTTGGCGCTTTCTTGTCCATATCGTTCGCGAAGGGTTTCTAGTCCGCACCTCATAATCACTCCAAATTTGGATCGATTGAGTTTGAATGAGCGCCGACTGTTCCGCATTTTGTTGACCCGGGAGAGAATACGTTTACGCACTTCCTGTCCAGTCGAGTCGTCTGGAGCAAATAGCAAGATATGCTGCTTGATAGGATCACAGCGAGCATACACGCCTTTGGACTGAGCTATGTCGCCGATAATGATTCGCCCTTTCTGAGTAAGCAGCTCCTCGTCCCAAACATTGTTGTCTTCGTCGAAGATAATTTCCCCGCGAAAAAGCCGCTCTATCTTCAATTTGAGTTGTCCCAAGGAGCGAGCGTCCGGCGCCGTTACACGAAGAGTGGCCTTTGTGGACTTCTCATCCACGAACTTGCGGAAGTCAAACTCTGTCCCAGAGTGTTCGGCCTCTATTGAAGTGAGTCTCGGTTCAATAGCGAGGAATTGTTCTCGCTTGAGACTAAACTTGACGGAGGGGGTACGTGACAGCCAAAGAGGGCTGTTGTTCAAGAAATCGAACTTCTTGCCATGAAGTGTCTCCACCGCTTTTTCGGCTTGATCTGCGACCGCGTAAACGGCAGTAGCCTTCAATTTAGGATCCGATGGCAGTGTTGGGACATGATTAACAGACTCCAGGGTCCCCGGCCCTCCCACCTCGAGCGCCTCAGACAACCTGGCGAACGAAGCCAAATGCAAGAATGGGGGTTGTTGGATCGTCACGTCGTCACACTTGATTAACTTGATTATCTCGGGCTTCGTGACATCCTCAATCAAGTTGGTGATGACTACGCTGAATAATGCTCTTTGGTTTGGTTTGGGGACCTGGAACTTGGTTGAAATCATTTTCCCCCTAATAGGAGATCCATCGAACTTCTCCGCGGCGAGTTGCGCTTGCCTTCGGTTGCTGAAGTACGCGAACGCTGTCGCGGTCGGCTCATCCCACGTCACTTGGAGAAGCTTGTCTCGCAAGACCCCTTCACCAGACTCACGGCGTGGCGCAAGTCGAGCTGTGATCACATGGCCGTGGAACGACTTTTTATCAACCGCCGCAACAGCGGAAGACGCCAAGCTTGGGGTTTCGAACTCTACACGCGCCATAGGACGGAGCGCCTTCAGCATCAAGGAAATTTTGTGTTCGCCAATAGGACGGAGTATCTTCTGAAGAGCAGCCTCCTCGACGTCCTCAGGAAGATTACTGATGATAACACAGGTCGACTCAAGGTCCAGGGAAACCTTGGTAACGCGAAGACCGCTGGTCAATGTTGCTGTGCATCCTAGCATAGTTCTCGTAGTAGTGTCATCCATGTCCTTCGCAGAGGAGGAATAAGCGCCCAGGCTCACGAACACTTGTATGAGACATCCTGGAAAACTTACCTCTCTCGTCTCCCTCTGATCAACCGAGTGTAAGAATGTACATTTGGAGTTTGTGCAGTTCCCTCGCTGGTAGTATATGCAAGGTTTGCGCCCACCAGGCCCAGCAGGGGCGGGAGGGGCGGAATGTGAGAAGTTGCATTTGGAATTCTTGCAATCCCCATGCTGATAGAAGGAACAAGGTGTGCGGGCTCCCGCAGGATTGGAGGGACTAGGACTGCGACGCGTTTCAGGACCTGGTGGGTGCAAGAACGCGCAGTTGGCGCCTTTGGAGCAGCTCCCCCTTGCAAAGTACGCGCAGGCCTTAGAAGCGGACATGGGTTGAATCTTGAAAGAGGGAAACCTGATAAACTACGATATTTAATGTAGTGCACACCGGGCATGCCCAACGGAAATTCTAATTGTCATCTGAGCAGCCGCTCGGGAAACTTCAGCCGCTCATGCACAACTGGGAGTGGCTCTATATGATTAGCACAGGTAACTAGCAGGTGCTATGACCTTTTAAGTTCGATTCGCCTTATAAGAAAGGAGTGGCATCCATGAGCAGCAACCCTTCCCAGCATTTAAGGTAAGCCATGCGATAAGAGAATGAGGGGGCCCTTTGAGTAACGCAGACCAAAATAACGAGGAGGGCCCCAGACTCGGACCCAGTCGTTCCAAATAAACAAGCATAAACAGAACGGCTGGGTACGAGCCTGAGGAGGCCCCAAAAGTGATGTCTAACTCACGATAAAGCCTACTGGAGTCTGCTCGATGGGGTGGGTTGGGAATGGTGTACGCTGACATGTTAGCCGAGCACGAGGAAGGACATTCGACATGATTCGAGGCTGTCCAATACATTGCAATCAGGCACAGTGAGCGTTTAAACTTGGCTCTCAGTAGTCGTGGAGCGGCCAAGGCTGTGGTGTCGGCGCTATACACTCCTACACGTTGTTCACTTCCTGCTAGTCATGAGTTACGGTCCATTGGGGGCGTTACTGAGTTATGACAATACCAAGGCGGAGTAATGCCACCGGTGGCCAGGGCCGAAGGTTGCCTGGTGCCAAGGCAAGGTGCCAAGGCAAGGTGCCCGGGCCGCACACACTTGCTTTGGGAGCTCCCTTTATGTTGCCATTCGTCGTTTGTTTTCACGCTTTGACCGCGCTTGCTCTCGGTTTCGCTTCAGTGGCGTAGAGCCTGTACATACGGATGGGACTTGCTCTGGCAGCCGATACCTTTACTAATGCAAGTATCGCGTTGCGCAGTTACAACCCATCGGAGGCTAGAAGAGGGATAGCTACCACAGACTTAGAATAACTAGACTGCTGTGTGCGTTCAGCTACGCGTGTCAAAGTTCATGACCGATTTTTACGTCACTATCGTTCACAAAATTTGCGTATTGATGAATCGAGTCACCCTACGTAATCCTGAACCAGAATCAGCATCTCCTTCCATCTTCTTGGAGTTTTCGGGACTCACCCTTGTGCTGGCAGTGCTTATGTATTGTTTGTGTGTCATAGAGGGTGGGGTCCTGCCTGGGCATGTGTGTGTGTTGTTGTTGTTTATTCTGGATATTTGATCTGCAGACTGTAGACTTCTGGATATTTAACGTGCACGTGGAGGCTGCCCGATTAGGGCGCCAAGATCAAAAATTATGTACAAAGTAATGCGGGTTCGGAATCTAGGGATTCCTGGGTTGGGTGATACGTGTGCCGGCTCCGAGAATTGTTGGCCAGACGCATAGAGCGTGCCTCTTGATGCTTTGGAATGTCATCTCAGTAGCTGACTCCCCTGATGCACGAAAGAGGCGGCAGAATACAATTGCAGCACGCCACAGCCGGCAACGAAAAGTTGGAGTACGTCCGCACTTTAGAAGGTCAGGTAGCGGATCTGGAAAAGGAACGCGATGATTTCAAAGCTAGGTGTGACAAGGCAGAGGAGAAAATCCAGTGGTTGAAGGAAATGCTGATGGACGGACGAGGTGCTGGCCGCAGTACCTCTAGCTTCATCTCCCTTCACCCCTCGCCACACAGTGGTCCCACATCTTAGAGGTACTCACATCCTTGGCATTCCTCATTTTACATCTCATTCATTCAATATTTCACCCACAATTACTTGTACCCTGTCTCTAAAAGTCCTGCTTTCATATCTACTGGGCTCTGTCTTGTCCTTGGATTGTCCATTTTCTTGGATTCATTCTTGACGTTTCATAACATAATATCTAAGTGCTGTATATTTTCTTTTGTATACTGTGCTTTCCCCTCTCATTCTTACAACAAGGACTAATATCCGCACTATTAGCCTTACCCATGTGTTGAATAGTCATTGCTCCAGAAAGTTTTGGTTACTGATTCAAGGCCACGATCAAAGGCATGCGTGCACATTACTACTATGAGGCACCACATCCACTCATGCAAGTTGTATGGTACGCGGCTCCTGCATGGGCGTCTAATGGATTTACCTCCTTTCGTTACACATACGTGGTGCGACATTCCAAAAAATCAAGAGGCGCACAGTAATGCGTCCGGCCAACACCTTTACAGGAGCCGCTACACCCCCGCCGCGATACTCCAACATTTTCGCTGATGGTTCGGACGGGGAGGCAAAACGCTGGGGGCGAGAAGGTAAGAAAATAGAAGGTGGTTGAAAAAGGCGGCCCAGAAAGTTGAGAAAGGGCTGACTTAACGTGTGAGTGCCATCTACGCTGTTATCCATTGAAGCAGGGAGAACCTCTTAAACCCATAACCAGCGAATCACATTGGGCGCTGGGGGAGCTTCTAGACCACGGCGTGGTGAGTTCTCGTTCCTAGAGGTCCTGCCTGGGCAGTGCTTGCAAGTGGGAATCGGCTATGTGGGCCCGAGGTCGATTGTGAAAACTTTTTGGTTGTTTATGAACATCAAGCCAAACATCCACATCCGCTGGCTATGTACATTCACTCGGGAGTTCACGGCCCTTGGCGGAGGCGCTGACACTGTGGAACCAGGCCCGACGAACTCAAATTGAGCTAGTATTACCCGACGACAAACAAGGCTATCCGATTGGTAGATGAAATGGTCTCCAATATCAATCACTCATCAGAGCCAGAACGATGTGGGAAACGCGAAGTTGGCGTAAATCCGTGTAAGTCTGAAGAAAACCAACGAATCAATTTCGTACCCACGGGAAGAAAGCCCAAGGTTGACTTACCTGACCACAGCCAACAAACAAAATAGGCTGTCCCGTCACGTATGTCATCGATAATGCAGCACCAACTTTGTCATCGACCGTATCCCACTTCGTAACAAGCATTCCATCAATTCCATGACCTTTTCCTGCCCCCGACGAAGCTGCAGAGTAGTTCTTCAAAGCGCTATCAAATTTCTGGAGCTGATCGACTGCTTCGTTGCCTACGAGGGCTTCGCCAACAAAAATAACTTTGTCCGGATTATTGGTTGAGACGAGCTAATCAAGCGGAGGCAAGGTAAGTTTGAAGTTACGAGCTAGCGCTTCCTGCATTCAGACCTTTGCTAAAGCCTTCATCAGGGGCTTTCGGGGGAAGGAAAAACACTAGTTAGTGGACGGTGCACATATACGATAGAATGCAAATTCACCTCGTTATCCTGCATACGCCCGGCTGTATCGATGAGCACCACATCAAACCCTCGTCCCGTAGCTGATATAACATGTCATGCTCAGCGAAATCATCCGAAGCGAGTCACCGTGTGGACTCACCATATGTAATAGCTTCCTTCGCAATCCCCGCCGCATCCTTTCCATACCCTTTCTCATAAAGTTCAATTGTTCCCTTCTCCCTATCCTCATCCCTAACAAGTAGCCCCAAATTCCTCACATGGACTCTGAGCTGTTCAACCGCCCCACTTCTAAATGTATCGCATGCAGCGATCAATACTTTTAACTGATTCTGTAATAACCAGAAGCAAACTTTGGAGAGATTGGTTGATTTCCCGACGCCATTGACACCCACGAAGGCCATTATGTACGGTGTGCGCTGCATGGCGGCGGAGGATGTAGAGGATGTGCCAAGTTTGGTGCGGATGGCGAGGAGAAGATCTGTTGAGGTTTTTGGCGTTAGGATTCGGGTGATGGCATCCGAGAGCGCCTTTCGAACTTCGGCCTTGACGCCTGTTCGAATTACCCGATAGCATCCAATCGCAGAGTATACGACTATAAACCAAGTAAACTCACCGCGGAATCCACTCACTCGCGTACCCACAAGACTCTCCCCAATCCCTTCACAAATTTTGGTCGCTATTTCCTGTGCCACATTTTTCTGCATCAAATGGTCCTTCATCCCTGCTAGTACAGGGTCAAGGTCTTCCTTCGTCAACACTTTCGAGCCCCCCGTAATCCTCGAGAACAAAGCGCTAAATCGAGAGGTTATGGTCGCAGCCGATGTCTCACCAGTGCTAGAGTCACGATTCAGTTGTTCTCGACCGAAGGATGTTCCGCTGAGAGCACGAGTAATCAGGTCGTCCTCTTCGTCTTCATCGTCTTCAATCCCTCCACCAACATTCCCTCCAAAATCAAGATCCTTCACCTCATAGAAACCATCTTGTCCTATTGTCCCACGAGAACTCTCGTCCACAAGAGCGGAGAGGTCCGCCGGAGCAGCCTTAGCAATATCACCAGGCTTATCGGAGCTATAGTCGAGGTTAAGATCCCCACTTGTTGATTCAATAGGACCAAAGGTATCATCCCAAGTTCGTGCCGCTTTTTGGGGACTTTCTTCTTGGGAGCTGAAGTGGCGTCCGAACTGAGTGGGAATTACACGGTTAGCCGGAGTCTAATTTGACAGAATTGGGAAAAGGGCTAAAGAAGATGCGTACTCGGTGGTATTCGGGCTGTCTTTGTTTGTGGTGACAGCTTTATTGCCCTTGGCGCCTCGTCGACGACCACCACGTACTGGTGCGTTCGAGCCCTTCAAACGACTCTTCAACACTTCAACATTCTTCGATATATCCTCCGCATCATGGCGGGGCTCTGTCTCCTTTGACGGTGCTAAAAACGGGCGATTGAGGAAGCCGCGAGAAGGTACAACGAAGGTGGCGCACTGGTAGCAGCATCATCTGGGGAAGATGGGGGGCTTGGCTGTGTCAATGTAGCCTTTGGAACGCTCCTCAGCCTGGATTTACGGTCCTGGGCAACTTTATCCTCGATACGCTTGAGCACCTTGTCAAACGTTTTATCCCACCCTGCGAAGATTTTCGAAAAGTTCCAGGTGGAGGTGGCAGGATCGATGGTAATGCCTTTAGATAGCGTGATATCCCGGGCCACTAAAGAGATTGATCCGTGCAATGAAGCGACAAAGGTCACAAGGAATGGCTCGTAAAGACTCAGGAAGACGGTCTTTAGCGCCGCCAGAAGGTCCTCGGCATAGGTCAATTGGAGAATTCTTTGATATGTAACCTGGATCGGGATGACAACGTTTATTGCACTAGCTCAAAATCCCATAGGGGATAGGGTGTTACCAGCAATGAAAGCGACATACCACGAAAATGAGCTCCAAGTCATTAACGAATGACCACTTAATGGCGTAACCGTCCTTCTCATAGCTATCGTCGGTCGTACGACCCTCAATGAGTGCTTCGCGAACAAGACTGTTAATGGGCGATGATGCAGAGGTACTAATGCTTGCAGCAGCAGGTGTGAAAGACCGAGACCAGAGTACGATGCCTCCTGTGTGCATACGTCATCGACCACATCAACCATTATCGTTATTGGCCAGTTTTGTCACTTACCTTTGTGAAAAATCGAACAATGGTCAAGCATTCTGGTCAGTTATCCAAATATGTTGCTCCGAAGCTGTACGGGTGATGTAGTTAGGTTTACTAATCCCAATGACGGAAGCAAATCCAGGAACGGTAGCTCTGGGCGCTTCCGTCCAAATTTAGTCCGAGGTTCCATTGCTGTGGGTTATCTATCCTGCACTATCAGTTTGTCCACCAGGTCCGCGGAATACTTTGTGGGCCGATCTGCCTCGTTTCAACAGCGCTGCTGGCCGCTGTTCTCAGCGCTTATTTCGGGGAACCTTTCACGCCACTCACACACACTACTGACACATGTACGAATCTACGGGCGGCTTTCTGACTTGCTTGTTGTACTATTCAAACGGGGAATGGATTAACCCGAACAAGTGCAACTGCTGCCATCAGGTGCAGCCCCAATTCCAAGCAGTAGCTACCAGCTACGACTTTTGTAATTCCATACAGTCCATTGAAGCAGTCCATGCGTATTGCACGCACCGCTCAAAAAGCCCAGATACTTGGGCCGACATTAATAAACATGAATCGGACCACCCCTAGCCCCATCTTCTGCGCTTAACCCCTGTTCCTGGCACTTATCAGTCTTCATCTCACTTCCACTCTCGATAGCGTAAAGTGCTCATATTCTTCTCTTCGGTGGCGATAACGGCGGTCTCACACCCGCCATGATTACGAAGTTTAGGCGCTCTACACCCAGCCTTGTGCTGCGATCGTCCTGAATCAAGGATTCCGCCAAAGAGTTCAATCAGAGCTCGAACTTCTGGCAAGGAAGATAAATCCCATGGTAGCATTCTCAAAAAGGCCATCATCTACGTTCCTCAGCGCTTCTCCAGTCTTCTGCAAACGGTGGTTCTCATATCCGCCACCAAACTTCAAACAGATTAACCAGGGTCTGCCCCCACTTTTCGGTATGTCCCCGCTTCTACAGTGTTAGCGACAACGGCATTCGAAATGGTCGTCATAGGTTGCGCCGCGTGCTGTAAGGAAAACAGATGCGCAGTTCTACTGCCTTTGCACCGCATCGTTTTGCTTTAGATGCGGGTCTCGTTGGACGAGCGGAGTAGGGTGTATGGGAAATTCAAGCTGTGACCTACGGAGGGACGTGTCCTCTGAGGATAGCGACGACGAGGCATCCACCGAGGAAGCAGAGACGTCCAGCGGTACGCGGTGTCTATAGCGTGGCACTTTCAGGAGAAATCAATTGTCACTTCCTAGATGCCTCAACGCAGATCATGTAGTGTTTCCTCAAACACCTTCACCTGGTCCTACCCCGAGTCGTAGATACAAGGCCCTTCTGTAGCTATTGCTCACGAAGGTTCAAAACGCGGGAAGCGTTGAAAGCACACATCGAGAACGTCACCTCGCACCCGGTTCGCAAATGTTGTGGGAGGAAGTTTGTGAGCGAGGAAGCATGGGAGGCCCATTCACGCGCCAAACACTGGAACTAGGCCATGTTCATTTCTGTTTGCTCATTGGAGTTGTATTCAATTCCGTATTCCTATCGCGTTGATGTGCATGAGGTAAAGGTGGGCGTGGTCAGGCTGTCAAAGTAGCGACTCACAACCACGACGTCCAAATCACATTATCACGGCGGCAGAACCTTTATGAAAGAAGACCGCGCCAGATTCCGTCAGACGGTATTGCAGGACGAATGCTTTGGTGCCTGGTTACCGCTGCTTCGAGCCGCATTCAAAGCGCCCAGAGGACCTAGACGCCACACGATCTTTGATGTTGAGAGTAGGAATCAGATTGAGAACCACAAACGGAATCTGACCCAAACGGACCTCGCCAGAGACCGCGCCGCTGCGTCCACTAGCAAACGGCACCACATCCATGATGGAATGGGAAATTTTCAACAGATAGATTAATATGGGGGAGGGGGAATCCGGGGATATCGTGTGGTGTAGAACAATCACAGAAACGTCATGCTATAAATCGGTTAAGTGTGATGGAAATGAAGATCGCATTTAGATGACTTGCTTTTCTGCACAAGGCAATCACAGCTCTATATAATCTCAGTATGTCTACTTGATTTATCCCTATCCATTCCAATGTGGACATATCGTCCAACAAAAGGATGGGTGGTCTGCCTCCAGCCACACCCAAAGTCACCAAATCATTGATAGATTCCGTGATTCTCGAGTAGATTTGTTTTAAGGGCCCAGACGAACGGGAAGATCCATTGCCACTAGCTCCGTCAATATTGAACTCTGTGGCAACGATCGAAGCGCCATCGATGAAAGTAAATTTCTTCGAGTCAATATACGTTTGAATATTTTTCAGCTAGACAAATCCAGGGGGGCTACATGTCAGGGCCATACTCAGTCCCACCCACGGCTCCCTTGCTCACAGAACGAGACGTGATCGCGGACCAGTGGTGCAAGTCATTCGAAGTCGATACAAGTATGCAAGCAACACCCTCATTCAAAGAAGACACTATAGTATGACAGAGAAGAAATTCTGCAGGAGAGCCTAGCTGATCGGTGATGAGAATGGCTGCTCCTCGGGGCGCGTCCAGGTGAGATGGTAAATTCGGCATGCTTCCGCATGCTTCGGTGGCTATGTCAGGCGTTACGCAACCATGATGACATTGGTGCAACAGCATCACAGCTCTTCCAGTCACCACACCCACACCCCATTCCAAACACGCCTGATCCTTGCGGACGACCCGATGGCCGGCGTGTTAGATACATCTGCGTAGAGACGCTAGACATTATACCCCAGTAATCCAACAACGAAACATTTCTGGTGCCTCCCACCCATAACTTTAGAGGCCGGTCACCTGCCTACCTCCCACTTCTCGCACAGAAAGTCTCCTTACTTCCACTTTCACACCTCAAGCTTTCCCCTCAGCACCCATGCTTACTGCGCTATCTCGTTCTCGGGACGTCATTCCTTCTACTGTAGAGCACAGCGTCAGAAGGGAATACCCAGTATCTCGTCGCAGATGCTCCTGCTGTGGACATGCGCTAGGGCCCACATATTCCATAAGTGTTTAGACTGCGAGGACTATCAACTATGCCCTAATTGCGTGGCCCTTCAGTCATGGGAGAGCAGTCCCAGTGGGCACAGAGATACTCATTCCCTGATCCAACTGACGGAAATCTTGGATGTGCGAGTCGTTCGAACCAACGACACAGAAATGATAGCGAGGGAGATATTCGCGCTATGCGGGGAGCCATTCACCACTACGTCGACTGCAATAATTGCCATCGTCCCATTAGGGGCGTGAGGTACAAGTGCATCCAATGCGGGAATCTTGATCTTTGCCCCTCGTGCATTTCTCGTCAAGGGGAGATCGACGAACCTTCCCATACCTTCGTAACGTTCGTTCAGAGGGGTAAACTAATCTACCGACCAACTATACCCATCACAAACTATCGAATCGAATCTTCTTCTGCTTTGCCTTTGCAAGACGCGCCGCTACTCGGCAGAGTACCAAACACCACAGGGAATTCGCCAGTGACAAGTGAACGTACCCGCGAAGGAGTTTGCGGTGATTGCGGCGTCGTTCTCAATACCCCAGATTTATCTGTCTTAACTGCCCCAGTTCGTACCACTTGATTCTATAATAACCGAGATATTAAATTTCTTTGCCGGTCACTTTTCAGACTTTCAGCTGTGCCCGGCATGCGTGGGGTGAGTCAGAAAGGTTTTTGAGAATGGCATGACGCGAACCACATAACGTGTGCTTCTTAGCCGAGTTACGGAAAGACACCCAGGTCATTCCTTCATCCGTTGTTCAAATTCCAGCGACGTCATTGTGGGACCGATCCCTACTGCACCCGTGATCCATCGGAACAACTGTGTTCGTTGCCATGACCCATAATAGGATCTATGTACCGCGTGAGCTTCGACTCCTATTATTATTTAGCGCCGCGTTAACAACCACTCACGTATCCAGTGTTTACATCCTGCATGCGAGTCCACTACCTTGTGCGAACAATGCGAAAGCTTACCCAACGAGGTCGGGGTACATCCTCTTTCCCATCCGCTAGTGAAGTTTAGACAGGATCACTCACAGGACGAGAGGCGGCGGGAGGTTTGGGACAAGATCTTCGATTTCTCACGTTCACTTCGCAACTGTACGAGCGGTTTAGAGGAATCGACTTCGCTCAATGTGCATTACGTTCCAAACGAGTGTCCTATTTGCTACGAAGATATGACGGGCCGGATGACAACAGGGGCACCCTGTGGCCATCTTCTATGCAGGGATTGTAGAGCCTTGATTTTGAGGTTCGCCAGAGAAGAAGGCCGACGGGCGAGTTGCCATTTTTGCCGTTCCTACTACGAAAGCGACGTATAATACCATCAATCACTCTCTTGTAGTTATTTCAGTATTACACTAATCTACGTGATGACATCAATAGAATTTGGCGAGGAGGGACACGTCATTGAGGCCTCCGAAGGCTCCATTGGTTCTATTGAAGGAATGAGTTTGTTGATGCTAGCCTCTGGTCCTCGCTTAAGCTCCAGCTCGCCACAGAAGAGGAGATTCCCGTATCTGCAGGATCGAAAATCCATTATCTGCTGGCAACAGGAGAAGGTTCTGCGGAACTACCGTAAATCTCCAAGTACTGAAGGTTGAGTAATACAATATATTTTAAATGCAACAAGGCGGGTACAGTACAGCGGGGAGGGTATCAATCGTAGTACAACGGCAGAGGGTTTGGTGTCTGAAATCGACATTCGAGGTCCGTGTGAGAGTATGACACGATTGCATACACACTCACCTTGAACTTAAAGGAAGGGACATGATTTGGGTGTTGCACATGGCACGAATCCAGCCGCAGGGACGAAGTTATACCAGCGATCGCAACCTAAACTACTTCATTCCCTCTCGACATGGTTGGAGATGGACCAGGACATGAGTAATGGGCCAACCCAAACAGGTGAAGTAAGCGTCATCATCCAACGAGAGTGTGCGCCAACCAGTGCCCGTGCTCTTTATATACACACAAGCCATTAATTTGAGAACGCTCTGTATTAACGAAATTCGCGCTCGTAGTTCGCGAAGAAAAGAGAGAAGTGGCAGAGCGCCAAGAAAAAAAACCAAGTATAAACTGTGGCACTCAGGATTCCCCTGTAGTCCCCTACCAAGGTACTAACTGAGCGGTGCTCGGCTTAACTTCGCAGACCAGACGGGATGCGGTGCTTTCCGAGCCTTATGGCCACAGATGGTCGTATCTGCATTCCCACCTCTGATGAATATCTATACTACTCGGGGCAGACAAAGATAGCACATGGAAAAGCATTCGAGAGTGAGGCTTGAGCGGGTAGACGCCACGGATGTGAGGCAAGTGAACGCATTCGGAATATGGTCACTGAGCGAGAATTGCTTCCGACGCGATGTCAGCACGACGTCAAGCCGTCAAAGTTCGCTCTGAAGCTAGCGAATGAGGCCAGAAGCGAGGCGAGACGACCAATTAGAGAGCTTCGATCGTAGCTCGCCCCAGCTTTCAGTGTATGTAGACGCAAGCGGCTAAGTAGCTAAGTATAGAAACGTCTTATAAGGTGAACCCTGCACGAAGGAGAAGGGGCGTCGAGCATCAAAAGCAATGGACACAAACTGTTCGCAAACGTTAATGAAGGCCGGGAATGAACCGGGGATGGCAATCATCACTTTGCAGATCAAATCGTGACTGACTAACCTACATACCCTCCGAGACATGTGGATCACGTAATCACTTTGTGGGGTGTGAACTTGACGATCAATTTGTCAGATAATACTGATCCGACAACACGTGCGTCCTCCGCAGTGGACTATATAATCAACAAGAAATGCCCGTTTGTTTTGATCTCCCAACCCACACTTGAACCTCTACGAAGCTGAACACATACCATCGCTACAATGATTTCTGTGAGTGCGGTTTCCGTCCTCGGATGCGGCTCAAGTCCTGAAGTTGCATCCCATTAGACTCCTGTTAATAACCATGGCGGTTGTGGCAACAGCAGCTGCGGCTGTGGTGACTCGTAATGCACACTCTTCGTTCAACGTATGGCTTGGTGCTGATCCCTGATTTCATTAGCTGCGGTTGCAAGCCTGGCGAGTGCAAGTGCTAAACACCACTCCACATGAGGCCCTACCCTACTTGACCGACATGGTGTTCACCTCAACGAAGCGAACGGTCGTGTTGCGGTTCTGCAAATGTATTTTTTTGTATGAATAGTGCTTGAAAATTGATCGCCGAAATGTTGTACTGTGATATGATCGACCAAAGGAACGAACTCCATAATCCAGCTGGCTCGGATTTCAGGGAGTCGACCATGGGTGGTCACCAAAAACTTGTAAAAATGAACACAGCCCAAGAACTGCAGGCAAGGGAGGGCGTTCGTAAGCCCGACAGACGGACGGCGTCAACAAGCACAAACAAGCGATCGACAATTCCCATGGCAAGTAGTGCCTCTCAGTCGTTAAAAGCTAGGTTCCCTCGGACTTTGCTTAACTGAAGCTATGTAGCACGGTGTCCGGAGGCAGCCTCGCCCTCCTGAGGGGGTGAGAGCAGAGAGGAAGGAGAAAGAACTCGAGAAAATCAAGTCGTACACCGCCTTGACAAAAGCGATATTAGATCGAGTCCGTTGAACTTTTTGCAATCGATAGGAGAAGATCAGATACTCAAGTGTTCCCTAGCGTAATGCTAAAGATTATTCGAACGAGGCTCTCGAGTCTACCACTCGGCTTCTACAGCTGAATCCTGAGTTCTATACGATATGGAACTACCGTCGAGAGATATTCCTCAGAGGACTCTTCCCGAATAGGTCCCAATCCCTAGCATGATCCATCCACATCCTGGGCTCATCCTCTTCCTTAGTGCTCCAAAGGATGTGAATCGTTTTCTGCAGGATGACTTGGCTTTCACCCTCAGCGCTCTCAAGGAGCATCCGAAAGTATATTGGATATGGAATCATCGTCGATGGTGCCTCGAACAAATCCCTCCAGATTATTCAGAGGATGAGGGAACAGAGCCATTGCACTGGCAACGACAGACATGGAATCGCGAGTTGACGGTAGTCGAAAAGATGCTCGATGCGGATGCTCGAAATTGTATGTCCCTCACCTCCCTCATGTCCTAGGCCGTGGCTCAATTATTATTTGAAAAGTTCAAGCTTGGAATTACCGGCGCTACGTCCTCAAGTCAATGCCTCCACCCGGACCTTCCACCCCAGCCAGAACTCCAGCGACTGAACTAGCGTATACCCAGAAGAAGATAGAGTCGAATTTTTCCAACTTTAGTGCCTGGCACCAGCGTTCCAAAGTGTACGCTGTCACTGAACAGCTAAAGGATCCGCCATCCTTGATTCAGGTACTCAGCTCTCCACGAATCAATCATACTTTAATGTTAACTAGCATGGTAGAGTTCGATTTCGTGGTGCAAGCGATGTACACGGATCCTAACGATCAAAGCGCCTGGCTGTATCATAGGTGGCTAATCAGCCTAAGTATGTCCTCCTTCATGTTCCATCTCGGCAGCCCTCTCACCGGATAGCAGCCACGGATCTCAGCGTTATCGAACGAGAGATCAAAATTATCGAAGAGTTACTGCAGGAAGAACCTGAGAGCAAATGTAAGGGCACCCTTTGATTTTCAGGTGCTCACTTGCGAACGAATTTTTTCCTGGCGATTCCTAGGGTGCTTGGAATCACTCATCCAGTACAATACGCTGGTTGCACGACTTGCTGCGGAATCGGGGGACGGAAGATTCGCGAGACAATCGGAGATTGGCGCCATGTTGACAAAATTGAAGTCAATTGATCCGATGCGGAAGGCTCGGTATATCGATATGTTACATGCACTGGATGATATACCCTCCGAAGAGCATTAATATGCTCGACTATTATCTGGACGGCTCGTTTATTTCTTTAGGGCTGCAAATGGGTATTTCATTCATTTTTCAATGTCCTATTTCACGAGGCCAAAGTCTTGCCGGTGGCGTCGACTGCATGCATGATGCCGCCTTGCCTTGCGCTTATTGCAGCACTGGAGAGGCGCCTGATTCGGGCGTCATGCACGCTATTGCGGGTTGTAGCGCACATGAAATGAGCGGCCTTTGTGTGTTCAGCTTTCCAACCCATGATCGAATTCATCGTGGTCGTAACCATGACTCCTTTCGCTTAATTTTTTCGTGCTTCCCTCTGTCATCCTTTTGAAGAACAATAATTCGAACAACTCGCATCTGCATCGTCACGGTTGCAGATACTCATGTGACTGTACTGCGTATCGCGCGAGGTCGATTTCGGCTGCCCGGTGGCCCATTCACCGGCTAATTAACGCCCGTGAAATACTGTACACCGACGTGTGAAAGCGCGAGGGAAGTTGTGGCGTGAATATTGAAGATCGATAGATGGGGGAGCAATGCCGAGGGATGAGCTTCATTTGAAGAGAATTGGCTTCCTTTAGTAGCTCTCGATCTCCCCGACGAATCACAGTAGTTTTGAAAGAAACTGCATGCGTGGCCGGATCGATTCGCTACGGAGCAAGCGTCGAGGGGATTGGCAGACCGTTTCATCTCGGGAACACACTGAAGCACTGATATTTCCGCCCAATTCCGCCAATACATGGAAAGTCTCATATCCGTAAGAGCGCCGAGGAAGGAAAAAAAGGAGAAAAAAAAGCCTGTCGCGTCCGGAACCGTGAGGACGCCGGTTCTAGGTCACGGGAACCGGCAACCAGGACCTTCATATTTACTTCGTCCTTGTCGTGGGCCTCGACGATGGATGTCAGTCGAGGGGAGTTCTGCTACCACAGCGAACACCCGGCACGGGCCTAAACCTTCACGCGGTGCCCCTGTTTAAAACTAATTAGGCCTCTAACATCTGAAGGGAGGATGACGTGGCCACCGTGGTAATGCCAATCAACCGCAACCCCGTAAGCCCAGAGCCGCACTGGCTGGAGAGATGCAAGAGCGCGGGTGCATGTCCCGCCGTCAAGCCAACCCTTCCTTTTTCTTCTCACCACTACCTTTTTGGGATGACGAGCGCGATAGTGGCAACGCCAATGGTGACCTCCGTAAGCCCAGACGGGACTGGCCAGAGGACTGTGGGTTCAAGTCCCACCGTCACCCCAACCCTTCCTTCTTTTTCTCTTCTCCACTACCTTTTGGGATGGTGAGGTGCAATAGTGGTAGCGCCAATGGTAGCCTCCATAAGTCCATGGGCAGGCCGGAGGAGTGCAGGTTCAAGTCCTGCCATCACCCCAACACCCTTCCGATTCATCTTTCTCTCCACTACCTCTTCGTGACGAGGCGCGATAGTGGTAGCGCCAACGATAGCCCCATATGCCGACAAAAAGTTGACTGCAAGGAATGCAGGTTCAAGTCCTGCCGTCACCCCAACACTTTCATTTCTCTCCACTACCCCTTCTACCAAAGGCCTATCTGCCACATGCCTTTATTCAACAAGCATGAGCAAGATGCCACCAACACCCATCGCCTTTCGCTGCCACTGGAACATTCACCAGCCTACCGTGACATAAACCCGTGAAAGCACCCTCCAACTCACCCACCCGCAAGAACCGCGCACTCAAACATTGACTTAACCATAGGCACACAGCAGCAAAACATGCGACCCCAACACTGGGGGTCGCGTGTCCTTTTCTCTATCCAACCTCTTTCCACCTCCATTCTCCCTCACCCGTTGTTCAACCTCAGTGCAGGGTCGCATGCCCCTTTATGTGTTATTGCTTCATCTCACTTTATTCTCCTTCACACCATTGATTACTCGATGTCTCATACTTCCTAGGTCAAACAAATTCCTTTCTTCACATCCTTATGTTCTCCAAACTTTTTTCACCCGAGTCACTATAGTACGGCATATGCCGATAGGCACGGTTACGTACTCTAAAATGAATCCATCCATCCATCCATCCATTCGTCCTTGTCGTGCCTCAACATACCACTTAGAAACCACACAAGGCGCACAACACGCGGTAGAATACCTCACCAAGGGCTAGGGATTCTGTCCAGAACGCTTCACAATCTTCATTGAGCAAGCGCTGCTACTCTCGTGACGACCACTTAAATGTCAGAGAATCAAGCCGCTGCAACGGCAAGGCCTTCTAGGCCAGCAAAGGTTGTTTTCGTCTACGACATAGCATCTCCGACTTCGTGGATCGCTCTCATTACCATGCTTAGGTATGTCTACAGATCTCCCCAAGTATCAATCCTCCACATCGATAAACTTTAACAATCGCTTCTGGCATATAGGTATCAAGAACCATGGAATCTTGACCTTGAGTTGCAGCCGGTGAGCTGAAAACCGGATCTTGGTGGCACTCTGGGTCCTCATCGCGTCATAATGAGATTCTGGTTGGATCCGCAATGCGGGCAACAGGAGTGAAAAAGCCACACCTTCCACCAGTGAAGCAGCAGTATTACGTGAGTGACCAGATATTTTGGCCTCTGCCTCTCACATCTGTGTACTTGATGCAATGTTTGGTTCTAGGATCGGGATTTGCGTCGTGTTGCGGAGCGGTGGGGAGGTACGGTGTTAACTCTGAGGTCGGGAAACCCGAAATTGATTTCGTTCCAAGTTACTATCAACCCGCCACCCGAGGATCCTTTTGATCGCATAACCCGACCTGCAATCCGTTTCTTGCGAACTCTGAAGGCTCACGAACCCAGTGATGTGCTCGTGAAAGCTACCCTGCTTCTATTCGTACGTTCTTTACTCGCAAAATTGAATACTGTTCCAGCTGAGGACTGAATGCACGATGTTCAGGAGGAATACTTCACTGTCGGAACCCCTGTCACATCTCCAAAATTCTTCGATTGTCTAAGCTCCTCTCATGGAAAGCGCGGCCCCCTCTCCGAAAGTCGTCTGCAGCAACTCCTTGCATTTTCACAGCAAAGAGAAGCCGAGGAGGGACTAGACGCAGATGTGCGATACGTTGTGGAGAAATGGGGTACGTGGGGAGTCCCATGGATGGTGGCGCATCGCGTCCCCCCCGATGATCGGAACTTGAGCGACGAAGAGAAAATTCTCGACCCGCTTCCACCCACCGAATGGCAGAGTTTCCACACGGAAAATCGTATCGAAGCATTAGGGTATTAGTAAGCTACTCTCTCATTTTAATTTCTCGAACTTCCACTCATCCGAGTGTTTCTATCTCGTAGTCTTGGCCCAGAATATATATGGCGAGGACCATGGCCTGACGGGATCGAGCGCTTCAGTGCGTCTGTTGGGCCATCACCAGCTTTCCTGATCCCTAAACGGGCTCCAGAAACTGGTGATACTAAAGGGAAGTTATGATACGTTCCGGTTGGGATATACCTGTCCCCATAGAAGGTCAACGATAGCGTAATCCGCACCCAAAACAATCACTGCTGGGTCCTTAATAATCCTAGCTTTGTCGTTATTTGTAAAGTGCCTGGCGTTGTTTGTGTCTTGTATCGCCACCGTACGGTTTGTTTTGAAGTGTAATTGTGTGCTTAGAGAGCACTTGACTGGGTGGTGCTCATGACATAGGTGCCTACGAACACAACGTAAACCCCGAAGTGCTGACCGCAGTCTCAAGCGTACGCGTTAGAGAATGAGGAGAAAAGAAAACTGCAGCACCAATCATCAGACGTCGAATGGCAGTTTCCGGTGTCCAAATTTGAAATGACGAGCCACGGATGCCCCTGCCCTCCAACGGGAACGACATCGGGTCCATGCTCAACGAATTCCGCTCAGCTTATTCGTGAGCTAGTTGCACACCTTGGTGCTTTGTCACTGAGGACGTTGTCACATGATGCGAACCTTGTCCTGACTTCCCACGGCCCAAATCCTTGGTCGCATTAATATTTTTGTCTGGCCGCGCCTCCAGCATGTTCAAGGCCTTGCGGAATCTCACTAGAAGAGTGCCGCCGATAGTATGTATTACGACCTCGTCCTACTTAGAGGATGACTTATGCTTGATGCAGCCGTCAGTGCGATTGGTCTCCACATCCACAACCACAACCACTCCCGTCGCTCCCATAGAGACCCAAGTCCCAGCGGGCGGATTACACCACATCGTTGAAAGTGAAGATGAGGGAAATCTCTGGAATGGATTATCCGCTCAACAGAGGCAGAACGTGAAGCCGATAGAACTGCAGGTGTGTGGTTTGTCTTCTCATCTTCATTTATACATCTGACTGGAGCATGGTGCTTTTCGTCTCCAGTGGAATCACAACTACCATCTCCCTTCCGAGAGCCAATTTATTTAACATTATCCTCTTTAATCCCCCGAAAAGTGGGCGAGCCTCGGCCCTCTCGCCAGGTCGTTGCCCTTGCACCATCCGTCTTCGACCACGCCCTCCGCCGAGATATCCTTCACGCGTGCGTAGTACACCATCTTGACTCCTTACGCCAAGGTACTGCATCCACCAAGACGCGCTGGCAAGTGAAAGCGTCAGGTAGAAAACTTGCTCAGCAAAAAGGACGGGGTAAAGCACGAGTAGGTGACGCGGGGAATCCGATCTTCGAGGCGGTGGTGTCGTATTTGGGCCGCACCCGAGAGATTTCTCGACGAAATTACCCAGAAAAGTTCGTGAGATGGGGATGAGAGTTGCGTTGAGTGCGAAATGAGGGAGAAGGCTCTTGAGGTGGTTCCGTCGTTGCAGTGGCGAGCCATAAAACGAACAAGCTGTGGAAGATGTTGAAGTGTAAAGGATGGGCTGATAAGACGCTCTTCGTACTTGGAGGCGACAGGCTGCCTAATGGTTTGAATTTGGCGTCGAAGAACATCCAAGATGTAGATCTGATGCTTGCCAAGGATCTAACAGTGTACGATGCGCTCAGGTGGAAGCGACTCATTTTGGATGTGGAAAGCGTCGGGTACTTTGCGGAGAAGCTTGGGAAACCCACCGACTCCCCCGAAGATACCTCGTCTGCCGTAGGCATCGACCCCAGTATCCTACCCGTAAAAATCGCACCATCCCCTCCCTCCAAATCTTCATTATCTCTCACGTCTGATCCGCCAACTACAACTGTACCCGAGCTTCAACTTTAATGACCGTGCAGTAATACAGTATATTCTGACTTGTGTAATGTACATGAACTCGTGTGCATCAATCAGGTACATATTTGATGACAAATCTGTGTTGTTAAGAGATCTTGACCTTCGAAAAATCAAGTTCTGGATGCTGGGCCTGGAACTTTTTGAGTGCCTTGTTAGATGCAAAAGTTAGTCGTTATTCAGCCAAAACCATGACTCCCAATCACCTCTTGTTTCTTGAGCTCGTCCGATGTAGGCTTTCCAAGTTGCTAAGAAAGCGCTGTGAGTCTTCGTCTGTAATGTTGACTAGCAACACTGTACCTTTTGCTGGTTATCGAACTGGCGAAAAATAAGATTAGTACATGTGGTGGGTTATGTGTGATCCTGGAAGTCGCTCACCATCATCTTCTCCACCAAAGCTCGTGTCTCACCATCCAAATCGCTCAATTTACTGTTCTCCGGTTGAATTTCTTGGTGTCGAGCTTTGGATGATGCTTCACTACGTTCTCCCACCATGTCATGTTATTAACCTTCTCGAGGTGGACCAATACTCTAGATTGGTCCTCTTTTGAGCGTTGGAAGCAAGATCGGTTTTGAAACGCGGGAGATTGAAAGTGGGCGCTTACCGATGGTCCATGTACTGTCCTCCACTTTAATTTCTTTGCATAATTGCCCCTCAATGATTGGTTCCTCCCCTTTGAGGCCAACCTTCAGGGTAGTCTTGGTGATCTTCACGTCAAGATCTTTGGCCCTCGTCCCTTTCGGCACCTCGAGCGTGACATCTACTTCCCCTAACTCTTGTCTCCACTTATAGGGAAGTGCTAAGTAGTCAGATTAGCATAACGTTGGAGCGTTATAAAAAGTGCCCGCGCATGGTTTTCGAGAGGCGGATTCCCGATATAGACAGAAATCACCACCGATAGCCTGGCGGCATGCACACATACTGGCCTGTTCCTCTTCTTCACGTTTTCTCTCAAGCCGATCGTACTCGGCACGCTCTTCGGAGGACATATCTTCATAATTCTTCGTGGACACATCGAGCGCTGATTCTGGTGTAGGTACTGGGTCTGTACTTGAGCTCATGGTGGAATGACTATGAACAGCGTTTGCTGATAACAGAAGCGTCACGCTGAATGCGCTTATTATCCATTCAATTATAGGATCGATTCTTTTCCATGGGCTTCGCCGCTGAATCAGCGGAGACTACCGGGAGTAATGAATCGTGCCTGAATGAAGCCTCGACAACTCTCGAGCGGAGCGGCCAGCGTTTGTTGCATCTCGTGTTGCTACGCACATGGCCTTGAGATCTTCATCGCGGTCCCCAAAGGCCTGGGTAGATCCACCGTCAGATGAAGGGCCCGAGCGGCTTGCGGTTGCTGAGTGTGTGACGACGAGTGAGGCTTGCTGCAATGGATATCCCAACAAATACGCCTCCTTTCGTAATCGGTATTTGCGAGAATTCGCCTCCGAATTTATTGGAACCATGATAATGATCATGTACGTGCTTTTGGACATTTGGCATGAGGAACGATTTCTCAGCCGCCGTTGATAGATTTGGTCTTGGCGCTAACTTGCAGGTTGTGTTGTCCAGTGAGTTTATTAATGGAGTTTGTCATTGCAACTCAAACGCATCCTTTGTTTTTCTTCAGGCTCACCTTTGGTGGCGGCAGACCAGAAAGGAGTCAGTGAAGTCCGAGCTCCCTGTGGTAAATCCATAACCCATTTCCTTCTCATTTAGTCGTATTTGTCGAGAAGTATAGCCATGGCGGCTGGGGTTTCCATGGGTGCATTTTACTAGGTGGCGATGGTTCTGGAATACCATACTAATCACAGCCCCAAGGTGCATGGGCCGCTGGTGCAACTGGGGGCCACATCAATCCAGTCGTCAGTGATCGCGAAATAAACCGATATCTCAAACCTGAATCGGTCTTTCCTAGGTAACCCTCGTCCAAGCAATTCTCCGAGGCCTCCCTTGGCGCAAAGTCCCCGTCTACATCGCGGCTCAGCTCCTAGGCGCCATAACTGGTGCCCTCCTCCTTTATGCGAATTATTATCACGCAATAGATCTTTATGAAGGCGGACGTGGCGTTCGCTCAATATCAACTGCTTCACTTCTCACGACCTATGCATTGGACTACATGCCAAACGCGGCGTGTTTCTTTTCCGAGTTTTAGGAACTTCGTTACTTATTATTTCTGTACTTGCATTGACGGACGAGAATAGTGGTCCTCCACCCAAGGGATTAGTCCCGCTTGGATTGTTCTTTATGATCTTCTGCGAGGGCGCTTCACTTGGAATGGAGACGTCATATGGACTAAATCCTGTGGGTCACAGCATGGCGAATATCGCGAACGTGGTTTTTGATCTGGTATCCTGGTTTTAGGCTAGGGATCTAGGTCCTCGTATCGCCCTCGCGATAGTTGGATACGACAAGAGATTCTGTGGAATTACAGGCATCAATATTGGTTCTGGGTCCCAACCCTTGGACCTGTTTGTGGTGGGATTATTGGAGGCATCATATATGACGCGTTGATCTTCACCGGAGACGAATCAATATTCAACCGATCGTACGTACTGCTGTGATTAACTGCTCGGCCTGCTGTCTAACATAACGCGGTTGGGATGCGATGCGCCGATTAGGGAAGGACTGGAAACAACCGTGCCGAATCTGTGCTCTCAAAAGAAAAAGGAAAGGCTATAGTCAGTGACAAGGTAAAAGCTTCGGGGAGCGGGTCGGAGTGAATGTAGTCAATCCAATCGTTGTCATGTGGAGAGTTAGCCATTTCTTCAGGTAGATTCTACGATCTAGAGCCTTGTAGGTGCTGTACCCACACACATGTTGTAAATGGCTACGTCGTTTTGAGGTTATTGGTGGTGTACGCTCCGTTGTTCGAGCGCACCAAGGCTAGCCGATATCATGGCAGGGCTCATAACATCATTCCGAGGAAACGAACTCTCAATTGAGTGGCGCAAGGGTAGGGCAAACTCGCACAGTGTTGGGGGCCGTGAGCATATGAATGATTCGACATGACGATGGAAGGTGCAAGTGCTGGGGAGGACATAAGAAATGAGCTAGCGAGCAACGTCTGCTAGTGTACATGACATAAGCGCGTATATACACAGTACGTGAATAGAGAAGTATTAACATCAGTCTCGAACGTGCGTGCTTAGAGGACTGAGGGGGGAGGGAGGAAGAAAATGTGGCTCAAACGAGGGGTAACAAACAAATGTACGAATGTTTGGGGTGATAAACAACTATCCCCGCCTGATGGGTCACAGACGCGCTGTCCTCCAACAACAGGCGCTGGTAGTTTCAATTCGTGATCGATGCATGCGTAGTTGCCCCGCAAAAGCGCATCCTCAGTGACTGCTGAGAGGGAGAGTGCAACGAACAATGAAGGTAAAGCATCTTATAGTCGATAGTTTTGTGTTTGATATGACTAGGATGTGGCGAGCTTCAGAGAGTCCTCAGCTATCCCGTCAGTTCCCACCTGTGATCTATTGATTCAGGCAGCCAAAAATCCACAACGCACGTCCTGCATTTCCTCCCGAACTAGTCCAACATGGAATCATGTAGAGTTGTCCTTGCACTGAAGGGAACCTTGTGATCAAGTGCTCTCCGGCATACTTTTCCTCAATCCCTTTTATTCTTCCAGTGGCTCGCTGGCATGAGGGTCATCCCGCAACTCGAGAACCACGAAAGGCAACGCCATCCGAATTGCGGCGACATATGACTTACAGGGTGCGAGAAAGAACGACTGTCCCCGGACGGAACGAAGGTGCAGGAGTGGTGAAGGACTGTAAACGTTTCGCGGGCGCAAAGAGGGCGGAAGGAAACTACGATTCGGCGTGGCGTACATCGTGAGAAGATGTTGGGGTTGTGAGCGACGCGGGGCCCTTATGTCGAGAGAGTTGATTGTTTAATGCAGCAGATGATGATCAAAGTAGGGAATTGATCGTATCATGAGCGTCGGGTCCCAAGGCTCGAAATATATACAGCCTGAAAGGCGCCCAAGGCATCCTGAACCGTGGCAAGATGAAACCCTTCGATGCCAATCCGCGAGAACGATCGGAAAAAGTTCAGCCCCAAACAGCCCGCCATAAATGCTCATAGGTAGGCTTGGCGTAAGGCTCGCCTTCTGTTGGTACGTTTCAGGTTCCGGCGCGGCCCGCCGAAGGCTCGTCTACTCGATCTAGGAATGGTGGCTTGGGAGCCTGTGACTGTCACCAGTGGTATATAGCTTAGCAGTAATCGCGTCCCTAACAAGGCCAACACAAGGAACGGCCACGCTGGCGGCGAAACTCAGAAATCATCGCTAGGTTCTAAAACTAGCACCGTGACCAAGTTTACCCGCTCAATGTCGGACTCTGGCTGGATTCCACTGTCCAAGAGACTTTCCATCAACACGTTCTTTTATTGGGCCTTTCCTCCCTGACTACTGGCTGTACAGGGTGGCATGCGCAAGAGGAGATGGTGGAACAGCAGAGAGCTAAGCGGATATGACAGAAGAGCAGCGAACAAAGCTGTCGGTAATGGACATTCACGTTGAAAGGCCGGTGTCAACGGAAGATATCAGGGGTTGGAGTCTAGCTCCTTGACTGACGGTGTGGGCTATTTTCACGAGAAAGGATCGGAACCAAGGCCTGAATTTGGATAGCCACTGACAAGATCGAACGACACCGCGCTTATAACCGAGAACAATTCCTCATACCACCTCTTCTTCCCTTTGGTATGGAGATAAGGTGAATTCCTGGTCTGTATATTGTCGGTTTCATCTTGACTCGGATCCATCACATTTGTCGCAAGCTTGCAGTAACAATTGAGAGAAACGTTGAGGACTATTAGCTTCGTAGGAAGCGATGTTGACAACTGAGATCTATAGAACCCATCGGTGAGAGGCGAGTAGTATTCGGGAGCACCACCAAATACTCACCTGAGTTCTCAGATTGTTTTTCCCTCCCTGGCCTGGGGCGGCTGACTCATTCCGCAACAGCCCGACTAATGGCTCTACAGCATCCAACAACGGCTAACTACATGGCCATTGGCCTTTTTCGTAGCAGGGGACTACGTGGGCGTATGTTCTCCTGTCAATTCCAGTTCCGAAGCTTTTAAGAAGTCTACGAACCGGGCTGCCAGGTCATTGCGGGTTACGTGCACCCAGCGTCAGCATACTCGCAACCATGTGCATGTGGCCATATTCTCCTCGAACAGCACCACCCCATGCTGTATGAAGAGCAATTTTGGGGACTTCCTCATTGGGCGATTTTACGGCTGTGCGAATCAGGAACGTGTTTGAACCTTGCACCTGCAATCCCGTCTGGTATGCCTTTTATTGATTTTTTCAAGAAGAAGAAGAAGAAAAAGAAGGGGACATTATCGCCGGGTCAGCCTGCTTCGAATGCCCCTTCTGTCGCGCCAGTATCGTCGTCCCCGGGCGACACGCCCACCACTGGCAGTACTGTTTGGCACGGCGTTCTGAGCGTGCTGTGTATTGCGAAGGAGACGCTAGACAGTGTCCCGGTTCCTGGCCTCAAGGGTGCAATAGGTGGCTTTCTCGAAGTAGTTAACCAGCTGGAGGTGCGTTCGTTAAAAGGCTTTGTCCGAACATCATCCCACATACAACCCCTTGGGCTTTTACAGGCGGTCGATGGGGTCGGCGATGCGATTAGTGAGCTCCAGAGCAGTATCGAACACTTTAATCGGTCAGTTTTGGAGGCACTCAAACAATACCAACGGGAAGATGCTGTGTCTCCTGAACTTGTCCAGCCCATCGAGGCTTTGTCAAGGTATGTTATGCCTCCTCAGCGCTTCTCGGGGGTGGAATCATCCAACCGTTCTTTCAGCGAACTTATTGCGATCGCTATGCCACTCCAATCGTACTGCAAGAAGAGCACTGTCTACCTGTGGGCGAATCGCGACAAAATTCAAGGCGATATCCGCTCAGCTGGGGAAAAAGTGAACAATTCTGTGACAGCCTTTCAGGTATGTGGCTCCCCACTGCCCATGTCTAGTCCTGACTTTATGGGTTTAGGCTGCGCACTTGGTCGCGACTCGCTTAGGAGTGGCTCGGATTGAGGTGCGGTGCAATTTATACAGGCTCTCTTAAACTCCGAGTTAACCAATGCCCTGGAAACTCCAGAACGAAATGAAGGTAGTTGTCCGACCCTGGCGCAGAAATCATAGGTTCTGATTATTTTCAGGCACAAAGGCGCGAGGAAGCTTTAAAGGAAAAAGCAAAGCAGTTGGAGTCCTATCTCAACACGCTTCCTTTTACTGATGACGCTAGCCATGACACCAACCGGCTTGGCGCACCATCTAACTGTTTCCCCGGAACAAGAAGTGAAATTCTTGGATCCATTAAGCAGTGGTTTCACCGACCCATCAGTGATACGACTAAATCAGTGTTCTGGATTAACGGCCTAGCCGGGATCGGAAAGTCGACTATTGCGTGTACCATTGCGAAAGATGCTAACGAGTCTGGACACCTTGGATCTAGCTTCTTCTTTTCCCGTCAACATGCCGAGTTGTCTAGTGCGAAGCTCTTCCTTGGGACAATCGTGCGGAACTTCGCTAGGAAACTTCCCGAATTTGGTGTGGCCGTTGCAGAGGCATTGAAAGAAGATACCAATCTCCCCCGTGCTTCCCCTCTCACCCAATACTCCTCATTACTTTTCGCGCCCCTTCGAGACCTCGAGGTTTCCAAGCCTCTACTTCTGGTAATTGATGCTCTAGACGAGTGTAAGAGGGATGATGCGGATGGAGCAAAAGAAATTCTTCGTTACCTTATTTCCGGCTGCTCTGGCATCCCTGGCCTCCGTATATTCATATCGAGCCGACCAGAGCATCATATCGTCACGGAGCTCAACCGAGCTACGAATGTGGACAAAATTGTGATTCATGAAATCGATAAGCACGTCGCTTCGCGAGATATCGAGGTATATCTTCGGGGTCAGCTCCACGTCGTTTCCGAACGATTCAGTGACAGGGTCTCCGAAGGGTGGCCCACACCCGCCATGGTCGAGGCTCTTGCGAAGAAAGCTAATCGGCTCTTCATCTGGGCTGCTACCGCTGTCAAGTACATAGATAGCGATGACGGTGTGGATCCCATGGGTCAACTGGAATCCATCCTAGAGGACAGTCAGACGACCGAAGAGGGTCCTTACGCGGAGCTCGATAAGCTTTACGAAAGAGTCTTATTGGCCTGCGCTACCAAAACCCCCACGAAGAAGCGCGTCGAACTCTACCGACTCCTCCACACTATCGTCCTGCTCAAGAACCCGTTATCCCTGAAAGCGCTTGGCGCTTTTGTCATGATCTCCAATCCTACACTCATGCTCACACACACCCAATCCATCATACCGCTACCCTCGCTGCCAGAAGGAAGAGTTGAAGTCTACCATCCATCTTTTCCTGATTATCTACTTCAGCGGTGTGAGGACCCCGAGTTCAGGGTGGATGTGGAGAAGCACGAGCGGTGGATGGCGCTCCGCTGCCTGGATCTTCTCGTCGCTGAGCTTGTTCCGGCTGTAGATGAGATCGTGCCATGGCATTCACTCAATGTGGATGTGGAAAATTTAGGTGACAAGCTCAGTTCCCTAGTGGGGGAAGAAGTGCGGTATGCGTGCCGGTTTTGGGCATCGCATCTGAGAAACCTTCAATCGGTTGATGAAGAGGTTAGAGATGCACTGGAGAAATTCACTGGTCTCGGGGGCGATGATGAACAAGGCCTCTTACCGCGATGGATGAAAGTGATGAGTATGATGGGGCTCGTGGGTGATGCGGCCAGAAGTCTACGTGACATTCTTCCCTGGATGGTTAGTACTTGCGCTGGTTCGCTGGAGAACTTGTCACTCACCATCAAATTAGAGGAGTACTAATATCCTGTCCACGTTGCCCCCGTTTTGCACGATGCCTTCCGGATGGTTTTAACCTATGCGCCAACCATTGAAGCCAGCGCAGCGCACATCACCCAGTCCATTTTTCAACTCCTTCCCACCAACGGCCAGCTGACGGGGACTTCCCAAGAAGCACCCGATCCAACCGTAACTGTACGCGCGGGATGCGACTCAGAATGGCCTCTCGATATTGCCACTTTAACTGGCCACTCTGATACAGTGACCGCTGTGGTCTTCTCCCCAGATGGATCACTCCTGGCCTCATCATCGGATGACAGTACCATCAAGCTATGGGACCCTCACACTAGAAGCTGTCTCAGAACACTTGAGGGCCACTCTAAAGCTAAATGGACGAGATCCACAGCCTTCTCTGGAGATGGTCTGCTTCTAGCATCAGCATGCGATGATCACACCATCAGGCTGTGGGACCCTGATAGTGGGAGCAACGTGAGGACGCTTGAGGACCCTTCCCATATGCCGATATATGTGGCCTTCTCCTCGGATGGATCGCGTCTGGCATCTGCGTCATCTGATCATACCGTCAGACTGTGGGACCCTCGCACTGGGAACCACCTCAACACACTTAAAGGTCATACCAGTTGGGTGAGATCTGTGACCTTCTCCCCAGACGGATTGATTGTGGCATCAGCATCAGATGATCATACTGCCAGGTTGTGGAACGTTCGCAATGGAAAACATATTAGGACACTTGCAGGCCATTCTTATTGGGTGAGATCCGTGGCCTTCTCTCCAGATGGGTTGCTTCTGGCAACTGGATCAGAAGATTGTACCATCAAGCTGTGGGACCCTCGCACAGGAGCTGACCTCAAGACACTCGAGGGCCATTCTGATGCCGTGAGGTGTGTGTCATTCTCCCGAGATGGTTACTCTTGGCATCTGCATCAGAAGACTACACAATCAGCCTATGGGACCATCACAGTGGGAACCACCTCAGGACGCTGAAGGGTCATTCTCATTGCTTGAGATTTGTAGCCTTCTCCCCGGATGGATTGGTCATGGCATCAGCATCAGATGATCATACCGTCAAGATGTGGGATCCTCACACCGGGAGCCACCCAAAGGCACTCGGAGGTCATTCTCGTTTGGTGACATCTGTAGCCTTCTCTCCAAATACATCGCTCCTAGCATCAGCATCAGGTGACTGCACCGTTAAGCTTTGGGACCCTCACACTGGGAACCATCTCCAGACACTTGAGGGCCATTCTCATTGGGTGAGATCTGTAGCCTTCTCCCCCGACGGATCACTCTTGGCGTCAGCATCATCCGATTGTACCGTCAGGCTCTGGGACATTCAGACTAGGACTGCGAACATACTTGAGGGCCATTCTCATTCAGTGACATCTGTGGCCTTCTCCCCGGATGGACTCCTCGCATCGGCATCATCCGATTGTACCATCAGGCTGTGGGACCCTCGCACGGGAGACCACCTCAGAACCCTCGAGGGCCATTCTGACTGGGTGACATCTGTAGCCTTCTCCCCAGATGGATTGACCCTGGCATCAGAATCAAATGATCATACCATTAGGTTGTGGAACCCTCACACCGGCAGTCACCTCAAGACACTTGAAGAGCATTCTGATTCGGTGAAATACGGAGCTTCTAGTATCCGTTATGTAGCTTTCCAACAAGAGGTTTCGAAAAGTACACTATACATAAGGGATGAACAGTGGCTTTGCGTTGATACCGCTTATCTTTTTTCTCTGCCTCTTAATTTTTCCACCTGGGTTTCTCAAGGATCTTTAACAGCTTTTGGATTTAAAAATGGTCGCGTTCTCGTTCTCGATGTCTCATCTGCCCTTAATCAGCTTGGCTTCACGTAAACCCATGTTATTGTTTTTCCATCACGATCTGGAAGTTTGACTTGAAGTAATACATGCACTGTTAGTGCCAATATGCAACCGAATAAAAGGATTCTTTTACCTGGAGGTAGAGAGCTATCTCCTAGTCCCGCTGCGGGGAACGCGATAAGATTACTTAGAGGTTGCCGGTAAGCACCGTTTTTGCGCCACATTGGGGGTCAAGAGTCCGGTAAAACTACCGCGTTGAAGTGTCCGAGGGAATGGGATGAATTAGCAAGGCTTTGGCTTGGAGCCGTAAGGGACGAAAATATGCAGAATGTACAACTCGATAACATGGATGAATCGTAATGTCCCAGACGAAGCAGAGGAAGAGTGGACTTCAGTTTCCTTGATTCTGCATTGTTGGATCTGCATCATTTCCTTGCTTCTGCACCGTTGGATTTGCATCTTTTCCTGGCTTCCGCACCGTGGGATCCTTGTCTGGGTCGCCAATGCCACCTTCCCAAATGGCGAACAACGCTTCACTTTCGGGGAGGCTAGGTGAATCGTAAATTTTGCACACACGGGTGTTGCCTCGTCCTTTCTTGAGTTGCAGCCTATTGGACGTCACAATTTGCACCGGACTTCTAAAACGTCTGATAAACGATAGACGTACCTGCATGTTGCGGCGTGAGCAAGGATATTCCCTCCAATAGGTTTCTTATCGTTCCCGCCATACATTGCCACTGCCGCATCCGGAGAAGACATGACTTGGTTGGTTATTACGACAGCGACACCGTACTATAACCACGCATTGTGAAATCAGCCCGCAGAAGTGTAAGGGAACACACACACCTCATCGGCCATTCTCTGCAAGGCCCGAAGGAACTTCCCTAGATGCATTTGCCGAGCCGCAAGCTCTCCTCGCCCGTTATAATCGACTCGATACAGAGCAGTGATTGAATCTACTATGAGGACCGAAAATCTTTCGTGAACAGGGACCATGCGCGCGCGTCAACAGCATGAACTAGTATCGACTGGGTGCGTACCGTGATTCCGCCATGAGGGCACCAGCTGTTGCCAGTAATTGCATCTGGTGGTCAGCATTATACGCCCTGGCGTATGCGACGTTATCTAGTGCGCTGTCCGTGTCCAGTCCGTGCCGAGCCGCTGCTTCCACAATACGTTCAGGACGGAACGTTCCTTCCGTATCAATGTAAATAGCTTTCCCTTCTCCACCTCCCCAGCTGATAGGCAGCTTAAGTAGCAGCGATAGCATCATCAATCTTGATATCGAGAGGCAGATAAAAGCCCACGATGCACGTACCTGACATGTTGCGGCAAGTGTATGACATAACTGCGACTTCCCTGTTCTAAATTCCCCAAAAAGCTCTGTGATAGCGCCAGTTTCGAAACCACCTGGCGTGTTGTATCCGATAAGGCACAGTCGTAGACGACGAAATGAAAAAAAAACGCACCCCCAAGCAAGACGTCTAGGTTAGCTGATCCTGTACTTATTTTTACCAGCTCTTTCCTACGGTTATGAATCTCTGTGGCGCTGACAAATCCGAGAGGAATCATTTTTTGCGCTACGAATCAAGGCAACTTACTCATCAACCACTCAAATTACGCGTGTTACATTACGCCTCGATACTTACCCTCAGCTATGACCTTATCCGCCTTTTGCTCTGATATACCCTTAATGCCCGCAATCACCTTCTTGGCCGTGTACGCGACAGCCTCGACGGTGTGGAGACCAGCACCAATGAGCTTCTCTACATCTTGTTTACTAATCCCAAACTCCTACAAAGCCACTATTAGTTTGACCGGTGACTTCAACCTGTAAGGGCATGAATGCGAACCATCAGCCTTGCGACGCCAAGAGGCGCTGAGACCATCGAGGGGTCTTCATCCTCCGCAGAGGACTGCTGCGATACACTAGTCTGAGTCATGGACGCCAGCTAGAGCAGGTAAACGCGTCAAACGCGTAGAATGTAGTAAATGGAGCTGTCAGAAACGGCTGATTGGAATTGAGATGTCCGAAACAAACACAAACATGTTTCGGTGCCGAGGCGTCAACAACCACCAATCATGATGTTTCCTTGTCCAGTAAGCACAGGATGTACATAATCATATATTGCCTTAGGGAATGGCTTGGCCTGGGGAAACATCACCAAACTACGTGTATATTAAAGGTGTGGCATTGTGGTTCATGGGTAGAGCAGGGAGCGTAGGCTGGAATGATGTCGATTCAACACATCACTTGCACATTAAACACCGCGACAAACAACCCAAGGCACATACATGTGATGTAACGGAAAAGATGGGACAGCAAAAGGAAAAACCTCAGAAGGCTGGTTGCTGCTGCTGCTGCTCACCGAATGCCTCCTGGTAGGTGGCTTCCGGTGCTGTTTCCGGGATGGCAGTCGGTAGGGGAGCACCCCGCTGCTCTGATGTTGGCTCGGAAATGAGCTTATCAACTGGGGGCTCGATAATGGTGACGTGGTCGGGGAGAGGTTTCTTTGGACCAAGGCGACCCTCGGGATCGTGCCTTTCATACTAAAGTGATCTCAGCAGCTGCTCCACACCTTAAACGGATGTGACTTACATTTTCACCTTGATACCCAACACACCTTGCTTTAGGAGAACGTGCCGAACAGCATAGTCGACAAATTCACGAGAGGGGTGACCGGAGTGAATCATGAAACCATCCGTGAACTTCATGCTCTTAGCGCGAGCAGCACGTAACTTCCCAGAGACGATGACCTCGCAACCCTTAGCACCACTCTCCATGACGAAACGAAGGACACCATAACAGGCACGACGAACAGCCAAACCACCGAGAAGCTTGTAGCGGAGAGACTCGCATTGAGCGACGGCGGAAAGACCACGGGATTGAACCTTTTCGGCGTAAAGCTCGACCGAGTTCTCAGGGAATTTGAAACGCTTTTGGACGAGCGCCGTAAGTTCGCGGATGCGTCGCCCCTTCTCGCCCAAAACTTCTTGGGTGTGGGTCGCGCGGATTATGATCTAATCGCAGCAAATGCAGAGCATGGAGTGACTAAGTCTCTATCCAGCAACATGAATTAACAACATACCTCGGTGCGTGCATGGGTGACACGAACTTCGCACCCTGAGTAACCCTCCTCTGCCAATTCACGAGTGAAGAAGTCACTCAATTCGGCACGAAAGACACCATCAGCAACAAACTAGCAAATGAACTTCAATTCCGTACAGTGCACATCGCGGGATATGAATACCTTTCTCTTCTTGCTTACAAGGGTTGCCGGTGCCATGGGTTCTAAGGATCGGGGGTAGTCAGTTTCATCCGATCCACAACTTTGCAATCCATGTCATCATCGACGCCCAGCAATGCAGAGACTTGACAGGACGATTGGACTGAGTCTAAACAGAAGCTACGTACAGTTTGAGACAATGTCTTAAGGCAGACTTTTGAGATATGGCGCTAATTTGTTCTGCACACGCTGATCGAGCGGATGCAAATTTCGTCCTCAGCTGGAATTGGAATGCTTGTGGGTATATAATGCTCAGATACCTTCGCTTCCTCCCACTGTTCTTCCACTTCAACGTCGTCGGTTCCCTTCATCCGAATGAAGAATGCTGTGAGTATCGCACCCCTCTCACTCCCCTTTTCCCAACTGTGATGAAAAGAAAAAGATTTCTGACACCTCTACTCGAGACGCTCTGCACCTTACATGGTCGCTTTGCGAGTGACGTATTCCTCTCTGAACTGGAAAATATTTTCCCCCTTCATTCTTCTTTCCGCACATTCAGAATACTAAAGTCATTTCACCAGGGCGCGTCTCTCAGTTTTATATCGGATGTAAATACTGTCTGCTTTTTGCAATCCTGAATCTCTACCCACAGTATACCTAAACTGAACCTAATCTCAGTACTACGATTCTGGCCGTTCTGGGTGCAATGCATTATTTCCTTCCTTGATGTATCAGCAATTGAGTCCTTATCATCAGTAGCAGCATTGCTCTCCACCTTGCTTTCTGCCTGCTTTGAGTTCCTAATAGGATCCTGGATCACGTCTCTTGCCTCATGCTTGATGAATACTTATTGGCTTAATCTTGAATACCACATGATGATTGGGTGCGTTCGTCGGAACCCTTCTTCATGGCCTACAACAGTCGCTCTACCCCTAAATATTGCATATTCTTCGCGAAGGGGAGGTGTTCGAATGGCGATGAATGCACGTTCTTGCACTCGTCAAGCCCTAGACTAAATGGAGGTTCATTTGCTCCCCTCCAAACACCAAAACCTTGCATATTCTATGCGCGAGGAGCATGCAAAAACTCCAGATGTCCTTTTTCCCATGTTTTCCAAAGAGTACCACAGAACACCGGTAACGCGTTGCAGCCTCCATCGCCATCTGTCCAGTCGATACCTTGCCGCTACTTCTTACAAGGATCTGCACCAAAGGGGGACAATGCAACTACTTCCACCCAATGCTGGATATTCCAACCCAAGTTACTGGAGAGCGACGGCCAACGGTGAGTCATGTCCACTGGCATATAATCGTTGCGCCTATCCCCACTGCGAAGGGCACAAACATCGCCAAGATAACGAAAAGCACGCATATCTCGTCCAGACAAATGGATGAAACTTCCACTACGAGAACAATCCTTGGATGCGAAGCAACGTTGACCAGCGGCTTACTCGTCACTAAGATCTCCACAACGCTCGATTCCACTTGTCTGATCATTGGTAACCTGCCCGAACACGTTGAGGAAGCTGCCCTTCATGATATACTTCGTCCTATCGGAGAACACAAGCTCTATGTGATGCTGAAGGCGCTTCGTCCCATGGCACGTGTCGAGTTCGAGACCCCAGAGTTGGCATCCGCCGCTGTTGCGGTACTTGATGGGAAGTCCTTCCAAGGCCACAATGTCACTGCACGTCTTGAACCAGGTCGCGCCTCTGGTGAAGGAATATTGCGAGATAACGTTCTCGGTGTGGCATGGTTCGCGCCCACTACAAAGGCATTCGCACACTTCGACAATCGCATGCAAGCTCAACGTGCCGCGCAGCGTTTTAATGGATTCACCATCAGGAACAAGGTGATATCCACAAAATTCCAGATCCCTTCCCCTACCCAAATTACATCGTTCAGCGTGATCATTTCGGACTTGGCAGAGGACGTCACAAAGTCTGAGATAATCGAACTAATGAACTGTCATGACGTGATCATCCTTCCGCCTGAGTACTCGCTATCTTGTTCAGCTGCGAAGTTGGCTCAAGCGCTTGAAGTCGTCCCCGGAGTCCTGGAGTCCTTTAACTTGGTTCCTACATCTTCTTCATCCTCCAAACTGAAGGCTACCGCGCAATACACATCTGCAGACCATGCCCAGACAGCAGTAGAAACCCTTCATGGCAAGAGGTTCTCTTTCTTGAACAACAGCCCCCTCTGGCTCTCTTACGTCCAATCCGTCAAGTTCACTCTCATGCAGGAACAATACTTCGCCATCGAACCCAAGATTACTTCCATACGCGGGGAGCTATCTGGAGGAGAGTATGACTGGCGCTGGTATGTGTATCAGGGTGGCGCGGACGTCATGCCCCGGATAGTCACTATTCGCGTTACGGCATCAGATACTCGCGCCTTAGGGCAACTCAAGATGAGGATGGAACGTCTCATCCGCGGCGAGATCGTCTTTGAACAAGACAACAAAGCGAAGGCCTGGGACGATGGGTTGCTTGCACGTCGAGGACGAGCCATAATTGGTGATCTGGCTCGGTCCAAAGGGGCTTACGCCCGATGCGATCCTATTAAACAGCACATATTGCTTCATGCACCAAACCCCTTAACTCAACAGGAAGCGCGTCAGCTTATCCTTTCCAGATCGCCACAATGCGGACTGCCCGACACTCGTTCACATTGGGTCCAGTCGAATTTGGGAAACTCATGAAGCGTGGACTAATTATCCTTCGCGATCGTTATGGCAACGACCATGTCAACGTCAACATCAGTCAGCGCACCCTCACTGTGCGCCTGCAATTGGATGCCGACTTCAAGTGGGTCGAGAACTTTGTCCGCGACATCGGGTCATCTCTGCCAGAAGTCAGCAGAGGAGGCGCTGAGTGCCCCGTCTGCCTGTGCGATGTGACTGACCAGGTGACCCTAGCCTGTGGTCATGAATATTGCGGGCAGTGTTTAGACCACATGCTCCACAGCGTTTCATCCTTCCCCCTGACCTGCTTGGCTGACCAATGCAACGCACCTCTGCCTCTCGCCCTCATCAAGACTCGCCTCGGTTCGTCAGCGATGGACCAGCTCCTTGACCTCGCCGCAGAAACTTACATCAAGGAACACCCAGAAGAATTCAGGTTCTGCCCCACATCAAATTGTGCGCATATTTACCGGCCGGGACCCGAAGGCACCGTTCTACGATGCAAAGGGTGCCTTACACATATTTGCCCAGCATGCGCAATCGAATCTCACCCAGGAATTACCTGCGCTGAGCGCCGAGGGCTAAGCGACCCGAACGAACGAGCCTACAGAGCGTGGAAGAAGACGAACGATGTACGATCATGCCCTCGATGTGGCGTGGATATTCAGAAAGCGGGTGGGTGCAATCATATGGCCTGCGTTGCTTGTAAAGCCCACATCTGTTGGTTCTGTATGGGCACTTTTACTTCTGGTGATATTTACAATCACATGAACAACGTCCATCATGGTATTGGAGTCTGATGTATTTTTACCTGCAAGGTCTTTTGATGATCAAATATTCACAGCTCAATGATAACATGGATCGACTTGACATCAGGGCTTGTATCGTGCATGTCTCAGCAGATCTGCATTGTGCAAGTTGACTCCGTCGAGGCAAGTGGTTTGGCCATGCTCTGCCTGCATAGTGTACATGCCCTGTAGCTATTCTCCAACATATCACGTACTCTAGCCTTGTTAGGCGTGAGTAGGTAAAGCGAGTGAAGGGGCCTTCTCAGGCGATGACGGCTGACTTGATTCAAAGCTTTTGATATACCCTTTCCAAAGTTCGTCTACATCTTTCGCTCCGGCTTCCTCCCAGACCCAATTACCCCAACCCTCCTTCGCGAGTCGAACGTTAACCCGTTGCAACCACCCTTTTTCCTTTCCCTGATGGTGTTTCTCCTCGACCCATTCGAGAAAGTAGGCAGTGCGCTCGTACCCCGCATCCCAGCCATCGGTCTTCTCAGGTTTCTTCTTCGTCCAATGCCTCGCTCCCAATCCAGATTTGAGGCGTATATAATCTGCCAAACCCTCAATGAATCCTCCAGGCGCGGTTCCATTCCCATTTCGTTGCCAGACGTGGACAAGTTCGTGGATGAGAACCCCTGATATCTCTTCGACAGAGCTCTTCTCGATGTAATTCGCAGAAAAGTGTATTTCCCTTGCATTCGGGTCCACGATGGATTCAGTTGTATACGCAACTCCTTCCATTGCACGTACGAAGAGAGTGATCGAGTAAATGGAAGGGATTGAAGGATGGGTTGAGTTAGGGTATAGGACTTTGAGGATGAAATGGCAATGAGAAACAAGCGTCTCATGACAGTGCGGCCCAAAGACTTTGAGGAAGTGCTTGGCTCCTGGGTGACCTAGTGGATGGACTCTCAAGTGAATCGGTGAAAGATCAAAACTGGGATCCGGCTCTGGGCTTGGACGAGCCTCTGCGATGCGCATTATATCGGAGCGAGCTACAGGTATTCCGAGCTTTAAGAGTGTCAGCAGCGGTGGTGCGGAAGCCCCGCACAATATGTGATCTCCGTCAATTGAATCCCCGGGCCGTCATGGACCAATGTAGTCCCAGGTAAGGTTGCCACCTATGGCAGTCTACCTTAGAAGGTATGATACGGCCTACTACAACGAGAGCATCCCCGGTGCGCAACTTGAGGAAGCGCATCACACGCCGTAAGTACTTCGATCGACAAGGAACGCAGGCAGCGACCTTGTCTTGATTCTGTAGTGTGACGATTAAAGGCACCATCGACAAGCCATGCGCATGTTCACACATACAATCATACGCGCTGTCATTGGAGTCTGGAAGTACCCACAGAACTATGTGACTACCATCGGGTCATGTACAAACAAACCGGAGTCGATATACAAAAAGAGCTGGAATCGTATACAACAACACCATTTCTTCAATCCTTCTGCATTAGTTTATTCAGGCCCGAGGACAGATAATCAAATTCCTGCACGATGGATGCTTCCATCTTTTGCCTCGATTCCAAAAGGCGACCTGACAATCAATCAATCTCCTCTCCGCATCTTCTTTAGCAAACTTCAGCCTAGCATTTTCTTCCTTGAGTCTCCGTATCTCGGCGTCACGTATCTTGATGTGATCCTGAAAACGTTTCTGAGCATCGTCCCATATTTGCATGGGTCCTCGTCCAGAGCGGGCAATGGAGATGTGGTAGACCGATGTCGTGATTTGAGCGAATTAATGGAGTCCCCGCGATTTGAGGTTCTGGAGGCTGGTCTGTTTGTCGAGATCGCCTCCGCGTTGAAGACTGAGTTTGTCGTTCCGCGAGGTTGGTTTCTCCCGTTCGTTGAACCTTACATGTGCTCTCACAGTTAGCTTGGTTATGCAATCGAAACACCACGCGCCTACCGTACGAAACAACAGACCGAGTGTCATATTCTACGACAGTACTGGGGGTTGGAACCCGCGGCACGTCAGGTGGTTTGGCTGAATCTGGGATGGGCCAATGTTCGTCACAATCACCACAACAATGGCAATTAAACTCACGAGCCGATGACAAGGAAGGGGACTTGGCAACTGGAGACGTTGGAGATACTAAAACGTAACTCGAGCCTGTTCCAGATCCTGCTCCTGGTCCTCTGGAGCTCGGCTTCTTCGGCGGGGTGGGCGAAGCGAAGCGGAACAGCGCTTCCGAACGCCAACGAGCAGGGTCTCCGGCGCTCTGAGGAGACTGTTTATCATCTGCTGTCGAAGTTGCGTCATTGACTCAAACATTCTGTGAATGAGTGACTGACGGTTGACAAAGCCTGTCCCCCTTGAACCATCATGGTTGGGACCGGTATTTGGCATATGTGAGCGGAAGGCTAGGTCAAAGTGAGAATCATGATCGCTCAACAATCCTTGAAGGACGTTCGCATGGATGTGGATATGGCGCTCACTTCTTTTGAGATTCTCCTCACACTGTCACTGTCGCTTTGATTGGCAATGCTCGCTCTGGGTTGTTAGGGAATTAGAGGTTCGTAATGGATGTCAGTCAAGTCAACGTACCGGGACATAATAACGAAGGAAGAGGCTATCCCTCTAAGTGCCGCCCGGCCAGCGTCAAAAGTGGCTATCAGCGTTAGCTTTGTTAATCGCGAGTACCGTGATCCTAGCCTAACAAGGCTAGTATCGCTGTCGGCAGTCCAAGAGGGCTTGTTTCCAAATCAGTGACTCGGACGCCAGAACTCTTCAACGTCAACGGAATGGCGAGAGTGAAGCAACGTTCTATCCCCGTTGTTCCCAATGTTTACCGGGCTGGGTAAGCCCGTATATGATGAGCCCTAGCTTTGTGGATTGGGGCAGCAACGGGATCCACATAATAAAAGCTACAACAGCTGTTGACGCTTCACATAAAATTGTGACCTAAGCCACCCTTGCTGGCAATTATTCATCACGAGATATAGTATCTGGAATCCTTTGGCGGAAAGCAAGCTTTTGGGTACAGTTGCCCCAATGCCGTACCAACTGTAACCATTTAAACTGTCCCACATTGAAGCAGAGTTGGCCAAATTCATTCGTTCACTTGTCGTGACTCTTGAGCCGTGTATGGATAAAAGCTTACTGCATTCGTCATGAGAGCCAGACGAAGAAAACAAGGCATCCGCGGAGAAGCGAAGTACGAGTGAGTACCAAACGACAAGAACAGAGCCAGAGCGGTGAAAGAAAAAACTAAAAGAGGACGAGACATTAAGGCAGAAGATACAGCAATTTTGACAACGCCAGCCACCGTCACAAAGTGCGAAAACGAGTAAATGCATGCCCAAACCATCAGAAGAATGAAAGGAGAAAAAAGGGAAAACAGAACAATCTCTATCAACGTCTTCAGTCGTTTAATTACGTCGACCGGTGACTCATACACCCTTTGCGACGTTGAATGGCGAGTGTGTGGTGCCATTGAGCGGAAATGAGCTTGAGTGCGTAATGCGGATGCAGAGTTCGGAGGCATAGTCAGTTAAGGCAATTTCGAAAGTTGATAGGGGCAACGGTGAGTGGATGTATCAAGAAGATTACTTTTCAGAAACAGAAGCGAAGATGGGCTGCGATGCTTTAGTTGCGGTATTAATCTGGCTCGTCAAAAATAGAGGGAATCTAAATCAAGTCGCTAAGCACATGAAACAATCTTAGCCTTTGCGATCCCAAATAAATGAAGTAAAGACTCACGCGACGTTCAAAGGCATTTCATCAATTTGGGTGTTGTAAAACTGTTCAATCTCACGAAGCATCCTAACATCTTCAGTGGTAACGAAGTTGATCGCCACACCCTTCCGTCCGAACCGTCCACCACGACCAATGCGGTGGATATAGTTTTCGCGGTTGGATGGAAGATCGTAGTTAATGACAAGCGATACCTGCTGCACATCAATCCCACGCGCGAGCAGGTCCGTGGTGATGAGAACACGGGACGATCCGGAACGGAATTCTTTCATGAGCACTTCGCGTGCTTTCTGCTCCATGTCTCCGTGCTGGAAGAGTGGAAAGCCAGGTGTGAGATATCTTCCAGTCGTTGAGGCACATACTTACCATCGCGGAGACAGTGAATTCGCGTTGATGCAATTTTTCCGTCAGCCAGTCAACTTTCCGCCTAGTGTTGCAGAAGATGACGGCTTGAGTGATAGTGACGGTCTCGTACAAATCGCAAAGCGTGTCTAACTTCCATTCCTCTTTTTCAACGGCGATGTAGAACTGCTTGATACCCTCGAGGGTCAACTCGTCACGCTTCACAAGAATCCTGATAGGGTCACGCATGAACTTTTTGGAGACATCAAGCACATCCGCGGGCATGGTAGCGGACAAGAGCACAACCTGTGTCTCGGCGGGCAGAAGTTGGAAAACTTCGTAGATTTGCTCCGTGAAACCGCGCGAAAGCATTTCATCGGCTTCATCGAGACAGAAAACCTTGATGTGGTCGGTCTTGAGCGCTCTTCTGTTAATCATATCGTAGACACGACCAGGCGTTCCGACGACTACGTGGGCACCCTCCTGGAGTTTCTGAATGTCATCACGGACATTGGTGCCTCCAATGCAAGCATGGCACTCCACATCCATGTAATCGCCAAGTGCGACGACAACTTTTTGAATCTGTTGTGCAAGCTCGCGCGTTGGCGCGAGAATGAGTGCTTGAGTAGCCTTGAGGCTTTTGTCAAGCTTTTGAAGAATAGAAATGGAGAAAGTCGCGGTCTTGCCAGTCCCAGACTGAGCTTGCGCGATAACGTCGTGACCTTTGACGACAGGGACAATGGCGCGTTGCTGGATTGCAGAAGGGCGCTCAAAACTACACATCGATATTGGAAATTTCTCAGTTGGCACCGGTATGCCAAGAAAACCTCCACCCCATGAACATCACAACTCACCCATATGCATAGACGCCACGAAGAAGTTCGGCTCTGAGGTCCATGTTATCGAAGCTGTATTATATAGGAGTGGACCCATGAACAAAAGGGGTGAAAATGTTAGATCGGGAAGGAGTTTTCACGTACTTGTCTACAACCTGGTCCCAGTTAGACTCGATCTCATTTTCATGGACATCCTGTAAACTATCTTGGCTGTGACAGGTCCAAGATCGGTGACCGATTGAGCCATGAGCCAAGGGCCAAGCCATCAGGGGGACTCTGCATGCTGTGGTCTTTCGACTCACGAGGCCATAATTTGTATTTAAAGCTCGCTTTATTCCAAATGGTCGACTACTATCTGGTCGACTAGATGGAATGTTTGACACTGAGAAAACGTTGAGTGTTAAAGTGATGGAGGAAAAAATTCCCGAGATCAGATTTGCTTCCGGCGGCTGTGGCCTCGAAGATGGCAGAGTTATTCTCCTGATCTGATATACTGAACCCACCCCTTGCTCCCTCGCATTCCCAAGGCGCAGACTGACTGTTGCGATATCGTGATTATTTCATCGGTGCTAGCGACGCCCCTGAACCCTAGCGATCGGGCTCTACACTCTTCGGAGTCACAATTTGCAAGGGCTTTCAATTCCTGGCATCAGGCACATCTTTAAGTGGTTCAGCGCGGGTGGCCACTCGAGTTCCATAACTGGCACCTTCCCGAGTCATCCTTTACTATCGGATTATGAGTCCGTTCTGGTGCACAACTTCCTCTACGTATGGAGGAGGTGAGATGAGGTTACGAGAGGGATGTCAAATGCGTGCGAAATCTGGACCGCCTAACATCAACATTGTCAGTGACGCCTTCTGTGCATCAACATGGATTATCCTCAGCTCGCCCGTGATTTTGCATAATAACTGCCTCTGCAGCAATTCCAACTCTGGGTTCCCTGTGATCCCAACTGGAATCCGCCGATTAATGAGGCTGGCCAAGCCAATAATTGCCATGACTGTGAGACATATCGGGCAACGTAGTTGATCACCCACGTTATCCACAATGGCAAAACTCATGACTACTGCGTCAGAATCGCTGATTATTTAGAGGATGTCGTAATCTGGTAGCGCCGAGAATAGAAACAATGTTGTGTAGCACGCTGAGTGTTGAGCCCCTCGACCACGTCGGCGAGTACAAGCCCAAGCCTTCACCAATGGTGTGAATGGGAGACACTGGGACAACTTCAAAAATTGCTTTAGCAGTCATCATTGCCCTCTGGCTCACACTACCGTGTATCGGCACTATGCTGATGCCATCACGCTTGTATCGACGCGCGTCCGAATCCGTCCTCTCCTCGCTGTCAACCCATGTAGTACGACCACCAGGTCACTATTAGTTACCGCAAAGCCATATTGAAAATCGACAGACCCGCCGGACCCGGGAAGTGCAGAGCGGTGGCGTTTTGTATGAAGTCACTTGGCTATTCCTTGATCATCCAGCAAGGAAAATAATAACAGAAATACTCCAACGCATGAGCACACCCCATGGAATCAATTGTGCTCGGACACTTCACGATATCGTGCCTCCACTTTCTTCCCATGGATCCTGTGCCACTTCTGGGGAATTGTGCCATTTTTATTGACCATCCTTAGCCCTGACCTATCCAGGGTGCGCTAGTCAGTGCGCACAGCTTAAAATGTCTGATTCGAGTTAGGGAACCTCCCTCGCACATAACCTACAAGCAATGCTATGATCAGGATGACCCGCTAGGCCCATCTTGGCCCAGTGATAACGGGGTACATGCAACAAACGGAATCATGACATAAATTAACGACAAATAACAGCGGAGATAAGTCGAATCACGGAGTGTGTTCAAATCAGCGAGTTTGGGATGATTTGAGCCGGACTCTTGCATGTCTTTCCCTGCATTTAAACGCATCAGCAAGAAGGTATCGAAGACTTGAGTATTTACACGCACATCTTCAATCCATTCAAGATACGCTTGAAGTTCAGTTCCGCCAAATTGGATGCCAATCTTGAAATCCAATTGCCAATATTTTTTTCGGATCCCAGACACATCTGAAGCGCTCCAGACAACCCACTGATATCTGCAGTGACGGTACAGACCCTTCAAATCCTGGAGCAAGGTTTCCTGGAAAAGTAAAAGCATCGAGTCACTAATATTCACGAGAAATCATGGCCACAGTTTACCGTCAACGTTCGTTGCGTAGTACGGCTCTTTCCGACCAAGTATGGTGTAGGCATATATGACACTGGAGACACATCCAAGGTCAGGAGAAGGGGTTTGATAAAACCGACAGAATTCCTCCGCAGCTCCCTCATCTGACTGGAGGATGTCCCCCTATAATGAATAATAACCAATATGCCACATCGTTCATCACGATTTCAAACTTACACGCCTGACGATAGGATGCCACACCCCAGGAATTCTTTCACGTCCATCAATTCCTTTGACGGGCGAGCGCTCACTGTGCCGCGGGTTGTTCGAATCGTATAGCACATTCCACAGCACCCGTACTGGAAGCGGCAAGCTCGCGCAATGACGGAGGATGCAGCACGCCAAATAACCACACCATCCGACACTGCTTTGGATCTGCCAGGAGGGACGTTACCATTGAGAAAATCGTGAACATAAAAATCGAAACCCACGTTGAGTCATTTGCAGTAACAACTTGGCAGTCCTTGTCTCGAAGATCCTCCTGAGCGTTTCTCTCAGATATGTATTCTCTCCAAAGCCTCCGACGAGCAGAATATGCTTGCACTCGATACCGGACGTTTGTTTTTTTAAAGAGTTGACAATTTGGTTCACGGATGGTTGGAAGAATGTCTTAGTGGTTGCCCTTCGGAACGCGTTTGTCAGCCATATCCAGTCTGTAGGGATGAAGTTGAATTACCCGTCCAGCGTCATCCGCCCACGCTTCACACCAAGAGCCGGATTAGTGTACCGGCTTTGCCCTATGTCCAGGCTTCCTTTGCTCGATACATCCTTGAAGGCTTTCTTGACGGTTGCTTCGAAATCATCTATAGCATGCTTGACAAAGTCTTTAATTTCGTCGGGCCGAAGATATGCCCCAGGATCAGAGAACACGCGGTGGAAGTAGTCCTCTGCAGCTTTATTCACGAAAATACCACCCGCCTGAGTACAAGCCGATGGTTTCACTTCGCGAAGCTGAAGTTGTGGATGAACTTCCGACACCGAGTAAGCTGTTATGTCGACTGTCGACCCGCCTATAGTTCAACTCAGGACTGCTATTTGATGTGAATCATTTCTAGCAACCCACCCGCATCGCAGACGGCAAACCTCACGTTCGGCTATTCGGGTGAAGTGATAAGCCCCAGTTGAGCTGCGGATGGCAATCGTATTGTGGGAAGACTTGCCTCAAATTGTGATGCAAGGTCAGCGTGAAACATACAGTAGTGGACAGAGGCTTCGCCTTCAGTGACAAAGAAGATCCGGGTGTGTGATTGGGACTCGGGGACAATGCTAGCTGCCACTGCCGCTGTGCGCAAAAACTCTTGTTCCCTTAAACCCCACCCATTCGGGTGAGCGATGACGATATCGGCGGAAGGGATATGTGTCTTCCACACACGAGCCCCATCAAGGACGCGGTATGTGAAAGTATCTTGGGTGTGCTTAACGAGATATTTGAAGAAGTCTCTGTATATCGTCGAAAGGGGAACATCCACGGGTAAGGCTGTGCTGAATGCGGTCAACCTGCTTGGGCTACTGAAGCGACGAGTAGCACATACGATCGAGGGCCAAATTGTACTTCTCCTTCATCGTCTGTGGGTGGAGATGAAGCTTGAAATTCTTTGCGAGTGTCCATCCATTGTCCTCCGCTTCGTCTTGCATATCGGCGCTTAGTGCCTCAGCGCCAAACGCAGTGGCCTGATTTGAAATGAAAGAGTGAGAGTGGTCAGCAAGAGCGTGAACATCAATCACGAAGTGGTGAGGTCCAATTAACTTTATTATCCTTGTCATACCATATCACGGTCGGGATTTTGCTTTCGCCTCTGTGAGCATCCTGCCCTGGCCATGCATCAACTCTCGCAACTTTCTGGGGGCCACTATTGACCACGGGGGTGAGATGGGCTAAATGCCGTACATGAAAAGTAGAAACTGCAACGCACTTGGGAAAGAGATAAGCATACGATACTCCAGAAAATGTTGTACCAATATCGAATCCCAATATGATTTTATGCTCGCCCATCCATGGATCTGCAGCGAAAGCCTTCATTGATCGTCTTGATTAAGCAGGTGGGCGTTTTACTAGGGCTTGGTCAAGTTCTTGGCATAAGGTAAGATTCGCGTGGGAAAAGGGCACCATATATGGCAACTGTTTCCGCTTGTCAAATCACCTGTCCGACTCCACGTTCAGGCGTAGCCTCCTTAATTTGTTATATGCAGCTTCTCGCCGCCATTCTTGGCTATGTATAACATTCAATTTTTATAATGGATAACTCGCTAACCTCATCCTACTAGACCGGTGGAGATCCCAGCCTCTACTAAAGTACACCCCTCAATGGTTCATTTGCATGTAACATCCTTATTTCACCCCGGATTTTTTATTTTTTTGCACACTTGTATGCTATAACTATGGCTATGACTACGCAAAAATTTGACCAAATCAGACATAAAATGAAGGAGTAATAGCAGTTGTTCAACGAGTTAATGGTCCACACAAAAGTTATGCATCTTGCACTCTCCAGAAACATGGCTATGACATCACAGTGTGTCCTACAGCTTGGTGTGTTACCAAGGAACAGAAGGCCACTGGCGCATGTGCCCATGTTTGTTTGTTGTGGTGAATGAGCACTTGTCAGACTTGGGTATACTTACATCCGGGTTTCCCAATTCAGCACCTCAAATTTATTCCTTTCTGTGCCTGCTGCTTTCACCAGTATCAGTAATGGCTCCCTTAGAATGCACAAGCAAAAAGCAGCTCAAGCAGTAGAGCAAATATTCTGCAAACCCTTGCTTCATGCCATATTACTGAATTATCGGTTCGGCATGTGAACTAATTGTCACACCACGTCACACTGAACCATTGAGCCGGGAAAGCACCATTTCCTTGTCTGCTTTTATTCTCGTTCATTTTTCATCCATTTCTTTATATCTCTCGGTAATATGTACATACCCAGCCTGGCTACTATCCATCGTAAAAATTTTGTATTTGGTTTTGATCCAATGTCATAGTCTCAAAATTACAAAATGTGAACCATTGGCCGTGAATGACTGTATATGACAAACGAAATCATGAGAAACAAGGATTATCTGAACGACGGAATTCGATCATATCACCGAGTTTGGGATGATTTGAGCCGGGCTCTTGCGCGTCTTTCCCTGAGATTATAGTAAGATTGGCAAGATGGTGTCAGAAGATAATTTACACTCACACCTTCGTTCCATTCAAGATATGCTTGAAGTTCTGTTCCACCGAATTGGATGCCAATCTTGTAATTCAATAGCCAGTATGTTCCCTTGGGTCCCTGACGTTTTTCGAGAAGTCCAGCTAGCCTGCTCAGGTCCACAGAAACGTTGCACACCGCTTCAAACCCTGGAGCAGGGTTGTCTGAACAAATGATAGGCATTTAAGTAGTCATTGATCTGCACGAGGAACCCTCTGATCTTTACCGTTTTCATCATTTGAGTAGTACGGCTTTTTCCGACCAATTAGAGTATTGGCATATATCACATCCAAGACACATCCAGGATTGGGGGATTCGCAATTTTGGAAGAAATCCTTCGAAACCCCTTCATCTGGCCGGAGAACGTCCCCCTACGATAAATCATTACCAACATGTCACATCGTTTGTCACAATTTCGAACTTACGCGGCTGACGATAGGATCCCACACCCCAGAAACTAGCTCGGACCCATCAATGTCTTTGAAAGGTAAGCGCCCACTGTGCAGCGGGTTCTTTGAATCGTATTTCACGCTCGTAGAGATTCCATACTGGAAGCGGCAAGCTCGTGCAACGACTGAGGATGCAGCACGCCAAATAACCGCACCATCCGACACCGCCTTAGCTCTGCAAGGGTTGATCACGGAGAAGAGTTATGAGTGCAAGAATCAAAACTCACGTGGAGTCGTTTGCAGTGACAATTTGAGTGTCTCTTTTCCCCAAAGCCCTGCTGAGCGTTTCTCTCAGACATAGGTTCTCCCCGAAGCCTCCGACAAGCAGAATATGCTTGCAGTTGATGCCAGACATTTGTTCCTTCAGAGAGTCGACAATCTGGTCCATGGCCCGTCGGAAGAATGTCTCGATGGTTGATCTTCAGGACTCATTTATCAGCGATATCTAGTCTTTAGAGACGGCGATAAATTACCCATCCAGCATCATCCGCCCACGCTTCACACCAACAACCGGATTGGTGTATCGACTCTGCCCTATGTCCACGCTTCCTTTACTGGTTATGTCCTTGTCCTGAAAGGCTTTCTTGGCGTTTGCCTCGAAATCGTCTATAGCATGCTGGACAAAGTCCTTAATTTCATCAGGCCGAAGGCTCGCCTCTGGGTTTGAGAATACGCGGCTGAAGTAGTCTTCTGCAGCTTTATTCACGAATATACCACCTGCCTGAATACAAGCTGATGGTTTTGCTTCGCGAAGCTGAAGCTGTGGATGGACTACCGACACCGAGTAAGTGGTTGTATCGACTGTCGACCCACCTGTCTCGAAGTTAACTTGACATTGCTATTTCGATGGAATCAATTTTTGGCGACTCACCCGCATCACAAACAACAAATTCCACGTTTGGCTATTTGGGCGGAACGATGAAGTCCTGTCAAGTTACGAATGGCAGGGAGCATTCACCTTAAGTTGTGATGCTAAGTCGGCGTGAAACATGCAGTAATGGACAGAAGCTTCTCCTTCGGTGACAAAGAAGATTCGGGTATGTGATTCAGATTCGGGGACGATATTAGCGGCCACTACCGCTCTACGCATAAAGTCTTGTTCCCTCAAGCCCCATCCATTAGGGTGAGCAATGACAACATCGGCAGAGGAGATATACGTCTTCCATACACGAGCCCCATCGAGGACACGGTGAATGAATGTGTCCTGAGTGTGCTTAATGAGATAACCGAACAAGTCTTCGTATATCGTCGAAAGGGGAACACCCTCGGGCGGGGCTGTGCCAAAGGCGGCCAAATTGGTGAGTGTTGGGCTGGGGGGGGGGGGCGACGACAACGACGACTAGCACATACGATCAAGAGTCAAATTATACTTCTCCTTCATAGTCTGTGGGTGCAGATGAAGTTTGAAATGCTTTGCGAGGATCCATCCATTGTCTTCCGCTTCATCTTGCATTTCGGCGCTTAACGCCTCAGCGCCAAACGCGGTAGCCTGATTGAAAAAGATATGCAAAAGTGGTCAGAAACAGCGTAGTACACATGAATCACGCAGCGGTGAAGCACAATTACTTTCTTATTATTGTCGTACCATACCAAAGTCGGAATCTTGCTTTCGCTTCGGTAGGCGCCCTGCCCTGGCCATGCATTAACTCTTGAGACCGTTTGGGGGCCGCTATTGACATACAAGGTAAGGAATATCACATGAAAAGTAGAAAGAACGCACCCTGGAAAGAGATATGCATAAGATACTCCAGAAAATGTTGTACCAATATCGAAACCCAAAATGATTTTATGCTCGCCCATCCATGGTTCTGCAGCGAAAGCCTTCATATATTTATCGTTTTGATTAGGTGGACGCTTCTAAGATGCTGGCTTGGTCGCCTTTCTTGGCGTAAGGGAAAATTCACGTGGGAAAAGGGACTATATAATCGCTTGTCAAATCAACCATCCCGAGTTGATTTGTTAGACTGTTCATAACTGGTGATCGCCGCCTGACGCAGCAGAACGTTTCGCTCGATAAGACATGTATTTGGATGAGTACAAAGAGAGGAGTGAAAGAAGAGAATTAAAGCGCAATTTGTAATAATAGAGGACCCCGTCGTTTTTGCATTCAATTCGGGACCGAAAATTTACAAGACCCCCTACAGAGTTAGCGGGAATTTGAATGCAGCTCCTCGTGGCTATGTAGTTTGTGCCAGACAATCGCGCGATATACAACGTACGGTGCCTTAAGGATAAGAACTATTTCCAAAAATTTGACCCTCGGAACGCCGCTTCTATGACTCTCTGCTATCTCTCGCCAACTGTGAGGCTTTACGAAAGCAATCGCCGCTTCATTTAACATGATTCCCTCTTCTATTCTGGCTTCTCTGCTCTTCCTCGTCCCTATTGCTTGGGCCCAACCAGTACTGTCGTCAATCTCCCCGTCCTGGTACAATACCTAGATCTGATCCTGACTCCAACAAAGTTGTGGTATGGGTCGCAGCGGGGAAGGGACACTTCCAACTCATCATTCATCGTGCTTCTGCACGCATTAGGAGTGATCCTATCTCTAGATAAAAACGGAATCGATCTCGCAGAGACTTTCAATGGCTACACCCTCCAATGGGATGGAATGTGACGACCAGAACAAACGTAAATCAGATGCCGTGTGGCGCATGGCAATGCGGGCACCCTATCAATGGCCGGGTCCTTAGCATTAGGCCACTCCTACCAGAAGGGAAGTGTGAACGAGCAAGACGGGGAACCCCCCCTTTTCGCCCGTCTTATATGGTGGACCCGTCTCTCTCCCCTTCATTGGCTCGACTGTTATGTCACGGTGGACTCGAAGGAAGTAAAGGCTCTGCCTGCCTTTTATGAGCACTGACCAGTGGGTGGAGCGGAAAGCTCTAAATTTCCAACCCTGGCCGGGCCGGGTATAAACGGTATAATCTGTCGAATGACCTTTTAAAGTAAAATTATATTAGGAAAGAGGGATGGTGTGCCACACAGGAGGTTGGGTGAGAGCAGCGCTCGTGCACATGGAAGGTCATCAGCCAAGTAAGGTCGTAGCGACGCAGCAGAGCATTTTCAAGTGACTTCCAAAAATTGGTCTCGCTACGCTTGGGCAGTCTATGACCAAATCTAAAGAAGTCGTGAGTTGCGTTCTCTCAAAATGGCAACGTTTAAGTGATTTGATTTCAAGGATTGGAATCATAAACGCATTCGGTTCTTGTTATCGATCTAAATTTAGCCCGGTCGTTCTGAACGAATGTTCACACTCCCTCTCAGGCTTTCAACTCGACATGTCCACTCTTGGACCTATGATGTGATCCATGAGATTGAGTGAAGCGACCTGCTTTCTGTTTCGGGCTCTAACCAGAGGGGGCGCCAGCCATGCAGGTCACTTGGCCGGGCAGCTATACTAGTTACCTGCACAGCGCGCTTTCATAATGTTGCATACGCGTTAAAAGGTGTAAGGGTCTGCCCATAGATATCCTATGGTTTTCTATTCAGATAGAGGCCGGTATCCTGCCTACTATGGTTGCCCTTGTGCACGGTAATCTGTAATTAATGCGTAAGTAACATCCGTCGTCATCTATCTCCTTTGGATAACTTCCTTATCTCCATTTCACAATGATGATCTATCATTCGTTGGATTATCGTCGATATGAGAATGATAATTGTCTATGTCGCGTAAGACTCAGACTCGAATAAGAGATCTAATATTGTAAATACCTATGTCGCGTACATGTGTTATACATGAGTTGCAAAATAGAAGAAAAAATAGAAACTGTTCTCACCTCAGTGGAGCGTCCAAAAATTTATATAGCGCATCGTATGCTGAGTGGCAACGCCGTCCTACAAAGGAGTTTTGTGTTAAAACAAAAGCGTCAACGCGCCTCAAAGCGCCTCTCCCAGTTGGACTCGACGACAGTGTAACTTGGAGAGAACTTCATGTATCACACACCGCTGGATGTTGGTGTTTCTTCTCGGGATCCGCCCATAACCTACTATTTCACCCGAACTCCGTTTGCGATGTCACTGTCTGAGGCCCGCTTCGACAGAGCAGCATTCGTGTCGATTATCTCGGAGATGGTCCAACCGTTAACTCGCGATGACCCGGCCCATCCGCATCTCATCCAAACGTGCCCTCTGTAAGCACCATTACTCCGCTCTGGTCTGATACATGACTGACTGAACTTCATGCACTCAAAGAACTTTTGTACGTTCTCTCTGTGTACAATGTAACACCCTACCATGTTCCATTCAAGAACGCACACGCCTTCACCTCCTGTACCATAGCGAATCATGCGGATTCGTTCGTGTAACAACGCTTGGATCAAATGCTGTGCAGGTGACAGCACGCACTCTAGTGATGTAGTAGTACGTGGGGGATACCCGGGATGTAAAAATGACAGTGAACATGACATTGCATAGCCCGGCTACATGAGGGATCGATGCCCGGTTACCACGTCGCAAATCATCCATTAATTTACGTTAGGTAATCGAGTTATGGGAGTTCGGCTCCCATCCACAAAGTAACAAAAGATGAAGCGTACATACTCAACGCATACATGTATATATCCGCAAGAACAGTTACGGTCTGATCGGCAATATTGAAGCTTTGAAAAACACCATGATTGTCCTCGCTTCCGCAGTTGATACCATCAGATTAAGTGTAAGTGCATCCAAAAGCTGTACATAACCAAGGGCACTTTCTAGGGAAAGAGTTCGCGGCGAACGTCGACAAGTACAAGTGTGTATGTCAATATAATAAAGCGTGGGAATCGTTTGCCATGAGAAATCGCTCCATGTTTGGGGACTGGATTGTCTCAAAGCTATCTATTTCGTGCGCCCTGTGGGGCAATGATGAGCCATATCCATTCTGGTCGCCCTCAGCGCTTCTGCTTGCACAGCCCCTCTGTAGCCGCGATCGTCACTGGAGTACGCAATAGTCCATCTCGGAAATTTTGCTCTGCGTCATTCGCCCCTCCACTTTTGCTTTTGTCGGGCATTCCATGGACATAATTGGATGCGCTAGCCATGACTTCAAACAGTCCGATCTATTGCTTCACTGATGTCCTTGTGCAGTTATTAATAATTACTCATTGGCCCATGCCCCTAAGACATCCTCATCAATTTCCTCCGTATGCATGTTTCAGTATCCTTATAGCCATCGAAACCCCCTTTCTGACCCCATCCTTCCCCCCCTTGCATGCTTCTTTCCTTCTCATTTAGCCACTTCGCTCATCCCACTCGACTTCTCATCTGAGCGACCAACCCCTCGCCCCCTTTACATCTCTTGCTTATTACTAGAATTTCACCTCGCATCATTCTCTGAACCGCTCGCTCAGTCGCTGGGGCTAGCGACGTATTCCGCCGCCTTCTGATCCAACCCAAGAATGGACTGCGCTCCAGAAGCGATCGACCCGGCGTCATCAACGGAGCACCTCCCGTCAGAGCTATGGCTTGCGATATTTAGACACGCCACTTCCATAGAACGGTTTTTTGATTCGAGATGGTGGGACGGTTTCGTCGATGCATTCGAGGACGCGGATAAGCATCCCAAAGACGCATTCAACGCTTTCACAGAGTCTTTGGTAAATACCATTATTTTTTTGACATAGTTCGGTCCTTGGTCTTCAAACTAAGAGAAAAAAATTTTTATCCGCAACATCAGCGCACCAGGAAGACGATTTCACTTGTTTGCCGTTCTTGGAATCACCTCAGCTCTCGCTTCCTGTTTGCCCACCTCGTCGTCCGGCGTCTTAGTCAATTGCGGCCTCTCGTCCACATGCTTGAGCGCTCGCACGATGAAGCCGTAGCAGACGGACGCTCAAATGGAATAGGGTGGTGGATAACTCACATCAACCTTATTGTCATGGACTACAAACCCGTACGCGGGCGGACAGTGTTGGATTTGGTATCGTATGACGCTAACTGCGGTGACGTCAATTCACTCATCGTGCAGTATTTACGGAGACTATTGGCATGCTGCCCACGATTAGAGATCCTTTTGGATGCCACCCATACGAACGTTCGAATTTGATGTTTCGCTTTGGCTACTGCATCATCCCAGGGGCTAGCAAATGACCACACTCCACTCCGATCATTGGAATGGAATTACGGGGGACCCGCCGTAGATGACCTCATCGCCAATCCCGAAGTTGTGAATCATCTCCGATCACTCCGATGTTACACCATACATGACTCAGAAGCGAGAATTAATTTTTCCCCAGCAGAGCTACCAAATCCGCCTTCCTTATCGATCATTTTACTCCCTTTCATGAATCTCACTTCCCTCGACCTGTGTATATCGCAACAAAATCACGCCCACCTATCCCTCCTATCCTGTACCGATCTCCCGTCGATTGCCTATTTTACTATCCGGACCGCTCAACCAATCGGAATTCTTGTTGGCTCAAATGCCATTCTGGCACTGCAATCGTTTTTTGCTTCACACGGGCACAAGCTCCTCTCTCTCGACCTTCGCATCTGTCCCGGAGATATTCCACCACCTCGGTCTACGACGTTACTGGAAGAAGAGGCCGTACGACCGTTTGTTCATGTACCCACTATCCTGGGGCACTGTCCCAACTTGAAGGAATTGATTCTGTCCGCACGATGGTTCGCGTTGCATTCGCCCTCTTTCTCTTTCCTTCAAAGCGACTCTGATGATGGAGGAGGTGCCAACGCTCATACGTCACCACTTCTCATCCCGCATCACCTAAATATCGAACGAATTGGCCTCCGCGACACTTCTTGGCGCGCGGAGGGCTACTCTCAAGCGAATTCCGAGGCGCCATGTCTCTCATGCAGCCGCCCTTTGCTCGTGACCCCGCTTACCGATCCAGGACGAGGCGAGTATGCAGGTCAACGTGGCTCTATCGGCATGTCTGCAGTGGTGAAAGGGCTCAACTCACCTTGAGCCATCGACATTGCACTGTTGACCGGCATCTTCGTATGATTCTCGGAGGATTCAAGCCTGTGTCTGCCACCGTGAAGGACCAAGTTCAGCATATACCTCCTACCTCAACAGCTAGGCGTCGGGCGCGCCTCGACGATGTCGCACAAAAGAAACGCTTCCCTTCTCTTGTATCGATTCATTTGCTCGATAGTCATCCTGACATGTTCGAACTAAAGGATGGGAAATGCAACTCTTGGCGAACGTGTTGGTGCACCCCACTCGCCGCGCGTACCGAAACCAGTTTCTGGGCTGCTTGGGCTGCCAAGTGCACCGAACGAAACGTCAAGCTTCTTGATAGACATGGGAATCCTGTTCCTAGCTACCCACCCAATCCGTATACAATTGAGGATAACCTTGATAGGCGCCCAGTAGCAGACTTGGATGAAGAGCTCAGGGATAGTTTGATGAAGTGTTGCAATGCTGGTGGCGTGGAAAGTTTGTGGGGTCTGTTGGTAAGCTTGTCATTGAGGGAGATAAGGGAGATGTCCATCTGGAGTGTGCTAAATTGGTTCTCGTGGAAGGGTGGGATGTTAGGTATGACTTGTATGTGCTTTTCTCTCCGTCGGCTTCTTAGCTCTCTTGCCCCCCTAACTGATGGGGGGTTCCCTGCTTAGATTCTTTCATTGACATGATAAGGATTTCGGTCGAGATCACCCTACACATTTGGAAGGTACGTGTTGAACTCCAGCTCTGATGTCAGCGAAGATAGACTCAAACGTTGTTCGTTAACGTCAGACCCATTTATAATATTGCAATGGCGAAACTCTATTGCCCACGAACAACTTTACTTTATTATGAGCCTATTCAATTACACCCTATCCTGCTCCGCCTCTGGGGCCACTCTTACCAATCAGTATACCAAATTCCATAACCACCTTATGTTCATTGATAATGTCTCTCGAGAAATAGCGAATCAATTTGTTTACGATTAACCGTCTGTTCGTGCCAAGCTACCCAACGTCCCATTTTTTTACAACTTGCACAAGGACCACTCATTTAGTTTATGAAATTGCCGAAGGCAAGCCTCACATTTTACAGGTGCTGCTTGTCCGGGCGTCTTAGAAGAATCTTTATTTGGAGCGATAATATACGAGCCCAAAGACAAAATCAATGACTAGGAAAATCGCCCATGTTACTCAGAAATATTGCAACTAAAAAAGGAGTCACTCACCAGAAAACCCAAGCTTGCCACCCTTTTGTAATAACCAATTCACGACCACGTTGTCTCTTAATTCCTCCAGGTCAGCTCTTCGGTGTTCACCCAGTATGTTCTCATTCCCTTCCAGATCATATGAGGACCTTGGCACTCTCCTCCCGTGTCGATCGAGGAGAGCCACCTCTCGCTCCTCGCATCGCGTAGCCCACGTACTCCAAAACGCCGTTTCGACACGCATTTCCTGCGGAGTGTGGCGACATGATCGCCCACTTGAGGGACATTCATTTTCCATCCTGAACATGCATGGGCGACTGTCAAGCAGATGGATCGATTTCAAGCTCGGGAATCGTTTTTTGTCGGAGTCGTCGCTATGAATATCGTTTTTAAGCGGTGGAGTCGTTGGACATGTTCATCTTCGTCGTTGAATCGATGGGTTTGAATCCGTGAAGGATCATCCGGAGGTGCCGATCGATCGTACAGTGTCGACGGGACATTGGTCGCCCCAGAGTCCCCAATGGTTCGCTAATGATCCATTGGATAGAGGAGGGGGACCGGCCTTTTGGTTGAGTGAGGGAGTCCGCGAGGGAAGGACGGTTACATGATAAGCACGGCACTTCGTGAGTTCTAGCGATAGCCCTTGTATCTATCAGCCAATACGTTGGAGGCTGGTGTGCTGCGAGATCGAAAAGGTGACAGGGTGATATTCCGTCGCCGTGGAAGGGATCTGAGGGCGATGGATGAGGGGCGAACCATGCTGCAGAAAGTACCAAATCCGATAAACTAGGACATTGAGACAAGATTGTAGAAGGGTCGATGGCAGTTGCGATGGCTTCTCCTGTAATCGATACCGCAAGGTTGTGCTCATCGCCTGGCCAGACACGCAGTTCAAGGGAACGGAGCTTGTGACCGTGCCTATCAAAGAAAGCTTCCAGCGCATCGTAAGCTTCGAATGAAAGAAGAGCGCCCGTCGTATTTGAGGTGCGAAGCGTGAAGTGAGTGAGTGAGGGCAAGGTTGAGTTGGCCATGAGACATATGTGAGCGTAGTTTGTGCGGGAGATCCAGAAATCAAGGGAAGTGAGGTTTGCGAAAGAGAGGACCGGAAACTGACGTGGGCCCAAATCTGAATGATGGCCTTCGAGGCGTGACTCAGACTCGTAAAATGTACGACACCTAAGCGTTTCAAGCGAGTCCGTAATCCGATGGTTTCTACAAAGGTCATTCAGAGTAGGGCCACTATGCCTCCATTCCAATGATCGTAGATGACTTTGGTCCGCTGGATAAGGTCCAGCAGCAGCGCCAAGGGAGGCGATTACTGATTTAGGTCTGTCATCCATGCCATATGGAGTACAATCCACGAATACTTCCAATCGCGGACAGCAGGCCACAAGCCTTCGAACATACTCCGTGATTCTTTTCGGGGATGATGATACTGCCAAGGAACTGTCTCTTGTCGACTTCCTTCCAGTATTATCCGCGGCAAGAAACATGACGTGAGTGATCCACCTGCCCATATCGACTGTGGAACTGTCAGAACGCGCTTTCTCCCGCGAACACTCCAACATGTAGACGAGGGGGCGGAGACGACCGAGGTCGCTGATGTATAAGTGTTTGTAGATAAGGCGAGATCCTAGACGATTCCAGTCGCGGCATACAAGTGAGACAGCTTTTTTGACTTTCTGGAACATCTAGTAAGTCACAAAATCCCACCACAAGACCGAAAAATGGTCTTACCAAGGATTCATTGAATGATCTAGCAGTAGCATCCTCATCATGATTTGCACCGTCAATTGAATCGATGTAGCCATTGCTCCATCGCGAGCCTAAGAAATGCTCCAAAGAAGTAGCATGTGTGAAGATGACGAGCCATAGCTCAGAGGGAAGAATAGGAAAAGATCGATTTGAAGCATCGAGTTGCTGGCTGCTGATCATTGTGTAAACGTCGATCTCGGTATCCTGGCTGTTTGTTGAGATGGAAATGGAGGTGGGGATCAAGACAACGCAGAGTGGGCCAAGTAAATATAGGTGGTCCCTTGGCCTTTGGAGAGCCATTAGGTAAACGCGCCAGATTATTAAGGGGGGAAGGCATGACACACAACGCGGCTGGAGGCTCGAAGCCCTTCTCGAGCCTCATTTGATGTAGAGGTCGTTATTGACCGTACATTAAGGGGCCGGAAGCGTAAGGCCGGATCATGTTGCGTATGAACTGGCTCTTTAGCAATCCATCCTCTAATATGGATGGCCAGACCACAATTCTTTCTAGCCATACAACAAGATGATGATGATTGATGTACGACTTCTCAATGTCTACCGAAAGTCGGTCAAATATACAACTCCATCCCACAGTGCGGAGAGATGGGGTTCGGTGTCCAATACATTGCAAGGCCGGAGTTACGCAGCCGGAAAACTTTGAGGATTGCCGGGGAGAAGCCCTGAGTTGATTGCGGCTGGGTGTATTGCTGACCAACTAGGCAATACAAGGTCAATCAGAATGCTGTAGTGCTAGCACGACCCAGACCAACCTCACGCGAAGATCTTGGATTTCAAAACAATTGATTGGCAGCCTCCGGCAATTCCCGGAGGCCGTGGGACTGGTTGTCAGTTGTGCCGGCGCAGTGTGCGTCGTGAGCGCGGTTGCCCATGCGGATCAAACAGGGATGGGTCTTGCATCGTGACGAGACCTCAGTCTTTGGACAGCCCAAAAAATCTGCCATCTTGATCTTGTCGGGAAGGTGCCTAGCTCATGTTGACAGGAAGTGCTGCGCTTTCCCCATTGAGAACTCAGTACGTGAATACCGCGCTAGCGCAAAGTGACTCCTTTTTGCCATTTTTATTTTTATTTTTTGCCGATTTGAGGGCGGACAGGGTTCCTGCTCGCCTAACTTTCCCCGATATTTTAACGGTGTAGTTTGATGAATTACATAGGGAGGTCTGCACAGAATACGGATAATCTTAGTATCATGCACCCCATTGTAGGGATCTGCCAGCAGACGCGTTGGGCTCAGAAACACCGAAGATATTTCCCATCGACACGAATATTGGGACGCGGGGAAGAATGGAGGCACTCGTGACGAACGTGGGCGATCGAGTGACCCATTCTTTCTGGTCGACTCTGGTTGCTCAACTCCAGGAGAGGGACCCAATAGCTGACCACTCGATATTGCAAGTACATACTGTTGACAAAAACCTCGGAGAACAAAATCCGAAACGATAAGCATAACATTATGAGCGTGGGAATCGAGCATCTTCAAATCCGATCGGAAAGCTCCTCCCACCATCAATGAAGTCGATTGCAGTGCTCATCTCGGGATCTGGTGTGCTCAATAATTCTATCCAACCCCTCCAGAACACTTTCATGACTTCCTCCAACTGATTAGGCACCAATCTCCAGGCAATCATAGACGCCTGTTCGTCTGGACGGATTCCGGATGCAGAGGTCAAATTCGTCTTTTCAAATCGGAAAGCTGCATATGGCCTTACCCGAGCACAATCTGCGTCCCCACCCATCCCTACAGACACACTCGCGCTTCAACCGTTCCTTAAAGCTGATGCGCAACGGACACGGATCGACTACGACCTTGAGGTGGCCCGACGGATAATTACAGGGTTTCCGGACTCAAAGATAGATTTAATTGTGCTTGCGGGATTTATGCACGTACTCAGCGAAGAATTCCTCGACGTCATCAGCGGTGTACGCGAGTACGAGACGGACAAGCGCATATCAACGCCCATCCCGATAATTAATCTGCACCCTGCCCTCCCCGGCGCTTTCGACGGCGCTAATGCGATCCAACGAGCCTTTGAAGCGTACCAAAAAGGAGATATAAAAGGAACGGGAGTGATGGTTCACTACGTTGTCAAGGAAGTGGACCGGGGAGCACCTATATTGGTGCGTGAAGTGGAGATACTCCCTGAGGACGACATTGCGGCCTTGGAGGAACGCATGCATAAGACAGAACACGCTTTACTTCTCGATGCAGTGAAGAAGGTCTTGTCGCAGGAACCAGAATCAATATCCTCATGATTATGGCAGTACCATGTACGCTGAAAGGTCATGTTCATGAAAGTAAATGATCAAGACATAATGAACCATAAGAAATAAAATCGGTGATACTCCTCTGTGTGGAACTGAAGCTGTTTAATCTGTGTCCCCAATCAACCAACCCATCCCCGTGAGATTGCCTGTCTCGCTTGGCTCCCTACATCTGGACTTCCTGACCTTGGCGTACCATCGTCCTCGGAATTCCTGTTCCTCATACCGCGCAGTGACAGTGGGAAATTAGCAGCTACACGATTAAACGTCTTTGCAGCAATAGCAGCAGCATCAGCCCCTTGATCAAGCAATCGGGGCCGTGCTGCAGACGCCGCGTATTCTGACAATTGGGCACGCAGGGAACCAGTAGCCAAGGCGCCGGAACGACTACCCCGATCTAGGCCATTCACACCTCGAGAACCTCTACCATCCTTCTCTCGATCCTCTTGGAATTTTCCCATTGTATCATCTTCTAACCTGCGCCATACAGTTAGAATGTCCAATGTGTTCTCAGACGGGCACAGCTGGAGAGCGTGTCCGAGGAGTCGCATCTTTCTCTGCGCATCTTTGTATTCGGACTGACGACCAAGCTGATAACATGAATGCCAGCAGACTTCCCTAGCTTCGTCCACGGGGGATTCATTGGTGGAGGAACTGTTTGCAAACGAGGATGGAGACAAACGTTGTCTTTGATTTAGGAGCGCAACCATCCTCTCCGTTGTGGCAGCAGCGTTTTCAAAATCCTCCGCCTGTAGTGCGGAGTCAGAGAGCATTGCATAAACCTTGACCTCGCTCACGGCATCATTCTTCGGGTAACCAAGCTTATAGACGAGATCGAGAATGACATCAGGATACTTGTACGCCCCTTCGTTTTCAGACAAAACGCGGGCAACGAGAGTAAGTCGGTCCTTGATGAGTCGAATTTCAATAGGGGTGATGAGTATCCCAGGACGAGACGTCACGCGGAATGAATATATTTTGCTTGTGGCTTCGATGAAGCTGCGTTCTGCCTGAATGGCATCCGTAAGAGGGGGTACGGACAAGCTAATTTGTTGAGATGATATAAGTCCAGAGTAGAATATGGGCTCGCTCATGACCTACCAGTCGTACGCCAGTTTCATATCACCCGAGTGTAGATTTCCACTCTCCGCATTGTCGTAAAACTCCCGTGAAGCAGCTAAACAGAGCTCCTCAATGGTCTGTGGGCCCAACTTCTTCACCTGTGAGTTGCTCAAGAGTTTCTTTGCAATGTCAAACCCTTCGTGGGACCTAGCGTCAGGGACAAGCTACAGCACAACTAGTCCTCACTTACTTCCGGTACCCAGGACGCCAGCGAAGAAAATTTTGGTTACTTCCAAGCGTCCAAGGAGACGGAAAGCGCCCCTTGCCAGAGAAGTGGTAGATCCTACCAGTTTAACCATGTCATGGAGCAGCCTCGCATAACCCTTTTCGTCTTCCAATCCTTTTCCATTTCCGTCTCCATAAGTCCCAAAAGATGGCCTTCTGGCCATCCGTGTCGCCCATGCTCGCTGCTGTCTTTCATCTCGTGCGCTCTGAAGAAACCAGAACAGAGGGGCAGCGACACCCCAACGTGCCAAAATTTCGCCACACTCCAGATGAACATCAAGTATGTCAAGGGCATGGGACAAGGCGGTAGAAAGTAGAGGTTTAAAGAACGCGAACAAATCCTGGGGAGGAGCAACATTTGATCGTGTTGTGGATGGTTGTACGAACTCTGTGAGGGATGCGAGCGTAGTCTCTGCCTCCGCATCGCCATCATGTTGGTGTTCTGCAGCAGTGGGCCATTCCGGAAGGCATTCAAATATGTTTGACATGATTGACCACTGATCGAGTTCATCGCTGCTATACAGTCGAGCTAGCGCCAGCCGGGCTAGATCTTCGTCATTTCGTATGATTCGCGTTGATGATGGATTGACAGGTTTTGACGCATCAAAAATGGATAAACAGAATTCGAGAGGAGCGGATAATATGTAGTCGTACAGCAAGTGCGTATGAAGGTTAGCGTCTGGACGGCCTGCGCGTTCCAGACGAGATTCAAGAACGTATAGATATGGTATGACCAGACGCCGTATATCGTCTGAAATTGTTTCCGTGGTAGAAGATTTCAAGTAGCCCTGGATTATTGTCTGTGTGTCTGATGACTGCCACCGACTTAATGACCATTGCGCTGCATCCACAAGATTCTGTTCCTGGGCTCTAGGAGCGTCGTAGATCAGCCGCGATAGGAGGCTGAGTTCTTCCCCGAGATGTTCTAGTCCAGACACTCCAAGCGATGCGGCGACTTGTGCGAGTTCCAGTGCAATATCCGTTAAGCCTGCCTCGGCTTCAATTTGCGCAATGCGTGCTTTATACCAGTTCTGAAGCTGGTTATGCGTTAGCGAGCTGGGCTGTGAGTGCAACCCAAAGGTAGGCAGGTGGATATAATCTGAAAGGTCTTGTGGCAGTGCCAAAAAATATAAGCTTTTCCCATCCTCGGATTCTACCCAGTCTTGTTCTCGTGGTGAACGTCGGCTTTGCCGTTGCTCCTCTCCATTTACAACGTTTACTGAAGGAAAGAGTGATAGATACCTCATCGGGTGTGCATGTAATGGAATGGCATCGAGAATGGCAAAACGGTACGGGAAAAGGTCATTGGAGTGTTTGTCCACAAGCAGTTGCAGAACTTCGAAGTGGCAATCTCTGGCAAGCTGAAGAGCGCCCCAAAGAGCACCATGTAGCAGGAAGTCGGGTAATGACAAAGGAGGTGGGATGAAAGGGGTTGTGTCTGACACGTCAATTTTGCCATCACCCCATGGGTCAAAGTCGTCATCTGCAACATCCGCGTCCTCGCCCTGCGAGGATTGCAGTTCCATGACGGGCTAGACTCTAGGCAGTTGTATGTGTCGAGGAGAAGAAGGCGTTGGAGGAGTATGTAGCGAAGTGAGAGGAGCCGAATGAGATGTTCGTCATTGACCCGTATCGAAGGCGGTTGAGGGGAGGAGGTGCCTTCCCCACGATCATTGTCTTTCCCTGCATCAACTTCAGAGAGGAGCAGGGTTGTGCCGAGCAAATTCTTCCCCTTCTCCACTGCAGACTCTGTGTTTTTCAGTCCAGCATTGAGGATTAGTCGTTGAAGCTTGGGATCCTTTGCCAATCGATCGACCGCAGAGGAAGCAAGATACAACCCATCCAAGGGCTGAGCAAAGTACTCCTCGACAAGCTCAGTGGTCAGCTCCTCATCTGTTGTTGCATTCCAATGGTCGAGGACATCCATGTGGGGGAAATTTGGGAACAGTCAGGTGCAAGAATTGCACTGCCACCTGAGCGTCATGGAAATCGAGGAACGTCAAAAACCAAATATTGTCGTGACTGGGACTCCGGGAACCGGCAAGTCAACCCATGCACAGGCTTTAGTTGAAGCATGCTCCGGACTATTGCAGCATATCAATGTCGCTGAGCTGATAAAGCAGAAAGGGCTATATGAAGGATATGATGAGGAATGGCAGACATACATGGTTGACGACGATAAGGTGGGTGACCATTTGTATCCTTGCGCTTTTGTTATGGGAAGAAGGACGGTTCGCAGGTCATCGATGAGCTTGAGCCGCTGGCGCAAGAAGGTGGCCTCATTCTTGACTGGCATACTTGCGATGTATACCCAGAACGGTGGATCGATCTCGTTGTTGTGCTTCAATGTGACCATGGCCTGCTATGGAAACGTTTGGAGAGACGGTAAATCTCGCACACCAGACTCAACATCCTTCGCATTTATCAAGTCATACAGGAACTATCCACTGAAAAAGATTCAAGAGAACAACGAATGCGAAATAATGTGCACCGTACTCGAGGAAGCTCGGGAATCTTATGCAGAAGAAATTGTGGTCGTTTTACAGAGTGAAGAGCCGGAGGACGTCGAAAGCAATGTTGCTCGCATGGTTCAGTGGGTGGAGAATTGGAAAGCTGACAGAGGCCTCTCATAGCGTCATACGTAACCCCGAGCATGTTACTGCGGCCATGCCATAAACACTAACGGTGCGGTTCCATGCCGTCATTGCTGTCACTCCCATTTTCACTGTCGCTATCGATCTCGCTCCCGCTCTCGTCCACCTCCATAGCATCTAGATCTTCTTGTCGTACATCTAAAGTTCTTGCTTCAACTTCATATCCGAGTGCTGTAAGACTGTCTTTGATCTCTCCAGCTTTACTTGGTGCACTGACGACCACGGCCACGGACGAGGAAGCGTCAAACAACGGTAGGATGTATTTCCTGATTGATTCTTGCACCTCCTCTTTTGTTACCCCCTAAGCAATGCGCGTCAACTTGGTAAACCTGATCTAGTCTGAGGTGTCGCACCCGGATCTGTTGTAAGAACAGTTGTCCAAAGTCTTGCGGCACATCACGAAGAACTTGGTTAACGAACGATGAAGTAGTAGCTTTTTTAGGGGTGCTGAGAGATTGAGCGATGTCATAGGCAATACTGCTCTTAGCAGCATCTATGGTCGTATCTTCTATTGCCACCTGTGACAGTCAAACTCAGCACCTGACATGAGGAAGGTCCGATGTACAGTACCGAGCCATCCGCAAGCCCTTTGACGACCTTAGCAGCCTCCTCAAAGGCCTGGAAACTGTTCGGACACTGTAGGTACAAATGTTAAACAGGATTTCGATCAGATAGGACAAACTCACTCTGTATAACTGCAGTGATAGTAAGCCGGCCTCTGAATCGAGTGATAGGTTAGCACCATAGGCTAAGCCGGAACCACGGATGAATTTCTAGCGAGCAGGAGAGTATTAGAGCATCATGATATCATTTCAAATGCTGTTTACCCACCCAAAGGTAGCTCTCCGCTCCATCGAGCACTTCACAGGCAAGCCGCAGAGCGGGATGTTCTGGGTGACCGAAGCCTGATATCGACTTTGTGGTGTGCAGGGCGAAACTTGACTCAATAGTCGCCAACGAAACGACTATACCCTAAACAAGACGAGGCTGAGTTCTCATGATCTGACTGTGACTTCAGCGGACCGTACCTGCCGCACCGGTTTTTTTCCTATGTCGCTTAAATTTTGCGATGCCCAGGGGACGGGTTCCAGCACGACATTCTGGAAGGCTACTTAGCGAACCGTTCCCAGAAAGGAGAAGCAAAAATACAGACGGGTAACTCTTTGAAATATTGCATCCATGCAGAACGCGGCTTTTCCAAAGCCAACACATTTCCGGCAACTGAGAATCTCAGGGCGGATGGATCAGTTACTGGGTGTCTCAGTCAGCAGGAGCGAAGGGTTCAGGAGGATGGGTCGTCCTACAATAACTCCTGAGCTCTTGAAGATCTTGCACTACCCTCTTGGGATCCGTTTTGAGGAGTTGCGACAATTTGGGTGAGAAATCAAGCTGTGCCAACAAGGCGCTTGCTTGCAAGGTTGATGTTTCGTCAAAAAGAAGCTGTCCGTATACGGAGCCAACAACAGTGTTTCCGTCTCGTTTCATCTCCGGAAGGTTTTGCTGTAACTTCGCAGCTATAACCGTTAATCTGAAACGCATATGATGTCAAGGCACTGAACGGTGCAAGCAAACGGACCTTTCAACATCATACTCAGAGCAGAAGAGCAGGTCACGCAACCATGCAATTCCAGTCGAATACTGAGACGTCTCCAGCTTAATCGAACATCGAACCAACTCTTGGAAGTATCCCTCATAGCCGAGCGATATACCGTAGGAAACTGTGTCATCCTCTAATTGTCGGACAACTTCCTCATGCGAAACCCGAGTACCGTCCGAACGAATAATGGGAAGCATGAAAAAAGATGAAAGGTAAGCGGATATGTACCTGGTGATGAAAAATGGTCAGCAAGTTGAAGGCCTCGCTGCCGAGCCGGACTTACGGTTTCAGTTGGGGGGGAACTTTAGCAGTGGATAAATATGCCGATACAGTAATGAAATGGGACTATGCAAAATACGAATCAGCCATAGCCGAAAAATCGGCTCGAATGAAGCTACGAACTTTGACATGATCGAACTGGATGAAATATGGTACAGACGCAGGATCTTTAGTCAAGTAATCTTCTACACTAGTCGAAGCGGCGTTTGGCGGCCTGCCACGCGAGGTGACCTTCCCTGATTCGTTGCGTGCACTGTCAACTGGTATCCAGGAAATAGTGCTGACGTCCGGAACAGGGAAGCTGGTAAGGACCTCAGAAGGGATTGGTCGATCATGCTCCGTCTTCGCGTCCTCCAAGATTTTCTTCAATTTCTCCAGGCCAACAGGACCAAGCTTTTCTCGCTGCTTTTGGACTCTCGCCTTCTCTGTCGCTTCTAAAATCTCTTGAAGTTTCGCCGATGGTTTTGACTGGATCACAACGGGGTTGTTCTTGATATAAAATCTGAAACAGATGGTTGAGGGTATTGATCACATTGCAATGCTCACCCCTGCTCACTTTTCTAATACATTCACCCAATCTTGGTTGGTCCACTCTGACAGATGCTTTAAGCGGCCAAACTCAGCGACCAAGGGTCCCAAGTCTTGGCCATTTGCGTCCCCGTACAAGAAGTCTGAAAGCAGGGTTACGGGGACATTACATTTGCAGCCATTGGTTCTTACCGTTAATTATCGAGTTTGTGAAGTAGTCGCCCCCGCTTGATTCTAGCGAACTTGATACCTGGAAATTACAAGTAAGCAGTGCAAAAGGCATTTCAAAATCGGAGATACAACCCTCAGCCGTTCCTTCTTCAGAACAAGACGAATACGGTTCATATCAAAGCCATCCCTGACGATGCATTCAAGAGCAGACTTAAACTTTCCAGCCAACAGATCGAGTTCTTCAGTCGGGACAGCACCAAAATGGACGTCAAGCGTGGTAAAGGACGCCTTAGCACTCTCATAAAAAGAGATGTATGTGCATAAGGGGGATTCGATTTCAACGAACTGCTTCGTTAGAGGTGCAACAGCCGATTCGGTCAAATAGACCCCTAGGACATCGATGGCTTTGTCCATCAGATACTGAGGGCACCAAATCAGCCAATCACAGAAATGAGAACAAGGGGGGATTCTCACTCTATGGTCACCGTGCTCGTGCACCGTTGGTCCTACAAAACTTAATTGCAGTTCACCGATTGATTCGTCGCTTTCTGGAAATTCTACTACATCCTTCAAAGTCTCCGGCATCTTGGCGACTTGGATGCTGGGGGTTTCCATGAAGGGACGCTTCCATCCAGCAGGACGGGGCCCATTTGCCTGGTTGTGCGCCTTGATTCTCGGCTCCACTTCCCGATGAACAGTACCAAGGAGAGCTTCCGTCGAGAGTTTTCCGGAAACAATTAGGCATAAATTATGCGGCACATAATATGAAGCATGATAGTTTCGAACTACGCAATTCCGAGGGGATATTCAGGATTGATCCGAACTTAAAAAATAATCGACATACTCTCGTCAATCGTCAGCTTCCTGAGAGCCTCCATCAAACCGCCAGTCTCGCTCCGGTACGCACTCCCGGAGGGGTAAAATAAGCGCTGTTGCCGCAAAGCTGCGAGGTCCCCCGGTGTGTTTTCTCGGCCCTGCATCTCACTATAAACAACTCCAGCATCCTCGCCCTTGTGGTTGATGTGATGCACCTCAGTCACAAACCCACTATCGGCGAGTGTGGGGTACAATATGTGATCCACAAATACGGGGAGCAGCTGGAGGAATCCTTGCTCCCCCGCTGTTTCGATGGTGTAGGCTGTGTGGTCCGTATCTGTCCATGCATTTGTACCGGCTGCAAATGCTCGATTCGCCAGATTGTCTAGGACTCCTTTATATGGGTATTTCTCAGACCCAAGGAAAACTAAATGCTCTAAGGTGTGCGGGCAGCCACTGTCGTTGAAGACTGCACGGAACGCGTTAATGGGACAGCGGGGATGCTTGGTGTGGTGACACTCACTTTCTGTAGGAACGACAAAATATCCTTTCACGATTGGAGCTAACAGCACAATGGGTTCATCAGATCAAGCCAGATCAGACCCCTATGGGAGAGTGGCTGACCGTCATAATCAACATGGACAACGGTCAATCCACTCTCACGACTTTGCCATCTTGATATAACCACTTCAGAATTATCTACTTTGATGCGTTGCAAAAGATCGAACGATCCCAATGACGTCTTCATTTCGTTTTGAGACCGTGGCATAGTCGTTGCGGAGGTGAGAATGCCCCTGCGGGATGGTACGGGGCTTCTGAGGGGCCGTCTGAGTGGAGCAGGACGCGTGCAGGAGATAAACAACGCGCGTTGAGAATTGGCAACTAATCGATTCCGTAGTTGCCTCTGAAAGGAAGGGACAAAGCGTAGCATAGACGAACGCTCGTCACTCAACTCTTGGAGATCAGGTGACACAGCCTGCAACAGACAATGTTACGAAGTCATAGAGGCTGGGCCTCGACGATGGATGTCAGTCGAGGGGGAGTTCTGCTACCACAGCGAACACCCGGCACGGCCTAAACCTTCACGCGGTGCCCCTGTTTAAAACTAATTAGGCCTCTAACATCTGAAGGAGGATGACGTGGCCACCGTGGTAATGCCAATCAACCGCAACCCGTAAGCCCAGAGCCGCACTGGCTGGAGAGATGCAAGAGCGCGGGTGCATGTCCCGCCGTCAAGCCAACCCTTCCTTTTCTTCTCACCACTACCTTTTGGGATGACGAGCGCGATAGTGGCAACGCCAATGGTGACCTCCGTAAGCCCAGACGGGACTGGCCAGAGGACTGTGGTTCAAGTCCCACCGTCACCCCAACCCTTCCTTCTTTTTCTCTTCTCCACTACCTTTTGGGTTGGTGAGGTGCAATAGTGGTAGCGCCAATGGTAGCCTCCATAAGTCCATGGGCAGGCCGGAGGAGTGCAGGTTCAAGTCCTGCCATCACCCCAACACCCTTCCGATTCATCTTTCTCTCCACTACCTCTTAGTGACGAGGCGCGATAGTGGTAGCGCCAACGATAGCCCCATATGCCGACAAAAAGTTGACTGCAAGGAATGCAGGTTCAAGTCCTGCCGTCACCCCAACACTTTCATTTCTCTCCACTACCCCTTCTACCAAAGGCCTATCTGCCGCATGCCTTTATTCAACAAGCATGAGCAAGATGCCACCAACACCCATCGCCTTTCGCTGCCACTGGAACATTCACCAGCCTACCGTGACATAAACCCGTGAAAGCACCCTCCACCTCACCCACCCGCAAGAACCGCGCACTCAAACATTGACTTAACCATAGGCACACAGCAGCAAAACATGCGACCCAACACTGGGGTCGCGTGTCCTTTTCTTTGGCTCTATACAACTCTTCCACCTCCATTCTCCCTCACCCGTTGTTCAATCTCAGTGCAGGGTCGCATGCCCTTTATGTGTTATTGCTTCATCTCACTTTATTCTCCTTCACACCATTGATTACTCGATGTCTCATACTTCCTAGGTCACACAAATTCCTTTCTTCACATCCTTATGTTCTCCAAACTTTTTTCACCCGAGTCACTATAGTACGGCATATGCCGATAGGCACGGTTACGTACTTTAAAATGAATACATCCATCCATCCATCCAAGTCATAGAGGCTCCTGCCTAACTAAATACATGTTGCGTTGTATTGCTTACGAATGTCCAATGCCCCATTCTGGTGCGAGTGGGAAACGGGTGTCAAAAGAAAATTTACAACCAAATGCGCGCTCCAAGTCCAAGTTACGGCCAGCGTGACTCCTTCCACGCATCTTGATCCTGGCCAAAGTTACGTTCGGCATCCAATAAAGCATCAAACTTTTCTCGCTCCGAGACTTCTGTATTTGAGTCTCTATTCATGCTACTGGGAAGACTAGGTGCATTAGTTTTTGAAGCGCCGGGTGAAGTGCTATTTGGTGGGGGCATGTTGGACTTCATACTCCTTTCGCGAATAGCGTCCCATGTGCTGTGTTTCGCAGTGCCTCGAGCCGCTCGTATGTTCGCCCATCGTGTCCCTTCTTCAGGCTGAGTTCCGGTACCTTAAAAAGGGAATGCGCTGTGAGTTCTTCCAAGAAAAGCAGCTCTCGTTCGACTCACCAGTGGTGTTCTCAATCCTTCCTCATTGGGGGGAAGATCATGTGCGCCGCCCCATGAAGCCCATTTGAATCATCCAGGGTTGAGCCATCATTTTCGGCCGATGATTGGGGCTGATAAGAACCGCCTTTGGGATTCTGGAATCGGTCCTCCTTCATCGCTCGGATGGCCGCATTGAATCGATCTTTGTTCTCCAGACGATTGATCCCCTTGAACAGTACTCGTACGGCGATCATGGATGAAGCCCCCAGGCCGACCATGGAAGCAAGGGTGGAGTAACCGAGGGTGCGCCAGACAGACCACGGTGGTTTACGGTAAAAACGTCCATAAGCCGCAGTTAAACTTGCTCCGCCGTATAGCCCAATATTCTGGGAGGCGATTGTCGGAACTGGAGACCGCTTGCTCGGCAAGATCACCTTCATGTCTTACCTTGCACATGCCGACACGTCTCTCGATGTCGAACATGACGTCGATGTCACTTTGGGTAATCATCCCGGACTTCGGCCCCAGAGACAATAAGGCCATAGCGCCAAGGGAAGTGACTCGAACACACCTCTAGCTGAGCCCGGTAGGCATCATCACGAAAAACTTGAAAGAATTGAGGCTTTCTGTCAGAAGATGACATGATTGTTCCAGGGTCTCCGTTGTCACATGATACTTATGGTCACACTTGTTGACGCCAGGCGGCTATTCATCTGTGATAATGCTTCATAGAGTCATGTCCATTGTGTGAAGTTCAGTCGACGGCAAAATACGCCCACTCCAGGCGCCACCCACAACGTCCTAGGAGTTTAAGATCCGCGTCTGACCTGCTCCGCCTAACTTGGCAGAATCACGTGAATACAATATCGTCATGAAATTAATGCTTCAAGCTGTCAGTGTCACATACTGTCAGCATCATCAAACAGAGTGCACAACCTCTCTCCCATCTTGCTTCAGTAGCATACTTCCCCTCCCGTCGGAAGCGACGATCTCGCTTGGCCCTGCTACTGTTTTTTTCGAGTAAAACTCGCTGCACATCCCCTCATAGGGGTGTTTTTACCCCAAACCCTTCACCTGACGTTGGCCTCGAGTTCTCGAGGCTGGCTCTTTCATTTTCTCTGTATTGGTTTTAGGGTAACTGCTGATACTGTCGATCGCTGAGTCAAGGCCATCGCTTGGTGTAGGAATCGGTGAGAGGGCATGCGCAGAGGATGTCGTCGCAAGCCGGAACGAGTGCAACGTCATCTTTACCCACTGCTCGGGCAAGTTTTTCCGCATCTGTCAGCACAGAGGCGTCCGAACTACCCGGAAGTCCACCCATTACATACCTCACAGGCCAGAATACAGGTAACGAGTGCGCGCAACGCCCTACCGGAAAGTTTACTCACTGTTTCACGATGACTCAACTCAGAATCTGGAGTCTCCTCATCCAGCGATGAGAGCGACAGGCTTCCTCCTGGTCTCCAGCGCCGGAAAAGACGACGACTTAGTGCTGCTCCACAAAATGACACAACTATCACTCGTGTCGCGAATGTTTCGGCACCCGGCCCTAGCCGAGTAACCACCCAGATCACATTCGTTGACACCACTGGGGCTCCACTGCATGCATCTGATGGATTTACGACTGGAGATGACACAAGACTGCCTTCAACACCAAAGAAGCGACGAGAGCTACCCAAAGAGGTGACTCAGACCCTAAAGGCTTGGTTAATGGAACACAAGCAACACCCATATCCTGACGAGACGGAAAAGAAGATGCTTTGTGAAAAGACAGGCTTAACCATGAACCAAATATCAAATTGGATGATCAACGTGCGTTCGGCATGGGAACTTGCAAACTTCAGCTCAACCATACTGATCTGCTGCTCGTAGGCTCGACGACGTATCCTTATTCCTCCCAAGAAAAGGCAGCAGTTCTTTGACACATTTGCCGGGACAGCGTCTGAACCCATTCCAATTTCAGAGGCACCTCCACCACTTATGCCCTCATCGCCACCACCCAGGTTCGCGGGCGGAGCGCGGACCATCTCGCCTCCAGAGTCGACTGCGCCCCGCCTCCCCCCTTTCAACACTATTGCATCGCCGTATCCTTCGATGGGACCATCTTCGGACCCGGTTCGACGGGCTCGTTTGCCACAGCTTCGCCGTGCTCAACGCACTAACCAAGACTCGGGTTCACCCATTCCATTGAGTCCTGAGATACCTCGCCCACCTTCCACCGCCCCTAAATCGCGAAATGCCTTATCTCCATCCGTCACACCTACGTCTACGCCTGCGCCTGCGCCTGCGCCGCCATCGTTGCCCCATCCACCTGCCAATCCGTCTCCGATTCCGGCTGCAATTCCCCCGTTGACGATACACAGTTACACTAAGCCTCCCTCACCCCAGATGAGCATATCAATACCTGAGGTGAAAGAAGACACACGTCGCTCAGCCAGCTCTCAAACGGCTCCAGCAGTCGTCATGCCTGTGCCAAGCAAGGGCAGTGTTGTCTCTGACCAACCGACTGCACACAGTAGAAAACTCCCCAAGGAGGTCAAAGATATACTGAAGGGGTGGCTGATGGCCCACAAGTCACATCCATACCCTGATGAAGAGGAAAAACGAATGTTGTGTGAGCAGACGAAGTTAAATATGGTCCAAGTATCGAATTGGATGATCAACGTAAGCATCGTAGCAATTTTTTCCAGAGGGATACACATTCTGATCGCCACCAATGCCCCAGGCTCGTCGGCGTATCTTGGTTCCACCCAAGAAACAGCCTAAATACGTTATCTCGCCGTTGCCCATGTATCCTGATCCACGACTTCTTCCACTGGACCCATCCGGCCCACCCCCTGGTCCTAGTAACGAAACAGGCTACCGTTTGCCTCCTTTTAGAGCCATCTTGCTCCCATCTCCGGACCAAGAACCTCACCCACCCAATTGGTTGCCTCTACCTCGTGTCATCAATTTTGCGGAGGACAAACACCCAGGTAATAGCCACGCTAGGGCCTCTAGTTCTGGGACGCGGCCTCGAAGCAGGAACCGAACTCCTCCCCCCACAGGCGACCCACATCCGAATGAATTGAAGCACTTTGGGAAGCTCTTATCGCCCACCTCCAGCCCCCCTTTTCCACGCGTGCGGTGGCCGGAGGAAAAATCCAAAGCTGTGACTGAAGCCCAAGCCAGAAGTGCGGTGAATCACAATATCCCTTTTGCAGCTTTGCCAGTCTCAGTGCCGCCTATCTCAAACGTTCGCGACGAGAGACTACCGGGGACGCCTCCAAACATACCTCCTCCCGCTCCAACCCGAATGCCTGAATCTTCCGCCCGATTCTCTGCATATCCTTCCAAGAGAAAGGCAAAGAGGTCCAGGAGTCCCGCTTCTTCTGCCTCTAATACGCCTCCGGCGCCTCGTCTTGAACTTAGTGGAGAAACAAGTGTCTATGCTCCTTTTGTGACCATGAGTCCTAAACAGGAGCTCAAGACCAAGCCTTATCCATTTGACGATAAAGGTGACGGCATGGAGCTGGACGGAGCAAGTGAGGACGAACGGCAGGATGCGAGTGCGCGGAGTGCAGCGGGGAACATGGAGTCTGATGCAGACTCCTGAGCGAGAATAGCGTGCCGCGGCCCAGCTTTAAAGTCGGTGGTGGGCCTTCGAATGTTGACTTCAACTCAACACCAGTTCGAGGCAGCTGCCTTGTGGTGTATCCTTACCCGTTGGATGGAACTGCATCTTCACCTTGGCCTTGGATTGTAGTCATACCCGTAGAAATGCAAATCTTGGGATTTTCCAGCGGATCTGGATCTAGGCACCTTATGTGACCCTATTGTCATCTTATGTTGTAGTAGCTTGCATGTTATCTTTCCTTATCAAATCATTATCCCGCTACGTTCATGCAATGCCTATGTCTGTTTGCACTCCCTAGAGGAGTATATGCCTTCCAGTGGTCTGGAACACACCTTCATCTACAGAAGCATTGCAATCGTTAATGAGGAGAGGTTCCGGCATACCACCTCACTTCTCGGCTTGCGTGACTCACGGGCCCCGGCAGCAATCTGCGCTGGTATGCGAACGGCCCAACGATTCGGGAGAAACACCCGTTTTGTCCCTTGACCAGCTATACCATTACCAGACTACGATATGTACCATATTGGTTGTCGCCCCGGGCCCCATCGATGGCCGCACCAGTCGGTCGTGATCGACTCTGGGGGTCCGCTGGATCAAGGCATTTTGGACACCCGATTAAATTGCCGTTCAGACTGAGACAATAGCAGCCCGTCACGTCATCAGACAAAATGTCCGAACGTTAGTTCGAAATATGAACGCGTGGCACGTAAAGAAGTAAGTCCTATGCACGAGCAGCAAACGTCAGCGAGAGTACCTTATGAAAAATTAATTAACAGCATTAGCAATCAAAAGAAGAGATAGGCAGAAAGATCACCGTTCGCAAACTTGGATGGGAGAGGAACGAGACTAATCCATTGTTTTCATCTACAAATTATGATGTGATGAGTCAGGAAGCCAAACAAGCACATCCCAAAGAGCAAAGAGCACAACTCATGATGAGAGAACGCTTACAGGTATCATTTCCACTACGAAGTGTACTTCCCCGGTGGTAGCGTGTAGACAGCCTCAGTAGATATGCAGGACTTCTAGAATTGTGCGCAATGCCACAGGGGTACGAAGGTACAACGGAAAACCGGAGCGATAAGAAATCCAGACAGAACATTCGGACAAAAATATGAGAAGGGAAAGGAAATTAGGATTGGGTGACGCTCAACATTTGAACAAGAGCCGTAGAAGGCAAGGATGAAGTATATACAACACGGAATCCAAGAGAAAGATAAGCAGAAAATGGGGCAGTCCGCCAGGCGAAACGAGAACACACCATATATCTTACCGAAGTATCCGAAGGTAATGAGCACCTTCCCCGACGGCAAGACCAAGGCGAAGATAGTGGCTTAGGCAGTGGTTTATGCGAAACGCTAGGCAGGCATGACTAGGATGCGCAGATGACCAGTATACAAGATGAGTGCGTGCGGCGGACGCAAAATGACGGTCGATGCGTGCAGCGGACAAATGTCTTGTATAAATAAAGATAATAGAAAAATAGATCAGTATCCGAGCGAGAGTCCCGCGGTACACAAGCTTTATTTAATCCCGTACCTCCATTAAACTACAGAACATATTGGCCCCAAGTAAACCCGAGAGTGTATATAATCGCCCAGCATGGACGGAAGCACTGCGAACGAACCCATAAGAGTTTGTAGACATGTTGAATGTGCTCATGGAGTTGTGTTTGGTATGTTTGATGCTTCCGCTGGCGCCCCTTGTCCCTCCCTCGTGGTATATGGTGGTGGACGGTCCGAGTCCTTGCTCCTCGTTCCAAGCCAATAGACGAGAGCCATTAACGCAACAAGTGCGACGGCTCCTATGGTAGCACTGGGCACTATAGCTAGTGTATGATTAGAGGTGGCACCTAGGGGTAGACTGGTGGGGCTACTGGTGGATGAGGAGCCTGTGTTGAAGGGGAAGGGAGAAGTGGATGGACGCAATCCATTTGTGGTCCTGGTGGTCGAACCACCTTTGGACTATGCAGGGCGCAATGGGAGATCGAAGGCATGAGGCATAAGCCATATCGAACTTTTTGTCAAAGTGGGTTTAGAACTGACCTTGGACGAGGCTGAAGCGATGCTCTCCGAGATTGCAGAGATCCGCTAATGGGCAAAGCGTCCAATACACCGGCCCAACTCTACCAAGGGTTGGAGGACAAGATACTAACCGACAAAGCCGAGGGAGAAGCGGAAAGTGAATCCCCAATCTGTGGACCCGGCTAGGGGAAGAAAAAGATAGTTTGTCAGATAACGGCACGAAGAGGTGAACAAACGGCGGAGATGCATCTCACAGACCTGGATTACATATGTAGGACTTGTCGCCTTCTGTCCGTGATAGTCTCTCAGAACAAAGTACACAGTTAAATATATGAATTCAACGTTGGAAATGGCCCTGATAAAGCACACGAGCCAGACATTACGCTCCAAGCATCAGCGGGAAAGATAACAGGAAGCACGATCAACGCACCAGCCGATAGGATTTGGACCGACGGGATAAGAGTTCAATATCTTGTCATTAGCACCAGTGTCCTGACTCCAGAGCTCGATCGAGGCGGGTAGCTGCACCAATGTATGTCATCAGTTCGAGGAACAGCGAAGCGCCCATACAAGATATGGTTGAAAGGAGCTGAGAGTCAGTCGTGCCCATGCCACTGCCAACTCTGGCTCGACAGGCAGGACCCACAGTACAGTTTCCCCAGGGATCTCGAAGTAGACTCCGTATGTAATACCAACGGCTGGATCTGGAGGGATCAATGTACATGCCTGGGTGATCTGCGCAGAGAGTAAGGAAAGAAGGGTGCCAAGTGCACGTGGAAAGGAAAAGCGGCTCAAGTTTGCCATCGTCATACTAATTCTTTCCCTACTTTTTGTGGTGTCTCTCCACTGCTCGCAGGCAAAGGGGTCATCAACCGGGGAAATGCCGAACACGATGTTGGGTCCCGCCCACCGGGGGCACTACTCAGAGCTTCCCGTTAAAGAGGGGCTGGTCACCTGCCTACACTCAGAGTCAAGAAGTCATTTTGCGCATGTCAAATCAAACCGACACAATACATTCGGCTAACTCCGCTACAATACAGCTGATGACCGAGAAGCCGTTCTCGTGGACATATGGAAACCGACGTCGGCTCGATGTTACGCTACGCGTCAGCATGCGATTGAGCCCTAATGTCAAGCGGCAACCCGTTCTTAACTGTCATCACACTGAGATACACAATGCGATAGGCAAGTGACCAGCCTCTATTGGAATACAATGCGACTCTGAAACCTCTGAACCTTGCAACAACTACCAACAACATCGCTTTATTTTGCACTTTCCTTTCTGCATTAATACCATTAATTGGCAATTCCATTACCCATCGTGCCGCTCGAGTGGTAGCACCTATTATCTTCACCGATCGTACGGGTAGGATCCTTCGTGCCCACATATCATCCACGTTGTTTTGTGCTGATGGGCCGAATTGTGAGCACGTTTGTTGAATGGAAAGTTACGGCTCGCGCTCCCAAACGGACGTTTCTGTCTTGGGTGTGGGTGGATCAGCCACAGGATCGCTTCCCAGTAGAGCCGCCAGGTAAGTAATGTTTTTGATTAGCTAACGAGAACGATTAAACGAATCTCGTGTCCATTTTTCTTGGACATCTACGCTTGAGGGATCCGGAAGTTATCAAACCGACACAAACTAGATGTATTTCAAAACGAACTTGCGCTTTATCCCGAACCATGCATTAGAGACCGCTGTGACTTAACCAACGAAATGGGCAGTCAGGCCGCATCTCAAGTAAGCTTACATGATAGCCGCCAATCCTGTGTATTAATACAACCATTGGTACATATATATCATGGACAGAACCGCCGCGAATAAACACCTTTCGTGAATATGACCAGTGCATTCACAGAGTTGTGTCGATATGTCAAACCATCGGAACCGTCTCCAGGATTTGGGTCTCCCCGCTTCCCACTTCTCTCTCTCTGAGCCGACAAATGAAAACTAGCAATGCCCACCTCTCCTGGTGGCGTTGTACCGTATAACTGCTGTTCTGCAACCTCTAGGGAGTGGGTTTGAAGTGGTGAGGTTACTGGTAGATAAGGGCCTGTATTGGAGAGGAAAAGAAAAGTGAACGCAAGCGATGCTTGTCATCAGGAAAACCCGACAAGTGCTCTCAGGCGCTCTAGAGCTCTCTAGAGCAGGGGACCTTGCTCCTGGACCTGTTGGATTTTTGCGACATGATAGTGGTGGTCTTGTCCTCTAATCCCCCCCCCTCTCCGTGGCAGTCAGCTATCCTGCCTGTTTGCTGAAATACACGAGGGGATCTTCACCACATTGTTACGATAACTCTAGCATATATGAGGAAAATCTGCTGTGTGCTTGAAGAAGCGCAGCTGTTCATGCGAGACTGACTGATCTGGGGACCAATAATGTTCTCACCTAAGTATGACATGGTAACATATGCCAGAGTATCTCATTTGCGCGTCAATGCTCAGCTGACCAGCTGACAGCGCTGTTTCCCGCTGGGCTCTTCTCTTGTCATACATAGTATGCATGTAGATTGTTACCGATCGCAGCACTCTGGTGCATGCTTCTACCTTGGCTCCAGCTGAATTTCGACCTCCCAAATTGCTCCAGACCTTGAGTCCTTGACCAAGGCTTGATTCCTCTGTCAGGCCATCACTACGGCCGGCTGCTTTCGGGATTCTTCTCAATTAGATCAAGCCCTGATTGAGGTGCGAATCGTAATCCATGCGCAACCTTCATGTCACTGATTTGGTGCAAAGCAGCGTCTTCGTAAAGTGCTTTCTTAACCTCACTTTTGCCACCAACTCTCTCCCCGACCACCCTCAGCTGGCTACCGTACAATGAAATGCTCCTATCCTGACATGGACTGCAGTGCTGCTAAGATGAGAGTACTGCACCTAAGTGTTGTTCAGCTGACATGAGGCATCGGGATCGTCGTTGGATCATTGGATGAAAGCAATAGACAATTTTGGAGAAAACGCGAAAATTAGTCTCTAGTCGCAACCTATTGCTTTCAGGGAAATTCATAATTGTATGCAAACCCGGGGCACTGAAATGTGCCCATGGGTTTGGTATACTTCACGCCTCCACTAGCCCTCCCCCCTCCACCAACGTCGAGACGTATCGTGGTGGGCGCGATCGCTTCCATTTCCGATAACTGAAAGCTATCACTGCAACAAGTGCAACAATTCCCAAGACAGCACTGGACGCTATAACTGCTGTGTGATTGCCTCCAAGGGGTGAAGTTGAGCTGGTGGGAATACTGGTGGCTGAGGAGCCAGTGATGGAGGGGAAGTAGGAAGTAGATCGGCTTGTGGACGATGTTGCCAGGAAAGTGACCTTGGACGAGATTGAAGCGATGCTTTTTGAGATCGAAGAGACCCGCTAATGGGCGAGCCGTCCAATACCTTACCCAAGGATTGAAAGGACAAATTGCCCAGGCTCCTCTCACTTCTGTGGCCAGGTTGAAGGATTGAGGTGATCTTAATGCAGACTGATGAATCGCTTAAGACCTGTCGACCCATTGGTCTGAACGCGGATCAACTCACCTCGATCAGCTGGGTTTGATACTCTCGTACATATGTAGATTATTACCGACCCTGCCCCAGGCCATCGCTATGACTACTTTCAACATTCTTCCTCAATTGATAACCGTGGATCGAATTACGAATCGTATCCCGTGCGCGCGGCCCTCAAGTCACTGATCTGATGTACATTACGAAAACCGGACAAGTGCTCCAGAGGGGGGATCTCGCTGTACAGCCGTCCAGTGTTCGTGATGTAAAGTTACCGCTCGCCACAACACGGCGTCTTCGTGGAAGTGCTGCTTCAACTTGCAGGCCTCGGCCACCCTCCCCGCTCACCATCTTTTTCCCTCGAACGTCACCAGCTAGTAGCTTATACACATTGAAAAATATGCTTACTAATTCTGATATAGACTACAAGTACCGCCAATGTGTGAGTGTTACAAGAACGTTTTTCAACGATCATGGCGTTGTGTTGTCCCAAGCTTGAAGCCTAACCGCCCCCAGACATACAACCCTATTATTGGATAACAATTTTGGAAGAAACGCGAAAATTAGTCAGCCGCAACATATTGCTTTCAGGGGAGCCCAGAATTGTATGCGAACCCAATCGTTGAGGTACATCATGGCTGGAAGCACTGAAGTGTGCCGATGAAGTTGGGTTTGGTATACTTCACGCCTCCACTAGCCCTCCCCGCTCCCCCACGTCGGCGTATATGGTGGCGGGCGCGATCGCTTCCATTTCCAATAACCGAGAGCTATCGTAACAAGTGCAACAACTCCTATGATAACACTGGACGCTATAACTGCTGTGTGGTTAGGGCCACCGCCTCCATGGGGCGGAGTTGAGCTGGTGGTGACACTAGTGGCTGAGGAGCCTGTGTTGGAGGGGAAGTAGAAAGTAGATCGGCTTGTGGTGGCGGTAGTTACAGTACCCGACGATGTTGTCGAACTGTTTCCGGACTATCCAGAGCATAAAAGGGTAGATGGAAGGCACAAAGGCGTAAGCTGTATCGGGATTTCGTGAAAGTGGGTTCAGAACTGACTTTGGACGAGATTGAAGCAATGCTCTTTGAGATCACAGAAACCCGCTAATGGGCGAGTCGTCCGTACATCAGCCCAAGGATTGAACAAACGCCTCGCAAGCTCGGCCAATGAACAAGGTGCTAACCGACAAAGCCGAGGTAGAACCTGAAAGCCAACTCCCAATCTGTGGACCCGGCTAGGGGAAGAAAAGCCGTATTGTCAGGTAACGGCCTAAAGAGAGGGACAATCAGGTAGAGATGCATCTTACAGACCTGGATCACATATGCGGGACTTGTCGCCCCCAGCCCATTGCTCTCTGACAGAACGAAGTACAGGGTTTCATATATGTATTCAACTTTCCATATCCACCTGATGAACCACATAATTAAGGCATTCCATTGTGAGCATCGGCCGGAAGGATAAAAGGGACGACCAACGCACCAAAGGATAGGATTTGTATCGATGGAATAATTCTCCAACATGTTGTCACCATCACCAGTATGATTCCAGAGTTGGATCGTAGCGGGCTCCTGCACATGGATATATTGCATGCCATCAATACGAAGTGCGCATACAAGACATGATTCAAAGAGCTGAGAGTCAGCTGTCGAACCCTGGCCACTGCCAACCCTAGGCTCGACGCATAGAACTCACAGTACAGTTTGCCCAGGATATGTAAAAGCGGACTTCGTACGTAATTAATGCCGGCAGCTGGGTCTGGCGGGGTCACTGTGCATGCCTGGGTGATCTGAGCAGGGATAGAGAGCGCCAAAAGAAGGGCGCCAAAAGTGGTAAAAGGGCTTAGGTTTGCTATCATCATACTGATTTGTTCTTTGTGGTATCTCTCCCACTGGTTGCAGGCAAGGTGCTATGGATTACTAGTATGTTAATATAGAAAGAAGTGGGGAAGGACACCGGAGTAACTTAAGTACCGCATTCGACGACAGTACTGCTTGTCTGCCGGGCTCTTCTCACTTTGCAATCAGGTTGAGGGATTGAGGTGATCCTAATTCAGACTGATGAATTGCTTAAGACCTATCGACCCATTGGTCTGAATGCGAATCAACCCAATCCAGCCGGCCAGGCCATCACTATATATGACTGCTTTCAACATTTTTCCTCAATTGATCAACCTGGATCGAATTACGAATCGTATTGCGCGCGCGACCTTCAAGTTACTGATCTGATGCACATCACGAAAACCGGACAACTGCTCCAGAGGGGACCTTGCTGCACACTTGTGCGGTGTTCGTGATGTAAAGTTACCGCTCGCCACATGCACAACAGGGCGTTTTCGTAGAAGTACTTTCTTCAACTTGCGGCTTCGGCTTCCCTCCCCGCTCACCATCTTTTCCCCTCGAACATCACCAGCTAGTAGCTTCTACACATTGAAAAATGCGTCCGCTAATCCTGATATAGACTACAGTGCCGCCAATGCGTATGCTACGATCATGGTGTTGGTACCATTGGATAAAACTAGTTCACGTAGCGTGTTATCCCAGGCTTGAAGCCTAGCCGTCCCCAGACATACAACCCTAGTACTGAGGCATCGGGATCATTATTAGATGACAATTTTGGAAGAAACGCGAAAACTAGTCAGTCGCAACATATTGCTTTCAGGGAAGCCCATAATTGTATGCAAACCCAATCGTTGAGGCACATCATGGCTGGAAGCACTGAAGTGTGCCCGTGGAATTGGGTTGGGTATACTTCACGCCTCCACTAGAGGTATATGGTGGTGGACACCTTCGCTTCCATTTCCAATAACCGAGAGCTATGAATGCAACGAGTGCAACGACTCCTATGATAGCACTGGACGCTATAATTGCTGTGTGATTAGAGCCGCCACCTCCAAGGGGCGAAGTTGAGCTGGTGGGGACACTGGTGGCTGGGGAGCTTGTGTTGGAAGGGAGGTAGGAAGTAGATCGGCTTGTGGCAGCGGTGGTCACAGTTCCCGACGATGTTGCCAAACTGCTTCCGAACTATTCAAGGCGTAAGCTGTATCGAACTTTCGTGAAGGTGGGTTCAGAACTGACCTTGGACGAGATTGAAGCAATGCTCTTTGAGATCAAAGAGACCCGCTAATGGGCGAGCCGTCCAATACATCAGCCCAGCTTACCCAAGGATCGAATGGATAAGGTGCTAACCGACAAAGCCGGGGTACTAACTGAAAGCCAATCCCCAACAATTTGACCCGGCTAAGCCAGATTGTCAGGAAGAGAGGGACAAAACAATTGAAGATACATCTTACAGACCTGAACCACATATGCCGGAGTTTCCCCCCTCCCCCCATCGCGGTCTACTCCAACGAAGTACAGAGTTTCATATATGTATTCGGGCTGCCATATCAACCTGATGAACCCATAATTGTAAGCATCGGCTGGGAAAAAGGCCGATTAACGCACACGGAGATGGGATTCGTACTGACGGTCCAAGTATACAACACCGTGTCACCAGTACTCGTACTCTGATTCCTGAGTTGCATCGTAATGGGCAGCTGCACCATAGAACATGAACGTATTACATGTCATCAATCCGAGTGAAGTACGCATACAAGATATGGTTCAAAGAGCTGGTCAGTCGAACCTTGCTGCTTCCAACCCTGGGCTCGACGCGTAGAACTCACAGTACAGTTTGCCCAGGATATAGGAATCTCGGTTTCGAACGTAATACCGACGACTGGGTCTGGTAGGGTCAGTGTACATGCCTGGATGCGAGCAGAGAGCGCCAAAAGAAGGGTGCCAAAGGCGGTAGAGGGGCTTAGGGCTGGTATCACCATACTAATTTGTTCTTTGTGGTATCTCCCCTACCAGTTGCAGGCAAGGCGCTACGGACAGGTTAATATATGAGGAAGGACACCGGCGTAAGTATCTCATTGACACCGTCAACGTTCACCCGACAGCACTGCTTTCCCCAAAACTCTTCTCACTTCCGCATCCAGATTAAGGGATTGAGGTGATCTTAATTCAAACTGATGAATTGCTCAAGACCTGTCGACCCATTAGTCTGAATCCGGATCAACTCAATCACCTCGATCAGCTGGGTTTCCTGACGCTATCGCACACATGCAGATTATCACCAACCCCTGTGCCCCTGGCCATGATTACTATGACTACTTGCAACATTCTTCCCCAATAGGATCAAATTGTGAATCGTATCTCGCGCGCGACCTCCAGGTCACTGATCTGATGTAAAGCTACCGCTCGCCACAACAGGGCATCCTCGCGGAAGTGCTTTCTTCAACTTGCAGGCCTCCCCGCTCACCATCTCCCTCCCTCGAACGTTACCAGCTAGCTTCTACACTGAAAAATGCGCTTACATAGACTACGTGTCACCCGTGCGCGAGTGCTATAAGAACGTTCAACGATCATGGGGTGTTGGCACCATCGGATAAATTAGTTCACGTAGCGTGTTGTCCCAAGCAAGCTTGAGATTATGCATGATGGCCAACAATCCCGTGCAACCCAACCATTGGCACGTAAGTATTATAGAAAGAACTAATGCGAATAAGCACGTACATATTTGTGGACATGATGAGTGCATTCACAGGGTTGTCCCGAGGTGTTTGATCCTCCCGGACGTCCACCAAACGGTTCCAATGGCTCAGCTGACAACCCATTGTCCGAGGAATGGTCACTCAAAACAGGCCTCCCGTCCCCAGAATCCGAGCCTTGTTTTCATTTCTCTCACTAAGTTGACAAGCAACGCAACAAGTACGCAGGCATCATTGCGGCGCAAGTATATAGAGCTGCAACCTCTAGGAAGTGAATCCGAGCCAATAGGGGTTATCCGTGGACGAGGAGCCTGGCCCATGTTGGAGAGGGGAAAAAAAGTGATGCTTATGGTGGCGATTCCGTCTTCTAATTTCCCCGTCCCTGCGTGGTAGTATCTGTTTGCTGACATACAAGGTGCTTGAAGGGGGATTTGTGGTTCCGGGTAGAACAGCATACCCTATCCCGACCACTTGGGATAGTACGCCTTGTCCTGTGCCACCGTCACTGGCAGTCATTGGAAGAAGTCACTCTGATCGCCAACTTCACCGGATTTCCGGTGGATCAGCTCCTGGGAACGTTTGCCAGTCGTGAAGAAGGTGCCAACACCAACTGGCCAGTCTGTGTCGACGAACGACGACTACCTGCACCGCTTCAGCCGTAGCGACTGGAGCACAGCCTATCCAATACTGGGAGGCGAGAGTGGGGGAGCGGCTGAGGGAGTGGTGCATCGTCGGACCTATAGCCCTGGTGATAGCGCAAAAGCTGATCAGTCTGCACGCTTACACCGAGCACTTATGGGTTCCGAGTCTACCGTTCTCTACGCTGAAGAATGGAGGGACACATGGCATGACGGAACTCGAAGTATCAACTTGGTTGATGTGGAATATTTTATAGCGAAGTTTATGCTCATGCGTGAATTTTGTAATGAATGGATTCTGATAAGGCAATCCGAGCTACTGGAAGACAGGAAGCTAGAGAACTTTAACTGATGATTTTGCTCAACGCACGTCTGTGAGTATTTGTACGTACACGAAATGCATGCAATATACGTAAAATAAACGACTGACTGGGGGAAAATTTACTCGAATTATCTGGGGATTTCCCACAACAATGCAGGTCCATTCCGGGAGGTTCCGGTCACTCAACAACAAATAACTGGTGGACGCCGCTGTCGCGCAAGGCCCGCCACTCTCCTCACAACTGCCTTTCGACGTTTGGTTTTGGATTTATGATATGTTTCGTGCTTTGCGCTATCACTATTTCAGAACACTTTCCCCTTCTGTCTTCAGTACATTCTTCACAACTGTGTTTTCCACGCAGAAGTCGTACAGAGACGACTGGGTTAGCTAGCGAGTATAAGGGAGTGAATTATATTGTCATTGTCATAATGGAAAAGAGGACCCGCTACGGAGTAGCGGGAACAATGCCAACACGAATAAACCACACATCGACCACGGACTCCAACAGCAGTTAGCTAGTAACTGGCTATCGTATATTGGGGGGGGATGGGGAATAAGACATATAATAGAAGTGTTTGTAGAAGGGGAATTTTTTATAGATGTAGAAGCGACGAGCTGGGAGAAAGGAAAACATACACATGTGGCTTGCGCGCAAGTGAGACTTGGAAGACGGGGCGGGCAAGTGGTCACTATGGAAGTCGTCGGCCTAGTCCTCGGCGCCTGAGGCAGCTGGTGGGTCAAGCGAGCCGAGCTAAACACGATTTCGAGATCCTGGAGCGGGTTGTGCTTGAGCTACCAGCCGCGACCGATAAGCTCGGAGGCGCTAGAGCCCGGAATGTAAGTCACGGTGATTTCGGTGCTGAAGTCCACATTTGGGTCCTCCGCACCACCCAAGTACTATGTAGGCCAGCAAACCAAGGAAAGGTAAGTCGATATTATATTGGGGATCGAAGGCACGTACAGATGGTCTCCGCAGCCTCTCCAGCGACCTTCCACGGTGCACGTAAAAAACAGGAAGTGGTGCATCTTGAGGGCGATGACCTTATTGATGAGCGGCCGATAGTCGTTCCATCTTTAAGACTATAGGGTTAATTCATGCAAGTCAGAATAGATCGGATAAAGGGTGTGGCTACGCACATCACGTCGCCGACGCCCGAGACCACCGCTTCAGGTCCGAGCTCCATCGGGAGTTGAGGTGACCAATATGCTTCTCTCCTGATGGTCTGATTCGGCGCTAAATTCTGTTGCGGTGATAGCCTCAATGTTGTCAGGGGGTGGATAGCAGGGCCTTTAACGTCCTCATCATCCGGCCATCAGTATCAAAGTCCATCACTTCGTCAATTTCTCCGTCGTACATCTAATCCGTTCGAACCGAAGCGGCGGGAAAAGACACTGGTAAGAGGTTTGTCAATGCAGAGAAAATGATAAACACCTACCTTTAATGTCGAATGCGGTTGTAAACTTGCTAAGGCGTTAAACAGGTTGAGAGGCGTGTGGATGGGACTTCGCTCAGCCTTTATGCGTCTGCTAGGTACGTGCAGACTATGTGGTGCTGTGCATGGGAGAAGTCTGGTATATTGGGGGGCTATTACTGTTGAATTTCTTGTGCGGCGTCGCATTACTCAGCTTTCTTGGTCATCTTGCTACTAGCTTGCTTATAAAGCAGAATTCTTTGTGTGTGTGTTTTTTCTTTTAGTCTTTCCTCAGTTCACGTATGTGTATTCTAGCGTTCTACACTAGGTAACTACTCTCAATATTATTACATATGTAGAGCGTTGATCGAAGCGCGAATCGACGCGTTGCACGCGCAATCTTCACATCACTGATTTAAATGCAAAGTGGCGTCTTCGTAGGAGTGCGTTCGTTGCCTTGGATCGGCCACCTTCCCCTTTCACCAACTTTCTCCTCGTCACCTCAGCTGGCTACCACGTAATGAGATGCGCCTGTCGTGACATGGCCTGCAGCTGCAGTGCCGCCAAGATGTGAGTGCTGTATGTAGTGCTGTTCAGCTGACATGAGGTATCGGTATCATTTGGATCAAAGCAACAGACAACTTTGGAAGAAATGGAATTAGTCTAGGAATGCACTCATAACATATTGCTCTCAAGGAAGCCCGAAATTGTATGTAATTCTAATTATGGACGGAAGAACTGCGGATGGAGTTGTGTTTACTCCACGCCTCCGCTAGCCCTCCTTTTACCCGCGCGCTGGGGTATATGGTGGTGGGCGCGATCGCTTCCATTTCCAATAACCGAGAGCTATCGCAACAATTGAGACAACTCCTATGACAGCACTGGACGCTATAACTGCTGTGTGATTAGAGCCGCCACCTCCACGGGGTGAAGTTGACCTGGTGGGGACACCAGTGGCTGAGGAGCTTGTGTTGGAAGGGAAGTAGGACGTAGATCGGCTTGTAGTGGCGGTGGTTACAGTACCCAACGATGTTGTCATTGTTGAACTGTTTGCGGACTATTCAGGGCGTAAGGGTAGATGGAAGGCACGAAGGCGTAAAAGTGGGTTCAGAACCGACCTTGGACGAGATTGAAGCGATGCTCTTTGAGATCAAAGAGACCCGCTAATGGGTGAGCCGTCCAATACATCAGCCCGGCTCTACCCAAGGATTGAATGAATAAGGTGCTAACCGACAAAGCCGAGGTATCAACTGAAAGCCAATCTGCAACATATGGACCCGGCTAGGGGAAGAAGGCCAGATTGGCGGGAAGAGAGGGACAAAACAAGTAGAGGTACATCTTACAAACCTGGATCACATATGTTTCCACGGACGCCATCCGTCTTTCACAACGAAGTACAGGTTCGTATATGTATTCAGGGATCCACATCTTCCTGATGAACCACATAAGTAGAGCGTTCCATCGTAAGCACCAGCTGGACAGACATAACAGGAAGGCCAACCAACGCACCCTGGAGAGGATTCGAACCAACGGGCCAATCCTCCAACATCGTGTTAATGTCACCACTCCGATTCCAGATTTGGAACTAGCGGGTAACTGCATCATAGAACATGAACGTGAAGCATGCCATCGATACGAGGAGCAGTGAAGTGCGCATACAAGATATGGTTCAAAGAGCTGGGAGTCAGTCGAACCCTTGCTGCTTCCAACCCTGGGCCGACGCATAGAACTCACAGTACAGTTTTCCAGGTGTATAAAATAGGGGAACTCGAACGTAACACCGACGGCTGGGTCGGGTGAGGTCAATGTACATGCCCGGGTGCGAGCAGAGAGCGCCAAAAGAAGGGTGCCAAAGGCGGTAAAGGGCTCAGGGCTGGTGTCGCCATACCAATTTGCTTTTTGTGATATCTCCCCTACCGGTTGCAGGCAAGGCGCTCAAGGCGCTACGGGTTAATATATGAGGAAGGACACCGACGTAAGTATCTCATTGACGGCCAGGCTCTTCTCATTTCCGCATCCAGATTTGGGATCGAGGTGATCCTAATTCAAACGCTTACATCCGGACCAACTCGACAGCTGGTTCCTGACGCTATCGCACACATGCAGATTATTACCGACCAAGCCATGATCACTATGGCTACTTTCAACATTCTTCCCCAATAGGGTCGAATTGCGAATCGTATCCCGCGCGCGACCTCCAGGTCACCGATCTGATGTAAAGCTACCGCTCGCAACAACAGGACGTCTTCGCGGAAGTGCTTCCTTCAACTTGCAGGCCTCACTGAGCCCCCCGCCCACCACCTTTCTCTCTCTCGAACGTCAGCTACTGCACACTAAAAATGCGCTGATATAGACTACAGTGCCACCCGCGTGAATGCGACAAGAAGTCCAACGATCATGGGGTATTGGCACCATCGGATAAAATTAGTTCACGTAGCGTGTTGTCCTAAGCTAGCTTGAGATTATACATGGTGACCAACAATCCGGAGCAACCAACCATTGGCACGATAGCGTTATGGAAAGGACTAATAAGCACGTACATATTCGTGCACACGATGAATGCATTCACAGTGTTGTCTCGATGTGTTTGACCCTCCCGGACGTCCCTCAAACGGTTCCAATGGCTCAGCTGACAACCCATTGTTTTTCCCCTTTGAGGGATGGTCACTCAAACAGGCCTCCCGTCCCCAGAATCTGAGCATTTTCTCACTCCAAGCCGACTAGCAGTGCAACAAGTACACAGGCATTATCTTGGCGCAAGTAGAGCTGCGACCTCTATGAGGTGAATCCGAGCCAGCGGGATTACCCGTGGACGAGGAGCCTGTGTTGGAGAGGGAAAAGAAAGTGATGCTCATGGTGGTGATTCTGTCTTCTAATTTCCCCGTCTCTGCGTGGCGGTCAGCTACCCCATCTGTTTGCTGACATACTAGCGACTGTGGTCCACCTGCTTATCGGTACCTCCACGCTCGAGGAATGGACATGCAACATGCACAGATCATGCCGTCCAGTGCATTGCCATCACCAGGCGTCATGGATGCCTTGTTGCATACCCTATCTCGATTACTTGGGACAGTACGCCTCGTCCCAACTTCACCGGATTTCCGGTGAATCAGCTCCTTGCGTTCTTCGATGCCCCGTTACGAAATACACATGCCAGCCTTGGGCCTGGGAACGTTTTGCCAGTCTGTGTCGTTCGTCTACTTGCGCCGCTTCAGCCATAGCGACTGAAGCGCAGCCTATCCAACACTGAGAGGCGAGGGTGGGCGGTTGAGGGAGTGGTGCATCGTCGGACCTACAGCCCCCAGTGATAGCGCAAAAGCTGATCAGCCTGCACGCTTCCACCGAGCTCTTATGGGTTCCGAGTCTACTATTTTCTACGCTGAAGAATGGAGGGACACATGGCTTGACGGAGCTCGAAGTATCAACTTGGTTGATGTAGAATATTTGCAGAGTCTTATGCTTCCTTACCTCATGCGAAGATTTCCTGAATGCTGTAATGAATGGATTCCTGATGGGGCAATCCGCTGCAGCTTCGGATAAACCTCGGCAAATCGGAGAGCGACTGGGAGAGGTAAGCCAGAAACTTTAACTGATGATTTTGCTCAACGCACGTCCGTGAGTATTTGTACATGAAATACATGCACGACAATGCAGGCCCATTCCGGGAGATTCCAGTGACTCAACAACAAACAACGCCAACACGAATAAACTACACATCGACCACGGAATCCAACAGCAGTTAGCTAGTAACTGGCTATCGTATATTGGAGGGGGACGGGGAATAAGACATATAACAGAAGTGTTCGTTGAAGGGGAATTTTTTGTAGATGTAGAAGCGACGAGCTGGGAGAAAGGAAAACATACACATGTGGCTTGCGCGCAAGCAAGACTTGGAACTAGACGGGGCGGGCAAGTGGTCAATTATAAGACGAAAAGATGGACTAGCGATGTTGTCGCTCAGTCCGTTGTACGTGAACTAAATATATTAGAATAATCACTAGCGATGTTGTCGCTGGTGTACGAGTGTTCAATACATGAGGTATGAAGGACAAACAAGATATAACCAACTCACCTCAGTCCCGTTGTACGTGAACTTAGGAAAGGTTGGGTTGCCCAAAAATTAAGACTTTATAGTCAGGCGCTATGAATGCGCACTGACTTTGGCACGGGTGTCACCAAGAAAGGTAATTGGCGAAAATCTAAGACGCCACACGACTCAACATCACCAAGCGTGAGTTGGTCATAGCGTACGCCATTATACCAAGAATTCTAACATCAATATGGAAGGGCCACGAAGTCATCGGCCTAGTCCTCGGCGCCTGAGGCAGCTGGTGGGTCAAGCGAGCCGAGCTAAATACGATCTCGGGATGCTGGAGCGGGTTGTGCCTGAGCTACCAGCCGCGACCGATAAGCTCGGAGGTGCTGGAGCCCGGAATGTAGGTCACGGCGAGTTCGGTACTGAGGTCCACATTTGGGTCCTCCGTGCCACCCGAGTACTATGTAGGCTGGCAGCAAAGTAAGTCGATATTATATTGGGGATCGAAGGCACGTACAGATGGTCTCCGCAGCCCCTCTAGCGACCAATACGCTCCTCCCCTGATGGTTTTATTCGGCGCTAAATTCTGTTGCGGTGATAGCCTCGATATTGTCAGGGGCGTGGATAGCAGGGCCTTCAACGTCCTCGTCATCCGGCCATCAGTATCAAAGTCCATCACTTCGTCAATTTCTCCGTCGGACATCTAATCCATTCGAACCGGAGCGGCGGAGAGAAGACATTGGTAAGAGGTTTGCGAATGCAGAGAAAATGATAACGCCTACCTTTAATGTCGAATGCGATTGTAAACGTTAAACAGGTTGAGAGGCGTGTGGATGGGGGCTTCGCTCAGCCTTTATGCGTTTTCGAGCGTGCTAGGTGCAGACTATATGATGTGGCTGCTGTGGGAGAAGCCACTAGCTTGTTTATAAACAAATTTGTGTGTGTGTGTGTGTTTTTTTTTACGTCTTTCCTCAGTTCACGTTATGTATCCTAGCGTTCTACACTAGGTAACTACTTTCAACATTATTACATATGTAGAACGTTGATCGAAGCGCGAATCGACGCGTCGCGCGCGCAACCCTCACATCATTGATTTAATGCAAAGTGGCGTCTTTGTAGGAGTGCGTTCATTGCCTTGGATCGGCCACCTCCCCCTTTCACCTTCGGTTACTCTCAGCTAGCTGGCTACCACGTAATTAGATGCGCCTGTCTTGACATGGCCTGCAGCTGCAGTGCCGCCAAGATGTGAGTTGCTGTTCAGCTGACATGAGGTATCGGTATCATTCGGATCCAAACAACAGACAACTTTGGAAGAAATGGGAATTAGTCTAGGGATGCACTCATAACATATTGTTCTCAAGGAAGCCCGAATTGTATGTAATCCTAATTATGGACGGAAGAACTGCGGATGGAGTTGTGTTTACTCCACGCCACCGCTAGCCCTCCTTTTACCCGCACGCTGGAGTATATGGTGGTGGGCGCGATCGTTTCCATCCCCAATAACCGAGGACTATCAGTGCAACAAGCGCAACAGCTCCTATGGTACTACTCGCTATAATTGCTATGTGATCAAAGCTGCCACTTTCAAGGGGCGAAGCTAAACGGGTTGGGACACTGGTGGGGCTACTGGCGGATGAAGAGCCTGTGTTGGACGGGAAGTGGGAAGTAGATGGAAGTAGTCGGTTTGTGGTGATGGTGGTTACAGTATCCGACGACGTTGTCGAACCATTTCCGGACTATGCAGTGCGCAAGGGAAGATCGAAGGCATGAGCACATAAAAGCGGCTTCGGAACTGACCTGGGATGAGATTGAAGCGATGCTCTCCGAAATCACAGAGATCCGCTAGCGAACCGCCCACCACATCAGTCCGGCCCTACCCGGGGATTAAGTGGACAAGATCCCACTAACCGACAAAGCTGAGGGAGAAGCGGAAAGCAAACTCCCAATCTGCGGACCCGGCTGAGGGAAGAAAAGGGCAGTTTGTCAGATAACGGCACGAAGAGAAGGAAAGAGCTGCATAGACCTGGATCACATATGTGGGGCTTGTCGCCTTCAGCCCGTCATGGTCTACTAGAACAAAGTACACGGTTAAATATATAAATCCGATGTTGCTAATGGCCCTGGTGAAGCACGTAAGTGAGGTATTCCGTTGTAAGCATCAGCCGAAAAGGTAAGCGCACCAGGGGATAGGACTCCGCGTGACGGAATATTCGTTCAACTGCTTGTCCTCACCGCCGGTGTTCTGACTCCAGAGTTGGATCGTACCGCGTGTCTGCCCCGTAGAATATGAGTGTATTGAAGCATGGCATTAATCCGAGGAACAAGGAAGTGCCCGGGCCCGCACAAAAGGGCTGGGAGTCAGTCAAAGGCAACCCGGGCTCGATGCGTAGAACTCACAGTACAGTTATCCCAGAACAAATCAAAGTGGACTCCGTACGTAATACCGACGGCTGGATCTGGAGCGGTTAATGTACATGCTTGGCTGGTCCGAGCAAAGAGTGTGAAAAGAAGGGTGCCGAGGGCACATGGGAAGAGAAAGAAGCTCAAATTTGCCATCGCCAGACGGAATCACAGGGGAAATTAGGGACCAGAATCACCACTGGCACCATAACCCTTGCACCCACTTTCTTCTTCACAGGCTCCTCATCCACCAGTACGAGCCCCATATTCACTTCTTAGAAGTTACAGCTCTACTTACACAGCAGTTAAACCATACAACGCCACCACGGGAGCTGTGCAACTTGTTCCATTTCTGGATTGCTAGTTTCATTTGTCGGCTTAGGGAGCGGGAAGACTTGCGGCTGGATTCTGGAGACGGGAGCCCGGACAATGTAGGTGCTCATTCGCATTGGTTCTGTCGATGATACTAATAGTCTTCCCTCATAGCGTCCTGCGTTCGTTCCGTTCACCCACCATAGAGCCTCGCCCGCGAGCAGTGGGAGATGTAAATAGCACAAAGAGCGAATTAGTAATCGATCCCAACTGTTTGCCGACGCACGATCAAGGTGACATCCATCACTCCGTTGCCATATATAGGTTACTCCATCTAACTTATACTAATAGCGCGGGTCCAGCCGGACGACTGTTTCTCGCCCTCTGATTGGCTCAAGCCTCGCTCTTTGAGGTTTTAACCTTAACCCCGAGTTGGGTCGGTTCCGACGCGCTCCTCTCATTGGCTCCCATTTCGCCGGAATTGGGATTGACGTCCCCTATTGGAATTATGAACTAGTCGCGAATTAGCGCTAGGAAATATGTACAAGTGTCAGACTAAAGTCTGCTCCAAGTGATGAAAAGAAATATCACCTCAGTTCCAAGGATGTGAACTGAGGAGAGAGGAAAGAGAAAAATCGCGCGAGGTGGCTTTTAAGCCATCCTCGACTGCGTTCATCAACATGGATGCCAAAAGTAGAAGCATCGGGCAATCCTTCATGGAAATGCCCGTGTGCAAGATGTATAGTCCAACGGACTCAATGGATGGTCCACAGCGTACCAAGAAAACAAGGATTTCAACATCCCCGACATTGCTCATTTGACATCCATTCGCACTTTGGCTGTGTTCCCAACTGCCAGGTTATACCACTGCGATGGCACTGCGACGGCACACACACTGCACGCCCTGGAACCGTTCAATGTACAGAGTCTCACCAGTGCATTGAAGTGCATTCTCGCTCTCTCATTGGCTAGCCGCACTGCAAGCGACCACTTATGCAAGTGCCAGACCCCCGGTCTTCGTCTGTCAATCATTCCGTGGCTTTAGAGCGCACTTTGGCTGCTTGACGTGACCTCGCGTCAGAAGCAAATCTCGCCCCTCAACAATGACTCAGACAGCCACCAGACTGCTGGTACATGGAATTTCTTTTATCATCGAGGTTCGCACTTCATCCTTGACTCAAGTTCAGATGACGCAAACATACTAACTGTATCATTCGATCCAACTGTCAGGGCATGCCCTGCCCGACCCCCACTCCGCTCCCCCGCTCCGCACCGCTTCTCCCTCTTCCTTTCTCCTCTCCTCCTTTCTTCCTTTCTTTCTTTCTCTCTCTCTCACATGGACCACCTTTCCCGCTGCTCAATGTATCACCGGCGTGCACGCCTATTTCCCCTCCTGTATCTTACCATCCCTACATCGCCGCCACCGCCGCCGCACTCGCCCCGCACCCACAGCGAGCCCTCTCGGGATCTCCCATGGAGACACCCGGAGAGCCGTGGCTGTGTGCAGGGGTGACGTGGCGCCCCCCACGTGACCGATCCCGCATGTATATAATAACGGCTGGAGTGGGAACCGAAGAAGTAGCCTTCTTCTCATATTCCCACTTCAGGCAAGTAGTGTAGTCTCCCCTTTTAATGATAACTCATATTCCCACTTCAGACTAAGTGGTCGGGGATGCTCACCCTGCGACGGGATCGCCGCTACGCACAGCCGCTATTCGTCCCACCGAGTCCCACATGCAGGGACCTCGCCGCTTTCGGAGCTGTCCCTGACAGCAGAAGAAGGCTTCAACCTCATCTCCCCCACCTCCCCCACTATGGTGACCGAAGAGCAGTACGATGAACTGCTGTCCTGATTCCAAGAGCTCCAGGCCATCGTAGAAAGCCAAGCTCAAAACCAGCCCCCAGCTGCGCCTGCACCGGTGCCGCCTCCTGCACCGACACCGACACCCGCCCCCAGACCCAAACCGCCTAAAGTCACCCCCCCCACCGCCTTCTCTGGAGCAGCTGAAGACCTTGACCGCTTCAAGGCCGAATGCGGCATATATTTCCATGTCTGAGCGGCGGAATTCCCCAACGCCCTCTCCCAGATCCTTTTCATCCTGTCCTACATGAAGGGAGGGACTGCAGGGGCGTGGGCGATGCAGCGCACCATCGTGCTACTGACGACGGGCTCCCCCCGGCTCACCATGGACGAGTTCAACACGGAACTCGACGCCATGTTCCAGGACCCGAACCACGAGGCCACAGCCAGACAGAAGCTGGCCACTCTGCAGCAGGGCAGCGACTCCATGGATAAGATCATCCAGGAGTTTGAGATCCTCGGACCCACCTCATGGCTAGGGGATGTGGGGCTAGTAGATCGCTTTGAACAGGCGATCAACTCCCGCCTCCGCCCCATGCCAACAACCTGGGCTGAGTGGAAACGCGAGGCCACCCTCCTCGACAACCAGTGGCGGCGTTTCCAGGCGACGCAACCCCGCTTAGCCCCCGCCAGGCCCCCACTCCTACCCCCGAGACCCCCACTCCCCACCACTCTCCCGCAGCCACGCCCCCCACCTGCCACCGCCGCACCCCAGCCCCCTGCGCCCCGCCCTGCGGCAGGAACAGGGCCACAACCCATGGACCTCAACCGCTCGAGGATCGACCAGAGGCGAAACAGGCTGTGTTACAACTGCGACGCACCAGGGCACATCGCGCGGGATTGCCCGCAACTGAAAACCCGCTGAGCTCGACGGATGCACCCTGAAGACCTCAGAGCACTCATGGAGGGGCTGAGGAGACAGCTGGTGGACGAACCAGAGACAGAGGGAGAAAGACAGGAGGGGGAGGCCCAAGAGGATTTTCAGGACGGCGACCGGTGAGGGACGCACCCCGGCTGCCTGTAGGCGATAGTACTAGCTCGTGTAGATATCGTGAGGCGCCTAGCCCAGCGCCGACATCTAAATTCCACCGAGTCATCGCCAAGAAGAAGAGGAAAAACGCGTCCTCAACCAGCAAGGGGAGAGAAACCCCAGAAACGGCGTCGAAGGTAGCGGTCCTGCCACCTGCCATCTATGTGTTGTCCAAGCACCCCCCAGATCCCTCAACCTTGCCATGAAGCTGACCGCCTTAACGTCCCTCGCCAGCATCTCTGTGTCGGCGCTCCTAGATTGTCAGGGATCGGCCCCTGACCCCGCTGTCAGGGCACCCAACCACACCCCAGAACCACCTTCCCAGACCTCCCCATCCCTACATACCTCTCACAACTTCAGCCCGCATGTGAGCCCGCGGGAAAAATCACGTGGGTTAAGGCGAGCAACTCGCCTTAACCCATGTGACACCTTTTCCGAGTCGCGGGAACATGCTCGGCTTCTACCCGGAGTCACGTTATGAACTGTACAGTACACTTCCTTTTTATAGTAGCCAAGCGGGGAATAGGGAAACTTACCCTTCTTCTCAACTCAATCCCCGCTTAGGCAAGTTGTAGTTACCCTCTGTAATACATGACAACTCAATCCCCGCTTAGTCCCTTCAGTGAGTTTGAGGAGCTAAGGACAGGGTCTAGCGCCCAACCACCCGGGACACTGCACACACCTAGGCCTGAGGTCAGGCTGTCCCTGATCGAGGACCGAGCCCTGACATAGATTCCGGAGCTACAGGGAACTTCGTGAGCCCCTGAGTCCATCCGAAAACACGGGCTTGAGATGACCCCACTCCCTCAGCCCATCCCTGTCCGCAACGTCGACGGAACCCTGAATGAGAACGGAGCCATAACCGAGGAGCTAGAGGCCCTCTTGACGTTCGGGCGACACATGGAGCGGGCCCGCTTCGCCGTTGCGAACCTTGGGAGGCAGTCCCTCATTATAGGACACTCGTGGCTGCTACACCACAACCCGGAAGTGGACTGGACACGACAGAAAGTCACCATGTCCCGCTGCCCAACATCCTGCTGGTCGATATGAGCGTGAGTCGACTCAAACCCCGCGATAGAGCCTGGGGATGGAATCTATGCTGCTATCATCCCCCTGGGGTGGGGACACAAGCTAAGAGCGACCACAACCCCGTCGCAGCGGATGGCCCAGGAGGCCCACAAGCCGGAGGCAGAACCCGCACAGTTCGAGGCACTGGTGCCAGAGCAGTACCAAGACTTCCAAGATGTATTCTCGAAGGAAGCCTTCGACCAGCTACCTCTGCGGAAGCCTTGGGACCATGCGATAGACCTGGCACCAGAGGCCAAACTCCCGAGAGGGAGGACCTTCCCCCTGTCAAGGCCAGAACAGAAGGAACTAGACAAGTTCCTCCGTGAAAACCTGCGGAACGGACGCATACGGCCATCCAAATCCCCGATGGGGGCGCCAGTCTTCTTCGTCAAGAAGAAGGATGGGTCGTTACGCCTGGTCCAAGACTACCGCAAGCTCAATGAGATCATGGTGAAGAACTCATACCCCCTCCCCCTCATCTCGGATGTCCTTGCGCGCCTCCGAAATGCCAAGTACTTCTCGGCGCTAGACCTCCGCTGGGGGTTCAATAACGTCCACATCAAAGACGGCAATGAATGGAAAGCGGCATTCTCGACCAACTGGGGGCTGTTTGAGCCTACCGTCATGTTCTTTGGCCTATGCAACTCCCCAGCAACATTCCAGACCATGATGAACGACATACTCCGAGACTTCATCGACCGGGAGGTTGTCATCTGTTACATGGACGACATCCTGATCTTCACCGCTACCCTGGAAGAACACTGGAAGGTTGTCTGCGAGGTTTTGGAAACGCTGCAAAGAAGAAAGCTCTTCTTGAAGCCGGAGAAGTGCAAGTTCGAGCGGACCCGAATCGAATACCTCGGCCTCATCATCGCCGAGGGCAGC